GGATGTCAGTTCATCCTCAGCGGCTGACCTTGCACAACGACCGTTCTCCATATTCGGGTGGTACCAGGAGATGGAGAACAACCCCGTCGATGCTGTGGCGAGAGTCGTAGTTAGTCGCTCTAGCTCTAACCGGCCGAGGCAGTGGAGCTGAACAGCTGATAGGGAGGACAACGCATTGGTGGCAAATCACGGGTCACGCGGTCACGAGAGCGTCACCTGACATGGGGTCCAATATAGCATTGTAGGAGTAGACAGGAGTAGTAGAGGTCTTCTTAGCTGTTACACTCCATTACTAGTGATTGTAGTAGTGTAGATGAGCTGATGGCAAAGTGCTGTCACATTACCCTGCCTGTCAGGTTCTCCCGGTGCCTGGATTCCGCGACCCGCGCCACCCCACCGATCAAATGTGACAGCCCTAATTCGCATCAACAAATGAGGCCCCCGATTTCAATGCTTTTTCTTCGTGTCGCATCTCCTGTCAATAATCACATTCCTCTCACTGCGCTCGCCCTATCTACCCCGGCCCGCCCTCCCCGGTAAGCTAAAAATCGTATGCCTTTCTCTCTCCCAGATCTGCGCAAGGGGCATCAATCCGGGGATCGCGGGGCGGCATCCGCGCATAGTTTGGTCGCTCACCCTTCTAGACTCTCGGTCAGCTGAGCAGATAATCGAGAATCGTAGAGTTAATCGGCAGTGTTTGGTATGATGCGTTCATACCAGAAGGCTATGTTGTGATCCGGGGGTCCCTTTGTTGATATTCTGCGGTAAACTATCGACTATCGCCCGTGTCCTCCGTAAGGCATGAAGTGAATGACACAGTGACGGCCGGGCGAATTGTCCAACTCGAGTTGTGACTGACTCGTCTAATGATTCAATTGTCTTGCAATCCAGCCGGAAGGAAGATTTGCATTTCCGGCCGATCATCTTGTACTTTATTGAGAATCATCTCTGTTTCACCTCAACCCGATCAATAGAAGAAAGGCGTAGGTGTTTACCCAGTGCCATACCCATCCCAGACGATCAAGAGAACCTTCTTTCTGATATATCTGAGATCGACCTATGCTTCTCTCTGTTTTACTCTCAAGCCTCGATACACAATGGAGAGAGACAGTCACACTCTCGCCGAGCATGCCTCCAATGTTCTAGATCCAGCCCTGTCTCTCCTTGTTTACATGTATTGATATGTGAGCTAATCTCTCTCCCCTTGACTCCTGCAGGAAAGAATATGTGTCCGGGTATCTGGGAGCCCTAGCATGCCTCTGTTCATTCTCCGACAGCGGCGGGCCCACTTCCCGGTACACGCACTTTAGTCTCCAAGGGGTTATTTGTATAATGTTGTTGTCCATGTGCTCTGGCCCTCTCTATCTGCGACAATGCGAGGGCAGAGCCTCCTAGTCAGGGCAACAACTTGAAAATGTGTCAGTTTTACAGTATTTGGTATTTCATGTTTCTGGCGTTTCTGTACCCCCGATCCGGCCAGACGTTGCTCCCCGGACTACACTCAAATTCTTTGCCTAAACCCGGAAAAAAACCAGACACAGCCTGGAAGACGGATCGGACACACAAGGGAGGGTTGCTTTCTGGTTGGTTGGTTACCAACTGCATAACTCTCCAAGGTTCTTGCATGCACGCAGCCGTCGTGATCTGGAGCCAGCCTCACTTCCCAGAGTTATCAAATCGAACCTTCAGTCTCTAACACACTGGATCTGCTCTTTCGTTCGTCAGACAAACAACGCCACGAGTCGCCAGTTTTGCAGCCCGTCCGCCAATGATCCCAGCAACAATAACTATTTCGGGCCATGTGCGCCAGTTTATTGGACTAGGGGTGGCTATCTTTTCTGAACTATCCCTTGCCCCTGATTCGCGGCGTCGATCAAAGACAGTTGACGTAAAACGATTTGCCGGCGAGCTAATGTAACTCACTAGGGTCTTTGTCTGCCCATGTACAGCTGATCTGTGGGGGAAAATTCTAGACCGTTGACATCTTTGCCGTCCTTTTTGTGACTCTATTTGCCGGACGCCACAGCGCGCCAACGAAGATCGATCGGGGTACCAGGATGGCTATTTGCATTTATTGGGTGCTTTGTCTTCCGCCCACCAAAGAACACACGGCTGTCTACTGACACATGACGCCTAAATACAGAGTCCGGGTTGATGTTCAGGCTAATCTCCGGGCTCAGTCACCTGGCTTTTTCCCCGTCCGCCACGGCGCCTGTTGGGGGCTTCGGGGCCGCGTCCGGGGCAAACGAAACGAAAAAATGAGTCTCGCTACGCTCCATGGCTTGCAGGGCATGTCGATCACTTTTTAGTTGTGCTGTGCCCTTTGTTGATAGGGCGTAAATGACAGACTTACTCGTAAAAATAACACCATGTGCCAGTCGGATGCCAATAATCAATCCGGGGTCTCCTGTTTGTTTACTACCCCAGACTGTTCCCGCCGCATCCGGGACTGAAAGACAACACCAGAAAGAAAATGACCCTTGTCCGGTCGCATTTTGCAGACGAGTATCGTATCGTCCGTCGCTGAATGAATACGATACCAACTCCTATTTCTTTTCTTTTCTTTTTGATGAGTTGGCAGTCGTGTGACAGGATCAACAGCAGCCCCGAAATAGAGACGAAAAGAGATGAGACGGAATGAAGGGCGTCAAGAGAGACCCTGAGACCCGGACGCCTACGAACAGAACGCAGCCACGTCAATGAACCCCCCGCGCCATGTGATGGGGGAAGAGCGGGAAGCCCGACACTCAATCATGAGGCTGATGCCCTCCGTCGCCCGTCCCGCATGGAATCCCTATTTTCACCGCAGGTCATCTGAGTTCACCACGCCGGCCAGCAGCTAAAAGATTCGAAGGAGAGGAGAGGCGAGCCATGAATAGCATCACTCGCACACAGGGTCATGGTAGGCGCATTTTCAACCGAAGCTACAGGCCAGGTCTCATCGGTTGGAATATGGGCTTGGACGACGAGAATCGAAGACCGCTCTCCCGATCGGAGTACTCAGATGCTACTGTCACACCGCACCGATGGATTTGTATCGGTGCGGTCGACGCGGGTGAGCTCGAAGTTTAACCTACTTGACTTGACATCCAAGATATTTCTGTCGGGTGTCGCGGTATTTTACGACTGGCACAGCGCTAGCCTGAAAATGTTTTCTTTTCTTGACCTGCATGAAATCGAGCTTGTCTTCTCGTAACTATCTCCCGAGCGGCTCTACCTGTGTCTATGATTATTGTCTCTCGGGTGACGCGTCAAATCAATTGATGGCTCGCGATCATGTTCCACCTCCAAGATTGCTGATTACAAAAATAGGCCGGCAATGTCGCGTATGGCTTAGAACACATACATACAGTTCGCTATCCTGGGTTCCCGATCACTTCTTCGCAGTTATTCGGACATGTCTCAAGCCCTCTTTTGACGTGACCACCAATGTTTCCAATCCATGAACCACGAGTCGCGGGGAATCGGGTTATGCTTCCCCTGAAACCATGGGCCGGGCCAGGCTAAACCCTGATCTCGAGCTTGGAAAAGCTTACGATTCAAACCAGTTCACGCAGCCTTTTTTGACGGCTTGTCTCTCCTTCCTTAAAAAAAAGAGCGGAAGCAGCTGACAGACGGACTTTTACTCACATGGCGACTTCCATGAAAGATGGTGGAACACTTTCATTTTGTAGCTGCTTATTCTAATCTGGACTTGCTAGTCGGATAAGAGTGGGTGAGTGTGGCTGGGCGTTATACGTTATACCATACCCGTCGTCTTTCTTTCCATGGAGTCCTATAGGCTGGGTAATTTGTAGTGTTGCGCAATGTACGTACGGTCGTTCATTCACCGGGTGAAATGGTAGCTGGAGTAACTGGAGCTCGGGCTTGACTAGCTGTTACAGTTCTCGAGATATTTCCGTGGAAGTCATGGGTTAGTTAACCTGGGTGTGTCATAGCCCTTCCGATAGCTTGGCTCTATCTATGCTTGCGCAACAAAGGACTTCGTCATAGCTCCCGATTCGGCTAGTAGAACATGTGTGTAGATCTTCGATCTGTGGCTCTACGATCATGACGACGTACAAAGATCGCTGTACACAATACCACTAGCAAAGAAAGAATTAAAAACCGCCAGTCGATATTCTCTTGTCTGGTAGGGCTGGATTGTGAATGTGACAAGCCCAGGCTTGTACCGGGTAGCACTTGCCGCGGCAAGAAGTGTAGATCATTTGGATTGCGAGGTCACCACACCCAAAGGCCGAGTGAACCTTAGAAAAATCCTGGGGAACGCAAGCGCCGACCGAGGTATGCATGAGATCAAAATAATTGACTGATCCCCAGAAAAGGGTGTGCAAGACTGCTTTCTCTTCCCGTGAATCCTCCCCTCATCCTCGGCAGACACGGCCGTGGCTGGCCCTCGTGAACACAGACAAGTGCACAGACAATCCTAGCTCATTCTCACAAGCATTCCTGAATCTCTACTGTTCCGATTAGTCTGTAGGATAATTTGCCTTTTTCAGTGTACAAGAAGCCAAATCCTCCTTTTGTACGACGGCGGGTCGTGCTAGTACACGCATCTACGGGCAGTATAGGCTAATACGTATGCGAGTTAGTGCAATTTAATATTTATCTATTGCTCTCGTCGGATCTTGCAAAGGATATCTGCAAAGGATGTCTATGTAGACGGTATTTTGTGGTTAAGGTATGCGGTTCATCAAAAGTCTTTTGAAGGCCGAGGTCCAATATATATATCTACTGCTACATAGTGTATTTCTTGAACATTACTGTTGGTCCAGACAGGAAAGAGCGATCTTAACAAATTAGCGACTTTCCATATTATAGAGAAAAGATAAACATCCACTTGAACAGATTTAGGGTCAGCATGAGAGAATCATCAATCCTTTTTTTCGTTGCAACTAGTATAACTTTCTATGTAAGAGACCGTGCTTTACATAAGGTCCAATAAGAAAGACCTTTTTTTTTTTTTTTTTAAGACTCCACAGATACCAGTCTATGCGGATCTAGAATTCTTGGTCGTCATCACCGGAGATGATAACGTTGTTGATCTATAAGTTATTAGCAATATTCACTACAAAGCTGATGAAAACCGTACCTTAAGAACCATGCGGCACAGCTGGGTCGCGAGCAGCAGCTGCTGGCGTTTCCCGATCAGCGGGTCAATGGCAAAGTGCTCCCTCATGTCTGTACCCAGAAGGTCAGTCAGAGAATATTATAGAGGGAAAGGATGGCTTACCGTTGGTACCAGTCATCATGCAGTCAACACCCAGGCGGGTGTTCTTCTCCTTGACCTGACGCGACTTGATCGATGCCAGGGTCTCAATCGGACTCAAACCAGAGTTCTCGGCCAGCGCCATTGGCACGGCATCCAGCGCATCAGCGAAGGCGCGCATGGCGTACTGCTCAATACCGGGGCTCTAGAAGAAAACAAAAATCAGTCAGTGAGTCTTAGGAGAGAAACGGTAGGCAACGCACATTGACAGCGGCTTCTTCCACGGCCAAAGAGCAAGCAATCTCCGCTGCACCTCCACCGTACACCACACGGTTGTCTCGGACAAGGTTGCGCACCACACACAGGGCATCGTGTAATGACCGCTTGGCCTCATCGATGATCTATGAATCAAGTTAGCCACAGGTATGATTGCTAAGAGGTTAGAAACCCACCATCTTGTTGCTTCCACGGATGAAGACGGTCACTGCCCGGCTGTTGGCACACTCCTCAATGACCAGCATCTTCTCCCTCGTGGTTCCAAAAGTCATCTCACGAACACGACCCGCAGTGCCCAGCTTGTCCGCGCTCAGATCCTCAAATCGCGGCACAATACGACCATTCGTGGCAATGGCAATTAGCTCAATTTCGGGACCACCAACCCACCGAACAGCAGGCAGGTGGTTCTGGAGAAGGAGATGGTTGGCCTCGTCATCAAAACCCCACTGGCAAATGACCAGATTGGCACCCGAGTCCTTGAGATTCTGGATCATCTCCGTGAACTTGTTCTTCTCGTAATCCTGGAGCTTCCTGAACTCCTCCACGGACGTGATGTCCAGCTTGTGCTTGGTCTTGGGCTTCGGGGGCTCGAACGGGCAAGTCAGGATGGCCAGCTTGGCGTCCTGGACCTCATCGGGCATCTGAGGGTGCGAGAAATCCTTATCGACGATCACACCCTGGACAAGCAGCGAGTCCTCGAGAGAGCCGCCCACCTTTCCGTCAACCTTGATCAGCTCGAAGTCGACATCCTTGCGCTGGAGATCCGCAACCGAGAGCACGGCATCAACGGCGATCTTGGCGAATTGGTCATGAGACTTGGAGACACTAAGAATATTTAGCGTTGGTCAAAAAGACAAACGGGGAGTGGCGCATACATCTTGCTGCCCAAGCTGGTTTTGGCAACCTGCAAGAGGTTGGAGGTATCATCGCGGGAGAAGGGGATCTCATCACTGATCTTGTCAAGCTCTGCGACGGCAATCTCGCAGGCCTGGTCGTATCCGTCTGCTATCCGAATGGGGTGGATGCCCTTGTCGATGAGTTCAGAGGCCTGTTCCAGCATAGCCGCTGCCAGCACCACGACACCCGTTGTCCCGTCACCGATTTCTTCATCCTGCGACTTGGAGAGCTCGACCAGCAGCTTGGCCACGTTGTTCGTGATCTCCATCTATCAAGAACCCAGACATCAATATTGCTCAACACCAATGGCGAATGATAAGAAAAGGGGTGGTGCTGTCGTACCTGACCGAGAATGGTTGCGCCATCGTTCGTGACCGTGATATCACCGTCGGGGGAGATCAAAATCTTGTCGAGACCGCGGGGACCCTATATGGCAGAAATCAGAAGCTGCTCATCCCAGCACAGGTTCGGCTGCCTACCAGAGAAGTCTTAACAATGCTAGCCACTGTCTTGGCAGCAACAATGTGCGACTTGACGGCCTCGTTGCCATGTACTCTCTTCTTCTTCCCCTGGCTGTATGATAGAAAGGTCGCTGGTCAGCGCAAGGTATATTTGATGGGCAGCGCATCCCACGTACTCTCGGACCACAATGAACGGACGCCCATTTTCATCCTTCAACATCTGGGCTGGAGTGGGTGTCAGTAGGGATTTCAAAAATTGACCGTTGAATGGTAGTCACCTTGAGATAGATCGAGCTCTGTTCAGTCCAACAGTCAGTAACCGCACGATAGGAGGAATGAGGGGCATGAGAGGAGGGAGGCGTACGCATTGCCATGTTGACGGCGGGCTGCCACCTGGCAGGAGAAACAGTTCCGCAGCGAGAGCACTAGAAAGAGGGAGCGAAGAAAGGAGAGTGGTGGCAGAACAACGCAGTCGTCGAGGAGTTGTTTTCGTTGTGGTGGAGGGAAGAGTGAGGGATGAAATTCTGGAGACACACACCCGATCGGGCTAGTCGAAAGCTGCTTGCCTAATCAGACTTAGCGCCTGCCCTGCCCTTCCGCCTTTATTCACGCGCCTCGCGATTCACCCATCATTCATTATTCCTCGTGGATTTCTTGCTGCTGCTCTCCCCTTCTGCTGTTTCTCCTATCTAGTGGCCCCGAGGTGTACGCCTCCAGTCGCCAAGCTGTTCAAACGATTGCTTCACCTCGTTACCCCCTCCTCTCCTGGAAGCATGCCGCGTGAGTGTTTGCGCCTGGATGCGTCGCGAGCGCAGTCGAAGCTGACCGATACTCCCAGCTCCCCTGGAGGACCTTGAGTCTGATGATGAGGATCTCGGTGATATCCCACACGGTGGTCCCGAGGCCAAGTCGGAGGAATCGGAAGAGAACGGCGAGGAGGAGGACGAGGAGGACGGACTGTGAGTCGCGACGTTGAATCTCTGGTCGACTTCAAGCACCTAATAGGGTCATAGATATGTCGTTGAAGACATCCTCGACCATAAATTTGTCAAAGTACGCCACATCCACCTCCCCCAATGACACCGTTCCACGCGCGCTAATAAAGCCACAGGGCGAGCTTGAACTCTTGGTGAAGTGGAAAGGATACGAGGAACCGGAGGATCAAACATTCGAGCCAGAGGAGGGCCTATTGTATGCTCTTTATATCTCGTTATCTCAATTGAAGCCGTGTTCACATAATCTACAGAGAGGGTGCCCACGACATCGTCGCCGAGTACTACAGGAGAATCGGTGGCCGCCCCCAGCCACCTCCCAAGCCGGCCAAGGGCCCAGGACGCAAGCGCAAATCTATGACCGATGCAAAGCCCGCCCCATCACTCACATCACCGCTCTCGCCAACCAAGCGGCGCAAACGATCCCCCAGGGAGGCAGAGGAGAGGGCGAAGAAAGAGGAGGGCAGCGAGGAGAGCGACCTGAACTGGGTGCCCAAGGCTAAAAACTGGGAGAAGCAAGTCGACAGCGTGGATACGATTGTGCGGGACCCGGACACCGACACTCTCTTTGCTTTTCTCAAGTGGACCAATGGCAAGCAGACGAAGGTCTCCATCCAAAGTTGCTACGAGAACTGTCCGCAGAAGGTATGCTTGGATTCCAATATTGCTTGAAGTGATACTGTTGCTAACACTGTTTCCTTCGTCAGATGCTCAAGTTTTATGAATCACATCTGTACGTCTTGAATCCGCTGGAGCTAGGAGATGAGCTGCTGACTTTTTCTACCTAGTGTTTTCAAGGACGAGAACAAGGACGAAAAAAACGATAAACAAAACAGAGACGAAGAAATGGATGCAAATGCGGATGCGCATGCGATGGAAACTTGAGCGCATCACATCGCCGCGAGGCTTATACAGACCGGAGTATGGCTAACTCGCCTTGGCCTTCCTTCTTCCTTAATAATGCTCACTCCATGCCGCTATTCGCTCCCTGAGTAAAATTGAGCAGCCCAATCGAGCACAACCGTGAGTGACCTTTTGTTTTCGGCACTGTGAGGTGCCCTAGAGGCCGGAGGCTTTTCCTAGTGCAATGTCTGGAAATATTGTGGGTTTAACATAGTGATATCAAGCCAATCGGATTAGCCTAGAATTGGACATGGCCTTATCATTGGCCATTTCGAACACGTTCAAACTACATAATCTTAGGCCTTCGCATCTACCGACTAATCTCTCTGTCGCCCGCGCAGTTATCAACACCAGAGATCACGATATCGCTAGCCTAACATATGCGGCGGTCTTGGGGGTACTGTCTTTGACGCCTCGCTGTTCGATGACCCTTTTGATTACGAGAATTTATGTACCAGACAAGATAGACACGAGGCTACAGAACCAGAGCCGACGAGAAGAGAAAGATGCATGTATTTCCCTTCTTTTTCTCCATTAAAGTACTTACCACCTGTCTTTCCATCTACAGCATGGTTATATGCTGCTGGCCCTGAATTCAATTTCGCTACCTTCTCGTAAGTCTCCCGATCCGATCATCAGGGTACAAGCCGTCTGGATGCCATCGCAGTCGTTCAGCGAGTCCTCGTAGAGGTCAGCTCAATCCGATGCAATAGGCGCACTGTTGCGAAGAGGAATGTAGGAAGTACACGTTCCGATTGGCCAATTCACAATGTAATATCTATTGTGACCTGGATTCTCGGCTAAATTTATCTTGGTGTCATTGAGCGCTTCACTCCGCATGCCTTCAGCGCCACCCTGGCGCCGCAGCCCTCCGACAATTAACAAGGTCGATTGAAACATGTGCCGTTGCTTAGTCCAGCTTATCGGCCTCGCCAGTTCTGGATGGGGATTTTGATCTTCGGAGGAGCCATACCCTGAGGCCAGAGATTGTGTATCTTTTGCATTCTGAAGTATCCCCATTCATGATAATATCCATAGGTATCGGCGTTCTCAATCACCTGCTCATTGTTGGGAATTGGTTCGCCATCGTTCCATGCGAGGTATGCACACTGCGCCAATCCATAAACTTCAGGAACGGTCTCATCATCGGCATTGGTTTCTCCAATCCACCAAAGATGGCTGAACTCGTGCACAACAGTTTCAGCTAAGGAGGCGAATTAGAGAAGGGCCTTCAGCCTAAGGGGTTCCATGCACCTACCATCTGTGCCCTTGTAGTTTGGGTTTTGGTACCGAGCCTCGACCTCCTCCGGATTATGTTTCAATTGATCAAACCTCGGCTTTGTCCAGAATTGAGGACAGAAGGTGATAACGCTGGTGTCTTGATCCATATATGACTCTGTCGCCGCGTAAGCGCCGTGACACTGATCTTCTCCTTCCATATAGTGCGTATCCGCACAACTAATCTTAAGAACTTGGCCGCAGTCGTCGTCGCCTGGACCTAAATTTAATAGATCATTCAGGTTTTTTAATGTTTCCAAAATCTTATCCCGGCCTTCTTTGGACGAATCAAGCGCAAACAGTAGAACGTATCTATCAAGTCATGAAAATCCGTTAACAAGCCTGAAGCAAGACCATCGAGGGGAAAAGAAGTAGAGGCAAAGAAGCCTAATCCTTACGCTGGATCATTCACGTGGATATGCTTCTCTTCCGTTGTATCTATCATCGTTCGCTGAATGATTGGCCATGTCACATGCTGGAATCGCATCCAAGCCATGTTGCTGAGCTCGAGAGCACCCATCCAAGCTCGTTCCACTCCAGCACGTCTCGACTCTTGGGGGTTCGAGGGATTGGCCTTATTACAGCTTTCATCCCATATGAGTGTTTTCGAGTTCATACCGAACTGGCTTGGGAAATCGTCCGCCTGGACAGACAGCAGTAACACAGCTTGCAAGAGCAGAAGTAATATCAATTTAAGGGTTCGTGCTGCCATTTTTGAAAATAGAGTCGCAATAAGGAAAAGAGGACATTTCAGAAAATGCCATCAATCGAAAACCCGCCAATTTTAGTACAGAAGCAAAGCCCCTGAAATTTTCCGTCACATCCTATTCATTATGTACTATTCTTGTAGATAGCCCCATAACTAGAGAATCCCTAATATTGAAAAGGAAATGTGGATGCCGTGGGGGCTGCATATTTGCATACTACCAGAGGATGTCTTTTCAACCCTCTTCTATTTACGAAGCTAGTGCGGCTGTAGGATTATACGCCAGCTGTACGATTATATGCCGGCTGTAGGATTATACGCACTTGGTTAGTTTTGTTCTATATGTACAAAACTAGCCTTATGAGCATATTAAGTCGGTACCGATGATATACATAACAGTGTAGGTTTGAAGTTTGTAGGGAACAGCACTTGGTAGCTACTATGTATGGCGCCGGAAGTCCCTTTCTTTGTACTCCGTAAAGCAGATAAGTATGTTACGGCAGCGGTTGCAGGTCGGAATGGGGGGCGAAACTAATTCCTGTTGCGGGTCTGAATTTGGGGCGAAACTATTTCCTAAGATTTATTACATGTAGTTAACTCCACGGCGTTGTAAGAACCAATCAGCTTGCACATCCCTGTTCTAGTACATGTCTGTGGGCCACGTTTTTCGCCCTCTTTTCCCTTCATTATTTTTGTCTACGTTCTGTCGAACCCTCTTCACCATACCGCGATGTCTCAAGTCCCAGTGTTTAGTAACGAAATATGGCTCTTGATCATGGAGATTCTTGACCAGACTTCACTAAAGGCTCTCGCAGAGGTGTCCAAAGACATGCATGCTCTCAGCATGCCCATCCTATACTCGAAGATCGATCTTAGCATCCATCACACTGTTCCTCAAGTCGTTCTGCAAGACCAGCAGAATGTAACTCGATGGCCGATAGATATTTCAAAAATATTTGGCCAGCAGACCTTGTTCATGCAACGAATTCTCGACCGACCGGAGCTAGCGTTGCGAGTGCGGTCCTTTACATGGACCATGGGCCTACATCAGCTATGCGAGTCACCTACATGGGCCCATAAAAGCACGCTTATTCACAAACTTGACAACATCTATACCTTATTTCAATCTCTACGCCACGTCATTCGCATAGACATCAGTGGAGGCGAGTTTCATGACTATTCCCCTCCATCGCCCCAAGATATCTTCTTTCCTGACGCTACTCATATTCGCCTAAGTGGGCAGATGCATTATGCCCTCGCTTCGGCAATACTCTACGGCCCGAACAAAGTGCCATTGCAAAGCCTAGCCCTTTGCAATCTTTTAGAAAGAGGTCGCCTCAAATCAGGCGACAACTTTCAGCCGCAATACGACCCTCGCTATAAGTATATGCCACGAATACTGCCACTAGAGGAAATTTGGCCCGAGGATGGTGGTCCTCCCGAGCAGATAGAACCTGGTCATATGACCCACCTGCTAGGTCCCGCGCTCCAATCCCGGTGTTCTTCTTCTCTTCGTCGATTCACCTTCGGGGTGCTCGATCTCACACCGGAGTTCAGCCACGGAATGCTTCCTCCTGGGTGGCGCGTTCGCACGTCAGTTATCCACGAAGAGTTGACGAATTTCTTCCGGAACGTACACCCACAGAAGGTGGAGATAATTTATTCTAAACTATCTCCCGAGAGAAGAGCGGAGCTCGAATCCCTTTACTACCGGCCGAAATGTGTTATACGCCAACGGCCTCCGTCCCGTTCCCAACACGTTTTCCTTCAAACGTTGTTCGAGGGGTGGCCAGGGCTGGAAGCGTTAATGCTCTATGGGGGGCAACTAGGCCCTGCCTCTCCAATTAGACCGGCGGATCCTCTTCCATCAGCTGTAGGTTGTGTGAATTTGGAAAGTGTTCGAGTAAGCTTTGAACCTTTGGACTGGGTGGTTTACCAAGGCCAGATTCGCACTCCCAGTCAATAGGCATATCGTCATCTTTCATGACTAGTTGTTCAATGTATCTAGCGGAGGGGAGGGGTCTCTTATCTATAGCCGCCTCTTATCTATAGTTTCTAGTGATTCTGCCTAGAGAGGGGCGGAGCTTGATGTTCTCCATAAAATCACTTAATGAAGAATCTCAGAGAATGCACGATAGGTTCGAGTGGCAGAACCAAGGCCCGATCAAACCCGGGCGGCATGTGAGACGACGGTGTAGGCTTGATTGCCCGACAGCATCTACGAGTATATACTTTATCTTTTCATAGCAAAGGTAGTTCCCATGTAAACGGAAAGCTTGGAAAGCAACACAATAAGCGCTAGCTAGACATTGCCACTCCATGCATTTGCAAGTCTAATGGCTGTCTATGGTCCGATCCAGGGAAAGTCAGCTGCGGCATCCTTTGGCGATATCATCATGCATAGGATACTGCATTTCGCGATCACAGGCTCTGAAACACACCCAGGACGTGGGCGTATAAGTTTCCCAAATGGGTCGTCAAAACCCTGGATCAGCTCAGACACCGATATGTTGGGTAAAAGTTACTCTGCGAAAAGCCACAGTGAGACAAGTGAGTATCTTGCAAGCCCTAACTTCACAGCGTCTGAATTAGACTCTGGCAAGTGCGGGGAAGAGAAGAATTGAGTTCAAAATGACATGAATAATATGTATTCTCGGCTTTGTCTATGATAGAAGGACGCGAACTGCCAATCGTGTGACGCGCCTGCCCGAAGATTACAGGTCTTTGTGTCCTTTATCGGATTGGTTCTGACGGTGGTAATCTTTCTGCCGCTTGTCCCATTTACCGACGGTCGTACCATGTTGCTCATGCTTGGGATTTTCATCATGAATCTAGGACTTTACGTACCGTGGGTGAGTAAAACAAGTCAGTGAAACTAATAGATGGACTGACAGGGCCTCCCAGTTTTATATCACTCCTTATGCTATACAGCGTGGTGCCTCGCCGAGCCTGGGATTCTACGATGCAGCGATCCTGAATGGCGGTGCTTTCTTGGGATGTTATACCTTGGGCTTCTTAGCTGACTCTGGTCTGGGCGTTTTCAACTTGGTTGTAGTGGCCACCCAGCTTGTGCCGTGGTTGCCTTTGCCTGGATCGGTTCAAGTGTTATCGTGTGGACAGTAGCATATGGGATCGTCTCGGGCGCGCTCCAGGCAATCTTTTCGCCTTGTGTCTCCAAGTTGGCACCGAAATCCGAAGTGATTGGCTCTTGGAATGGTGAGCACTCCTCTTGCCCGTTTTGCCTTACCTTGCTGATGGGCGAGTACTATTTTTGTAAAGGAATTTGCATCACTATTTCTTCATTCGCGGTGCTTGCAACCGGCCCAATTGCAGGAAGCCTGCTTGAGGATACCGGAGGCACTGATTACTTACCAATTGTTTACCGGTATTTCCCTGACTCTTTCGGGTGCTTTGTTTGTGGCGACTCGGCTGTGGGTTTCTCGGGCAGTTCTCGTTTGACTCAGCCAGGCGATGTCCCCATAAACACTCAGGCGTTTGATGGAAAGGTTTCTATTTCAGATCCTGGAACAGGCATTGTGCTCGCGAATGGCCTTGGGTGGCCTATGTCTAGCTCCGATTAATATGATCGGAGCCAAGGGAGAAAGCTTGATAAACGACCTTCCAGTCCCTTTTATCTCCTCATACCTTCTGTTATGATTGCCCTATTGCAGGGCGAAACGTTTTATTTTGTAACTATGAATCCGTTCAAGTCCTCGGGGTTTTCACATCAAACGGCCGATTTCGGCGCCCAATTTACCGATACTTAGCGTTGTGGTATAAGATATCGCCAATTAAATGCTACTAAGACATCTGAAGAACCGTGCGAGGCGACCTGGTAGCTAGATAACTGAACCACACTTCTTGGCAAAATCCTAGAGAATATCATTGATATTCGCGAATCGACACGTCCTGTATGCTCATTCCGGAACTTTGTGAAAAGCTCCACACACTCAACTAGTTAGCATAGTCGTGTCTTCAATATTACGATGATCCCTTTTAATTCTACATTGTTTATCGGTGTTATTGGCAATGATCCATTCCAGTTTCAATCATTCTCCGTTTCATGTAGTTACGTTACAAACAAACGCCGTTTCCATTGTACATTGCTACCCGCTAAGACGAGACGTACCCGTAAAAAAGTCATCAAACCTTTCCTTTATCCCGCGCCATGCTCAAATATTCCCATCTGGTAGTGACCGCCTCGTCACCATGTTTCTTCAGCACGCGCTCGACGCCGTATTTATCTCCTCCCTCGAGACACTGGTCGTCCTCGGGTGTCCAGAACCCGGGCATGTCGGTGGGGATATCCTGTCCGGCAGCGATGAGTTTGAGGACCTTGTCCGCGATTATGGGGTTCATGCTCGTGCGACGCAGGGTATCGATCACTTCGGATTCATCGACGCCGCGTCTTACAATTCGTGAATCGATCCATGAGTTGAGATCGTGGACATCAGCCCACTCTTCCTCTTCTACATCTTCGTCTTCGTCTTCGGTTTCCTCGTCGTCCTCTTCTGGCTCTGGAGGGGATGGGAAGAAAGGAAGTTCTAGCAGGAAGGCTGCTGATATCGCTGGATCATTTAATGGGGGCTTGCTCTGGGTTGTAGCGGCCTCGACGGCATGCGATGACTGGGTAGGGTGAGTAGGAGCGGGTTGAGAGGGACGTGGATGGTAATTTCGCGGCGAGGGTATTACCAGACTCGGCGATCGTGGCCTGGTTTCACGGATCTCATGTGGAGACTCGTGCGTTGTTGACGTGGCAGTTATTGCAGCAGCCCCCGCAGATATTCGCTTTGGAGATGGTGCATGGCCAGCGTCAGAATCGCGTTTCCTTTTGGGATATCTTGAGGAAGCCCCTTCTGGCTGCGGCTCCTCTGCCCTGGCAGCCGGTTCTCGTCGAGACTGAACGGCTGGATGTAGCTCTTCAATTGGCCTGGGTTCACCACCGCCTGGACGAGGGCTGCCCCGAATTTTCTTGACATAGCGAGTACGCCAGGACTGCCAAGGATGCTGGGGATACTGCACGGGAATGACAGTTAAAAAGGTGGTCCTTCTATAGTACACACTCACACATACATATCTCTCAAGCTCTTGATATACGCTGTTGCCGCCTCCCTCCGTACCCGTAATCTTTCTGTACGCTGCAACCCAGTCGAAGAGGAGTTGGTCATCTTTGAGAGTGAAGCCTGTCCTGGTGGCTTTACGGGCGATATAAGAGGCACCCATTGGACGCGGCGCTGATGGCCCAACCCGGTAGGGTTCAAAAGGCTCAAGCTGGCCTTTCTTGAGGCTATCCTCTACCCACTTGTAAGAGTAGCTGGTTTCGGTAGTTTAGTAAGAGTGAATCTATCATGACGTGACTAGACTGGCCTTACGTGTCAAGAAACACATCATGGCCCCTTTTATCGGGGTTCACCAATCTGATGTCGGCATCTTTGGGATTTAACACTACAACGCCGCCGTTATTCTATGTCAGAGTCAGCTTTGACGGTGGAAACTTGAAGGAGGGAAAACCATACTTTTATCAACTCCTTCAATGTGGCTCTTCCGGTAACATACGAAGACACCCAGAAAAGCGTTCTGTTGAACAAGTTGGACAATGGCGCGGCCATGTTGAGTCTCCGGCTCAGTTGCGATACACTGCGACGCGTCACATGTCCCCGTATCGCAGGGGCATGCTCTCTGGACAGACGTGGTCAGTCAAACGGGCTGATCTGTCTAGAGATCTCTGGCCGGTTGATGTTCAAGAAGTGACGTTGAGGTATGAATGGATGAATGAAAGCAGGTCTATCTTGGTTGGGCCCAGGGACCGTGACGCCTGGTCACATGACCGCGTGGTGCCTGACAGCCGCATCAACACCAAGTCTTGTTTTCTTTCGATGCACGTTACTGGGATAGTTCATTCCCCGTCAGAATGGGAACTCTTCGGACTGTGGCCCTGACTATCCTGGGGATCTCGGCGTTTGTCTTCATTGCCCTCTTCGGCAGGCTGCCGCTATTCCGGTGAGACGCCCCCGAGTTGTGGTGAAAGCAAAACTAACCTTCGTCCCAGCAAAACTCCCGTGGCTTTTCTACACCGAGCCCTGTGGATATATATCCCTAATGGAATTATCTTCATCGACTCTCGCCTGCTCGGAGGACGAGTGGTGTGGCTTTGGAAACGATCCGGCAGTTACGTCCTGAGCGAAAATCATCCATTAGTCTTGGTGAGTGGTAACACCCATCAGAAAGCGACCATACTAACTCCGTTTGAGATTTTCTTTTTGTCCCTGCTCTTAATTGGTGAGTATATCTTCCTGCCACCGGCCTGGCCCCGGATATCAAGCTCTCACAAGCCCTGGGTGCTCGCCGTGGTCACTGCACCGTATTTCCTCATCTACAAGTGTGTGGTGACCAAGGCCTTCATCACCTCGCAAAACCACGAAGAAGAGATGAAGCGGTATCCCTACGACCGGGTCCTCTTCCACCCAGGGAATCACTGCAGCACCTGCCACTTCCTCAAACCGGCCCGTAGCAAACACTGCAGCATCTGCAGGGCCTGCGTGTCAAGACATGACCACCACTGCGTGTGGCTGATGAACTGCGTCGGGGCTCAAAACTACCCCTACTTCCTCTTGCTGCTGCTGTCCCTTTCCGTACTTTTGATCTACGGCTCCGTCCTGGGCTATTCGCTGCTCTGCCAGACTCTGGAGCAGTACGTGTTGCCCGATGTGCACGAAGAAATGCGGGAGAGCTGGATAATCTATCTTAATGTCTGGACTTCGGTTATTACCCTCGATCCCAAGATCGGGGCGGTGTTTTTGTTGATGCTCATGACGGCCCCGTTGGCCGTCGCGTTTCTTGTCTACCATACCTACCTCATCTGGGCGGGCATGACGACCAACGAGAGCGCCAAGTGGTCGGACTGGAAGGAAGATGTTCTCGATGGGTTCGTCTACAAGGCCAACCGGGATGAGGTTTTTGGGCTATCCTCGCCGTCAAACTGGCCGGTCCACAGCGATCAGGTTCTGGTCACTGACAACGAACCTCCACGAGGCGAATACGTGTTGGCAACTACCTCCAATCGGATCGCCCATCAGGGTCGGCCTGACGCACCGGTGGATGTGCGGTGGAGGCGACTGCGTAGTATGCGGGATGTGGACAATATTTATGACATGGGATTTTGGCTTAATTTGCGAGATGCCATGGGATTTTCGGTACAATAATGACAATAACGAATTTATTGACGTTATGCATCTTTTTCATAGTCCGGAGTGTAACTATACGTACATAGTTGATCCCAGCGAATAGCGGGACCAAATTCTGCGGGCGGAAATTTTCCCGACCTCCAACTTTCTTCCTCACCCACACCCTTTCGTTCCTGTCACGTCCAACCTTCCAGGCAGAATGGCGGAGCTCAAACCCCGTTGCACTCCGGCGGAGCTAATGCTCAAGGTCATCCTGGCTGGCACTTTGAGCCATTACGAGACTCGAGGCATGATCGACGACAAGCGTCTGGAGCACATGCTGGCCGCCGGAAAGCAGATCTTGTACAAGACACACCAGGAGAGCGATGTTCGGTAGGTACCTTGTCGTTCTTGTGATTGTCAGTGCTAATAGTCTTGCTAGGCACAATCTCGGCATGTCGCCAGACATCTGGAAAGGCCTCACGGACGTCCTCACCAACGCGATCCCCGTCCTCGAGTCACAGTCATTTGCGTGGAAAAACCCTGCCTCGGCAAACTACGACCACTCCTCCTCCAACCTCATCGCATTCCATTATTTCTCGCTCGTCAAGGACATCGAGCGTCTAAATGACCTATGCACCATCGCGCGCAACCTTCTGGCAACAACAAAGAAAGCACAGAATCTTGCCGCGGAGAAAGGGTTCGACCAGAGGATTCTCGCCCTGATTGACACCTGCGTGCGCGTAACGGCTCGTGGCTTCGATGGAGAAACAAATGCACGAAATGAGGAACGGTGGCAGAAAGTGGTCAACCTGTACAAGCGGCTGTTGATTACCTGCCTCCAATACCTGCACAACTTCGTCATGCATAACGAACAACGGAAGATGGTGCTCTGGCTGGATCTTTTTGGCTATCATTCCACTGGTGACTCGAACATCATTCAGCCCAAGGAGCCGTTGGACCAGACCGGTGTTCGCGCGGAGGGAGTGGCACCCATAGTAAAGACTGGAGAACGCGTGGTGAACCCTCCCATTCGGGCATTATATGACCAGACCGCCGAGGACTTGTTACTGGAGACTATTTCGAACTTCCCTCGGGAGCCAGCCACGATCAAGGAAGAAGCGGCGATGCTGCTTCTCGCCAACATTAAGGATCACATGGAAAATCTACTAGGCCGAGACTTGACTGCCATCCAGGAAATGGGCAAGGATCCGATACAAGTGAAGGAGATCCGCGCTGCGTTGACAGCTATCCTGGGCGCCAAGGTCGATGGATGGTCCGATCTTCAAGACCGCGCTCGCGATCTCCCGCCTGCGCTTCCTGAAGATGAACCACCGCGTAAGCGACCGATTCTGACGATCGACCGCAGTTACACCGCTGGGTACCCGCGCATCTGCTGGGCTGATATGCCAGACCTCAATGAGTTTGGTGCTCTTGCTGCTGTGGATGCACCGGTCACGGAAGAAGACACCAGCATGCCACGGTCAGCGCAGTCTGCGGCTGAGACGCTTCAAGAAGCCAAGGATGAACTTATGGCACGGCTGCAGGAGTCGTCCCAGCTTGGCGGTGATCCGGATGGAGACTATGACCACGACCACGACCATGATCATGACCACGATCATGATCACGATCACGACCACGATCACGACCACGACCACGAACATGACCATGACCACGATCATGACCACCACGACCACCACGACCACGATCACGACCACGGCGATGTACGGACAGTGGGCGATGATGACTCGCGTAGCTTGGAAGCTGTCGCCGACGGAAGTATCGAGGAGGACGAGGAAGAAGACGATGAGGACGACGACGACTACCGGGGTCGACCAGGCGATCAACAGCGTGGCCTTCTGACCGATATTCCTCTTGTTTTGGGCCCAGCGGAGATCGAAGCTCTGCCTATGATTGTCCAGGCCGGCATCGTCGACAGCTTTGGGTTGAAGGGAGGCGAACGCAATGGTTCTCGGAACATGCAGGCCATGCGGTGTCATGTTTTGCTCACCCAGGAGACGGGCCGAAACCTGCTGCGCGAGCTTCTGATCTTCATTGCGGCCTGGGATCTCCCTGACGACGAGCTCTACTTCAAGATGATGGTCCAGATCATGGAAGCCGTGCTCAAGAATGGACTCATGTCTCACGCATACTCGGACTTTGGCCAGCCCAAGGACATCATTTCTCCTGCGCAGGCGGTGGTCATCAAAATCCTCACCCACATCTTCCGCTCCAAGTACTCCCCATCTCCAGTCACCGGCTCCTCGCAAAAGCGCGTTCCCTCGCCGCTGTCGCGCGTCGACATCTTGACCGTGCGATACATCTTCACCATCTTCCGCGGTAACATCATCCCCGAAACCTGCGCCCTGATCTACCTGCAAGGCCAGATCCGCGACGGTATGGCCCTGCCCGAGGACTTTCCCCTGAATCTGTGGGACATGGAACGGGTGTACGAAGGCGTCTACCAATTCCTGGAGTTCTTCGCCGTGCTCACAGAGAACAACGACTGGAAGAACCTGCTCGTGAAATGGGAGATTGTCTACGACCTGGTAACTCTCATCAAGGAGCTGGAAGCCAGCATCCCCAAGGGCCAGCTCAACTCTCTATCCTTTGGCTCTGTCCCGCCGCCTCCCCCACCCCCACGCAGCACCTCGCCCAGCACCGCCGAGTCTGCCCTTCCCGCCGCCCCCGTGGCCGTCGAGCGGCCCTACGACCCCAGCGACCCAGATCCCATTGACACCTGCGCCGCCAGCGTGGACTCTCGCCCGGACTCCCCACCCATCTCAGAAGACCCGTCTGAATTCGAATGGCGCAACCTCAAGAAACTCGTCGTCCTCGTTCTCTCGTCACTCGTCTGGAAATGTCCCGAGGTGCAGGAGCAGATTCGTCGACATGGCGGCGTCGAGGCTATCCTCTGCTGCACGGCCTTCGATGCGCATAACCCCTACATCAAGGAGCACGCCGTTATGTGTCTGAAGTTCTTGCTGGAGGGGAACCGCGAGAACCAGCGCCTGATTGAGGAGTTGGAGGCGCGCGAGGTCGTTAAGGACGAGGGAGGTGTTTTGGAACGCAGTGGCGTTCAGGCTATGATTGACCAGGCTGGTAAGCTGGCTATTCGGCCCAAGGATGGTGGCCTGTTGATCCACGAGTAGATTAGATGGTCTGTCTGGGCTGAAACCCAGACCACATTATAGCTATGACGATATGAAGTAGCATGTATATGGAATGAATCCTTGCTCTTATTTCCGTTTATTTCCATGATCAACTGCCTCATGAAGATACAGCTTTCTCTTCCAATGTTCTTTGCTAATGAAGCCAATGGTATCTGGTGTATATTGACAGAAATCACCCGTACATGCCATCCCACTCCTCTTCCTCATCCTCCTCAACGATCTTCTTCCGCTCCTCCGCCTTTTCCCGTAATTGCTTCGCAAAATCCACCCGATCCAGCGGACATGTCCCGCGCAGCCGCAGCCAGGGCCGCACGCATTCCAGATCGAACAGGTGCGTCGGGTGGCAGGGGAGCTGGACGACGAGCGGGTATTCGTCTTCCAGGAAGGGGTTGTTGCAGATTGGGCAGGTTTGGGTGGCTGTTAGGGATGATTTGGGGACGCGGTCGAGCACTGCAATGAATGAATTAACAAGGGAAGGAAGGAAACAGGAAAGAAGCTATATCATACTGTCGCAAAACTCCTCACTAACACCCTCCACCTCCCGCGGCGGCGTATCCGCCTCCTGTAGCAGCGTTTGGATCATCTGCGTCAATAGATCGCGATCTACGCCGGCGCCGGTCTCTTGTCCCTCCGTCGCAGCAGTGGGAATTGCGGGGTCTGCACCACCGCCAACATCTGCGTCGCGGCGCATGACCTCCAGCGCCTCGGCGAGGCTGTAGAACGCGGCGCTCACATCGCCGGGTACGGGCACGGCATGCGGACGGTGGTCTGGGCCGGGGGTGATTTCGGAGAGGGTTGCGAAAAAGGTGGAGAGGTCGGGGCGGCGGCGGCGAGGGGCTTGGGTCGTTGTTGAGGGGTCGGTTGTGTTGTGCTCGACTGGATTGGGTTGGGATGTTAGTTGTGTTTTCTTTTCCCTCTGGTGGATTGGAAGGGGGGAGGGTTTCTTGGAGGGAGTAGAGGTGCTGGGGGCCGGCGTACTTTCGTAGGTGGACATCTTGGCGGTGGTTCTCTGGTAGGAAGAACCAAGGGGAAGACAAGGAGTGATGAGCCCGGGATGGGCTGGGTTGGGGAGAGATGTGACACAGGATTGTTTGCGGAATTGGAGTGGAAGGAAGTGGAGGGAGAGAGAGAGAGAGAGAGCTTGAGGCAGCAGACTGATAACGCAAGCCCACGCAATTATCGTTTACCGAGTGGGGCGGATCGACAACCAACTACAGCAAGGTATAAATACAGGCAAGTATACCTTGTTGTTGGTAGCCACCTCCCACCTACAACCTCCTACCTACAACCACCACCACATCTGCTGCCACGATGGTCACACACATCAGCCTTCTGCCTCGAAAATGGCCCTGAGGGAATACATAACCTTGCGAGTGCTTCGGCCAGAGGTGAAGGGTATCAAAGAATTCCCAGTTGATGAATCGTTAAGAAAGCTGGCAAGACCCTGAAAAGCTACAATGCGTTCAGCCTGTGTCGCATGTCGGAACGCAGAAACACCCCAGCGATCATCGGGACCGGACCTGGGCGTCTTCCCCATCTCCATGTTCTTGAGAACCTTCCACTCCTTTCACCCACAACCTCCCACCTGCACCCTCTTACCTATAACTTCCCACCTATAATCATAACCGCAACCACTACCAGATCTACGGCCACGATGAGCACACACAGCCGCCTCCTGATACGATGAAAGGCCCATATCTGAAGAGACGTCTCAAGTAGATCTGACGATGACTTGGGAATCCTCATGATGAGAACGGGATCTTGATGATAATAAACTGGAAAGGTCTGGGATACAAAACAAGACGGCCCAATGTATAGTGCTTATTATGATGTTTTTGATAGTTGAAACTATTCCCACGAAAGGCTCTGAGCATCCCCAGGTAGCTTCCGTCACCTCGGGCACCATCCTCATCGCCCTCAGCACCATCACCTCTTCCCTCCTCGTCACTAGTGTGTTGTCCGTGCCGTCGCAAAACCCTGTCACCTATGAATGCGTGTGTGAGTTGGGACCATCCTGGATCCCCGTTGCGATACGAATGCTGGCCTGGATGGCCTCATTGCTCACGTGCTATGTCCAACTCCGGCACACCTTCCCAACTGACAAGATGGCCTTGAGCTCGCCAAGATGAAGAAAAATGAAGCCGAGGAGGAGGCCAAAAAGGGAAAGGAACCCGCCACCGAGGAGGAAAGCAGCTTGATAATAGGCGACACGCATACGTGGACCAAACACCTGAAAATTGAAACGAAGGTGATTCGGGTGAACAACAAAGTCGATGGCGTACATTTACGTCTTCATAAGATGGAAAGCAAACAGGAATCGTGGCAGTCCGATCCAGAGAAGAACAGAGAGAAGCTGAGGCAGCAGACTGATAACGCCGGTCCGGGTGTGGCGGATCTACAACCAACTGCAACAAAGTACTACCACTGCATCGGATTCGGACAGTGTGCCCTCATTTTGAAAGACCAGGAAGAGAATACGTGGTCAAACTCGAAGTTCAGAATAGATGCTTAATATGAATCGTCTTGCTTGGCTCCAACGCCATGCCAAAGCCGCTGGCAACAACACAACATAATAGATAAATCAAGTCGAATCCCTCGTACCTTCATTCCACCACAGGATTTCCCTCCTGTTCATCAGTAATACCGGAGCGCAAGAAAGCATCATTGAAAATCTGCGATAGACGAATTTGCAGTATGATCGAGATAGCCTCCAAAAAGTCCATCCAATATGCAGGGGCACATTCAATGAGATGTTCCGGAACTCGAGGGTACAAATCGCGAACCACAATCCAAAACTTCTGAAGCGAAGCTCTGATCTCCTCAACCTGGCTCTCGATTCCCAGTCCGGGCTGCTGCTGAAGGGTATCAGGCCATGATGATATCTGAGCGATAGCCATGCGGACCCAGCTGTTGACGGCAAGAAGAAGATCGTAATCCAGTCCATTGATCGTGGTTGGTGCTGTGACCAGGCGATGTCTGTTGCACTCCTCTCGAATTTCAGCGAGGTTTTGTTTCAGCTCGCCTAGAGTGTTGATCATCTCCTGGTGTTCTTCCAGGCTGGCAACGAGGTTGTCGATTTTCATCGGGGTGTCATCGTGGATCTCCAAGGCCGCGTATCGGGCTGCCAGTTCTTTCAAGACATCATCCATGTTTGTTGGTTGTGGGAATTCAAGTGGCTGGTTGGTGCAGAGGTCGAAGACTGTGAGGTTCAGGTGTAGAAGCAAGTTAAGACAGCCATCTCCTCACAAAACCACGTCTATGCTCGTTAATTGCTCGGGGATTGCAGTGGCTGACTAGTTTAGAGGTCGAGGACTCAAGCTCTGAGAGTCGAAACAAGTCAAATATCATCATCAGCGTCATCAGCGTCACCATCATAGTGAACATCATGCTGGATATCAAACACAACATCGTGGGCAACACCGGATCGCGAGCAAGAAAATCATGATCAACTTCAGGCAGCGTCACCGCCAACATCGCAACGAAGGCCACAATGAGCATCGTGGCCAATGTCGCAGCCAATAACACACGGCAGGCAAAGTTATCTTGGCCAGCATCAACCAGCATCTGAGTCAGGATCGCAGCATAGATCACAGTCAACGTCACAGTCGTAGTCACAGAGCATATTGCAGGCAATATCGCACGGCGGCCAAAATCGTAATAGCTAACGTCGGCCGCCATCGCAGTCACCATCACCGTCAACATCACGGCAAAGATCACACCCAACATCATACCCAATATCGTATGGCTGACATAATGGGCAACATCACACAGCGAAGAAAAGATTCTCCACCTGGAGATCCTGTCTGTCATCGACGTAGAGAAGCCCTGCTTATACGTCAAGTACCAAACGCCTCGCTTCGGTTGACGCATGAGCTTTTTGTATCGGCGATCTTTCAGATAGGAAAGATTGCAGGACCGTAGATCATGCAAGGATCGAGGCGAGTCATTCTCAAAACAGGCTCGAGCACTAGTTACCAGATCATTTGGGCCTAGTGTTACCGGTTGATTGTTTAATGACTCCTCGCAATGGACTCTCCATCGGGGGTCGTCTGGAGTTAAACCAGGGCCTAGGTTAATCCACCTTGTAATAATCAGAGCTAGACCCGAGCCGAATTCACAGATTTCAAGTTGGTAATCTGTGCCGCATCGGTGACAAGTATAACTGGAAGAAGGGGCATTCTCTCCACCACCATAGACCTCCAGAATAGAAGCAACCAAACGAGCAAGATCTTGGTGCGATACATGTCTGCAAATACGGAAAACTAGTGGGTAACCACCCGATTTTCCAACTTCTGGACAAAAGAATTGTAGATCTAACGGTTGCCTGCTAACGAGCATGATGTCTTGCATCCTTAGAAATAGACCTAGCGGCTTGGAACAGATCTTTGCTTCAATCGAAAAGAGGAAGGGTATTTCATGGTCGACTGATCCTTCTCGGTGGTGGTAGTGCCGGACTTGGGTGTAGAATAAGGATTCGGTGCTTATTCCAAACTGGGGACCGTAATGGAACCTTTTCATAGCAAGCTGAAGGTGAAGAAAGTAAAGTTCGTAGTGGGCATGAAACCATATTGGACGGTTTCTTCCCACAATCAACCAGCGCAGCTCCGGCGCGTCTTTTCGTAAACAACGAAGGCCACTGACTTGCTCCCATACTGAACCAGCGAGGCGGAAGCCCTCTGAGACATCGTACCGATGAAGAAGATGGCAAACATAGCAAATGAAGTAGTGCGGTAGATCTCGTTCCAGGCGCTGTAATAGTGGAAGTTTATCCCTTCCTGTTGATGGTGGTCGACGTGTCTTTTGACTGTGAAGGACCGCGAAGAGTAAATGATTGCAGAGTGAAAAGCAAATCAGATCGTCTAGAGAGAGGAATTTGGATATTGATAATAATAGTTCGGCAGGGAGAGCGGCTAGCGTATTCGGCTCGGTGGGCTCAGGGCGTGGAGTGCAACACCTTCCCCATAAGGGAGAGACCAAAGAGGTGCAACGAACGTAGAGAGCCCACATGGTGTCGCGGCCTCACGGGCAACCGAGAAGAAGAATCTCACCCCACCACGCCGCAAGGAGGAACAGCATCCACTGACTCTTGCTAGGCAAGTATTCCAAACGCAAGGTGGTGTTCAGGACCAGGTTACCCCCGGAGCCGAATGCACTCAAGGAAACAAACAATTCCAACACAATCCACGAGGGCGAGGCCCCGCAATAACGGTGAAGATGGACGAGATGAAGAGGGACACATTGAAGGCAAAGCGCCACCCAATGATGTCGGCGGAAAATCCCCAGAAGATGGCACCGACGAGCATGCCAGTATATACCGCAACGGTCAGATCTGTCGGTTAGGGATTTCTTCCCTTGAATTCCTTCCAGGCTTTGGGTATGAAGTTGAGGGGGAAGCGTTGACCTGGAAAAGACAGAAGGCGAGGTGATAGTTTAGATGTTCGACAGCTGGGTTCGGAAACGGATCGGACTGACTGTGAATTGCCAGGAGCGGAATCGATAAAACTTTTCAGAGAATTGTGAGATGATAATTTTGAATTCGTAAGAGGATGACGACAGATGATAAAACTAAGTATTCTGCTCAATCCACACTCACTCTGTAAAAATGGGGATGTGGTGGGTAAGATGACTAACCCACCATAGCTGTCTGAACACCTCTTTTAAGAGTGCATCACAGGTACGTAGGGTTAGAAGATGGCGTGCCACAAGTCTCACTCACCTCATCTGATAGCAAACCAAAATAGGGTATATACATTCTTTTCGGCCTCTGTCTTTCCCCTTCTGCTGATACACCAGCCTAGACCCGTCTGACTTGGGGGTCCATTGCACCAACCACTTCATTTCAACTGAAAAAGAATCAGCCCTAGATTTGCAGGCCTAATCCTTTTCATGTGCAATATTTATTTGCTACTTCATTACATTCAGGGCTTTTACCATCTTTTTCTGCTTCTAATTTTCTGCTTACAGCATCAAATATTCTGTTCGCTTCTTTCTTTACTATCTAGATAGTGAAGTATCAAAATACTCGAATGTGGATATTGCTCGGGCCCCCACTTATATCTACTCTTATGGTCACTGCTGTAATTTTATTGCAGATTGTGATAAATCTTTCGACCATTTTGCAAGCTCTAACCAACATACATCTCGTCCAAAATGTGTGCAAACTATACCACTAGTTCAAAAGTGCCAAAGGCAGGAATTCAGCTCCGAACCGTATTTTGCACGGTTGACAGTACGCGGCACACCACTTCCAACCTGTACCACAACGTCTCAGGCATTGGGATTGAGACGCACGAAGACGTAAATAGTCTCAAGAAACCTGGTCAACCAAAGGACGGCTGCGGATTGCCTCTAGTAAGCACCTCTAAAATAAAAACCTGAGAAAAGTGCTCCGGTAAAAGACTGGCAAGGTCTTGCGAGTGCGAGCTCGTTGAATACCAAGTTGACATGGTGAAGCCGGTTATTCAAGGTTATCCCTTATTACTCCAACCGTTTACTAGGTTGAATTTGGCGTTTGCATATTAGAATAGGGCATTTATATCCCGTCTGGCTTTATTGGGGCGGTCTTAAGAACTGACTCCATGGTCCTGCGATAATATATTGATGTTGCCCCCGATGATGAATGTGCCGCAGGTTTGGTCCTCTTTCTTGTCGGGGTCAACGCTTCTTGGTGTTTCTTTCTAGCCCACACTTACCAATACACATCAACACTCACATATACTCTGTTTCACTCTCTCGCTCCCCCCCACGCACACTTTCTCTCTCTCTTACTCTCACACACACCCAGTAGCCGCCACCACCACGATGGTCCCTCCTCCTCTTGCTGTCCTGCTCGCGTTTCTCTTTGTAAGTGAAATTTACACCAAAACAAGCATCTTACAGACTAGGAGCTCGAAAATCAGATGAAAGGTCCATATATCTGAAGAGGTGTCTCAAGTCGATATGACGATAACTTGGGACCCTCATGATGAGAACCGAACCTTGATGATAATAAACTGGAAAGGCTTTAGGATGCGAAACAAGATGACCAAATGTACAGTGCTTATTATGATGTTTTTGATAGTTGAAAATTTGACCACAAAAGGCCTTGAGCGTCCCCCAGGGAGCCACCCTCGCGTCCATCACCACCACCCTCGCCGCGGTCAATACGATGACCGTCTCCCTCCCCACCACTGCGTTGTTACCAATGCCGTCCACAGAGCCCGTAGTCTGCAAGTGTGGCAGCAAGGAGGGACAAAACTGGTACCCATTCGCGACGGCTCTCCTGGGAGCTGTCGCCGGGCTCCTGGGCGTTGTCGCCGCGGGCATCTCGTGCTTTGTCGCCGCCCGGTATACATATCCGGCTGCCAAGATCTCCCTCAAGCTTGCCGAGGACCAGAAGAAGGAAGGCGACAAGGGAAAAGAACCCGCCACCGGGGGCGGCGACACATGATGGGGTTTGCTACTATTTTACTACAACGGGAACACGGATTTCTGGGATTTGCTTTCTTCAACTTCCCCTTTTAGCAGGGAATGGATGAGGTCATGAACTATGTACATAACGGATAGTACCCTAAAATGATGCCTTAGCGAGCATCATTCCATGACATAGACGCTGAAAATGCGATTTTCTATGAGTCAACACTGCTCAATTTCTTTTTCATTTACAAATAGACGCTACGGTGAAGTAAATGGCATGACAGGATATAATTATCATAGCTGCATCGAATGCCCAATGGCGGGAAGAAATGATGGTTATTTCGTCAAAAGTCCAAATAGGAGACCAAAGATCCTGACCAGTCTTTACATGATGACCTCTTTGGCGACATCCTAGATCAATGTTGTTAGCACAGCTGGCGGTTCAGAGTAAATAAACATAACCGCTTCAACTCCTTGTATGGTAGAGGCACACGGTTCTGCACCCGAACCCCATCACCGACGCTGCACTCCTTCATACGTGAGGTTACCAAATTCGGCCCTCTAATTACTAGCCTGATTTAGCTTACGTAAATAGGTTGAGTATTCAAGCTGTTTGCCATATAGTCCTTTACAAGAGAAGAAGAGATTTATTTCACTCGGGATTTTGGACTTCCATGTTGGGATGTCGTGCATGCTGGATTTGACAGGACATTTAGGTTCAACCGTTATAGCCAATAATCGTTTACTGTGTGGGGCGGATCGACAACCAACTACAACATAAACATACTAGGTAGATATATTCTTCTCGAACTTATTGAGGCGGCTATAAGAGCTGGTCCCATGACTCAGAGAAAGTACATCTGCTCCAGTATGTCTATTACCTTGTTTGTTGTTGTTTCCATTGTTGAGATGGGAAAATGACGGTATAGACTAAGAATACTGTCCCAATTCTGAGCAAAATATAACCCTAACCACCATAACCCCAACGAGCCCAACTACACTCGCACCTTCCCCAACAACAATCTTCTGTACCTTCCACCCACATCCTCCTACCTCTCACCAACAACTTCCCACCTGCCACCATCACCACCCCATCTGCTACCACGATGGGCACAGGCAGCCGCCTCCTGCTACTCCTCCTGCTACTCGTTCTCGTCTCCCTCTTCTTCTGCATAAGTGAAATCCACACCAAAACACAATCATCCCACAGGACAGTAGCTCGAGAATCAGATGATGACGAACTGGAAAGGCCTGGGATGCGAAACAAGATGAAAATTGTGATGTGTTTTTTAGTTGAGAATATGGCCGCAGAATGCCCTCAGCATCACCCAGGTGACTTGCGCCGCCTTCTTCCCCATCGCCTTCGCTACCATCACCTCCTACCTCCCCGTCACCAGTGATTTGCGAGTATGTTTGCAAGTCGGGATTGGCCTGCATGCCGTATCTGACAGGGGGGGACTGGCCTGCCTGGCTTCGCTGCTCGCTTGCCTTACCCAACGCTACGCCTACCCCGCCATCAAGATCGAGCTTGATCTTGCCAAGATCAAGCAGAAGGAGACCGAGGAGGAAGCCCAGAAGATGGGGAAGCAGCCCGTCAGTGAGGGCGATAGCAGCGATTCTCTCGAGATGACAACTTAGATGGTGGAAAGTGCCGACTATCTCGCAAAGGAAATGAAGTCTATGTCCACGAGGATGAAGAAGACTTCTAATGCATGATGATCGGTGACACATGACCTCCCACCCCACAACATCAAAAAGGAATAGATTGGTTCTTCTAGGATGCCAGAGAGACCGCATGTTAAAGATAGTTAGACCAGATAGTTCCATAGACCCAGCACTTTTACTTTGCCTAATCAGCCATACTATGATCGCAGTACTCTACCTAAAAGTTCTAACAGCGTTTAGCTCTCCACGTATAATATGGCAACCCGAGCACTAGTAATTCTAAGGCAAGTGCCAAAAATTCGATCTCTTCAATCTGGACAGGAAAGGTCTAGGCGGGTGTATCGAACAAAGGTGAGTGAGCAACAGGGGCCCAAAAAAAGAATAAATATCCCCTATCCTGATATAACGCCGAATGCAACCTTCTGAACGCTTCTAGGAATGAAAAAAAGGAATCACTGAATGACCGACTTCCGCCGGGGCGACTTGGTAGTCAACAGTTGCCTCATGCGCCGAATCTTCGCCCACCATTCACGGTCCGCAGTCTTCTTTGCCTCGTCATTTTCATCATCTCCTCCAAAATCTGCCGATGCGGAACTCGCATCCGTCTGAACTGTGTCCATGGATGTCGTTGAGCGGAGGTGCCGGCGATGCTTGACCCGCACAGCCTGCGCCACGAGCTCCCAGCCACTCCGTAAATCCTCCATCTTCTGGTTTGGCTTGCCTGTGCCGCTTTGGGAGAGCCGGTCAATCCATGGGCAGTACTCCATGTGCTCCAATGCCACGTCCAAGGAAGCGTAGACGGTTACATCGCCGTTGGCCTTGGGCTTGTACATCCAGAGACCAAGACGGCGGAAGCACGCTCCACAGCCGACAAGACCCGCGGCTCCATCAGATACCGCGTCCCAGCCGAAAAAGGCTAGGGTCAATGCTGCGCGATTGAGAGGAGTCTCCATCGAAGGCTGAGCTTCTGCGCTGTCTTGGTTATTACCGTTGCCTGCTTCGCCATCCTCTGCTGGTTTGTCGGATGTTTTCGACCAATCCTCGGGCAGGATCTTCAAAAGCTCGTCAAGTTTAAAGCTCTCTGGTGATTGAATAACATCATCGGCCGGCAGCTTATCGCCCATCTGCAGCATGTTCAAGTAGCGTTTTCGAAGCCCCGCAAGGGCAGTGTCGGCGTTGGTCAACGGCAGATGCTGAATAGTATCTAGGAAAAGGTTAGAGAAGGAAATCCATCGGGTATCGTGGCCGGACGTACCATCACAACCCCTGTTCCGCCACGGGCAGTTCTCGCCATGGCCGTCATGTAGTAATTTCGCGAATTCTTCGACCAGTTTTGCACCTGGAAACACGTCGTTTAGCATTCCGTATTCCTTCTTTTGCACCATCGTAAGCCACTTACGGACTTCTTTCCGCTCCTGCACCTTCTCCGCGTCATACCCATCCAGCTCATCAATCTCATCCGGCAGCTTAACCACCACAGAGCCACCGCACCCACTAATGCAAGACACGCGCATCGTATCCGTACAGATCCAACCACACTTCGCCCATTGTACCTCATTGATCGGGGTCGGTTTCGAGGTCCACCGGTCCACTCGCCGGAAGGTCTCCAGGCGCTCCAGGAACCGCTCGCGATCCCAAGGCACGAAGCTGGGGCGCTTGTTCGACGACGCGGATGCGAGCTGGTGTGCAGGCCGGGAGATCTTTTGGATGGAGTTGCGCACTGCAGCCAGATCCGATTGGTCGCCGCTACTTAGGCGGACTTTCTTGATCGATAGGTTCGTGGGGAGGCGATCTTGCGCCGTCGCGGACGTTGTGGCGGAAGCTGCTGATTTGGAGACATTGTCGGTGATGGGCTTGGATATGGATTCCAGCATGCGGTGGAACTTGCGCTTCTTGGATTCCACGGCGTAAGACATGTTGGGCGCGCGGAGGGTTTGGCGAGGTTGAAAGGTAGGTCAGGTTGCGGCGAAGAGTAAGAGCTGTCGGTGCCTCAGGCAGACACCCAGGTCTGCTTAAAATCGGCTTGTTGAAAGTCAGAAAGCTGACAGTAAATAGTCAACTAGTTAAAATTGTTATTTACTAACTAATCAATTCATTAATCCATAGCTGCGTTTGTTAAATACCTATTGTCAGTTCTTGGACTACAACTTGCTGGAATAAGGAGTGTCGTGATTGGCCCACTCTCCATCCGCAACATTTCCTTCCCTCGTCGCGTTTTCTTCTTCCTTTCCGCACTCTCGCCCTCGACCGCCATGGCCTCGTTGGCACCAGCTCTACCGCTATGGCGCACTCTTGCACCTCGTCTCTCCAGAGACCTCTTCACCTGCCGCCAATGTCTGCGCAACCAAGGCCTCGCCGCTAAACCTTTGCGCCGATATCACGCCGTGCCTTCCCCCAGACCCGAGTCCGGACTACCATCCTGAACAGCACGAACCGCCAGTTTTTCACATCCAGTCTTAGAAAATCGGCCACTGCATCGACCACTGAAAGCGCTGCTGCAAACGGGGCTAAGGAAGCCAAGTCCAAGTCGAGTTTCCCCAGAGTCAGCGATAAATCTGTCGCGTACTGGCTTCTGGGCAGTGCCGCCAGTGTCTTCGGAATTGTTGTCTTTGGTGGATTGACACGGCTGACTGAATCGGGGTATGTTCTTCCCCTCCACAGTCGTGGAACTGTGAACATTTCATTGACAAGTCAATTCTTACCAGGCTGAGTATCACCGAATGGCGACCCGTGACCGGCTCTATGCCCCCCATGAATGCAGAAGACTGGGAATCCGAGTTTTCGAAATATCGCGCCTCTCCAGAGTTCCAGCTCCTGAACCCACACATGACCCTGTCTGAATTCAAGTCGATCTACTACATGGAATGGATCCACCGACTCTGGGGCCGGTTCGTTGGGCTATCCTTTGTCCTGCCCGCCGTGTACTTTGTCGCGCGGAAGAAGGTGTCCACGCCCATGGCGTGGCGCCTGGCAGGCATCGCGGGTCTCATTGGATTCCAGGGCTTCCTTGGCTGGTGGATGGTCAAGTCTGGTTTGAAGGATGACCTCTTTGCGCCGGGCAGCCACCCGCGAGTGAGCCAGTACCGGCTTACGGCACACCTTGGCGCCGCGTTTACGTGCTACGTCGCAATGTTGTGGAACGGACTTGCTATCCTGCGATCTCACCGGCTTCTGGCGGATGCGACTTCTGGTCTGGGCCAGCTCGACGCGCTGCGTGATCCGCGCCTAAAACTCTTCCGCCGTTCTGTCGCGGGCCTGGCTCTTCTAGTTTTCGTTACTGCCATGTCCGGCGGCCTGGTGGCCGGCCTGGACGCAGGTCTTATCTATAACGAGTTTCCCTATATGGGCAAGGGCCTGACACCACCGAGTTCCGAGCTGTGGGACGCACACTACTCCCGCCACGAGGACCGTTCTGATCTCTGGTGGCGCAACATGCTCGAGAACCCGTCCCTCGTCCAACTAGATCACCGTATTCTCGCCATGACCACTTTCACGGCTATCATGGGTCTCTGGGCGTACACGCGCCGCTCGGCAACGATGAAGCGTCTGCTGCCGCCAGCCGCGAAGAAGGGCGTGCATGGCGTTGTGGCTTTTGCCTTCATGCAGGTCGGTCTCGGCCTCACCACCCTGCTCTATCTTGTCCCGACTCCTCTGGCCTCCGCCCACCAGGCTGGAAGCCTGTTTCTTCTCACCTGGGTCCTTGTTCTCGGTAGCCGCGTCTGGCATCCGTCGCGGACGGCGAAGTTGCTGCAAATGGCAGCTAAGGCTCGCGGGCAGCAGCTATCACACGCGGCTGCTTCCAAGAGGCTGTGACCGAACACATTAGGTATCTCGAAGCCATCCATTCAATCGTGGAATCGTGGATCCGTTTCCATAAGGTGGGTAGCTCATCGTGGAACCTGTCTTGTACCATCTCCATTCATCTTCTGGGCTGTTCGAACTTCCCCTGTATGTACTATTATAAGTATCTTTTTCTCCACTATACATTTAGAATATCAGGACGCGAAAATGATCGCTTTGGCCAGAAACGGCCGCCCATCACTCCGTACCACCACTATTCTGCCAATTAATCACGACTATCCGACTGATATTGTATTCACTATATATTCCTCACAGTTACCCACTCCGGCCTATAACCCATATATGACGCTCAACACAGGTCGATCTATAGAGAAGGCTCTTCATAATAGGCGCAAACACATGGCACATCTCCGTTCGATAGGTAACCCGGCATCGGCCTCTTCCTTCATAACGTTCTTCAGTGATGTGGTCAATTCAGAGGACTTCAAAGTCGTGAAGCCCAAAGACCTATAAAATCCTTCATTCCAGGGAACATCTCGGAAGGTGGTTAGGGTAATAGATAGGCAGCCGTGAGATACCGCCCATTCCCTCGCTGCTCTCATCATCTTCCGGCCAATTCCTTTGCCCTGGTAATCGAATTGAACCGAAATTTCCTTTATATGGAGATCCTGGTCCATCAACTTGCCATTGAGAAACCCAATCGGTATGTCTTCAGGAGTAACGGCGACCCATGCAGCCCCGCGCTCGATTAGCTCCAGGTGTCGCTCCTCCGATTGTACACTGTCATTGGCGATCCATGCAAGATCCGGGAGTTGTAGAAACACTTGGGCCGCTGAGCGCTCCACAGCTAGTAGAAGCGGTGCGTCTTTTGCCTTTGCCAGTCTGACTGTGACAGTATCCATGCTATATTATGTTCATAGACATAATAGGACTTATACAGGGTCACGAAATGCGTTGAAACTGGGTGATTACGCAATAACGGTGAGGCGTTCTAAGCTACTACACGTCGTCAAAAATAACCCTTCAGGCATCAGCGAATATTCAACCAGAGAATTGCAATGATTCGAGTGCCTTGTTCATAGGGCAATGCAATGGACAGAATATATATAGGGTAGAAGCTGTAAACATACTGAGATATTCCAAGGATGTAACGAACGATATGGTTGACGAAAAGTGATCGCGAAGGGACAGGTCGAGTCATTCATGGGGAAGGCGAGGTTTACGTGACGATTTACGAGGTACGGCGGCGCTAAACCGGGAATAGCAAAACTAACGCAGTAAATTCACAGGTGCTCATTTTGCGCTGTACAAAAACGACATGCATCAAATCCAATAAATCACATTATTCTTCTATTGACGAAGTCTCCAAGTACATGTTGTACATTTGATCAATCTGTGCACTCACCCCATTCCACCAACTCACAAAAGAAACACACCCATAAACAATTTCTTCAACCTAATTCGAATCCGTAGTCATCGAAGACGAAAATCTCGCCCGGCGCCCTGGGTTGCGTCGAACTCTCCCCGACTTCGCCCTCTGCTGGCCCTCATCACCACTGTGTGAAGTCCACGACAGCGTCTCCTCGCTATTTATAGACTCCTCCGGCCCCTCGTAGTCGAGATCCATTGGCTCAGGCAGCTCTCCACTGGTTCCGCTACCATCGCCGCCGCCACTTGGGGAGGATACATCTCGGGAGCCAGAGCCAGAACCAGACGGAGTCGTCACGCCCAAGGAAGACAAATCAGATGTGCGTGTCAAATCACTCGGCTCGGAGCCAAGGTTATGATCAGCAGCATTAGCACTACGACCAGCACCAGTAGTGGTAGTAGGTGTGGGAGTAGGTGTATCTCTATGCTGATAAACAACAGAAGACGGAATCTCGGAAGCAGGCGTATGAAGTGTTCCCAGATAGCGATGCGAGCGATCATCGCCCTTCGCATCGAGGCAGGGCCGACAGCACTGCCAGCCACAGGACAGGCAGCGGGTCATACCGTTCTTGTTGCGGCGGTCACACTTGTCACATTTCGCCGTGTGGGCGGCGACGTCGGCGAACTGGACTGCCACGAGTTCTGGGTTGGTTGACTGTAGAGGTGGGTGCCGTTCTGTTCCAGGGAGAAGGGGCCGAAGCGGTCGAGGATGCTGGCGCTGAGTCCGGGTCTGCTGCCGCTGGTTATCGTGCTGGAGAGACGCAGTGGAAGGAGTAGGAGGAGTCACAGTCACAGAGTTGGTAATCTCCCGAGATTGATACTGATAGTTGTACGTCCTCTGCGGTGCTGGGCAGTAGTGACCCTCTGCGCTGTGATGAACCTCCCTTGTCTGGGAATATTGGCTTCGAGCAGATTGAGCAAGAGATGCGTTGAAGCGCGTAACTGCACTGTGCCACATTTCTGTGTTGAGGGAGATGTAGGTGTTAGCATGTTTACTCTCTTCATGATCGATATGCGCTTCAGATGATGAAGCAGACCAGATTGATCACCGACTTCTTCCCTTGTTTCTCTTCTTTTTTGGGGGTGCTCACCTTCAAGGTCAACCTTGGGCTCGCGGCGCCTGTGCTCCTGGTAAATAACATCTCGCGCATGCACAGGATGAACCACCGCGTAGGCCACAGGATGAGAGCTCAGATACGCATCAGCCACAATGGGAGGGCCACCCGGTCGAAAGCCGGAGGAGTAGTAGGCCTTCAATATAGATATATTGGTAAGTATCGTATTCCAGCGGTCTCTGCTCTGCTTGCAGGAACGACAGAAGAAAAGAAAAGAAACAGACATACATTGTGACTCGGATCAGGAAACCTGTGCCGGCCGTGAACAGGATACAGCGGGAAGTCATTGGTGATGGGGCTTGGGTCGAGCTGGAAGCGGAGTCCGTTGTCCGCCTCGAGCCAGTAGCCCGGATGACAGTCGACAAAGATGGCGATGCCCTGTTCGTGGACGGAGGGGAGGTGGCGGTTGGGATCTTGGGGAAGAGGGACGGTGGTGTAGTCCATTGTTGTGGTTGGTATGGATACTTGGTGGATGGAAAGAGGGTTATGGGGAGAGTAAAAAGGGAATGGAAAGGGGAGGAGAACAAGAGCGAGAAGATAAACAGAGAGTGTCTGTGAGAAAGAGAGGAGAAGGACCTGAGGTAATTTGATAGAAGATACCATCTTGCCTGGATCGATGGCGACTTAGGGCTGCCGGCAACCCCCCGAGCATTTGGGGGAATAGAAGGAATATTCCGCCATCCGGATTCACCTACATCTACTTTCTAGTAGAGAAGACTTGAATGTTCTTTTTTGGTAACCCTAAGTTCATCTGATGCATTTCTCGTATAGAACCATATGCGACTTGCAACCGCACCATGCGAGACAACCAGGAAAGGAAAACTCCCTGGTATCAACATTCCATTCCATCCTTGACAAAATTCATTTCAATTCAATTATTTGTGGGCTGTATATTCATCGTCAGTGAGACCGGCTCATAGAGATTGGCGGAAACCAATAACGTACGGATTCCCTCCTCGGGCTGGGGCTCAACGCCAGCGACCTCGGCAGCAAGCTTGTGATCGGACTTGGTCAAATCATCCTTCATCATGGGGAAGGCTAGCACCTCCTTGATGCTGTAGTTGTCCGTCAAGAACATGACCAGACGGTCGATGCCCATACCCCAACCACCCGTCGGGGGGAGACCGTACTCGAGAGAGTTGCAGAAGGTCTCGTCGATCAGCTGGGCCTCGTCGTCACCCTGCTCCTTCTGCCGAGCCTGCTCCTCGAAGCGCAGACGCTGCTCGAACACGTTGTTCAACTCGGTGTAGGCATTGACGATCTCCTTCTTGCAGACGAACGCCTCGAATCGCTCGCACAGACCAGGGTTCTTGCGGTGGTACTTGGCCAGCGGCGACATCATTTGCGGGTGGCCAGTGATGAAGGTCGGGTTGACGCAAGTCTCCTCGATGAATTCGCCAACCAGCTTGTCCAGCATGCGCGCGTTGGTCAGAGGCGGCGGGCACTCCACGTTCATCTTCTTGAGCATACGCTTGAGGAACTCGTTCGTCTCATCCGTGTGCAGCTGGTCGCCCGGTGGGAACTTCTCGCCGCACGCCTCCTCCAGCGCAGGGATCATCTCCACTCGCCGCCAGGGCGCCTTCCAGTTCACGTTGTACTCCTCGCCGGACTGGGTGTGGAACGTAGTCTCGTAGCCACCGGTGACGTGCTTCACGAGGCCTGAGACCAGCTCCTCTGTCAAGTTCATCACATCATACACATCGGCATAGGCCCAGTAGAACTCGCAGGTGGTGAACTCCGGGTTGTGCGTGAGGTCAATGCCCTCGTTGCGGAATTGCCGGCCCAGCTCGTACACACGCTCGAGACCGCCGACAATCAGCATCTTCAGGTACAGCTCGGGCGCAACGCGCATGAACAGGTTCATGTCCAGGTCGTTGTGGTGTGTGACGAAGGGTTTGGCCGTGGCGCCACCGGCAATGGCGTTCATCATGGGGGTTTCGACCTCGGTGAAATCACGGCTGTCGAAGTAGTTGCGAATGTAGGACACGATCTTGGCACGGGTGCGGAAGATGTTGCGCGAGCGGTCGTTCATGATCAAATCCAGGTAGCGCTGGCGGAAACGCAGCTCCTTGTCCTGGAAGCCGTAGTGCTCGGAGGGGATGGCGTGCAGGCACGGCGCTAGGAGGATGACCTCGGAGGCGAAGATGGACAGCTCGCCGTCGTCGCGGTTCTTGGGGTTGGTGCGGCCGGGGAAACCAACAATACCGATAACATCGCCTCTCCGCAGGTGCTCGTGCTGGTCCTCAAACGACACGCTCCCAGCCGCATTTTGAGCCTGGCACATCACCTGGACCTTGACGCCCTCGGCACGGATATCGTAGAAGATCAATTTGGCGCCGGAGGTACGCTTAGTGTAGATACGACCGGCGATACGAATGGGAACGTCCGGCTTCTGCTCGCCCTTGGCAAGGCCGTCGTACTCCTTGAGGAATTCGCGCAGGTCGTTGGTGACCTGGAACTTGTGCGGGTACGGGTCCGGGTTCTTGGTCTCGCAGAGCTTGTTGATCTTCTTGCAGCGGATTTCGAAGTATTGCTGTTCGGCGGAACCGGTCAGTCAGGCTACCGGAGTCATGCTTTGGGAAATGTGGTACTTACGTTAGGAGTCAGGTTCGCCTCCTCCTCCTCCGCAGACACCTTCTTCTCGGCCTTGGGAGGAGCAGCAGCCTCCTTCTCCTTCTTCTTGGCCTCCTTCTCGCGGACCTTCTGGCGGCGCTTCAATTCAGACTTGGACACCTTCTCGCCGGTGACCTCGTCGAGCAAAAGGTTGGCCATGGAGGCCTCAGCCTCCTTCACGGGGTTGGAATCCGTCATGATTGTGGAGGGTGGTGCTGTGTTCAAGGTCGGAAACGGATGGTGGGATGAATCATATCCCAGGCGGGAGAAATTTTGGGGGAAAGAAAGACTGCCCCGCCGCTGATTGGGCCGTGCTTTTATACAACACCCTTGCTTTGCAACGACTCAATTCCGGAGTCAGGGATGTTGGTCAACTAGTCAGTGGGAATATTACTTCAAAGTCTTTGGGCTGGTATATTTATATCATGTCTTGGTATAGATCCTCCTCGATTCCTCATGGCTGCGGCATTCTCCAAACGGGAGTCAGGGCTTAGGGCTAACTGATAAACAAGTATCCAATCAGAGCACTCCAGTCGAGCTGGGCAAGTTGTTATCGCCCCGCCGGCATCCGAATCTATACTGGGAGACGCGCTCTTGCCTTTTTAATTAGTTGTTTTAATAGAGCCCCTTTTGCTATTTGCCATGGAGATACATCTTTTTTAGTAGCGTAGTTAGTGATGTAGTAGACTGGAGACAACGATTTTGAAACGGTCGTGATCTAAGAGATATCGCGATTTGAACGGAGATAACTAGCGATAGAGGAATTCCACGGGTTGATCTAGGGGAGCCCCCGAGTAAGGTGGATGACACTAAGATCGTCAATCTAGTGTGAGCTGGAAATCGTGGTCCGATTCTAGATCCGACGCCGAGCGGCAGGCCGGCGGAAGATTGGCTTCGGGATCAAGGGGAATACTCTCATGAATGATGACGCTTTCGAGGCAACGGAGGACGCAGGTAGCAAACTCGGCGTCGGTGAGGACGTGGCTTCGTAGATGCGTGAATCCGAGGTTGCCTTTCAGCCACAGCTTTGCATGCAACTAATACTATGTGACCTAGTGATCTCTGGTTGGCCTTTTGCAAATAATATCTTCAGCCTCTACAAGATAGTAGCCTTAGCGCGTAGCTGTGCCGTTCTTCGCCTGGGAAGAGTGGAAGGGGGTTTTGACTAACTATATCTGAGCTAGTTTGTCTCGGAGAGATATTCCTCATCCCTACTATAGCGATAATTTCGAAACCTAACAATGAGTTACTTTATATGGAGCCGCGGTCGTGAACAGAAGCCGCAGACAATAAGACAGAAGCAGAGAACGGATAAAGCGAATGAGACGCCAGGATTTGGCTAACAGCAACAACATAGAAGTTTTTCACAAGGGTGTTGTTCCCTGCGGGCGTAGTAGGTAAACCCTTTCTCTCCACTTCGTTCGTCTCAGGGCATGACCAGAGACAGATCCGAATTCAACCAAACCAATCCATTTTCATATTCTCACTAGCCCAGAAATTTTGCAAAACACCTTTTTTGCACACAAAACCACCGGTTCCCAGTCTCAAGGACACTATCACAGTTCGAATTCACCATTTTTGCAAATCGCCATCCACAACCATCCACAAGTAAACGCCTATCAGTCATTCAATCACCACGCCGCCCCAGGGAAGAGCTTTGTTCCAGTCCCAAGAAAACATCCAATCAACCAGTTATTCCAGATAATCCATCTTGTAATCACCCTGCTCCACAAACAGAGTGTTGTCCGTGTCTTCGTCCTCCGTATTGTGGAAGGTATCCAGCCATGCAAGTGCCTTCTTGACCTTCTCGTGCTCCTTCTGCAGATAGTTGCGACGGTGCTGGCGCTCTGGATCTTCTGCCATGAGCTCCAGGCAACGATCGAAGGCTAAATGATCCCATGATTAGCCGTGTCCAAAAGAGAACGAAAGAGGGAGAGGGGTAGAAAGAGCAGGCAACATACAATTCGGGCCGAAGATCTTCAGCTGGGCGTCAATAGCACCCACGAGCTCATTGCGACACTTGGAGAATAGCTTCATATGCACCGATTGTCCGACGACGTCGAGGAATCTGGAGCTAGCAACGTCGTAATACGCGCGAGCTCTCTGTATACGCGGTTAGAGACGCCCGCTATTTAATACTTTGCATCGGACGATCACTTACCGCCATCATTTCCACCTCCTGTGCAAATGGGTCCGGACCAAGATCTTCGATGGAAAGCTTGCTGTTCACCACTGGACTAGCCTCATTGATCGAGCTAAACTGGTATCCGCGGAGCTCGAGGTAACCCTTGCCACGGGCGAGAAAGCGGGCGCGAGTGAGCTCCTTCAATGCCGCTTTCTGAGCCTTGTTGAGCTGGTCGATAGCCCGAGTGAAAGGCTTGCCGTTCTCCATCTTGTAGACCTCGCGTCCGTAGGCCAAGTGCTCACATTTGAGCTGGGCCAAGTAACTGATGATCGTGCTTTTGACTTCCCGGTACAGGCCGGTCTGATGGTAATCATTAAACACTTCTTCGACCATATCCAGCAGCGCCTTCTGGACTTCCGTATTGGTGGCATCAACGAACCGCTGCATCAAACCCTCCCAGTGTTCGATACTGACACGCTGCAGTGTTTCAATGGCGCGAGGGTCAATTTGGTTCGGCATACCAGCAGAGCAAAAGTCGTCCTTGATGTCCCTGATACCCTCCCAAGTGAATTTCTTTGCCGGGCCATCCCATGGGCTGAAATACGACAGTTCGTAGCCCGACATAAGGACATTGACTGCAGGCGAGGGGTTTGCTTCTGGTGATCGAGGCTGGGGCATGGAGACCTTGCGCTTCTTCGGGGTTGGACCCGGGCCGTCCAGAATGACGCAGTCAGAGTCCTGGGTCAGAGATTCCTTGTCAGAGATCGCGGGCAAAAGCACGGTGGGACGAGTTTTGACAAGTGCCCGTTGGAAATCGTTGACAACCTGGTTCCAACGCTTCTGCAAAGAGTACTCCGAAATGCCGCTTCCGCCATCAACATTCGCACGAAGCTTCTCCAGAAGCTCGCATCGCTTTTGGTAGATGATGCTCTGTACATTTTCAATTATGCAAGCAGGCAGAGTGCTCAGCTCTGTATCGATGGTGGCTTCTTTATCCCTGATCTTCGCAATTATTGAAGGCAGACACTTCTTGATCTGCTTCAAAAGCAGATCGGACAGCGCAGACTGAAGCTTCTTGGTGCCGAACCGGTGCCGATACATGTAGAGATCCTGAGCCCACAGGCCATCGGCGAAGAACAGCTCTTCTTCCACACGCGCCTGTGCGTGTCCTACCGCAGGGTTAGGGTTGTTACGCACGACAAAATACCCATATCCAACCTTGAACTTCAGACCCGCGAGAATTTCCGTCCACTGCTGAAAGCTATCACCGCCCGGCGGCACTTGGTCTGGCTTGGTTAACACACCGAGAGTGCGGTCGTTGGCGCCGCGAATTTCACGAACCAGTCGGGCTGCGCTAGAATTGGTGGCATCATCGGTCATGGTAACCGCTAGCAAAACAATGCAGTTCTCCTGAGACACGTATTGTTTGACTAGGTTCTCAACAAGCTTGACGAGATACTCTTCGCCGTCATGCTCGGGCTGGCTGATCACGCCAGGGAGATCGTAGAACGACAAATTCGGGAATCCAGGAGAGGAGATGTCCAAGCGAATAACATTTGGCGAGAACTTGACTAGAATCTCTCGAGATGTATTCTCATTGCGACCGGGAGCGTAATCAAGAGAGTCGCTGCTAGGGTTCAAGGTGGCCAGCTGCGCCCACACCAGAGCATCCTCAACCTCACCCTTGTCTGACAGGGTAACAAAGAGTATATCTTCCTGAGCACCACCCATCAGGGTCCAGGGGCCCAATGGCTCAGAGCGGCGGGGGAGCTTGGTCAACTTTCGATCAGGGTCATAGAAGTACCGCTGCGAGAGATAAACATCACATTTCCATGGCTGGCCGGGCTCGCTCTCAGACAGGTTGATTTCAAGCGGGCAGCGAGTGCAGGTTCCGGCGCTTCGAGGGACCCTGATCTCAGAAATGCCCTCGATAAGAGAGCTCTTCCCGGCACTCTGGCCGCCAACCACGCAGATTTTGGGAAGTGCGATCTTGCTGTCCTCGATTCCCAGGTGGCTGAGGGCCTGAATCTTCTTGACCAGATCCTTCATGTCCAGAGAGAGCAGGTCCAAAGTCGCCCGCGCCATGCAGGGGAGGGCGTTAGGGTAAGGCATATCGAAAGGAGCTGCAGAGAGAGAATAGTATCAGCTTCTTGTTCAGCATGTATGACTGCGCAGTTAGCGGAAACTCACTGGTTCCTTCACACTTGACTGGAAGGCGAGGTGTGGAGAAGGCTGAGTTCACTCAACCTTGTGTTGATGGAGGGGAGAAGACAGAGATGGAAGAAGGTGAAAGAGAGAGAAGGAGGAGAAGAGATGGGGTGACGAAGAAGAGAGGAAGGGAAGAAGAAGAGAGGAGGCGAACAAGAGGATGGATATAGAACAAGACAAGAGAGGGAATAAGACAAGAGAAGGAACAAGACAAGAGAGGGAATAAGACAAGAGAAGGAACAAGACAAGAGAGGGAACAAGACAAGAGAGGGAACAAGACAAGAGAGGGAACAAGACAAGAGAGGGAAGAAGAAGAGAGGAGGCGAACAAGAGGATGGATATGGAACAAGACAAGAGAGGGAACAAGAAGAGAGAGGGAGGTAAAGGTAAAGGAGGGAAAGAAAAGAGAGAAGAAAGAGGAAGAAGCCAGGTAGAAAAGGGAAGATAGTAAGAGTCTGTAAACAGTCAGTTATGTACTGTTTTTGTATCACGGAGCCTATATTGAGTGATTCGATTGTGCAAGACTAGATCTTTGTATAGCATTTTTGGGGTAGTCCAATCTTATGATAAAATGTCTTAACCTCTATGATTGTAGATATATATATTTTCATGGAAGTCAACTAGATCTCTCTCGTCACTCTCTCTTAGCCAACTAGCTATTAATGGTTACCGCTCGATTTCTATTTTCAAATAGACACTGCGTTGAAGTAGATGGCACAACAAAGCCAATAGCGAGAAGAAGTGGTAGTACACGCAATTTTCTCTCTACACGCGTGGGAACGTCGCGCAGGCTTCTCGCGCCTCTTCGAAGCGGCCTTCCTCCACCTCTAGAAGGCGCGTGATCTCCTCGAACATGATGAGTGCGCTTGTGCTAGGACTTTGCCGTCTAAATGAATCCCCCCAACGAAGTTGATCACTTCGATAATGTCGCTGAATCCATTCGAGTCTATGGTAGAAGGATCAGTACGGAGATGATATCGTGTGGGAGGGATGGAACTAACATAGGTCATCCACAATATTAGCCTCCACGCCGTAGATTCGAGTAAAATAGCAAAGCTCGGTAGGATGGCGACTGGCCACCATAATACTGTCGAGAACGCAATTTTCCCCGTGCACGGTTTTCAGGCTCAGCTGCTTGATCATGTTCGTGTTTTCGAATCCCTGCACGTGGTCCCGTAGGTAGGTGAGAAATCATCTCTCACGAACGTCGATGAGGTACTGATCGAGTTCGAGGCGTTCGAAGTACGAAAGTCTTTCACTGAGTTTGGAGTTGTTCTCCTCCAGTGCCTTGTGTCTCTTCTCGTAGTCTGCAAACAAACTGGCGCCCTCTTCATTCGAAACCAGAGGCTTGTCGTTGGGAGTATATTTGGGAGTTGTGGTTTGTTGAAGAGACTTGTTGAAGAGACTTGGCTTTGCTTATGGCATTTTCGTTGTTGGTGACTGTACACTTCGACTTGGGCGGCATGATGGAAGTATTCGTTTATACCACAGAGCCTACAATTCCATGTTTACCCCAACAACAAGCTAGACTATACGTAATGTTACTGCTCGATTTTGATATTTGAATAGACGCTGCGCTGAAGTAAATGGCACGACAGAGAGTAATTATCGTAGCTGGAAGGCCAAATGCGGGAAGTGGTAGTTATTTTCATCAAAAGACCAAACAAAAGACCCAAGATCCGGACCAGTCTTGCTTTACATGATGACTTCGTTGGCGACGTCCTATATCAATGTTGTTAGCGAGGTTGGCGTTCGAGAGAAGAGAATCAAAGAGTAACATACCCGTTTCAGCTCCTTATACGGCAGACACACACAGTTCTGCACCCGAACCTCATCGCCGACGCTGCACTCCTTGCCGAGGATCGTAATGCTCTGGACTTTGACGCCCTGCTTGATGATGCTGGTCGAGTGACTGCCAATGGGGATCGGGGTGCCTTCGACGCGCGCCCAGGCCCCGACCCGGCTGCTCCAGCCGATGATCGAGTGCATGACGCAGGCGTCGTGGCGAATCTCTGCGTCTTCGAGCACAATCGAGTCCTTGACACGGGCGCCGGCACCGACCACCACGCGCGGGCCGATGGAGACGTTCGGGCCCAGCTTGGCGGTGGGATCGACGGTAGCGGTGGGGTGGATATACACTGGGGGCACGATGGTGGCTGATGGCGCGGTGAGCTCGGGGGACTCTGCCTGGAAGGCCTTCTGGAGGTATAGAGCGTTGGCGGGGACGGCCGAGCCGGCTGTCTTGATCTGCCGCCAGAAGTCCTTGGTCTCGTGGACGAAGAACCGGTTGCTGTCGGCCAGATCGGACAGGATGTCCTGCTCCAGGCGCAGGACCTCGTTCTTCTCGGGATCGTCTTCCTCGTCCGTGGCGGCAATGAACGACGACTCGAGGTTGTCGGAGGACGGGTACGATAGGATGCGCGGGCGGGTGGTGCGGCGCTTGATGGCGCTGCGGATGGACGGGAAAATGCACTCCGTCGCGAAGAGGTACACACCGCAGTTGATCAGGTTGGAGATATGCGACTCGGGCTTCTCGACGTAGTGCAGGACCCGCTTGGTGTGCGAATCCGACACGACGCATCCAAAGTTCGTCGCGGCGTCGTTGCTCACGCGCGTGCCGAGGATGACGGCCTCGGCGTCCTTCTCCTCAAACAGCTTGAGCATCTCGCCGAGCGGGAACGAGCAGCACACGTCGGCGTTCAGCACGAGTAACCGCTCGGGCTTGCCCTTGAGGATCGCATCGCGGAAGTGGTACAGCCCGCCTGCGGTGCCCAGCGCCGTGTACTCGCGCAGATACAGGATGCGAAACTGAGGGAACTCCTTGGCGGCGTCCTTGATGAAGTCCCGGAACACCGATTCGTCGTAGTATCCCACCAGAATGACCTCGCGCACCTCGTCGACCTTGGCCAGCGCCTTGAGGCAGTGGTGAATGATGGGGTGTCCGGCGACTTCGAAGAGGGGCTATCGAGGGTGTTAGCGACGGGCACGGATGCGTCAATGGAGATGGGCAACGCACCTTGGGGACGTCGAGGGACAATGGGCGGAATCGAGTGCCTCTGGAGGGGCCTCCGACCTGCAGTGGGGTCAGTCAGTCCATGTTTTCTTCGGGGGAATTCCATCACTGACCAAGATCACGGCCTTGGTGGAGGCCTGGGCTGCGTGTTCCCGCACGGGCACTTGCAACATGGTGTAGTGTGAGGTGTAGAGAATGTAGTGTTGACACGGGTCAATAATAATGGTGAAGGTGGTCAGTTCCCGGTCAAGCTCCTACGCCAAGCAACGCTTGCGGCGGTGGGGCGCCTGGCCCCCTGGTAAACATCATTGGAGGGAACTATGCAGATGTATAGAGCTGAGAACTTCAATCTGATATTATGGAAAACCGATCATCTCTCTCCATTCTTCATGACGCCTGCTTCCCAACCGGTCAAGGGGAGCGCCGATCATGTTCAACAATGTCTTTCATAGACGCCCTTGTTTCGTGCACTTCCATTCATTCTCTTCGCACCTCGTCAAAATGCGCTCGAAACAGATGCCTTTCGGGCCTTCCATTTATTCTCCGCTACCCTTTCATCTCATTCACACCATCTTCTTCTTTTCATCCGCTGTCGTCGGTGCCATCTTAAGCGTGTTTATCTACCACCTCCATAAAGATGGCTACAAGCTGCCATTCACCTTTCTGGTGGTGAGTAACTAACTAGCGGATGCCATAAACCCAACAAACCAACCCATCCATTGACAAACGTGGAATCTAGCTCCTCGTCTCAAGCATCCTCTCCCTCCTCGTCATCCTCCTCACCAGCATAATCCAATGCATCTGCGGCCTCTCGACCCAACTATCGATGACCCTCAACACCCTCCTCCTACTCCTGTGGGTGATATCAGTAGCCCTGATGAGCTGGAGCATGTCCGGTACTATTTTGACGCAGTGCAATACCTTCTACTGGGGCAATGACACCGGCATCGCTGTCTGTCGCTCCTACAAGGCGCTGCTTGCATTCACGGTGACTAGTCTGGTGGCGTGTATAGCGGTGCTGTGGATTGATCTTCGCGCGCGGGGCATACAACGCCGGTACCGTCATGGCCAGTATGGTGTTGTTATGGGTAGCGAGCCTGGGTTAGGTGAGGGTCCTGTTAGTGCGGATGTCAAGCTTGCGGAGCGAAACTATGAGCCTGCGCCTGTGCCGGTATCTGTGCCTCCAGCTGCGAGTTTTGATGAAATTCCTCCGCCATTACCGTCCCAGGCTGCTCAGCTATACTCCGCCCCGCTGGAACGGGACCATGCGCGTGAGGCGCAGGAATTCTATGAGGCTGCATCAGCGAGAAGCCGACATAGTGCGCCTCGTGGGAGGTTTGGTGCTGGTGCTGGGTAAACATGGGATCACCCAATGTAGCTTCTGGGGTATAAACAGAATATGAACTTCCTGATTGTTTCTTTTATTTATTTAATTTGTGGGAGGAAGGGGAGGAAATTCTGGGAGGCCTGTGCATGGCGCATCACTTATTTGCTTATTCTTTTGTGGTATAACGGTCAGGGAAATCCGATTGCTCTGTCTTTCACAACTCGTCAGTGTAGTTGATGCCTGGATCCTCAGGGATGTTCAGGCCCCAACCTCCGGACCCGCAGAGCTTTGTTCCTGTCACTACCTTTCGACTCCTGCATCTCCCAGTGAGCGCATTTTGGACATTTTATTCTCTCATTTCTCATCAACTCCCACTTCACCTCACCTCACGTCACCAATCCACCTGACCTTGGCTACCATACACCAAAAATGGAGTCTTCTACTGGCTCTGCACCTGTGAAACCACCTCCGGCCAGGCCAGCAGCGGACAGCAAGAACCACGCAACCGCTTCGCCCGCCCGACCGGCCGAGCGGAATGGATACCCCGGCGACGAGAAGCGAAAATTGACAGAAGAAGAGGCGTCTGCGGTCGAGCAATCCAGACAGGCATCTGGGCCCGCCTCAAAGCGCAAGCGACTCCAAGAACGACACCAGGCACGCAAACGCGGACGCACACCACCCTCCTCGGTCTTCTCCCGCCGTGACCGCGATCGCAGTCCGAGCAATGCTACGCCGCGCGATGACCACACCCGGCGATCACGATCCCCATTGCCACCCCGATCTCCCTCGCCGGACGAACAGCCGCGACAGCGGAAACGACCTGGTGGCGGAGCTCGAATGGGACTGGTGGATCCTCAAACGATACGCCGGCGGCAGGAGGAGCGCGACCGCGCACAGGAAGAGGACGCCATGCGAATGTCTCGTGATCGAGGGGTGACCGATGTGGTCCGGCAGCACTACAACGCGGTTCCCCAGCGAGGACGCGAGTGGCGCAAGACAGAAAGCAAGATCAAGGGGCTTCGAAGCTTCAACAATTGGGTGAAAAGCACACTGATCCAGAAGTTTTCGCCGGACGAGGAGTTCCTCTCCCGCTTCGGCAAGACCGATGAATGGGCGAACGACAGCATCTCGGGCCCGCCCCCGACAGAAGACAAACGACTGCTCGTGCTCGATCTGGGCTGCGGCAAGGGCGGCGATCTGGGCAAATGGCAGCTGGCTCCGCAGCCGGTTGACCTCTACGTCGGCCTTGATCCGGCTAATATCTCCATCGAACAGGCCCGAGAGCGGTATAGTGGCATGCGCAGTGGTCGTGGACAGCGCGGCCGTCGGCCCCCGCATCCGATTTTCCATGCTGAATTCGTTCCCAAGGACTGCTTCGGCGAGTGGCTGGGCGATATCCAGATCATCCAGCAGGTGGGAATTGATGCCAATGCTGGGCCTGGCGGGTCGATGATGGCTGCCCGCTGGGGGGGTGGTGGTGGCTTCGATGTGGTCACGTCCATGTTTGCCATTCACTACGCATTTGAAAGCGAGGAAAAGGCTCGCCAGATGCTCCGCAATGTGTCTGGATGTCTCAAGAAAGGCGGCCGTTTCCTCGCCGTGTGCCCCAACCCGGATATCATCAGCAGCCGGGTTGCTGCGTTTCACAAGCAGCGCAAGGAGCGCGAGGCTACCAAAACCGCCCAGTCTGAAGGTCCCGAGGACGGGGAAGTTGAGGAGGATGACCGAGCGCAATGGGGTAACGATATCTACCGTGTCCGGTTTCCCGGGCAGACCCCCGAGGATGGTGTCTTCCGGCCACCGTTTGGATGGAAATACAGCTATTTCATGCAGGAAGCCGTCGAAGAGGTTCCTGAATACGTCGTCCCGTGGGAAGCATTCCGAGCGTGAGTATCCTTGATTTCTTGTCGGGGTGAATGGCTGACTTGTTTGTGGCTAGTTTGACCGAGGACTATAACCTAGAGTTGCAGTACCGCAAACCCTTTATGGAGATTTGGGAGGAAGAGAAGAACGACCCAGAACTGGGTCCACTGAGCGAGCGCATGGGTGTCCGAGACCGTGCGACAGGCGCGTTGGCGATGACCGAGGAGGAGAAGGAGGCAGTCAGTAAGTGGATGTTGACCTGCTGGGTGTTATATTTACTGATCTTCCAGGCTTCTATCATGCATTCTGTTTCTACAAGGTTTAGTGGAGGACAAGGTCATATTTGTATTCTAGTAGACATTCCAATAGTTATACCATGTCCCACATGTCAGGTATATTTCCAACGGGGTATGTGGTCGGTATAGATGAAGATAAGCGGTAATGAACCTAAAAATTAGTAGAATAAGAGTAGAATATAATGGAGAAATAATAAGAACGTAAGTATTATAGCTATAGTGGGGCTCGGAACTAGTGTCTGTAGTTTGTGAGTGCCCTTTTTTCTATTTCAATTACGTCCCAGGGGGCAGGTACCTCCTGTACATAGATGACTCAGCCTAACTGGCAGGCTGCCCGGAGGCAAAAATAATATTGCGGCGAGCAACCCAGCAGCCCCACCAGACGGGGAGTGTCCGCCGTAGATAAGTTACTACGTGTCTCGGTGTCGCGGGCCGAGTCCAGGTGAAAGTGAAGACACTTATGTTACACAATGCTGGTTAGGACCGATTGAACCGCCGGTAGAAAGCGGAAGTAGTGAAAAAATACTACCGGATACTTATAGGATCACCTTCTCTTCTACATTCCCTCTCATCTAGAGCTTAAGATATAGATTTAGTTCTTTTTTTCCTCTTCATTTGTTGATGTCCGAAGAACCCTCCACTATGACCAGAACGTTCGACGTTGATCATGTCCTAGCCAACATCAGCGACCATGACAAGATCGCCCTCCTTTCGGGTATTCCCCCCGTGAAAGAGCTGTTTTTCTTAGGGATCATATTTTCACTGACTCTCTCTAGGGATTGACTTCTGGCATACACATCCCATTCCCGCGTTCAATGTCCCTTCAGTTCGCTGTACAGATGGACCCAATGGTATTCGAGGCACGAAATTCTTTGCCGGAGTCCCCGCCGCATGCCTCCCATGCGGCACAGCGCTAGGCGCCACTTGGGATAAAAAACTCATGTACCAAGCGGGAGAACTACTAGGTGATGAGTGCCTAGCAAAGGGAGCCCATTGTTGGCTAGGCCCCACGATTAACATGCAGCGCTCACCCCTCGGTGGCCGGGGTTTTGAATCGTTCGCCGAAGATCCGCATCTCTCGGGGATTATAGCCAAATCAATGATTCTAGGGTGCGAGAGCAAAGGAATAATCGCGGCAGTGAAGCATTTTGTTGGCAATGACCAGGAACACGAACGCCGTGCAGTGGACGTGTTGGTGACGCAGCGAGCTCTGCGAGAGATCTATCTCCGGCCCTTCCAGATTGTGGCTAGGGATGGAAAGCCCGGTGCGCTTATGACTTCATACAACAAGATCAATGGCAAGCATGTCGTTGAGGATGCAGCGATGCTTAATATTGTCCGCGAGGAGTGGAGATGGAATCCGTTGATCATGAGCGATTGGTATGGTACATATACGACTATCGACTCTATGAACGCGGGCTTGGATCTAGAGATGCCGGGAGTCTCGAGGTATCGCGGGAAATATATCGAGTCGGCAATGCAAGCCAGATTGATCAAACAGTCCACAATTGATGCGCGAGCACGGAAGGTGCTAGAGTTCGTCAAGGAGGCGAGTCAAGCAAAGGCGTCGGTGGTGGAACGAGGGCGTGACTTTCCAGAGGACAGAGCATTGAATCGCACTCTCTGCTCTAACAGCGTGGTCCTTCTCAAAAATGAAGGAATTCTGCCCTTTCCGAAGAATATCAGGAAAATTGCTCTTCTTGGGTCGCATATGAAAACTCCGGCTATATCGGGGGGTGGCAGCGCATCGCTTGAACCCTACTACAGCGTCTCGTTATACGATGCCTGCCTGGAGGCACTTCCCAACGTCGATGTGATCTATGAAACAGGAGCATATGCCCACAGGATGCTCCCAGTCATTGATCGTCTCCTGAGCAGCGCTGTCATCCATTTCTACAACGAGCCGATGGGCAAAGAACGACACCTGCTAAGCACTCAACCTGTTTCAACAACCGGCTTTCAGTTCATGGATTACAATACACCGGGACTTAACCGGGAGCTTTTCTGGGCCACGCTGATCGGGGACTTTACGCCCGATGCATCGGGAATCTGGGACTTCGGCCTCAGTGTCTTTGGCACTGCCAATCTCTACATCGATGACAAGTTGTTGATTGACAACACCACGGACCAAACTCGCGGAACTGCGTTTTTCGGCAAAGGCACCGTTGAAGAGCTTGGCTCAAAGGCCATGGTTGCTGGGACCACTTATAAGATCCGCATCGAGTTCGGCTCTGCCAACACTACCACCATGAAGATCGTGGGGATGGTGAACTTCGGCGGCGGGGCAGCGAATCTGGGAGCCTGTTTGCGAATGGACCCGGAGCAAATGGTAGAAAATGCCGTGAAGGCAGCCGCTGACGCTGACTACACTATCTTGTGCACTGGTCTGAATAGGGATTGGGAATCAGAAGGATTCGACCGAACGCATATGGACCTTCCACCTGGAGTTGACAATTTGATCTCCCAGGTCCTGAGTGTGGCGGCGAACAAGACAGTCATCGTCAATCAGTCGGGGACACCCGTCACGATGCCTTGGGCTGATCAAGCGCAATGCATTGTACAGGCATGGTATGGAGGAAACGAGACGGGCCACGGTATTGCAGATGTGCTCTTCGGGGTTGTCAACCCATGTGGGAAATTGTCTCTGTCGTGGCCGGCGGACGTGAAGCACAACCCGGCGTATTTGAACTATGGCAGTGTAGGAGGGCGGGTGCTATACGGGGAGGATATTTACGTCGGATATCGGTTCTACGAGAAGACAGGGCGACAAGTCCTGTTTCCTTTCGGGTAAGATACGCACTTTCATTTCCCTCACTCTGAAGGCCAATTCCTTCTATCTCCTCTGACCACTATGCAGCCACGGCCTGTCATACACGACCTTCACGCTTTCTCCAACTGTCACCGTCTCTCCGGAAAAGTTCGTCCCGGATAATCCTCCGGTCGCAACGGTACGGATCAAAAATGCCGGGGATATGGCAGGGGCACAGGTTTTGCAGTTATACGTTTCTGCTCCAGACTCGACCACCCCGCGCCCAGAAAAGGAGCTGCATGGATTCGAAAAAGTATTCCTGCAACCAGGTGAAGAGAAGACGGTCGATATCGCGCTGGACAAGTATGCGACGAGCTTCTGGGATGAGATCGAGGGGATGTGGAAGAGTGAGGCTGGGGTCTACGATGTGCTGATTGGGACGTCGAGCGAGCAAATAGTAGCGCGAGGGAAATTCCAGGTGGATCAGACGATATATTGGCGGGGTGTCTAGATGCCTTGGTCTTTGCCAGTTAAACGGGCAAATCGAAGCGGTTCCGCATGATTGGAGGGATAATTATTGTTCTCAAGGAAGATAAAATACAGCCTCGCCCGCGCATTGATGTCATGTGATACTCGCCTAATTTCGGTCTACTCCCTTAAATTCGGGAGTGGGTAGATGGATCTTCTTTCGGACCTTCATCACTCTACGATTGCAGTGATCTGTCGTTGGTTTTAGGGTGCCCCAGCGGAATGCAGCCGACTTCCACGGCTCTTCCCCCGAGACCTCGCAAGCATACGAGGGTGCTCACGGCTTGCGGTGCATGTCGTGTCAGCAAGACTCGGTGCGATTCTGTGCGGCCGGTGTGCGCTAAATGTATCCAGCGCGGCGTAGCGTGCGAGTATCCTGAGTCAGACGCAATATCAGTGTCCGTTGCCCATAGAAATTTTCTTTTAAGTTGAACCTTTATTAACCATATAGGAGTTGAAGTCTAGACGCGTGGGGAACAAGGATTCTAGATGCAGTAGAACGCCAGGAACGACTGCTCTCGGAGAGTCTGGCTACGCGCCAGGAGCATCATGCTTCTCTTATTCCTCATCCGTCTCCCCAGCAGCAGCAGCAACTGTCGCCGGTGCTCGTCGACGATGTAGATCCCGAGTCGATATCGCGAAATGATGCGCTAAAGACTCCTATCACCGGGTCCGATATGATACTTAACTGGCCGATATTCCCCAAGGAGAAGCCAGTCTCGACATTTCCCGTGGAAGCGTATTCCGAAAAGTCTGATCGATTTCAGGCGGGTATGAAAGTCCGCATTCTATATTTTATGCCATTCAAAGAAAGCACAGCACTTATCTGACAACCACAGCCTTGCCTAGCCTAGATCCTCAGCGATTGCTCGAACTGCGTGAAATCTTCATGACCAAAATCTGGACCAAGAACCCCATCGTTGACCCCGACCAGTTGGATTCTTATATCGCTCGCGTGCTTGAAAACGGCATTGAGTGGACTGCCTCGTCGTGTCTGGTGCTGCTGGTCTTTGCCCTTGCAGCAATCTGGGGGAACTATCCCGAGGATGAGACCAGACAGGCACCTTGCAATGACCCCTCGTTCAAACCCTCAGTCACATATGTGACGCTGGCAGTTCCGGAACATCGGATGAAAGAGTCATTGACGTTTCTCACCATGGCCCGAAAACGCATCTCCTCGGCCTATCTCGATGATACCCTTCTTGGGGTTCAGTGTCTTTGCTTATTTGGGTAAGTAAATTAGTTCCGGCTGGATGGACGGATGGCAGGATGACAGGATTAACAGACATCCAGAATATGGTATCAGTATAATATTGAGCCCATTCCAGGATGGAAGATGTTCCGAACAGCTTCCATGTTGTGGCAAACATACAACATGAAGCATCGAGAGGGAATGACAATCAGGACTGCGCAAGAAGAGAGTTAGTAATCTCGCTTGACTACTGTATGTCTGGCTGACAAGTTTGAAGGCCTGGAGCAACGGCTCTATTGGACATGTCTCAAGTCTGAATGGTACCTACGCTCTAACTAATCAAAAGTCCTCCGTCTGATTACATTGGCTAGTGAGATCCGATACGAATTGTCCGATCTCCCACCATGCGACCTCAGCCTTTCCGATTTTCCCTTTGCCCTACCTACCTTTCCCGTTCGCCATACCTACGGAGGTAGTCCTAGTCAGATCTTTTCCAGCCCGTCAGCCACGGGCTTGGAATCTGATTCGTCATACTACTATCTAGCCGAGATTTCGCTGCGCAGACTGCTCAACAGAGCCCGGAATGCAGTCCGCGTGCTCTCCCCGAATATCGACCCACCAGTCATGCAGGAACTCACAGTTACTCTTACTCATCTGGAAGGCCAACTGCAGCAGTGGGTAGACTGCCTGCCCCATACGCTCCGATTCAACATGCCTCTCGAGTCTCCACCGCAACGGCAGGAGCCCGAGCTCATGAAGCTAGCTCGAGAACGGTATGTCGAAGTACGTGAGCTCCTCTGTCGGGCATATCTTTACCTCTGTTGCCATGCGCGGCTGGATCGGGAGCTTGCTGCGCTGTATGGGGTCAAAGCAAGTGAAGCTTTGCTGCTGGCCGTCTACCGGATCCAAACCGAGGTCCAATTCTTCCGACACCCAGGGTCATGGGGTGCGTGTCGGGTTCGGTTCAATCATGCTCTTTGTTTGATTGCTGGGTTTCGAGCAAAAGTGAAGGAAATTCCTTCAGCAGAATATGTGAGCATTCCACCCCCTTGGGCGGAATGTGTCCGGGTGGTGACTGAGCGGTTGAAGATCTGGGGAGAGGAGGGTGGTGGGATCAAGGAATTGAGCATTCTGTTGGAATGGCTGATGCATGGCCTTACATAGCGGAAAGTATATTGACAGTTGTAGTTGGGTACAAAAAGTACACAAAAATAGTCTGATTAAACCCCACATTCCCCTCAATTTATTATTCTCCACTCTTCTTGGCCCAAGTTTAACGGGGACTCTCCCCGTAGCCCCTACATCAGGCTAAATGTAAATTAGGTTAAACGTTAATGTGCACTCGAAGAAGATTGGCCGCGGGGCATCAGAAACACCCACAGTCCCCATGGGGTCACGATACCAAGAAACTATGATATCTTCAGCGGGGATCATACCCGGATTCGATTTCTGCGATCCAATGCAGACCCTCCAGGTTGTCTTAGCATGACTCTTGGTGTCGACGGTCCGTGGCTGATTGGGGCTGGGCAGGCCATATTGGACCGTGTACCTCCTGCACGAGAATAAAAAATTGTAAAAAAAAAAGGCGGACTAGCATATATAAACGTGATCGGTTTCAATCCAGGCCTTTGACAGCTCTACTGGTCAGCAGGTTGTACTCGACACTTGAACAATAGTCGTCAACATGATTGCGGTGGGAAAACAGCGTGAGGAGAATGTTTCCGAGCCGATCCTGGCCAGCTTGCTGGCCACCGATCGGATTCCATGGTACAAGAAGCCAAATTTGAGACGGTTGTACTTTATTTTGTTTCCGGCTTGCATGGGGATCGAAATCACGTCGGGGTTTGACTCGCAATTGATCAATACCATCCAGATCGTGTATAGCTGGAAAAAATGTTTGCCCTCATCGATTATTCTCCCTGATACTCTACTTTACAAGATACTAATAAATCAACGGCAGACTTCGGCCACCTAACTGGCGATATCGTGGACGGGCAAGCTGAGTATCAGATCGAGGAAAATCTCCTGGGCTTCCTAGGCGCTTCATATTCTCTAGGAGCAATTCTCTCTCTGCCGTTCGTGCCCTGGTTGAATCAGCGCCTTGGACGACGATGGACCATCATGTTTGGTTCTTGCGTGAGTTTGGTTGGTGCTCTACTTCAGGGGCTCTCCAACGGCAGTAAGGATATCTACACTATCTCACGATGATTCACTGACTTACTGACGGTTTCTCCTAGTCGGCATGTACGTCGTTGCGCGTATCATTTTGGGCTTTGGCATCCCCTTCTGCATCGTTGCAGGTTCCTCCCTAATCGGAGAGCTGGGATATCCTAAGGAGAGACCCATCCTCACATCGCTATTCAACTCGTCTTACTTCATCGGCCAGATTGTCGCCGCTTCCGTAGGACTGGGCACCGTGAAAATTGCGTCCGACTGGGCTTGGAGAATCCCGTCCCTGTTGCAAATTGCGCCTGCAATGATTCAGATCGTGATGGTCATGTACATGCTCTACCTCCTGTCGGGGAGTCGCACTCGCTCATAATGCTACACAGGTTCCTCCCCGAAAGCCCCAGATACCTAATCAGTAAGGACCGCTACGACGATGCCTTTGACATCCTCACGACGTACCACGCAGAAGGAGATCGCAACTCAGTCATCGTGAAAGCCGAAATGGCACAGATCGAGCACACAATCAAGATCGAACTGGAAGAGGCTAAGCAGACATGGTGGGATATGTTCCGCACGGCCGGTATGCGGCGTCGACTTTTCATCACTGCCTTCCTCGGCCTGTTCACGCAGTGGTCTGGCAACACTCTAATCTCGTAGGTATCTGCCGGATCCCTTCATTGTTGCAGCTCTACTCACGAAAATTTTACTGCTTAGGTACTATTTGAGTGACCTACTCGACCTGATCGGCATCACCGACAGCGTCGTCAAATCCAAAATCAACATCGGTATTGCCTGCTGGGCTTTCGTCTCCGGCACAGCACTAGCGTTGACGGTTCCGCGATTCAGACGTCGACCGATGTATCTCACCTGTGCCTGTTGTATGCTCTGCGTCTACGTCGGATGGACAATCTCCATGGAGCGGTTTATGACGACCCAAGCACGCGCCGCTGCCATCTCCACCGTGTTCTTCATTTTTTGCTATTCCCCTGCATACAACTTGGGCTACAATGCTCTTACCTATAGTAAGTTCTATTCTTGCTTCTCGATTAGTACCTCTTCATGTGACGATTCTAATATCAACGAAAAGCCTACCTGATCGAACTATTCCCTTACTTCGGTCGCTCGCGCGGTATCTCCTGGTTCCAATTTTACGGCCGGGGTGCATCGTTCTTTGCAACATACGTAAATCCCGTTGGTCTTGCACGGATCAAGTGGCGCTGGCTTCTAGTGTACTGCTGCTGGTTGGCGTTTGAACTTGTTTTTATCTTTTTCTTCTTCCCTGAGACCGGGGGCGGGCGGACTTTGGAGGAGTTGTCTTTCTGTAAGTTTTCTACCCCGAGAATCACAAAGGAATATGTAAGCTCATATCGAAAAGTGTTCGAGGACAACACAAAGGCAAATAAGGTTTCTAATGCTGTTCATGAGCAAATCGATGATGAAGGTGAGGCGAAGCAGAGTATAGCGCATGTGGAGGTCCAGGAGACTAAGAGTAGTGTTTGATTGTGGGCTTAACGAGCCGAAGAAGTCAGGTGGATTAGGTAGTTTTTGTGTGTTTACTATGCTCTAGGGTTAGTTCTTGGAATGTGAAGCTTTTGCAAGTTATCTTCATCAAACTTCTCCGCTTCAGGTCCATAGAAATTTTCTATGAGGAGTTCCCAATCTTTATCTCTAGAGCTATCGTGGCATCACAGCAGCAGGTTCCATGGTATCATTTCCGCTTTATCTTCATTTTGTAGAAACCGGCTGATCGCCAGTCAGGATTCGACAACCATGTCCATGCCAGCCTAGCACGATAGATTAGCCTACACCCACTTTGATCTCATATGTCTAGATGCAAATGGAAATCTTCGGCTGCAATCATCTGGTCACTCGTCGATAGTTGCTGGGATATTCTATCCCCGCGGGTAACAGATGCTTTCTTTCGAGCAGTGGCGCTGGCGGCATATATTGTGAAGGCATCGACCAGGTAGGTTATTGTCGGGATCATGCAAAGAATAGCCCCCTTTCTATCACCCCCTTGGGGTACGGACTCGCCGGCTCCGCTGTCTCTACTGGTTCCACCACCGCCCCTCCACCACCCTAGTCTGGCCCGGGTCATTTGGGCTCTCTCTGACGCTACAGTCTAATGTGTTTACGTATAAGACCGTAGGGACAGGTGACCCGTTGCGGCTGTTGAGATCACATCGCAGTCATGTGACACTCCCTCTACAAGAGCCGTGTAGATAGTCAGTTTAGATAACCTCATCACTTCCCTCTTTAGACAACTTTCAATCAAGCATTTTGCACTCTTTCATTTCATCCCCAGAGCGCCAGTATTCAGCTCTCAAAAGCGGCCAAACTATAAACACCACCACCCTCTTGGCTGTGTGAGGTCGTCCAATGAAATGGGTGTAGTGCGGGGATGCATGAGTAGTCCTATGCGCCATCTGTTTGCATGAATATTAGCCGACGGAGGTGGAGTTTCCACTAATAAACGTCGCTTGATCTTCTCCGCAACCCCCAATCCTTCAATCAAACTCCGCTTTCCTTAAGTGTTACAATAAGTGACAACTGCACGGCCCTCGTATTAGCATATTCGGTGGAATATTTCTCCGGCTTGCCAATACTTTTCTGTGAGTAGGCCCTTGATTGGACCGGCCCATGCACTAGGGCTATAAGCCCAAGGCAAGCTGCAAAGCCATGCCTATACCGGCTCTGCTCAGAAGTTTATTCTCCATGCATATCACGTAGCTCCGTAGTACTCGTCCAATCTCCAGAGGCGATAACCTTCATAGTGGGTGTTCCAGTATAAAGAGAGATCTATAACACAGCTTAATCCCTTACCTTTGTTGTACTCCCTAGGTATTCGTTACATTGCTCCTCCATGATGCATTTCATTACGGCTTCACTGCTGCTCATCCTTCCCAAGGTTATATGCGGCCCATTATCGGCGGACAACTCGGCTACAAACGTCGTTAGACTAACCTACCAAACGAACAACAACGCAAAGCCAATTGCAAAAGACGTTGCTGCGCTCTCTATTGAATTCTGCTACATCACAGACTATCTCGGCGATGTCGACCACCCTAACTCCCTTTCCCTCTTCCTCCTCCAAAACATTGAAGACATAATTGGTGCTCCTCCAGTCATCCGCATCGGTGGACATACCCAGGACGCTGCCTCGTTCTGTGCCACCTGCCCACAGACTTTAAACAACACCTATGAAACCGGAAACGAAGAAGCCATCGCCGTGAGCTTCAATAAAGGTCTCTTCACTGTCTTAAACGAAAACGTCCCACGGCGCCAGGAATTCATCTTCGGACTTAACTTCGCCTGCAACGATGTCTCCGTCCCCCTCGCTGAAGTCAAAGCCGCGGAGAAGTATATGCATCCGTCGCGCCTGCGCGCATACGAGCTAGGCAATGAGCCCGACTTCTATAGCTCATCACAGCGCCCCAGGCCATGGAATGTGGGCAAGTACGTAGCACAACAAGAACTTTGGCTTGACCGGCTGGGGAAGGAGACGAAGAAGGGTTTTTCGATCGGAGCGCTCGCGCAACTACCTATCTACCAGGGAAATTTCTCACTCGCAGAGATAACCGCTCTCGGGCTGCCGAAAAAGGTAGATTATCCGATGGATCTTTCGGATCACGCGTACCCGTATTCCCGCTGCGATCGTAAGTGCTATTGACCGCGAGTTGTACGTCCCTTTCTAACGAATCTCAGCCGCACGAGCAGCCCAGGTGTCACTTTCTGGTCTCATGAATCACACTGCCTTAGTGGAATACTTTTCCCAGTGGACCCCCGAGATCAAAGCTGCAAATGATGCTGGTCTTCCATTCTTAATGGGCGAGACGGGCAGTGTGTCTTGTCACGGAGCACAGGGCGTGAGCAATACCCTTGGCGCCGCGTTATGGGAGCTAGACTATATGCTTCACGGCGCGACCATAGGGATGAGCGGTGTATACTTCCACATGGGGACACCATTCTACTACAGTATGTGGCAGCCCGTTGCATACAATGGAACCGCTGCTACAGTTTATCCTACGTAAGTTATACTTCGATACATCTTCAGCCTCTCCATACAAAGAAGCCAAGCTGGGATGAGACTGACGACGTGAATGCAGGTATTACAGTATGCTTTTCATGGCGACGGCCCTCACGCTCAATAACCCGCACATCGCCTCCCTCCCAGCAACAGACCCCGATCTAGCACTGTATGCACTCTACGAAGGATCCACATCAGCTACTATGAAGCCCGAAAAGCTCATCATTCTCAACATGGGTTTCCTCAAATCAAACCTAAGCAGCCCAGTTGCTCCGTCAAAGGCAATTGACGTCTCGCAGGTTCTTGGAAAGCGGACAAAAATAACGCGGTTATCCGGACCAGGAAGTGACGCCATCTCTGGCGCAACGTTCGCTGGGCAGAGCTATGATTCGGGCAGGGCCAACGGAAGGAAGGCGGTGGAAAGGGCTGGAGGGATCGTGGTGGTGAGGAGTAGCGAGGCTGTTATTGTTGAGAAGTATTAGAGAGGTCTACAATAGTAGTAGAAACCGCAGAGGTTGCTGTCTCTCTCAAGATACATGCCACGATTGCCACGTAGCAACGATATAGTCCAAAAAATGTTATACAAATATCGTGGAGCTTTCCATAGGCCCGCACGCGACTTTGGTGAGGATAATTAGGAGGAAGGTAGGTTCCTGGACTCCGATCTTGAACGTCAAATATTGAGATATCTGGTGTGGTTTTGGGCGCGCGTGCGGTCGTAACTCCGCTATAATGGGGTCCGGATTATATGTGGATTCTAACGTCTTTGAACCCGACAACGGATAGTTTCCAGTTTGAAAGCTTTGCTCCGAATGGCAAGTAAGTTGTCAGGAATGGACCGCTGCATTTCCTCTGGAACTGGCTGCAATAGGAATTCCCATTGTTGGGAAATGAGACGAACTGTTAGTCCAATTGGGCGGAACTACAGTAAACACCCTTGAAACTTCTAATAGAAAATTGGGAATTCCCATATGACTAAAAATAATCCAAAAAGTGACTACCTCGCGTTGTTCTTTTATAGGCCTCGCGATGGTGCCAATATTTAGCGTGAAGTAGACTTCCTCATAACCCAATTTGGGTCGAAGGTTCCGACCCAGAACCCAACCTAGCCTAGGTCCAGGTCGAATGAAGGGCAAAACTGCGTCCGAATCAGCACCCAACGGTCGCTCGTTGACTCCCCTACCACGGAAGATAATACGAACGCATTTGGTCGATACCTACCGACCCCCGCAGCGAACACCCACATCAGAACCGCACCATTGGACGGCCCTTCTACCCAGGACGTGCAAGTCGCATGGATTGGTACCACTAAGACTGGATAGTCATCCGGTTCAATGACCCCACGTCGGCCGAGACGGCCCGCAACAAGACGGAATGGTTACGCGAGTTAGGCAACGAGACAAGGCTGGTAAACCCGCGATTCGGCGCTTTCCGAAAAATGTTGGGGGCCCTCGTTGCAACGAAGGAGCCTTGCCTGGTCAATCCTATCCCATAACTGGTAAAGCTGATCAGAGTTCTCTGGGTTGCAAGTTATGCGGACGATTGAGCAGTGCGCCCAATTTAGGGCTTGAGATACTCTGATGCCCCCGGGAGGGCGGTGGTTGGAGCTTCATACATAGTTCGATAGTCCACGTTTCTGACTGGGATCCTTGCTTGTGTTCACCCTAGGTTTGTGTCCATATGGCGACAGACTGAGTTTAGTTATCTGCGAAAGGGGTCCAGCGCGCTGTTATTAACACATTTCACTCTAAACCTGTCCTGGTCCCCGATCACCAGTTCCAAGAAGTAATCAATTTGACGCTCAGTGCCGTGCTTAGTCCTACTTAGGGAGCAAGCAGTGAGCACTAAAACGGAAAGAGCAAGTCATGGGGCGCCAGACATTATCCGGTCTATATGTAGAACCCACTGCCCCAGGCAATAATTATTACCCCATCCGGACTAGCGCGATCGCGTCGCGTTATCTCAGCTCTTTCTTCATCTTCACTCTCAACCCTCCATTCAACGAGAGGAGAGCAAATCTCCCACCTTATCCACCATGCTATCAGCAACACCGCGCCATTCCCGGGCACCGCAATCGCATCCCCCATCCAGCGCGGCCCGCAGCAGAAGACAAGAAAGCCAACCGGCCTCACGCCCGTCTCTACCCCCCTACGAAACCCCCGAAGCACCTCTCACAGCTGAAGGCCAGCGCATGCTAGCCTCGCTGCTTGAATCCCCATCCATGCGCCACCTGAAAACTCACATCCAACACGCGACGGAGAAACTCACCGATTCCGCAGGCGAGATAAACGACCGCCTCTGCGACGCGAAAGTGCGATACCAGCGTAGCAAAGATGCTCGCCGACGCCATGAGGAGGGTGCAGATGGGAACGAAGAAGAGGAGAATTCCGAGGGTGACGATGAGTACCGCCGGCTCGAGGACTCGGAGACCAAAGTTAATGCCGTTACTGAGCGGCTCGAGGCTAGGATGCGTCTGATGATTGATACGGAGGCTAGGTTGCAGGGTCTGACGGATGCTGTCACGGATCTACAGAGGGAGGAGACGCAGGCGCTGACTGCTGCGTTGGGTTCTAGACGCACGCGGAGACAGAGGCAGCGGCATGAGGATGATGGGGAAGAGGAGGATGATGATCAGGAAGATGAGGATTTTGAAGCCACGCCGGAAAGAGAGATGCGAGAGCGCAACGCGCAGAACCCGCTTAGCCGCAGGGTGGAAGACGCGATTGCAGAGAAAGGAGGCAAGTGGGAGGATCTGTCTCTCACAGAGAGGTGCGTGTTTCCCCACCTATCATAACAACAACCCATCCTCATGCTGATGTCTTGCATTACAGGTATTCAACACACAACGCCTACGTCGGCTTCTATCGAATGGTCCACGACTCCAAATTCCCCGGCGACGAAGTGCCACCACTCCCACACTCCTCGACCTGGTTCTCACACCTCGAAGACCTGCACACGCAGTCCTCCCAGCACCAAAATACCAGCGCCAGCCAGGCCCAAGCGCGGCGCTCCCGCAAACGCGCCCGCAGCGTCGACTCAGACGACATTGCCATCGAGCGCGAGCGCATCTCGCTCAAATGCCCACTCACCCTCCTCGACTACCGCGATCCAGTGACCAGCACGAAGTGCCCGCACAGCTTCGAGCGCGACGCAATCACGGACATGATCTCGCGCAGCAACTCGTATGCCCCCTCCGGTGGGCGGCGCGTCCGCATCGTCAAGTGTCCTGTGTGCGATATCCCGCTATCGCTGGCTGATCTGCGGGCCGATCCTGTTTTGTTACGGCGGGTGCGCAGGGTGCAGGAGCGGGCGGAACGGGCGGGCGATGATGATGAGGATGGGGATGGGGGCAGGGATGAGAGTGCAAGCCGGGATGGTCTGTTGCTTACGAGCGATGGGCCCAATGGGTGGGATGAAGATGTAGATGTTGATTTGGACGATGAGGATCAGAGGGAGAGCGCTGCTGCTGTTGCTGTTAGGGTTAAGACGGAGCGGAGGAGTGTGCCCCCAGAGCAGAGTGTGTCCTCGGAGCAAATGAAGGTTGAAGGGACGGGAGATAATAGCGATGAAGCAGATGGATCATCGGAGAACGGCAGGACCGACTCTTCGGACGAATAATCCTTTCCATCTTAGCAGATGGGAGAATATAATTCTGATGGGACACATTTCATTCACCGGAGTAGAACTTGTGGGAACAGCATCTATCTGCTCGAACACTGTAGAAACGAGAACTAGGGCTCTAATGGGAATGGACCATCAACATGTAACAAACAAGAGCTCTAGCTCTAGCTCTGTCTTTGAACTTGACAACGCATAAAGTGTGCACTGGACAAAAGAAATAGACAACAAGGAAAACAGTCATCTGCGATCGACGCAGGATGGACGACTCCACACAAAAACAACATGGCACTTTGGTAACAATGTCCGCACAACGGAGGAGACCCAGACTCGGTCATCGGTTGCCCGGAAAAAGATCAATGGGGATGGGGATAGTGGGTATTGGTATTCGCTCATTGGGGAAAAAGGAAAGGAGAACAAACAAACAAACATCAGGTTCATAATGGACAAAAAAAGCCATCGCTTTCCGCGGAGAAGCAAGTGGCCGAGCCAGCCAGCCACTTCAACTGTCCGGCACGGGCACACTTGCGCAATCCCCTCCGAGGCGATGAACACACACGCAAAAAAAAAGATCATGTTTCTCCGGCGGGAATTCTCTCCGACATTGCTTTTCCGGCTGGCAGGTCACAATTACCCTGCGAGGATGACGAGGATAGGGATGGGGGGACCTCGACGGTCAAAGATCACTGACAAGGAAACCGGGTGGTGAAAACGGAACCGATTGGGCAAAAAAAGATGCAGACCTCGACAATTCGGCTGTACGAAGAAAAGCATTTCGGGAAATCGCCTATTTGGTGATGAGGTTCAGATAATCGGCGACGATAAGGGTGACCATCCTGATTAGAAAAATATGGGGTTAGTGGGGACAAAAACACACGATCAACCACGAAGTGGGGGCAACTAACGCATGAGGCGCGATCCGCACGTAGTATGTTCCAAAGCCGCGATAGAAGCGCAACCAGCCCTCCTCCTTGACGACCTTGCGGGCGCAGTCCAGCAGGCCACGGTAGGGCAGCTTCCCGGTGTTAGGGTCCTTCTGCTGCTTCTGCAGACGGGTCTTGATGAAGTCGAAGGGCAGGGAGAGGAACGAAGCGAAGAATCCCGCGATGGCGGAGGCCGCAAAGGTCTGGTTTTGCGCGCTCAGGGTCGTGTGCTGTTTCAGTTGCTGCTTTGCCTCCGCGAAGAAGGTCAGCTGGCCGAGGTTCAGCGCCATGGCACGCACGACGGTGGGCAGGGCGCCGGCCCACAGCGCGCCGACGCCTTCGTGCTTGGGGATGCGTATCAACGCATCGAAGACGGAGCGGTAGTTGGCGCGTGCCTCGGGTGGCTTGAGGCCGTCGGACTGCATGCGCACGAGGGCCAGGTCCGCCGGGTTTCCAATCATGGCTGCCACACCGCCGGCCGTTAGGCCTGCAGCGGCGCGCTCAGCGAAGGTGACCTTGCGGTCTGCGGTGTCGGCGCGCGAAGTCAAGGCCTTGAGGAAGGTGTCGAAGAAGCCGAGCCGGGCGGTGGTGTAGACAGCTTGGCGGAGAAGACCCGCCGAGAGACCCGTGTACAGATCGAGGACCTTGCCCGAAGCGATGATGTCGCGTGTCACGCCCAGAGCCGATGGGCGCGGACCTGTCCGCGCTCCCTCGCCGGCTAGCTGGAGACGCACCTTGACCATGTCGACGGGCTGGATCACGCAGGTGGCTGTCATGCCGGACAAGCCACCGTTAACGAAGGGGAGCGCGGCGCGGGTCCACGGGTGGTGCAGAAAGTCCGAGGTGGTCTGCGATGGATTCTCAATGGCGGACTGGGTGGTCTCGGCCGCCTTGGTGGCGGCATCTTTGACAGACTTGGATGCCATGGTCGTGATGGATGATTCACACCAGATCTGGGATGTGGTTAGTGTTGTGGACTAGATGGTAGATTGGTGGTCATGGGCAGAAGAACAGGCCGTCACAGTACCCTGCGTCGTCGCGGGTGGAAACGGGGAACTCATGAACTCAAGAGGGGAAGCCAGACTGGGACCAAACAGGGGAATGAACCTTCTTTCAGTGATGTAGACTGGGCTGTGCGAGAGTTCAGCGATGGGCAGATACCACGAACTCGATGACGTGAACACTTGACTTGAAATGTTCAAGGTAAAACAAGAATAGTCAACGCGAGTGAGGAACCAGAATGAAAAGAAGAACAGAAGCAAAGCAAAGAGGAGAAGAACAGGCCGATGAGGAGGCGCGTCACGGGCAGTCAGATGATGCGGGGGGCTGTACTGGACTTTGTACTTCCGGCGGTTCTTCTTGTCTTTGTATTGTACTCGTGTACCTCCTCTCCGGGTCGGGCGGCTACTCTTGTCTCGGTTCCACTACAGACTGTACGATCAAGTAATTATGCCCTCTTGGTCTCTACGGAAGAGCTCCCCACCGTTGTCGATCGCCCGGGGTTGTCGCACGATGGACAACTGTCTCACTCGTGGGAATGCGGGGGACAGGGAACGGACTTCCCTGTTGTGCAGTCACCGCTATTTATGGCTAACCTGCTCATTCACTCCTCCTTTTATCCCTTGCTTCGTCTTCTATTTCCTGTCTTCTTCATTCTTCATCCTCTCTCGTCATCTTTCTCCACACCTTCCATAGCGCCACGAGCTAAACTCGGAACCCCACTTCTTCGCGCTATCCCCTTTTGGGCGCCCACGAGAACTGCTCGGGAAACCGCCTGGCCCGACCGAATACAAAGCTCGGTCAGCTTGGTCGGACAGCACTGCTGCTCTCCGTCTGCCCGGATATCCGAGGGAAACAGGCATCTTCTCGAGACAAGCCCTCGCCGGCGGACAATGAATACCATTCAGACCAATGCTGGAGTCGCCATTACCCACTAACTTAGGCACGGGTCCTATCTACAACCAGCTCCTGGAACACTGCGCGGGACCTATCCCAACAATTCGGCAACACAAAACCCTCAATGGCAACCCAGATCGGCTATTCCGCAATACCAACACCTGCGGTTGTTCCGCCTCAGTAATATTCTCCCGCCACGCTATCCGCGCCTCGGACCAGCACCCGAGCACGTCAACATCCACGGCAGTTAGTCCAATCGGCAGTCCACAATTACATTCACATCAGGAACAGCTACGTTGACCTGACATTGGCCCACTCACCCCCTACCCAATCCCCTGCTCGCACATATCAATTGACTCGCCCGTGCTTAGATATGTAGCTTTTGTTGAGGCGACGACAGGGCCTAGCCTCGACCCACCGGATCTACGTTAATGCTATGATTCCTCCGATTCAGGGTGATTCTTTCCGCCGATGACCGGCGTTTTATCTGCGGCATCACCACTCGGCTATCATCGCGGTGTTTCTCGGCGCTGATTTTGTGACTGTTTTAACTCGTCGCATGTCTGGCGTTGGTCATAGCCTATGAGAGGCTAATCGGTGTTGTAGAAAAGTCCTAAGCGGGGACCAATGCCTTGAGCGCGCACTAACATGGTCTTTATCCAAGTGACAAGCTTGTGCTGGACGAGAAGTAGGAATTGGCGAGGCCATCGCCCTGTTGGTGGTCGAGCTCCTGTCCGGAGGATACGATGCGTCTTCGGGCTTTGCTTTGGTCTGTTGGGCCAACTAGACTGGAAAACCCGGGATGTCAATCCGTCCGAGTCCAGATACTCACATTCTCACAAGACTATGCTAAGCAGTCGATTAATTGGGTATTTTTCTTGACCGTCCAATGTACACCCGCAGTATTTTATACAACATAGCCAAGTAAGTCGTGGACTACAGTCCGTTGTGTACCAAGTAAATACGTATCCCTTTGTTATTTTCCGGCACACGCATGACTCCCGCGGTCAGTACTCTGTACACTATAAGCAAAACGGACTCCTCTGGTTTTCCAATCAGCAAGTAGACGCAAGACCCGGAGCTCCGCGACAAGCACAATCCCTGCAACGGGTTCCGCCGAACATAGCACAGTATAGTAAGTAATACCCATCCAATTCCTACGTACAACCGTGCTATTCTTCCGATATCTAACTGAGTATGTAGAAAATATGTTACCCACCGCGGAAACAAATCCACTCCCCTAGCCCTGTCTCTCTGTCCTCTCCCGCGGAAAGGGTTGTCGGCAAGGACGCACGGCTCGGAAGTCTCCCCGTCACCGGCTTGGAGAGAAGGATCGGTAAAAACGATCGTATTGTCGGGCGGCGGCTGTGCGGGTGCGGGCTGCGGGCTCTGGGAGCGGTACGCGGCAATGGTGGTGGATTCTCGGTGGGGGGTTCGGCAGTCGGGATGTGGACACTCTATAGATGGAGGATGTCTAGGCTGGACTCTACTTTTTTTTGTTTAGATGGGAAGTAAGCAGGTCATCTGTTGGTTCTAGAGATTGGATTGATTATTCGTCTAGGATTAATAAAATAATACGCCACAACAACGTTAGGTCATGGCAAATCGGGCGCCAAAAATGGCGACCTTGGACGCCATTTTCGAAGCCCTTTTACCAGGATCTTAATCATCCACACGTCATGTTATAAGATTGAGCTATGTGTCAAAAATGCTATACCACTGGACCAAAAAGCACCACGGGCTCTTGACTAGCTAATACAGTCATTTGCATCTTCGACGGACGGATCTTGGGCATGCGAACCAATTGGAGTATCAGAGGGCACATATGCTGAAGTAAAGAACATTACCAATGGATTAGCGAGGTCTAATAACTATCTATCCGGTTGGGCACATACGCTACTTTAGGAAATTGATGGTTCATCAAACCATGCATTGACCATATCCTCATACGCTCGTCTCTCCGATCCAAATTCAGTCTTTAAATGCTTCATACTTTGATAGACCGTACGAGCCATTGGCATCTCCGCAACACATCAAGCGTGGTATAGCTGGTGAGAAACGTATTAAAACTCCATCCCTGTTGTTATTCACTCCATTGTTTATCGCACTCCAATACGCCAATTGGTTCGCATACTCAGGATGCGTCTGGGCATCCTCACCAGTAGTTATAGGAGGGACTAGGGGTGAGACCACAGGGATTTGAGGCTCCTCATGGAGATCAGGGTTGACATATTCCCAAACACCTAAAAGTTCGGCCTGAAGCTTGACATTGGTAATCCACATCCACTCTTTTCCCTTCCTAGGCAGCAACCAGCTCTTTTCATGCATCAAGTACTCTCTGGCGATGAGTTCGGCCATGCCGATTAACAACATCCACCACAAGTGGCGTACAGGGATTTGCGATATTCTTAATATGAATCATTTTAGCCCTCAGGGTGCCAGTATTACCGTCCTAGATTATCCTATTCTTTCTTCACATTCAAGTTCTTCCGCGCCCTAGCCATCAGTTCCCTCAAGCGCTCCGTCGCCTTGCTATCCAAAAACTCAACAACCTGCACAACCTTCTCTTGAGACTCATCCATCGTCAAAATAAAGATGTATTCACCCTGGAACTTCCAGTCGTCTGCGGAGACATTTTCGCCTTTGGCTTTCTCATGAAAAATGGTTTCACTGGTCGCCCAGATTGTCACCTGGCCTAGACCTTCATTCTCGAAAATCTCCTTGGGATATACGGGGAAGCCAGCTAGAACTTCTCGCAGACTTCCTAGATGACTGGCAAATGCAGCTGCGTCCATGGACTGTGGGAGGTTGAGGGAGGCGGGGGCGAATTTATGCTCAGCTGATGGGGCTAGGATCGAAAGGAAGGCTTCTGGTGAGAGGGTTCTGAATCCATCGATGTATGCTAAGGCCGTCTGGTGTAGTTTTGAAGACATGATTGCAGGTTGATGTAGATTGGGAATGGAATGAAGAGCGATTAATCGTGATATACGTCGGGATCGGACTTAAGATTATTTATCCCCGCCGCCTATTTCTTACCCGATCTATCAAAAACTACTGTATACACGCACCTCACGGGAGCTGATTAGTGTACAGTGTATAGGGGTGGGTGAACCCCAAACACTAGGCAGCTTTGGCGCATCTCATCAAGCAGGTCCCCCGGCTGTGCGATCTGGTCATCGTCTACAAGTAGGGTCACGACTCCTTCTAACGTTCATCAAAACGAGCTAGAAGGTAACGTGGCGCGGTTGTCATTCACTCCTCGGCGGGGGGCGGCGTCAGGAGGGCTTCGGCCCCCGGGTTCTACGGGCGGCGCTTCCAGGCCTTCTCGGCGATGGCGAGGCGAAGGGCGTCGGTCCTTGCAGTCGGGCGGTCCTTATGGTGGCCGTAGCGATCGCCCCGAATTCAGCGCGGGTTGCCAGTGATTACGCAGGGCCGGCAGATCCAGACGCGGAGGAGGCCGTAAAATGTAAATATATTCATTTTAAATAGATCGACAGACTAAGTAACGGATAAAATCACATTCGTGGTTCAATCCACAACTCACGCGCGAAAGCGAAAGTCGAATGTGTTTCTTGTCATTTCATGGATCAATCTATCAAGCCATCAATCCATATCAGGAAGGAGGCTAGTGCTCTCGCAGGATTTGGAATCGGATCTAGATTCGACCAAAAAGAAACAAAGAGCCTCGCTTGCTGGGATATAGATAAGCGAACTTCAGCAGAACCCATACGGGCCATGAAACGGAGCACGACTTGAATCTAGTAGGACAGACGCATCCACCGGGTCCCGATCAATTATCTCGCATGGTATTAGAACAAGCTAAAGAGAGGGGCAGTTGGAACTCTTGGGGCGGAAAAGTCGGTGGCCAGGAGCCAGGAGCCAGCCCAGTTATAGAAGCAGGTAGGACATTTGAGGCGGGGCCGAGTCAGAGGCCACGGCTGTTAGCGCATGCTGAAGCTGGGGCCAAAGTTAAATCGGCCACTACACCATGCACGCTGGGCTTTAAATGCATGAAACCCTGGTTAGCGCCAGCGCAGTGCTGTCGAGCTATGCAACGTGGTCTAGAATTCCGCCATTGGGCTTCGTCGTGACCATACACCTTCGAGTCTGGCGGGTGTGAAACCAACGAGAACCTATATTAATTTCCTATTCGCACTCATCCGGGCCGAGGGGCCATGAGCCTCTTCCCGTCGAATCTGTCAAAGTGTTTCTTCTCTCCACACGTGCCTGGACTAGCAATTGTAGTTCACCACGTTTCCGGAGCCTCTTCTGAACTCCTAATGGATGCAACCACTTGATACGTCAATTGGTGTCCATTTTTCGCCCGGGATTGCTATAGGCTTATTTTGGTCCCACTTCGTTCGAAGAGTGATCAGCACGCGTGGTATACAGCATATTCTCCAGGCCGCGAAGGAAGCGGGGGGAGAGGGACATTCCACGAGAATGCAGCGCTACATATGTTCAAATGCTTATAACAAGATTTTGCAAGGTTACTCCATGCACCAGTAACTCAACCGCCCCACTCAACGACGATGATCTGAAGCAGGGATTTGGATCCAGAATGAAGATCCGCTCCGGAGTACATAGTGCTAGGCTCATGAACCATTTCCCTCGTGGCATCTAGTCTTAAGGAGCCCACGTTTCGGGTTTGGGGCCACGCTGATAGCGTGCCCTGCGGATCCGCCTTTGGTACAATATACTACTGCATGTAGAATCCCACATGCAATGCGTCGCTGGGGCCCTTGTATTTCAAGTCTTGCGAAATTATTGCCGTGAAACTGATTTACTGCGCTGATGGAGAGGCCATCCCACCTTTAGCGGGGTCAATATTGGAAGGAACGCAGCGCTAACGGGCCATTTACAGGATGTTTAGAATCATTCGGGCAGTCCCGAGAGTCTGTATGGCTATCCAACTTTCCTAGCTCTGCGAGTAGATCATTTGGGTCATGCTTATCAGCTCAGTTCTCCCGTCCTCTCTGGCTTATTTCTAGCTTCAGTGCCCTCCTTCTTCCTCACGTCAACAAGAAACTTATCTTCTTCATTTCTTCACCAGTCTTCTCCCTATACCCGGTCCAGCTGTTTACCTTCTCGTTGGTTGGTTATATTCCAGACCAACATTTCAGTCCATCATCCAAAGAAAATCTTTAATATCCCCTCTTAATATGGCCACGTCCATGGGTCAGCAGCTGGGCCTCATGCGGTCCATCAAACCTTCATCATTTCAAACAGTCACCAAGCCTCCCTTCCGTCGAAACTTTGCGATGAATGCTTTGAATAAGGTGTGTCACATCCCTCTTAATCCTCGCCAGGTATGAATATGCTGACATTAATGCGAATACAGCCTTGGACTAGTTCTGTTCTCGCACCTGCCCCGTCAGAGGAGCAACCATCCACTGTTTCACTCCGGCAGAGCCTTCTGCATGGTTACCGACCCGATATCCGACAAAGCGGCGGAGGCCGCGAAGCTAAAGCGGCGTTGATGCTTGGCCCTCACCAAAATATCTGCTACTATCCAGGCAAACTGCACGGCGGTTACCAGGCATTTCTCATGGACCATATCTTCGCCGACTGCTGCTCTCCAGCCCTAACAGCCAATCTAAGCATCGACTTTATGCTCCCGATCCCACCAAAAACAACATTGCTGCTAAATGCATGGCCAGCCAAGATTGAAGGTCGCAAGATCTTCATGGAGGGTTCCATTATGATCACCGAAGAGATGACTGGCGAGATGGTATCAGCTGCCCGAGCCAAGGCTCTTTTTATCACCCCCAAGTACAAGGCTACTTAGATGGGCACTAAGTACCATGTCGACAAACGTCAAAAACACAGACATTGACGATTAAAGCCCCCCTCCTCTTTGCTCTCAAGCCCATTACTTCCTGAGTTTCAACTCGGGAGATTTACAACGTCACTATTTGCTCTGCAAGTTTCCACAGACACCCACATTCCCGCGATTTCGGCATTTGAGATAGAAAGACCAGTGAACGCGCACCACCTTCAAAAATTCGCATCGAAACCATTTTGCCAGCCCCACCCAAGACTTTGAGCATAAAAAGCGGGATCCAGCCCAGCAGCAGTTTCACGAAAGTGGACGAACTCAAGCTTTGAACAAATGTAGCGCTGGCCCCCGTACTGCTCTCATGAACGGAATTTGGATATACGCAGCCTCCAATACGGCCCGAGGGGGTGAGAGCGGATAAAAACCTCTTTTAGCGAGACTTTAGAACACAATAATAGGAATAAAAATTAATTTTAATGCATTTATTTCCGCGATTGTGCGCTTCGGCTTGTAATGACCGGCGCTAGATAGTAAGTCCCACACCGTGGCGAGGGGCTGGGCGCTTTAACCAAACCTATAGGTAGGTGATATGATATCTTCCTAGATTTTACAGATTAAAAAACTGATAATGGTGGGCTGAATGGCACGCTTTTCACCTAGATGCTTGCTGATTCGGCTGGGGGAGACCTCTAATGGGGACCTCGCTTTTTGCTATCTTCGCATTGCCCCTCATGCAGACTTATCAGTCGTTGGTGGGCGACGTGGGATAGCGGAGCAATAAATAATAGAACGAAGGATTGAATGGTGTCCCGGACATCTCCTAGTGTCTCACGAAGAAATGATGCTTTGGCTGGTGTCGAAGGAGCCGACTAAGAAAAGTCTTATTCATACCGATTTTTTGTGGGTAAATTCCTTCAAATTGCCTTGCATATCCGTAACAGTGGCCTGTACTCGGGTAATTCATGATCAGCTTCGGTGTTATCGTGAATATGTTATTTTAAATGCATGGTGATGCAACACATGCACCAAGGGGGCTGAGACGAGGTTAATTGGAAAGGAGAGATCGGTCTCCGTTGTCGGGGCATGAGTTGCGAACACTTGGCCGGAAAGTTAACTCAAGAGTCTTTGACCTCCGCAACAAGGGACCGAAACGATCGTAAAGCATGTTGTGATGTGGGGTAGTTCCTTCGGGTGGAGTACCAGGATTGGCGGGTTTGGAATTAAGAGATGTTTACTATCACCGATATTACGTCTAGAGAAGAACCGATAATGACATAGGTACTCGCAGAATCCGCGACGATCCAAACTGGTACCTTGCCGGCCAAAACTGTAACTTACTGGGACACCGCTCCTGTTTCCTCTGAGCAACACTTTGATGTCTTCTCAGACAGGTCAATCCTTCACACGACTCGCGAGCTCAATGATCTGGTAAAGAGTGAAACACGGCATTAGACTAGGACAGAGAGAATCTGTGGTGCCTAGATAATCAGACCGCATGGTCTGAATTTACTTCTTTCGTGTGGTGAACCCCGGATGTTGGCGGTTATGTGGACCCACCAGCGAACCATGGAGATCCAACCGTCATCCATTTGCGGCCCTGTCACCTGTCACTTGGACCTAATGATTGAATTTTTAGACAGATCTATGACATTATCAGGCCGGCTTTTAGGCAGACCACATTTTGGAAACACCCGTGCACCGCTTGAAGTACCGTCTTTATCTAGAACTAGCAGCGATCCACATTGCTCAGATCAAAGCACAGCGGACAGCCTACTAGTTCCTGAATTGCCTTGATTTCATCATCATGAATCTTCTGACGACACTGAAACTGCTCCCCATAGTGATTACATGGCTCGTGGTGTACAGCTATCCGGAAGCTCCTTGTTCTTCCGATGATTGCAATAACCTGCAAGGAGACTCAGGGACCGTGACGTCTTCATCGCTTTACAGAAAAGCACTTCCCAATGCCCCCGACGGGTACACACCCCAGGGTGAAACCTGTCTTGTAGATAGACCATCCATCCGCAATGGGTCGACACTGTCAGCGAACGAAACGGCATGGCTGAAACAGCGACGAACCGTCACCACTGATGCTATGAAAGACTTTCTGGGCCGACTGGACTTCGGCTCCCTAGACGCATCTTCACATATCGAGCAGAATGCTGGAAATGCATCCGCACTCCCAAATATCGGGATCGCGGCGTCCGGCGGTGGTTATCGAGCGCTGATGAATGGCGGCGGCGCCCTACAGGCTTTTGACTCTCGAACGCCCAACTCGAGTCTTCAAGGCCACTTGGGAGGGATTCTGCAGTCGGCTACATATCTCTCCGGCCTGAGTGGGGGCAGTTGGCTGGTCGGGTCCATCTATCTCAATAATTTCTCGGATGTCACGTCCCTGCGAGATAGCGAAACGGTGTGGCAGTTCCAGAATTCCATCTTCTCCGGCCCAGAGCATGGCTTTGATTTCGGCGTCAGTACGGTCAAGTACTATTCGCAGTTGGATGATGCAGTGAGCGGCAAGTCGGACGCTGGGTACAATGTTTCTATCACGGATTACTGGTAAGAGCGAACATTCTGCTAGATCTGCTTTTCTTGGACATTGGTGCTGATGTGACCACGAAGGGGTCGCGCGCTCTCCTACCAACTCATCAATGCCACCGAAGGTGGTATCAGCTACACTTGGTCCTCCATTGCTCTGAGCAAGGCTTTCCAGAACGGTAGTATGCCTATGCCTATCGTCATCGCGGATGGCAGAGCTCCTGGGGAGATCCTCATTCCAGACAACACGACCGTGTTTGAATTCAATCCGTGGGAATTTGGGACCTTCAATGCCCCCCTGGAGGCCTTTGTGCCTTTGGAGTTTATCGCGTCCAACTTCTCCGCCGGGACGCTTCCCAAAGGCCAACAGTGCGCTCGCGGGTTCGACAATGCCGGGTTCGTGATGGGGACATCGTCATCGCTATTTAACCAAGCGTTCCTGCAGCTCAATAACACCGACGGGTCTCAGGTAGTGAAAAATTCCCTCGAAAAGATCTTGGGCGCGATTGGCGAGGCCAACAACGATATCGCCGTGTACGACCCGAACCCATTCTATCTGTACTCTAAGCAGTCCACGTACTCCAGCTCTATATCCTTGACCTTGGTGGACGGTGGAGAGGACCTTCAGAATATCCCTTTGGAGCCTCTGCTACAGCCGGAGCGCAAAGTGGACATGATCCTGGCGTTAGACTCATCCGCCGATACGAGCACGGGATGGCCCAACGGCACCGCCATGGTCGCCACGTACGAGCGCAGCCTGAGCCCGCTGGGCCAGAGCAACGGCCTCGCCTTCCCCTCCGTGCCGGACCAGAACACCTTTATAAACCTGGGGTTGAATAGCCGTCCGACCTTCTTCGGCTGCGACAGCTCTAACGTCACCGGCGCGGCCCCGCTGGTGGTTTACCTCCCGAACGCGCTGTACATCTACCAGTCCAACGTCTCCACATTCGACCTAGAATATAACACCACCGAGCGTGATGCCATCATCGAGAATGGCTACAACGTTGCCACGCTGGGAAATGCGACTATTGACCCCGATTGGCCGGTCTGCCTAGGTTGTGCCATCTTGAGTCGGAGTCTGGAGCGCACCAACACCGCTGTCCCACAGAGCTGCACTGCGTGTTTCCAGCGATACTGCTGGAACGGCACAACGAACAGCACCAATCCTGGCGCTTTTTATCCTACCTATAAGCTATCGCAGTTACATGTCTAGCAGCGGTTCAGCAGCCTCAAGAAGTAAGATTTTGCTTGCCTTGGATTATATATCGCCTTTGAGGAGGCGGTCTGCTTCGGTTGCGGTTCAGGTAATCGATATATGTGCCTAAGGATTGATAGCATTTTGGAGAAGTCGGTCGTTTTTAATGCAGTGCGCTGCGTTGTTGTGAGTACAAAGCAAAGGAGTGAATATTACAGCGGTTTTGAATTCGCTCCTCAGATGGAAAATCTAAAATACGTTGTTGACGTGTCAATTGAGCTTTGTGGATTAGTTAGGTACGCCAGGCGTCCAATGCTCATTTGTGCTGCGGAAGTGATAGACGTCATCCCGGGAATCATCGATCTCTATATTCACCATCAAATTCACAACTCTTCCATTTGCTCTGCTTTGTTCAGTATTAAATTTTGTGAAACAAAGCCAAAGCACTTCAGAGAACACAATGTCAGGAAATAGGGATATCCTTATTGTGGGTGCAGGTCTTGGCGGCCTCGCAGCTGCGTGTTGCTTTGCCAAGGATGGTCACCGTGTCCAGGGAAGCAGACCACCTGCTGAAATTAGCTTCCATCTGATACTAATCCTAGGCAGGTCTTTGAGCAGCGAGATAAATTGTCACCAAAGGGAAGTGGGCTTATGATACGCCCTGGTGCGTCTCGCATCCTTCAATCCTGGGGCCTTGGAGACGCCATTGAACAGGTTGCGGACACCTGTCTCCCATTCTCCATCCGAGATCTGGAGACCGACAAGGATAAGATACGAAGTTTACCAGCTTCACTTAGCAAATACCCGGATTGGGGCATTCATAGACCCATTTTACAGGATATTTTATACCAACATGCCGTGCAGGCTGGTGCCGAAATTACCTTCGGCAGTATCGTCGAAGACTTCTCCGATGAACCAGACAGAAGGCCAAGCCTACAATTTCGAGAGGGTAAAACAATAGCTGGCGATCTTATCGTTATTGCGGACGGCATTCGATCACGCTTACGCTCTAAAGCCTTGATTGACGTATCTGCGGGCTGGTCGGTGGACCCCAAAATCAGCGGTTCGGTATTTTATGGTATAACAGTGCCACGACAACACCTAGAGTCGGATAATGATGCCGCGTTATTGCTACAGCAAGATGAACCATGTGTTTGGGTGGGCAATGAACGCTTTGTTGTTGGTCGAAAGCCCAGAAAGCTTGAATTCTGGAGCGGATTGTTCGGCCTTAATCATGATGATGGCCAAGCTAGTATGTGGAATGAGGTATGCTTTTAGCACTATGGAAGCTATCTGGTAGGCTAACCATAACTAAGGACGGTGATATCGCCTTTGTGAGGCAGCGTTTTGAGGGGATCTGCCCATCTCTCTCAGGGGTTCTCAAATTGGCGTCAAAGTGTGACAGATGGAAGATCGCCGAGATGCCAAATCTTCCTCGTTGGACGAGCAAGACTGGCAGGGCCATCCTACTGGGTGACTCGGCGCATGCAATGGAGCCCAACGCGGCACAGGTTTGTCTCCCGTCGAGACTTCACGGATTGGTTGGAGATATATGCAACTAGAGTCTTGTGCTAATTTTCTCTCAATAGGGATTATCTCAGATCATTGAGGATATAGGAGTTTTGCAGACATTACTTTTGTCATACCCCTTTTTGGATATCTCTGTGATTAGCAGATTCTGGGAAGATATACGAAAACCCCGAGTTGAACGCATCAAGTCCTATGCCGCTTGGAACACGCAAATGTTTCTTGGGAAAAAAGATCATGCCGCCTCGCATTCGAAATATGCTGATAGCGACTGGGAGTCTATCAGAAGCATTGAACCGAATTCTGCTGCAGATTTCAAAAGCCCTGCATTTTTCAAGTGGGCTCACGACTATGATGCCATTGAAGAAGTGAGTCTGCCGCTCGGCTCGGGCGCATCCCTACGCGCGAAGGAGAGAGGAGAGAATAATATGATACGAATTGCTAACAAGTGACTAGACCCACAAATACTTGGAGAAAGCCAACAGAGCAAGATCGAGATTGTAATGATTCCCAGATGAGGAATACAGTAACCAGAGGAAGACTACTTGTGTTCTGTAGATAGGAAACTTGAGAAATTAAATACGGTACCAAACTTTTAAATTGATTTCCAACCAATCGTGGTAATTTAATGAGGCCAGGATTCCGGTACAGTATGATGGATCACAACAAGTCCCAGTTTTCAAATGTCACTGATGGCACTTTCAAGGCTGAATTTCGACAAGTCCCTGACGCGATGGCCAGAGATAGCCTTGACCCTAAGAGGTCTACAATTGTGCCTGTTTGCGGAAACTCATAGTAAGTTTTTAGCACGTATGTATGTCCATTCCAGGGAGCCCTAGGGCAGCCCTGCTAACTGTCAACTTAGGGCTTAGGACCGCAAATGGGCCTGGTCTCCATCCTGGCACGGGCTAAGGACGCATTATTCCCACGAAGTCGGATTTGTGGCCTTCATTGCAATGTCTGTCGGTGCCAATTTCTTGTACGTTTGCGGCATCTGCACGCTGTCCCAGATGTACAACAACATGGGCCGGGTTGCTATCGAAGGCGCGTACTATCTGACCTACCTTGTTGGCGGAGTCTTCTTTATTTCCTCGGTCCTACATTTGGTTGCATCCTGTATATCGTTTCTCCGGTTGAATAACCACTAGGCCCAAAATACGGAGCCGCACTCAGCCTAGTGGTTGGTGGTTTATAATCAACTTCGGCAAGGGGTCGGGGTAAATTATATCAATTCATCCACTGAGATGAAATGAAACGCATATTCTGCTTGAACTTGCTTGCCGCGAAGAACCCTTCCTAAGCGCAGCTTTAGGTAATGTGTCTCATCATCCTGCCTTAAATCCTCTAGATAGCTCATCAGCCCGGCTCTGTTCGGTTGCGTGCCGGTAGTTGAGGATGGGACAACTTCCCAGGATGGCGCATTCCAGAATCCAGAGGTTGTCCAAGTCTTGGAATGGAGTTCCACGAAGACCATCAGGTCGGGCAACCAGAGGCAGTTGCCTGTTTTTCGGATTTGAATAACCTCGTTCGGTATAATATTTAAGAAGGTTGACTGCAAAAGATCACTCTTGTCTGTCTCATTTCCGTCCATGGGTTCAGTAGAATACCCAGACCTTGGGCTTTCTGTTCCCGAGTTACACAGAGAAGCATCGCTTTGAACACTTAAATATTCTTTCTCCCCGTCAGCCTTAGACATATATTCTCTCAACACGACTCTCTTGACCGAACTTCTCTACGAGTTTTTCGTTTGATTCTGCCGCCCTTCTAGATGTTTGTAACTCATTCGTTCTCTATCCTCCGTGGCAAGTACGTGTGCGATCGAAGTAAGGTTCTTGATCTAGACGATGGCAATCAGTGGCAGAACAATAACTGCTGCTTCGAGGGACTGACCTCGCGCCCGTTCAGAGAAAAATTATCCAGCTGTTGTAAATCGTCGTGCCCGACTATATGTAAACTTATTTATCTGCTCAACATCCTTTTGAATGGGCAGCTCGGGCGGGCACTGATCAGTCCCATGATGTTGATAGACCAGGAGGAAAACCGAGGCGGGGTCAAAAAAGAACTGACAAAATCTCAAAAGTTATAGTTAACTAATAAGCTTAACTACTGATCCACACTATTCAAGTTTGGGAGGCAGGTTTAGCAGCCTCGCCCAAAATGAACGCCCTCTCATGACACTTTTGCCATATCTTGTCATAGGTTACTTCTGGGTGAGTACCATTACGGAAAGGGCGGCCGCCTGGATAGGCCCGCAACGTACAGGTGCATATAGGTTCAATAGGCTTTGGTAAATCTACAATTTCGTTTTGTGTTATCGACCATGCTATTGAACCTAAATTGCTCTTATATAGAGCTAGAATCGTGGCCATGGTATTTATTTTAGTAAATGCATCTATTCAACACAATCCAGTCAGGCACACCAAACCAGGCAACTAACAACCCCACACCAACCCAACCTTCCAACCTTGAGCCTCACCGTCTATCTGTCAAGCAGCTGCATTATTAAAACCAAACACATATCCTAATTAGGGAACAATGGGGTCCTCAGCTTCCATCTCAAATCCCACAAACAACAACCAACTCTACTACCCACGAAACCCCTCGGACGCACTCTCGGCCTTGACCATCTTATCTCAGAAACTCCCCACCGAAATAAGCCTCCAGATCCTCGAACACGCCAAATACTGGGTCGCGAACCGCGTCTCCCGCACAGAACAAGTTACCTATACCCAGCACGACCCCGCCAGCCACGACCCCTATCTCCGCAGCTTACCTATCGAAGGAACACGCTTCCCCGTCCGTGAAATTCGAATCCAGATCCAGAGCCACGACCAGGGGTGGAGCAGTTACCCAAAGGATCGTGGCACGCTCCGGAACTCGTGGACGTGGTTTGAGTTGGGGGTTGAGCACGCTTCTGACCGCGAGGCGGAGACGGGTGTTTCTTCAGAGCGGGATAGGATTAAGGATAGGCGGCTTGTGACGAATGTGCATGCTAGTAAGAGTGCTAGAGAGAATGTTGTTATTTATCGGGCCGGTGTGGAGAATGAGCAGGATGATGATTCGGGTGTTGGAGATGGGTTGAGTGTGCGGGAGCTGGGCGAGTTGGCGAGACTACAGGCTGGGGATTGCGTTTCGATTATCCCGCGCGCGAGGTTTGCGGGATGGACCAATTTCGTGTGTTCTGCCTCGATTGAAATTTATACGATGGATCTATAATCAACGATGGTGTAGCTATATTGTTGGACATGGTTAGGTTGCTACCTACCTACTACACGGGAATATGTTCATTCATTTATCGAATTCTGATTTCATTTGACTATTCGTATTGTAGACCGAGTACGGCCATCGTCGCGACTCCCTATTTAGAGATAAAATAAAAGAACATATCCGGTAAATAAAACGGGTGAAGAAAAGATCATCGTGGCACTTGTCCCGATACAAGCGCGGACGCCGCAAGGGCACGGAAGGTCGAAAGCAGAAAAAACGCAGCGCGCCATGCAATGAGTCAAGGAAGAAATGTGAGAACAAAGGAAATTTTGGGGCGAGCAGTTTCAGTCTATAGCGGCTTGGGTCCCGCAGCAATGACCTCGGGCGTGGCCTCGTCCGAGTACTTCTTGAAGTTCTCGTTGAAGAGGCCGGCCAGCTTGTTAACCTCGTCCTTGAAGGAGGTGGAGGCGGTCCAGCTGTTCTTAGGGTTGAGCAGCTCATTCGGCACGCCGGGGCAGGCCTTGGGCACATGCAGGTTGAAGACGTCGTAGGTCTCGTAATCGGCCTTGGCCAGCTCGCCGCTGTGGATGGCGTCCAGGATGGCGCGGGTGTACTTGAGGGGGCAGCGCTTGCCGCCGGTGGTGGCGCCGGCGCCGACCCAGCCGGTGTTCAGCAGCCAGGCGTTGACCTTGTGCTGCTTGATCTTGTCGGCCAGCATGCTGGCGTAGCGCATCGGGTGCAGGGCCAGGAAGGGCTGGGCGAAGCACGACGAGAAGGTCGCCTGGGGTTCGGTGACGCCGTCCTCCGTACCGGCCATCTTGGAGGTGTAGCCCGAGATGAAGTGGAACATGGTCTGCTCGGTGGTGAGCTTGGAGATCGGGGGCAGGACACCGCGCGCGTCGCAGGTCAGCAGGATGATGTTGGTCGGGTGGGAGTCGCTCTTGCAGGGGATCTTGGCGTTCTCGATGTACTCGATGGGGTAAGCGCAGCGGGTGTTCTCGGTCAGGGTGCTGTCGTCGTAGTTGACGACACGGGTGGTCGGGTCGAAGACGACGTTCTCCAGAACGGAGCCGAAGCGGATGGCGTTGAAAATATCGGGCTCCTTCTCGCCAGAGAGGCCAATGCACTTGGCGTAGCAGCCGCCCTCGATGTTAAAGACACCCTTGTCGGTCCAGCAGTGCTCGTCGTCACCGATGAGGGCACGCTTGGGGTCAGCGGACAGAGTGGTCTTGCCCGTACCGGACAGACCGAAGAAGACAGTGACGTCGCCATTCTCGCCCTCATTGGCCGAGGAGTGCAGGGTCAGGACGTTGTGCTTAACGGGCATCTCGTAGAAGAGGACTGTGAAGACACCCTTCTTCATCTCACCGGCGTACTCGGTACCGAGGATGACCATCTCCTTCTCGGCGAAGTTGATCGCCACGGAGGTGGCCGAGGTCATACCCTCAGTGAAGCGGTTGGCGGGGAACGATCCGGCGTTGTAGATGACATAGTCGGGGTGGAAGTGCTCCAGCTCCTCTCGAGTAGGGCGGATCAGCATGTTGCGCATGAACAGAGCATGATAGGCACGGGCGCAGACGACGCGCACGCTGATGCGGTAACGCTCGTCCCAGCCGGCGTACCCATCAATGACGTAGATGCGATTCCGAGTGTTGAGGTAGTCGACAGCACGCTCACGGTTGATGCGCCAGACCTAGCGGAAGTTAGTATGATGTCATTGCACGAGATGCGGAGTAGCCGAGGTAAGAGGAAAGAAATGAAAGAAAATAATTGGGGAAGTCGGGAGGTCAATGATAGAAAGGCGAGGCAAGTGAAGTGTAGAGGCAACGATGGTTTGCGTTACGCAAACTAGAAAGCTTGACCTCCGGATATACATGCAAGGGATCCCTGGAGGCTGCCAGGGCATCCTTCCAGAGGTATGTGAAGAGCAAAGAGGGGGAAAAAAACAGACATGAGACCACTTACATCAGGAGTCATGGGCTTGTTGACAGGACCCCACCAGACTTGGTTCTCGGAGGACTCTTCCTTGACAATACGCTTGTCGGATGGTGACCGGCCAGTCTTGGCACCGGAGTATGCGCTGAGGGCACCGCTGGAGGTGATGGCAGTACCGGTCTCGTAGACCAGGGCATCTTCATAGAGAGCAGGGACAGCAGGGTTGGCAATGATTGCGACCCGATCGTAGTCGATGTGCGCGGTCTCGTGCAGCTCCTCCTCCAGCTCGGTGTGACCCTTGCCAGGTCTATTGATGGATATGTTAGCGACGGCGACCTAGCAACGACAGGGACAGGGCAAGAAAGAACATACTGGACACCACCGGGGTGCAGCGCTGTGCGATTCACTGAAGTAGCAACCATGTTTCTGAGTGAAGTAGAGTGGTAATTGTTGTTGCGTTGTTTCGCGACTTGCTGTTGGATGAAGTCAGTGGCCAGAGGACCGGGAGACTCGGGGCGGCCGGGGGGTATATAATTGTTGCCGGCAGGGGCCATGGTCGGCGACGATACTTGGTATGAAGGTCAACTTTCCCCTGTGTTTCTCCACAGTTCCACGGGTGATGTCGGGGCTGAGGGCCGAGCTGAAGCGCCGAACGGTTGTCGAGGTGGAAGCGTTGCCGTGCGTTGCAATGCTGGGAGGCGTTGTCCGACTTGACCCGAGGGGCAACGAATTCCAGCCGGAGATCTGGTCCACTCGTATAGTTGTGAGATTGATGATGTGAAAGAGTCCAAAGGTATGGTTGTCGATGCTTCTCTTTTATCGCTCAGCCGTTACCTAGGTTCTACAGCTGAGAGCTTCCAGTCTTGTGAACGTTAACCTTTTACCCTGGCACGACTGGTCGCTTTCAGCCACGGACGACTGGAATGACGCGCCAATGACTTCACCAGAGGGAAATCATCGCGGGGAGGCGCTGACCTAAGCTCTTCACGGTCGATCGACGCGACTGCCGTTCGTCCTATCACGTCTACAATTACTGGTTGCTAGTTAATCATTCGGCTCCTGAACAATCATCCGTCGGAACTCGTCGACAATTCTTGAGGCAATGACGACAGCCCCTTGGAACCTTTTATCCCTTGGATCCTCTCCTTCTCCGCTGTCTCCAATAACGGCGATTAACCAGCCGAGGATGATGTAGTCTGGATCATCGATCCCGGCGCTCTCGACCAATCATACCCCACACATTTCCACCTCACCAGGTGGTATCGGGTGGGCAGAAGATATTGCCGCTGTTTCCCGGCGGCCTTTTCGACGCAGAAAAAAAAAAGGGCTGGACGCACGGAAATACTCTCAATGGCCCCGATTCCCGAAATGCCATGGTCTCGACCTGCAATCCCTGACATCGCCAAAAAAACCTTCGGTCAGTCACGGGGTCTCTTTAGTTTTCGCTTTCCCACGGCCCGGCCTCACAGCGTTCTAGTTTTGTCCGCAGAATCACAAGCAACCCCAGATCTTCCGTGGTTAGCGGCGGATCCCGACCCGGCTACGGTCTCGGGAGACCTTTTTGCTACGAGTTCCAGATCATGATTACTTGTCTTGATTTTTGCGCGAATTCTTGGTCGGCTTACGTAGTGTATCCAATTTCACGGCATCCCGCCGATCCAATAATGTAATACGGGTTTGAACTATGCAGGAGGCTGAGGCTTTTTTTTTATTGCTCTCTGTAAGGGCTCGTAGTGGGGAACCCGTTCGCCCTGTCCGGCGCAGAACACAACTCCGTTGTTGACTTGTTTCTTATCAAACGGATCAACAGACTACCTCCAACAGGCGCTATCGGCATCAAACACTCCGAGATGGCCCTCCTATTTCACCCGCCCTGATAGGCGAGTCTCGTTTTTGATTCATTATCCGGTTGAGTGCCCAACCGGCGCGGTTTCAAAGTGGTCTGGCCCGCTAGGCAAGAGGGACAGGATCGACTAGGCTCCTAATTTGCCCGACACGGCTGACATGTATAGATTCACGTCATGCCCCACGACACCAACTAAATACGATAGTGGCTGTGCTATTATTATTCCCGTATTATTATTGCAGGGCACAACATTTCTCCGACACACCTGACCATGTTCATCTTGGCATTCTTCGTCTGGGGAAACCGCATGGTCAGTAATAATGCGGGGTCTAGCGTGACCAATGGTCCTGTTAATAGCTGCGCTCGGTTACCCTCACCAATCGCTTGTCTAAGCCCCTCCCGCTAGGGGATCTGTCTTAGCCACGGCGGTGGTTTGGGCCATGTCAGTTGACCATGCGCGTTGTCTGTGCTCGAACAATTATTGTTTGACAGATCTGTTTTCCTGGGCCGAGGAAGGGTTCGTGCAAGTGGGAAATAGATCCGGCAACGTTCCGCTCCCCGGACTTGTTGACTTTCAAGATTACAACCATGGTAGTCTGGACTTGTCTTCTATTGACATTTTCTTCTCATCCGTTTTATATGCAATCACAGATCTAGATATAACCCATTGTGGAATTGCCTGTTTTATTTATTTACAACATCACAATAGGGCCTGCACTGGTCCTCCTCCAGAACAGAGACTCACCACGACAGCAACGTCCTCAATGCTTCGCGGGCTTCTTCTGCCTTTTCGTCGTCCTTTCCGCCAGATGCCGCTTCCAGGAAAGCCTTGACCTCCGAGACACGAACTCCAGCAATTATCTCTTCGGTGTCCTAAATGCCATCCACCTTCTCAAGAACGATGCCTTGGCGATCCTTTACATCCTCTACAGCCGAGATGGTTATAGACCCTTGATCACCAACAAAACAAACTCGAAAATACCCCTTCAAGAGGCAAAGCAAACACTCAAAAATCTAGAAGCGCCGCTGTCAAACTGTATCGTTGCGTTAATGGTGTCTAGAGGAGGAAGAGGCGGATATGTGTGCCAGACTTGCTGAGAGTTTTGACAATCTCTAGCCTGGAGACGCAACGAATCAGAGCGATAAAGTACATGCCATCGTCCAGAACAAACCCCCCTAATACTCTGGGCTCTTTCGCTATTCCGTCTCGTAATACTAGTTCTCAACAGGCCAGGCGTTCCCCCAAACGCGGGCATGGAGGTGATTTAGCTTGCCGATGCGGCCGCCGACGACTACTAGCTCGCGAGTACGGGTGAAAGCACGCTCGTGGCGGAACTGCTCGGCCACTGAGAACATGAGTTCGCGAGGACGGAAGGCCTTTTCGTAGTCAGAAATCAACTGCACCGCTTCCTGCACATTCTCAGCAACGGGCTTTTCGCACAGCACGTGCTTGCCAGCTGCTAGACACTGGCGAGCAACTTCGGGCTGGACGAGGATTGGAAGGGAAACAATGACTGCATCAATGTGCTCGCGCTTGAGTAATGCCGACAGCCCTTTGTTCTCTGCGGTCAGCTCTTCAGCGTAGACATGGATGCGCGAAGTTGGTGCATCTAGAGCTGCGGCGGCAGTGACAAGGGACTGGGCCCATTTGACCGAGCGCGAATAAACCACGAGTATATCGGCCTGGATTTTTATCAAGGCTGGGAGATGGGCTAGGTATGAATGGTTAGCTTTCGAGTTTAGATACTTGAAAGAGTATTCATATACCCTCTTTTGAAAAAGGCCCCCCAATACAGCAATTTCATCAACGTTTCGCCGTTCGAAAGAAGAGCTCTATCTCTTGAAGACCACTTGCAAACGGCGCAACGCTTTAAAATAAGCCGCATCCCGGCACTTGGGGAGATAGATTGCGGGCCCTGCCGATCTAATTGCACGAACTAAAACAGCATGTTGTCAGTATTGCACCTATCGGCGCGCAGAAGTGGTTAGGCCTTACTTACCCCACAGCTCCAACGCAATGTCGCAATCTGTTAGCGACATAAACAGTGGGATCTGGCCTTCTGCGCCTAAACTTCTCTCGCATCTCGCGTGTGCGCTCCTCTTGCTCTTCTTTCGAGAGAGGAGGAGGTGAAGGGGGACCACGAGGCGCGACACATCGTCTTAAGTGCTCTAGTTGAGCTTCAGTCAATTTCTGTGGCATGTTGGAGAGTGGTTAGGTGAAGATGTGGTCGTGTCTAGGGAATGGATACGGTCGAGGGAGTCGGAACAATGATATACTGGGTGGGTCGGTTGGGGGGCTGCTGCCCAGTGGCAAGGTAAAGGGGGCGCAAACAGGCACCACAAATAATATTATTTCAAGGCAAAAATGCGGATTATCAAGTCAGATGTGTTACTATGTAGTACATAGTTGATTCCGCATGGATCAACTACCGTCGAAATAGTGTAAAAATAACCCGGTTAGTAAGTCCCGTAGGCAGGGCATTTGTCTTGTTCTGATTGGCGAACTAGATCTTCACGCCCATCCGCACAAACGTCAAGAGATGTACAACAAACAAACACACCACAATGCTAAAATGACCCAGCCGAAGGACCTCCAGGCCTTCCTGCGGCCACTCCACACAAACAAGGAAACTCTGTATCGGTTATCTCGTCACCTGTCGCGTATCTACCGCGAGCTTGCCTCGAGCTCGTCCGAGCAATTCTTCCCCACAGCCATCACCCGCTTGCCTACGGGGCGGGAGACCGGCCACTATTTGGCTGTCTATCTCGGCCTGCACTATCTTCGAGTGGCATTTATCGACCTCCTGGGAGACCAACCCGCTGGGCGGCAGCCCCCGGTGCGGCGAACGCTCGAAAAGGCCTGGCCCATTGAAGACCGTCTACGCCGAGACCAGCCCCAGTCTCTGTTCGCCTGGATTGGCGATTGTATTGCAGAGGTGATTGCCGACAGCTTGGCCAACTCCCGCGAAGATGCGCCCTCCCAACTGACAATGGGGATTTCCTTTTGTTTTCCAATCAAGTTTGTCTTCTTTCCTCTTCGTGTCCATTGAGACTGGACTAACTTGGTGACAGACAGAAGTTTCTAAACGAGGCTATCCTCATGCCAACGGGGAAAGGTTTTGCTTTGACCTCTTCTTTGAACCTTCATCAGGCTCTCGTCGAGGGCTATGAATGCCATACCGGTCGCTCGGATGAGGATTCAGGAGCCGAACGGACGAAACGGCAGAGACGGTTTTGTCTGCCCAAGTTGAGAGTCACTGTCATGACCAACGATACCGTCGCCACGCTTGCCTCGTTAGCGTACTCCATCCACTCACTCCCCAACACGCGGGTCGTGATGGGCCTCATCGTGGGGGCTGGTTGTAACTCTGCCATCCCCATGAACATTTCTGACCTGGACGAACCCAAAACACGGCACATTCTAGAGAAAGACCCGACTGCCACAGAAACAGTTGTGTCGACTGAATGGACCCTCCGGGGAGCAACATCTCCCTTGGAAGAACTCGGGTTTGTCACCAAATGGGACGCCGAGCTCGATGCTAATTGCAGTCGGCCGGGGTTCCAGCCTCTCGAGTACATGGTGGGCGGTCGGTATATTGGCGAGCTGGTCCGAATCATCTGCTACGACTGGTTCCATGAGACCTTGGAAGTCTCAAGGTCTGAGCTGCCATTGAAGCTGGTCGAAGAATATTCATTGACTACAGACTTTCTCTCGTTGGTGGTAGCCTCGGCCTCTAATAACGAGAGCTTGGCGCAAGAATTAGCAGAGCGTCTTCCGCCGCCATCTTCCAGTGATTGGCGCTGGACATCCGAGTATGCTGGCCATATCCGGTCTATTGCAGCGACGGTGCAAGCTCGATCAGCGGCTTTGGTCGCTGCTGCAACTATTGGGCTTCTCGCATGTACGGGGGAGCTTCAACTGCAAGATAGGGAATCTATTGAACGTCTGACCGGTCAGGTCTCGGATCTGTCCGCAGCCCCAAAGAAAGAACAAACACCTTCAGAGCTTGTGTCTTCAATTTCGGGATGGCGAAATGGGCCGGAAGAATTGGTGGTTGCGGTCTCCGGCGGAGTGATTCAGCATTATCCCCATTATAAAGAGACCATACAGCAACATATCGATCGACTCATCATCCTCGCAGGCCCCCAAGCCGAAGGGAAAAGCGTCTTTCTTCGAGATGTCAGCGACGGCGGGATTATTGGAGTCGGCGTTCTTGCAGGAACTGTGGCAGGAAAGATTGAAGGCATTGTGGGCTCGACATTAGACGAACAGCACAGTCCAAAGACAGAAACACGTGCAAAGGAAAATATATAAATCCATGATATTGGCTATACAAAGAGGCATTTGCATACTTATATCTACGAATCTATTCCCTATACCCCATCAAAAGAGGATAATATCTTCATTGACACCTCCCGCCTCCTTCCATTTAGCAAGAACGCTTTTACAGTCATTCGTCACAGTAACCGCATAGTCCGGTCCAGGCATCACAGTAGGTGCCTTCGCCGGATCCCCCAGTAGCCATGCCACAGGAGCAGGAGAAGCGCCAGCACATGCTTGTCGGAGCTCCTGGACCTGATCCTCATCAAAAGCTCGGCCCAGGATCACAGCGCGCGGAGGCTGGCTGTAATTGTGTGTGCCGACGCCTTCGTCGTTGACCTCTGACACCTGGGGATCGCGGCCCGCAAGGAGAAGCGGGAGCTCCGCTTTTGCTGCTTCGAAGCTCTGGATGAAGTGGATCACTGTGGGACCATTGTGAGATTTATAGCTCTTAGATTGAAACCCACATAGGAGTATGTGTAGAGACAAGAGATATTGATTCGTACGAACCTTCATATTCTGGTTGGAGGAGCTGCGACACCGGTTTGCCGATCTTGGTTGTTTTGCCGCAGAGCACGACGGGAAGCGGAGTCGGGAAGGTAGACATTTTTCGCAGTGGATGATGGAAAATGGAAGCTGACAGACGACCGGAAATCTGGCGACTTATATTTAGGGCCATGTTGACTAGTTGCGCGCGCACACCCCTCGGTGGGGCAGCTGGATATTTATACAAATCTGGTCTAGTCAGAAGATTAATGACGCAGCCAAGAGATAGAACACACTAGGTTTTTATCTGACTGCGCATTCCTGACCCATCTAGGGGCGTGCGACTGGACTCTGTGAGCTTGCAACTCTCCCCGCAAGGCTGTGGTATTCGGCCCGGCCCAGCCGAGATACATCATCGTCATGTCTACTTCTTCACTGCGCCATCTAGAGCACCACCGCGCAGTCTACTTAACACTCTCCTTCTACGCCACGAGCAAAAAGACCTGTCTTCAACAATTTCCACGACGGCGGCTTCTCCATCGCCCGTGCCCGCGACGATGCCCGCTAGGCTACGGCTGTCATAATCTCGTACGCGGTTGTAAATGTGGCGAAGTCCGTCTTACCTGATGTGGTGCCGGTGTTTCAATAGCCAGCCATTAATAACTTAAGCCCAATCGATGGGTGCCAGAGACAGCCTTGGCAATCACTTTTTCCTAGTACAGAAACCAGTGCGAATTGGCGGGGCTAAACCTAATAATAATATTAGAATGGGGACCAGGTACGACTTACTTGCCGCATTAGGAATGTAGACTCTCCGATCCTACACCGTGCTCCAGATTAACATCCTCCTCGAAATTTGGTAATAGCTGGATGTTAAATGTAATACCTATTTACGAAGTCGCTATTCTTATTACGCCTTCATTTTGCCTCATGAAACATGAACACCACACACCAGACTATATCAGATGCTGTGGTAGTTAGCACTAACTACTGGATTGCACCTGAATATTCATTCTCGGTGGGGAATGAGGACTACGTCGATGATATTCTGTGATTGTGGGATCATGGGGAGCAGTATAATCTCGACCAAGCCCGCTCTGCACTGAGCGGATCAAGTGCTGGTGGAAATTTTGCCCCGGCGGTTCCGTTTCGACCTTGTAAAGAGCTCGATAAGCGAAAGTCATAGTTACGAAATAGTTAATAACGGGCTATCACTCGCCGGTAGTGGGCTTCCACCCCAGCACGGACTGGACATGATACCGCGCGGAGAGAGACGCCGCGAATCTGAGTGCAATACAGAAATCTATGATTTCACCGTCGGTTTTCCGATTCTTTAACCAGTCCTAACTATCTCATGCTTGAAAAAACTGCCAAAATCCCTGAGGGATGATGAGATACACAATATCGATATGGCTCACCCTTTTCTCTCCCTACGACCAACTCATCCGTCTCTCCTGCTGGCTTCATACCCACCCGCTGTGGCGACCTATATCTGCGGCTGGGAGCAGTGGTTCGTTGAGGGGAATACATTCCGAGACAGACTGGCTGAACTAGTGGCAGAGGGTCAGCTGAATTATGTGTGGATGGTGGTGGTTGAGGATGAGATCCATGCGTTTGATAAGACGCCTGATGTACGCGAATGCAATTCGGGGGTAGGATGATGTGGTCATAGCTATACTCGTATGTAGTTATTCTATTGTTCATAATTAATAATGAAGTCCTCGCTGTTGGTCTGACTCGAGGAGAAGAGCGGGGCAGCTGACCTGCTCGTCTTCGGCGGGGCATAAACTAAACTGTGTTTTCCTCTTTCCCTTTCTTCTCTTTCTCGTCCTGATTCCCCCAAGGTTCTCTTTCCCATACCCAATATCCCAGGTCCGACTCTCCACAGACATGATAACGAGTCTTTCTCTAACTGACTCGTAGATACCCAACAATCCAACCAAACACCATGTCCCACGCTAGCTGCCCCAAGTGCGGAGCCTCGGTCGGTTCGACCAAGAGCTGTAGCTCCTGCGGTGCTGTTCGTTGTCCCTTTTCCTTGTTTAGAGGCTGATGATACTAATATTTTTTGGTAGACCTGCCCTGTCTGAATGCAGGTCGTCGGAAGAGGTGTTGGGCATGTTTGCGGGTAATCGGGTCTGATTGTGCGTGTTTTTAACTGATATTCCACAATACAATAGTGGCTATCCTGGAAATTGATTCCTACTACTTAGTTTATTCTCGATGGATAGATATACGACACGAAAATCCATCATAAACAAGCCTGCTGGCCTCTAGATAGACGCAAGAAGTATAGCAGAACAAATGAAATTGTTGTGTATGAGAACAGGAAGAAAAAGCAGGACGTGCAAGCATCTCTCCAAACAAAGATAGACATGGGTGTTGTTCATAGGGGTTTAAAACGCAATTTGAAGCGCATCCTACAACGCAAACAAGTATGCCAGCATCGAGCCGGATACACCTTGTCATAATAAGGATAGGGGGTAAACTTAATCTCTCGAGACCGGTCTGAAGAACTCATCAGCTACCGATCTTGATCTTGCCAATCTCGATCTCTGCAGACTCCGTCAGAGCCTGCCAACGACCTCCCTCTCTCTCTCTCTCTCTCTCTCTCTCTCTCTAGTCATCTCATGTCATCTCATCGACAATCCGCTCATGCGGTCTTGCGCCACTGCGAGAAAACACCGATCAAACTGCTGACCGTACCAGCAATGCCGACCAGACCATCGTCAAGCGCAGCGACGCCGAGGGCAGCAGCGGGAACGGTCAAGTCGCACAGGTCAGAGATGAGCTGTAACCGCACAGCAGCGCGCTCCCTACAAAGCAACGATTAGCATTCCTCACCCTCCAGAAAGAAAACAAGGGAGTGACAAACTTCTCAAGCTTCTTCGCCTCAACAGCGCCCTCTCCCTCCTTGAGGTTAACACTCCTCTCCTGCTCCCTCAGCCGGAAGAGGGTATAAACACCCGCAACAGCCGAGCACGCCAAACCGGCGCCCCAAGCACGGTACGCGGAGTCCTGCAGGCGCTTCGCAGACGCCAGCTTCTTGACACCGATGGTGTCGACGACGCTAATAGTGTCGAGGGTCAGGTAGCCTGCATAGCCGAGCTGGCGGCCAATGGCGAGGTAGCGCAGGACGGGGTCGATGGGGCTCTTGTTGTCGAGGGCTAGCGCGGCGGCTTTGAGGTGCTCGACGAACTTGCCGATGCGCAGGATCTTCCGCGTTGTTCCAAATTGCTTCTTGATTGCGTTGTAGGGATCGATTGCGCTCTGCGGCTTGTTCGTCCGGTATAGGTACCATGCGTAGAAGCGGGAGAAGTACTGGATCGTGCGGAGAAGCTTGTCGCGACCGACTGCGGTGGGGTTATTGTTAGTGAACTCTCTGTGTTTTCCTTGGGGACTTTAGGGTTTACGTACCAGTCGTGGCGACGAAGCGGAGGTAGTGCGCCAGCGCAGGGTGGTAGACGAGGGCGTCGGCGACCATGTTGGGCGGAGCTGGTGGTGACTCCTTGATTTCCCGAGGTGACGGACGATAAGAGACCCGGGGGTAACTGAGTCGAAAGTGTCAGGCTTCGGTTGGGTGGGGGAGAAAGAAATAGGGACGAAGACTAGACTGTGGAGATGAAGTCGGAGTCTTAAAGAAGGGAAAAAGGGGATGGAGATGGAGATGAGGTGAATGGAGGGAGTCGCTCGGTCGGTAATTGACCGGCGTGTCTTGAGCCGCGGGAGAAGAACCTCGGCTGATGCCGGTTTGGGTAGATAACCGTAGGAGGCTAGTACGGTGAAGCACGCAGGCCCTTTGTAGGATTCATGTGAAGGGAATCTGTTTTAAGCTGTTGATTTATTTACACAGCAATGCGAGCTGTTCAAAATGACATTTGTATTTGCCCTACGTAGTTGTTTCCTGGTTGTTCCTAACCACTTCGCAGCTACTGGCGGATGCAGTCATCCCACATAACGATTTGGGACAACCAATAAAGATTACGATACATGAAGGATAAACACATTAATACCACGCAGACCAGTACGGGAAAAGGCTCAAGAATTATGTGTCGCGGGGGGCAGATTCAGCTCGGGTCGCATAGGGAAAGCTGGTCATCAGCGATCGTTGCAAGGGCTCATCATCAGGGCAGCGGATGGGCGCGTCGGGAAGTATAAAAGTCGTCGGGGTCGCAAAGAGACAGTGGGATATCGAGGGACGAACAGGGCGGATGTTGACACAGGTTTACTTCCGCTCCTCCGCTTCGGAGCTGCTCTCTCTCTTATTGCCCATGGTCGCGGTGTCGTAGCCACTTTCCTGCAAGAAAGCGCGGAACCGGGCGTCTTCGGCGGTGATGGTATCCTACAGTCGATCACGATTAGCCGGGCTATACCATACCCAGTGAGCAATAACCGAGTCATACCTGGTTAATCTGCGGCAGCAGGAAGAAAGCCAGCGCAGAACTGAGGAGGCACAGTGAGCTCGACACGAAGAACGGATCCATGCCGGAGCGGATCTTGTTGGGCGCGTTCTTCTGGATGATCGGAATGACATAGGTGCCCACGAAAGCACCAATCTTGCCAGAGGCTGCGGCGTATGAGTAGTACTGGCCACGAATGGCAGTGGCGCTTGTCTTCGATGCAACCAGGCCGATGTTGTCGCCGGGACCGAACTCGCCGAGAGCCTGGAAGATACTGGATTCCTCATTGTATCAGCAGGATGTCTGATATAGCTCTCTCAAGAACACTTACCCGAGAACAACGACAAAAGCAGCCACATTCTCTGGGGTTGCAAGGTACTTGTAGCATCCTGCCATGATGAACCCAATAATCCCTTGGAGACCAACTCCAATGGCCAGGGTCCTTTTCGGGCCGATCCAGTCACTCGCCCAAGCTCCAGCGAAGGAACCAGGGATGTAGAACAGGTTGAGGACAGTGTTCCAGCCAAACGTCTTCCACATTGGGGAGTTGTCACCCAAGATGATGCTCAACCACTTCGAGGAATAGATGTTGAAGGAATAAGCCATGAAATCATAGATGAACCAGATCAGCGAGACGAGTGTCTAGAAAGCAAGGTTAATATGGAAATATTGTCAAATCGGGAAACAAGTCGTACCAGGCGCTTCCAGTAGAACCTATCCTCATTAGTCAATATGCTCTTTGAGAAAATATCCCTTGTCGACTTACTTGACAATCAGCTTGATCGGGAACTTGTGCATGCGCTCATGGTTAAACTCCTCTGGCTCACTCATCTTCAATCGCAAGTAGAATAGACTCAGTGGTGGAATGACGCCGAGGCCCAGAGCCACTCGCCAGACAGCACGCAGGTGATCCTCTGTGAAAATCAGAACTAGGATCATCGGTATCAACGCAGACACCACATAGGCGAGATCAATCTGGAAGTTGGTGAACATGATGAACCAGCGATTGCGATGGCCATCCTTAAGTTCGCCCGTGTTCTCCGATGCTGCAACAGAACCAGCAGGATATTCGCCGCCAATACCGATTCCGAGGAAGAACCGGTAGGCTGTGAGAGCAGCAAACAGACCATAGATGTTGTCATTGTATCCGTAGGCACCAGCAGAGAGGGCAGCGAACAAAAACAGAATGATTGTCGAGATGATCAAAGACCACTTGCGCGACCAGTGGTCACTCGTGTATCCAAAAATCAGCATACCCACTACGGTTCCCGCGAAGGTGATGGCAGAGACATTCTGGCTGGCGGGGGAGTCACTGTACGCCTTGGGGTAGAGCGTGCTCAGAATCGTATTCACTTGACCGATCACCTAAAATGGCATGGTCAGCAAGCTTGATCTGTAGTAGATAACTGTGTGACACCCATCTGTGGCATAATCTGAAAGAATTAGACATACCCCATTCAGATACCCATCAGAGAAGAGACCAGCACCACAGGCGATCGTGGGCCAACTGCGCTCCCAGCGACCCTTCTGTGGAGTATGCAGCGGCACGATCTCGGCCGGAGCCTCCTTGAGCGGCGCAGGGCCCTTCTCGGTGTCTTCCATCGCAGAGTCTTTCACCACGGGGTCCTCCGCTTTGGCACTCATGGTTTCGGATTGAGGATCACAGGTTTGTGGTCGGGTCCTTACAGAAGTAAGGTTTGGGTGGTGTGTTTGGCGCAAGAAAGGGAAGGAAAAACAAGAAGATCTTAGGGGCCATACGACAAGCTGTGGTACCTGGCGGGTACCACTTGCCTTGGTAGTGCAACGCTGTGGCCCTCGGTACACCGCAGGTCACTTCGTGGGGCGCACCCAGTCTGGGGCCGGATAACTGTGGTCGAGTGGAAGGGCCAATGAGCGGTCACCATGTATCATGGCGTTCCGTTGCTGTTTGGGGGTCAATTGAAGGACTCAAGAGTATACTGTGATTTACACGGCAGAGGGACAGGAACAAGCCTTTTCGGCCCGTTCCCGAACTCGCAGGCATCTCCACACAAGGCGAACTACAGTAGCCATCATTCAAGCGAGCACAATAATGAGCCTATGATAGTCACACGTGCAAGTCCATGGCTGCGGGCTTAACCGGACTGGGCATAGATCCAAGCCCAGTACCGAAGACAACCGGAGTACGTAGTGTAGGTAGGCCGGCTCGGACTCGCTGAACAACTTTATCCTGAACACGCCACAGGCCATGTCGTGCGGCAGAGCGACGCTCTGGGGCCTCGATGGCTTGCTCAGTCCCACGTGGAACGAACTGGGTTCCTGATCTCAGCCCTAATCCGGCACTCCGTATGGATGAGCACGTGACACATAGAATTGGACGAAATACGGCCTGCCAAACATTTCCTCAAGGTTCTCTGAGCCGTGGCCGCACGAATTTTCCTGTCTTGAGCATTATGTCAGGTGTTGGCATCGAACACACGCGAAGTTGCGGGATGGCCGGCCGCTAGGGTCTCGGCTCGGAAAAACATTGTGCCAGCTGAGCTCTCTCTCCGCTGGATCACCTGGCCTGCATCATCAACAATCCCTCCGTGTCTGGCCCTCGCTCCATCTACACCCTCTACTCCCGTCAATCTCATCCTCTACTCATCCTTCCTCACCTACCCACCCACCCACCCCTGCCGTCACCATGGGGTCCGATCCACAGTACATCAAGTACCCCAATCTCACCCTCGCCCAGCATGTCTTCAACCTCTCCAACCCAGCCTGTGACGCAACCCTTCGCCAGTCCTCATTGAAGCACCTGCAAGATGCCATCTCCGAACACAAGATGGCCCCGTTCTACCGCTACCTAGCCCACCCGGTCGAAGGCATCCTCAACTCCTCCGGCGAGGGCGCACCACAACACCCGCATCATGGCGCGAATGCGACCAAGCCTCTCATCACTTCCAATATGCTCGCCTCCCGAAAGTCCCCACAAAAGGTGGATTTCCCATGGGACGAGGAGTTGTACCAGTCCCTGGTGGAAGATAACAAGAAGGAATTGGAGACGTTCCAGAAGGAGGAAGAGGAGGCGGAGGAGGCGGCCGGCGAGACCGAGGTGCAGGCTGCGCGGGGGAAGAGAGCTGAGTTCTGGGCCCGAGTAGGAGACAAGGTATGGGATTAGAGTCTGTCCGGTCTGTAAGGCTCTTTTTACTGACGGTGATCGTCTGATAGGACAAAGCCATCGAGTCCGGCGAAGCCCTCCTCGAAAAGACGGGATTCCTGGGCACCAAGATCGACCTGACGCTGGCGATGATTCGGATTGGACTGTTCTTTGGGGATCTGCTGTTTGTCAAGAAGATTATTGAACGAGCGGAGACTCTGGTCGAGAGCGGTGGTGACTGGGATCGGAGGAATCGCCTCAAGGCATACAAGGGACTCCATCTCCTCACAATTCGCTCCTATAGTTTGGCTGCGCCTCTCCTGCTGGACAGTCTGTCCACGTTTACGAGCTATGAACTGTGCAGCTACTCCTCGTTGGTGATCTACTCTGTGCTCGCGGGATCACTGTCCCTCAAGCGCGTGGACTTCAAGGCGAAGGTGGTGGATGCTCCGGAGATCAAGGCGATCCTCGGTGCCGGCGAGGACCAGCTGGCTGCGCTGACCGGTGAGGTGTCTTCCGGTCCCGGTGCCCAGGATGAAGAGATGAAGGATGCGACGGTGACGAAAGCTACCCCGGGGGGTGCCACTACCGCCGTCAATCTGGCCTCACTAGCCACCGGGTCTGGCGTGCAAGCCGAGACCGAAGCCGCCGTCGACTTTTCGTCGCTGGCAAACCTGGTCACCAGCCTGTACAACGGCAACTACCAGTCGTTCTTCCGGGCGCTGGCAGCAGTCGAGGACAACTTCCTGACGCAAGACCGGTACCTGTATGAGCACCGGGCGTGGTTTGTGCGCGAGATGCGGCTTCGCGCCTACCAACAGCTGCTGCAGAGCTACCGAGTGGTGGGACTGAACAGCATGGCGAACGACTTTGGCGTGACGGTGGACTTTTTGGACCGGTGAGTACTCCCCACAATAACGATTATTTGTATTCATGCTAAACCATCACAGCGATCTGGCCAAGTTCATCTCCAGCAACCGCATATCATGCACCATCGACCGAGTCAACGGCATCATCGAGACGAATCGGCCGGACGACAAGAACAAGCAGTATGCGGATGTGGTCAAGCATGGCGACTCGCTTATCACCAAGATCCAGAAGTACGGGCAGGCAGTGCGTTTGCGGGGCAGTGAGCGCAGCTAGTTAGACGTGTACTCTTAAAATGAGTGGAGTGAGCTAGAATTCAACGTTGATTACTATAACTCTTCAACCTGCATGACCTCCTTGTCGGGCTTCCCAAACTAGGATGCCTGAATATCCACAGTCCCATAGACAACTATAAAAAGAATAGCCACCCAAGATATGTCGTAACTACTGAAAGCTTTCTGTGTTCGATTACGTGGTCTCTGGGATCAGTATCCCAGCGTGTGGACATCATAGTTACCTGATTTTAGATTCTCATGTCGGATGACGAAATATACTCGGAGAAAGCCAAAAATCGATCAATGGTACGGCAGCTCTTTGCAGCGGACATGCTTCAGTTCGTGGATATGGAAAAGGTGTGGGGCCTCCTCCATTTGAGCACGTTTAGTGCTTTCCTGTCAAGAGAGAGCGAACAAGTCAAGGCCACCTATGCGTTGGACTAAATTATCTCCTTGTGGCACTTTTTAATTTAGAAATTAGGGATGCTCTTCTGATCCCAATCGACAACGCTTTGTCAAACTTCCCAGCGTGATACCCGACAATCTCAGTACACCCAACCTCTCCGTATGTACACCATTACTCGTTGCAGTGGCCCTCCCTGTAACATTGCTAGTATGAAACAAGCATAATTCGAGAGATTCGATGCGTTCGGGATGGCCCCAAGGATGAAGGAAGGTTTTTTTATAGTACCCCGGACTCCGTATGGATTCTGCAAGCAGAAAGCAGGTAATTATATCAATATTTAATAAGAAGTTCATTTCACACAGCCAGCCTTTGGAAGCTGTGCAGGCAGATATTCCCTTCCAGAGGAGTGGTACCTAGCACGTATACACATTACACCCGCAATCTTAAGCGTCCTTAGGTCCGACGTGCGCACCGTCGACCTCGTCAGATGTCAGCCCCTTGTTTCTTGCAGCAATCACATCAAAAGCAGCCTTGCTGTGGAAGAGGGTTTCCATCTCTTCCAAACTCTTCCCCTTGGTCTCCTTCGCGAAGAAAAAGACAATCAGACCCATGACAATATCACAGCCAGCGAAAAAGATGAAGGTATAGCTGCCCCAGGCTGCAATCATGTAAGGTGTGACGAGGGAGAACATGAAGTTGAAGAGCCACTGTGTAGATACGGCGACTGAGACTCCAACCTCACGGATGCGAGTTGGAAAGATCTAAAAGGTGAAGGCACGTTAGAATATTGTCAAACGGATATCACGAGTGGTACTATGAGCCTACCTCAGCACAGTACGGCCATGGGAGTGGTCCCCAGCTAAACTGGTAGACGGCGTTGGTGAGAAATATCATCGCCACGGTTGCTCGTCCGGCGGTTGTCGCGCCTGAATCGGTTACGGCCACCGTGGTATGGTTGAGGATGGTCACAATCACGAAGCAGAGGGCCATCAGGAAAGCAGCAATCATAAGAGTCGGCTTTCGTCCCCACATCTCCGAAAAGAACAAGAGGTAAACGGTGACAGCGACGAACTTCTCGGCACCAAAGAGCCCCGTGATGAGCAGAGACTGGCTATTGTTACTGCCGACAATAGTCTTGAAGAATTGCGGCCCAAAGTATGCGAGTGAAGTCATACCCGTGCATTGCTGGGCTAAGAACATGAAAAAGCCGAGAGCAAGCCTATAGCGGTTTGCAGGTTCTAGAAGCTCGCGCTTCTTGAGGCCCTCAGTGGCCCTTAGCTCTTCTTCAAGACCCACTTGGATCTCGTTGAACTCGGCTTTTACTTCGGGGCCTAGGTAAGAAGAATCATTCTGTCAACCATGCAACAAACCGACCGGTTGTAGGTGACCTACCATCACTAGCACGAATCCATTGCAAACTCTGCCAGGCTTCATCAGTCCGTCCCTTTTTGGCGAGCCAGCGCGTACTTTCAGGCACAGTGAGCAGACCAAGACCTAGTACTGCGGCCGGCACCATCTGTAGTCCAACTGGGATCTGCCACTGCTTAGAAACCGCCGGCAAGTTCGTATCGACTCCATAGTCAATCCAGTAGCTAATCATGACGCCTAGAGCAAAGAGACACTGCATGGCACCGCCAAGCTTGCCGCGGATCTCCTTAGGCGACATCTCGGCGCTATATGCGGGGACAACTGCTGTAGCTGAACCGAGGCCAAGCCCACTAATAACCCGTCCGATGTAGAAGCAGGCCAGCGAGTGCGAAGGGACAACCTCGAGTACAACGCCAATGCAGAAAGTCAACATGGCGAGTTGGATCGTGTACTTGCGACCGAATCGCTCGGAGATGGGGAAGATACCCAAAGCGGCGATAAAGGCGCCTGCGTTCTGCAGACTAACCATCACCGCGCTGACAGTTGTTGAGTCGGTGTAGCGAAAGTCGTTTTCGTAAGACGTTAGCGTTAGGACGCCACCTATCGATCATCTCTTAGCTCGCAAAGCGATATACATCAGGCCGTTAGGGTATATCCTACCCACAACACCGGTATCATATCCAAACAGAAACCCGGCAGTACAGACAAAAAATCCGAAAAAATAAGCACGAAAGGCTCCGAGCCTGGTTCCGCTCAGCTTGGCCATGATCGCGTCCGACAGTCTTGATCCTGCGTCTGGTAGGGCCGAGAAGGGTTTACCCCCGTGTAACGAGATATGCCCAGTTGGAAGAAAATAGGGGTGAAGTTTTAGGAGAGCAACACGCAAGGGAGTCTCAGCCAGAAGGAGGACAGGTTCCCCAGGCGACAAGTCAGAAAGGGGCCAGCTGACAGGGATGGTGGTAATGGTTAGAAATATTGCGTTGGGAACATCGAATGGCACCAGCCCCGGACTTTATAGGACAAACGAAACGCCCTTGAATGTGGGGTACACACGCCGTATGGGGGAGCAAGCCGAGCTTAGCTGCTACAGGAGAAGTGACCAGTCCGTTTTGGGATTATAAGGTGTCGCCAATGGTCGCATAGCTTACTTATCCTTACCCCAGAATATCCCCCACGTGCCGAATCTGGTTCATCGCAGAAGGACTGGGACTGCTGTGCCAATCAGGCTGCGATTCCCGGTCATTTGAGTTGAGAGGCTGCCCTGCTCGCCCTTCGCGAGAGACCCCGCTGCTTCCCAGGAGCCGACAGCCGATGGGTGGTGAGCACTAGGTTTCCTCCAACCAAGTAGAGTTAGTGCTTCCCCGCGATCGGACCGCCGAGGCGATGGCCCGACGATATGAAGCGGTAGACGCAAATAGGGGTCATAATTGCATAACAAGCTTGGGTGGTTGCAACATCCAGCTAAGGAACATTTGAGGCTTTGTGGAAGTTGGAGTTCTGTACAGCTTTCAGCTCGGATGGACCCACCAAGGGAAGAGGGAGTGATTGTATCTTATAAAGTAATCTCCGCATCCTCACTGTCAACCGCGCAATATGCCGAGTGGGTGTTGGGTTGAAAAGAAAAGCAGCGCCTAGGCCAGGTACTTCGGGTAACACTCAGGAGGATCGCGATGTTATGGAGCCGAGCCAAAAGCTCCGAGTTGGGCTTCATGCTACCCGTTACCACCTCGTCAGTTTTACTAATGCCTTTCTCGCCGCAGTACCTGAGGACTCAATTGACAAGCGAGGCGATGGCGAGACGAGTACGGTGGCATATATGCTCCGAAATTCATATCATCGAGTATCTAGGGTTAATCCTAATGAAGCGAGCGACAACATCGAGATTCTCCCGAGGAAATTCGGCAAGTAGAGCTGGGACATGATCAAATTTAGTTCCCGAATTGCCGCAGTGATACTCCTTATCACTTCCAAAGGCGCGACAATTACCAAGATCTCGAAAGTGTTCATGGACAGTCGGGTGTTAGATGTGGACAGAAATCAGCCGAAGATGACCAGCCCACTGTTTGAACCGAATTAAAAGTTTCCGAGCCTATTGATTGGCTGGATGAAAGACGGAGAGACGTCGTGGCGGCCCGGATGCGCTGCAGAACTTTGTATTAACATCATACATTGCTCATAACTCACCAGCTGGAATGGACAACGAACAGGATGTGATATCTACAGTGGCCCACTTATTCCAATCTGGCGCTTTCGCCTCGATTTTCAGACTGGGACTCCGAACACTCGCATACGTGCAGAGAATACTCTAGATATGGGGAAACCACACCAAGAGCCCTTCCCGTGGAATCGTACCGAAACAGCCTGGGTATGACCCCAGACCGTACAGGCTGGGGAAGTAGTCTCCATCACGGCCAGAGCGTGGTTAAGCCATTCGATGGAATACGAAGACTTAGACATGAAGTTTGGGTTGGAAGTGAGATCACGACCAAAAGATTGACAGGAAAGCGTCTCTTCAAAAGTGATTATGGATGGTGCCCAGATAGGGTTATAGCTACATCTGCCGCTAGTGACTACGAGGAGTACCGGATAGAATTGGTTGCCTTTTGGTATCTCAATGAGTTGGTACAATAACATATGAGCATTTCGCGGTTTAGCATCGCTCTGTAACAAATCAACCATGGTCTTTCAGAAGGGCATACGTAGTGACCAGGGCAAGAAAGTGGATTATAGAAATATACTGACATAACATACCTGACAGAGCATTACTAAATATGCCCTATACTACTTAGTAATGTCCATCCGGCCCCCGCTCCCCGTCCATCGGGCGGCTCCGGAGAACGTCGGACTCGGAGGATCAACCCCACGTTTGCCTATCACTTCGGAGCCTGCCTGACAGACCATCATGACGTGCATGAATCGATATCTTCTCGTCCGATACGGTCAATATTCTTCTTCTCCGTAGGCTCGACAGTCTCGCCAGCCATCCCAACGCGGGGAAGCGCTGACTCACGCTGCTGACTCAGCCTCCTCCACCTGCTCCATCTCTTTTTTTCCCGCAAGCGGCTTTTCGTGCCTGACGGAACCCTGCCAATCACTCCGATCTGCCCCTCCCCCATGTCCGTCTCATTTAGGCTCGCGCGGGCGTCTCCGCTACGGGCAACCCGGCCGAATAATGCCTTTTTCCTACATCGCCCGGCGTGGGGTCCTGTAGGTGAGTACTACATCCGTTATTATAACTCGGCCTGATCTCTCCCCTCTCACCACTCTTCCCACCCACTGACCCAATTCAGCCATGACTCAAACCAAGGTCGCTCAACCCACCAAGCGGACTTTGTCTGCCGTCCCATCGTCGAAATGCCTAAACGTCGACAACATGAACCCGTCCATCAAGGCAGCCAAGTACGCCGTGCGCGGGGAACTGGCCGTCAAGGCGGAAAGCTATCGCCAGCGCCTGGCCGACGGCGACAAGTCGCTGCCCTTTGACAGCGTCATATTCGCCAACATTGGCAACCCACAGCAACTCGACCAGAAGCCCATCACCTTCTTCCGCCAAGTGCTCAGTCTCGTCGAGAACCCCATGCTCCTCCAGAACCCGGAGGTGCTGAAGACCTCGTTCGGATATCAGCAGGATGTTTTTGATCGAGCCAAGACGCTGCTGGCCAATGTGCAGAGCGTCGGCGCATATAGCCACAGCCAGGGCGCACCGGGAATCCGGAATAGCGTGGCCAAGTTTATTGAGCAGCGCGATGGCTTCCCCGCGAATCCGCAGGATCTGTTCCTGACCGGCGGCGCCTCGTCTGGTGTCAATACCCTGCTGAACGTGATCTGCAACAACCCTAAAGCTGGTGTTCTCGTGCCGATCCCTCAGTACCCTCTCTATACCGCGACGCTGGCGTTGCTGAATGCGCAGTGCGTCCCATATCATTTGGAGGAACAGAAGGCGTGGGGTACGGATATTGATGTGATGCACAAGGCCATCAAGGACGCCAAGGCGTCTGACATTGACGTGCGTGCCGTGGTGGTGATCAACCCGGGCAACCCGACGGGTGCGTCGCTGAGCCCGGAGGATATTAAGAAGGTCATCGATCTGGCCGCCTCGGAGAAGCTGGTGATCATGGCAGATGAGGTGTATCAGACGAACGTATTCGAGGGTGAATTCGTGTCGTTCAAGAAGCGCCTGCGCCAGCTCCAGCAGGCCGAGCCCGGTAAGTACGACGACGTGGAGCTGGTCTCGCTGCACAGTACCTCCAAGGGCATGGTGGGCGAGTGCGGCCACCGCGGCGGCTACTTTGAGCTCGTTGGGTTCGACCCACTGGTCGTTGAGCAAATCTACAAGCTGGTGAGCATCATGCTATGCCCGCCCGTCGTGGCGCAGTGCCTGCTCGAGACCATGGTCAACCCTCCCCGGAAGGGCGATCCCAGCCACGAACTGTACCAGGCGGAGTATAACGGCATCCGGGATGGTCTGTACAAGCGCGCGCGCGCTCTGTACAGTGCGTTCCAGCGCATGGAGGGTGTCGAGTGCCAGGAGCCTCAGGTATGTTATATTCCCCTTCCACCATGTTGCTTCAATTACTAACTCCACCAACAGGGTGCCATGTACCTCTTCCCAACCATCAAGCTCCCCGCCAAGGCTGTCGAAGCCGCCCAGGCAGAGGGCCGTCCCGCCGACGAGTTCTACTGCCTGCGCCTGCTCGATGCCACTGGCGTGTGTGTCGTCCCGGGATCTGGCTTCGGTCAGAAGGAGAACACCTTGCACTTCCGCACGACGTTCCTCGCTCCCGGCACCGACTGGGTCGAACGCATCGTCAAGTTCCACGCCGAGTTCATGGAGAAGTACCGATAAGAACCAGTGGACGAGTGACAGATGATGAACCCACGAACCCAGCTGGGATAATTTCCCTCTGGAATTCACGCCATTATACGGGACGAGAAGAGCCGTTTGATCTCCGTGTACATCAGGAACAAGGGCCAGCTGCTGCTGCCTCTTGATACCTATCTTATAGACCAGCTACACCCAACCCGCCGGGACAAAATTTGTTTTTTTTTTTTTTTTTTGGCATACGCATCTACCATTTGATTGGTGTTGGCAAATTCAGTTCTGGGAATATGTTGTTTATTCATTGGAAATCAAATCTAGCGACATATCTATACACCTTTGGTCCTTGTATTATTTATTCCAAGTTTTCTCCGTCTTGTCTTGTTTTTATCTATGCTCGTATTTCTGTCCGTCCTCGGACGAACAGGCAGACAGACAGTCCAACCTGGCCTAGACCGACACATGCATGGCCTCGTCAGCCTCACTCCAACACATGGAATGCGCCTGGGCCCCTTGCGTGGTGCAAATCCATGCACCGCAAATCCGGATCGTTTTGCCGGGTATGTATCTTAGTCAAGTATTTCTTTTCTCGATCTACTACAGTATATCCCTTTGCAGGCAAGTGGATTGTGGGTGTAGAATACATTTGTGATGTGTGTCGTGTGCCCCAGTCCAATCCAAATCTCACTTCTTCCAGGTGGTTGGACTTGAGCGTCTCACCGTCCTGTCACGGGCTGTGTAAGTATACCGGCACCCACACCCGAATACATTATTATTATTATACCTACGACTTTTATATAGGTAGATACACTGAGTGCATCGGCTCCTACGAACCGGTTTCCCAAATAGTCCATGTAATTGTCTCCGCGTATGGTGCCTTGACCTTAATCAGACCATATTGTCGGGCACGTATATGACTTTGTTTCGAATCAAAAACAGTTTCTACCACGAGTATCAATTACTTCACTACGCTGCATATCCTTCACCCCTATTTTCCACAGCTACATTCCATCATGTCGGGCCTTCTCCGGGGGACTTCTGGTGCTTCCAGGGATCACCAGCACCGTGATTCATCTGGTTCTATCGTTTCTACCAAGGATACACCATCTACACAGCAGAAAGGCTCCTCGGTCAATCACAACACACCTGGTACGGATACGAACGACCTTTTATTTTCTCCGAGTAGTCAACATATATCAACTGTCTGCTACTGTATATACTAATCAAGAGCCCACTCTGCCACAGGCAACAACGCCTAAACAGCCCTCCATCATCAGCACCACACCACTGAGGCTTCGGCCACCACCATGGCCACAACGATGAGAATGCCGAAACACAACATCAACACCAACACCAACACCGACCTAGCCAGTCAGAAAAGGACAATACCGACTTTGCAACTGCGAGGAAATACGACGACGCGAGGCGGGAGAGCCATGGTGCTGGGATTGGGTTCCAGAGTGGGTGGCAGTGAATAAACCAAACCAGTAACTACCTACTCTACTTTAGTTTCTTCCACATGCCTTCGAACGTCATATGCCATGTACTTGGTTATAGGGTTTGGTTACCTATTAAGGCAACATCACATACATATTACCGCATACATATTACCGGATCGATCCACAAAACAGAGAAATCTTACCCGAACAGGGTTCCCCCCTGCGCGACTCGGTGGATAGGTAGGCTAAGCCTTAGCCAAGGCTGCAGTCAAGGCTTATATCGTGAGGGAATCTGCACTCTGTACGGGGGGAATGTGCCTACTATGCACGGTCCGATCAAAAGGCTTGTTTCTTTTTTTTCGCCGGAAAGACATTCGACACGTCAGCCTTCCTCTCTCCGTCGGTCAAAGGGATAGATGATGTGGTATGTGGATGATACTTCGAAGTAACCAAGTAACGAACTATACCGGAGCGGGTGGCCGTACACCGCTTCTTTCTTGGTGTGATGTGTGATGTTAGTTGCGGTGACTTTTGCTTTGGCCCTGTGTTATGTTATTATACATTATTGCTATTGAAGCTTGCGAAAGATGGATAGAGCTGAATTAATACAATGTATGTTTCCTTCGAGTATGAATTTGGGCTTGGATATTGGACACACAGTCACCAGACCGTGATTGATCCGAGCCACAAAGCCGGGCTGAGCCGGGCTGAGCCGGGCCGAGCTGGACCGAACTGAGCTGAGATGAGCTGAGTACGTACTCGCACGGTTTGCTCCGTATGTATAGAAAAAGAAAAGCAAAGTCCAAATTCTGTACTAGGTACACAAGAGGTACATCATTTAACTAGACGTTAATAAGTAACCTACCAACTAGAATGTAAGTAAGGTACAGTCCTCACACGGCATACATGTAATGACTAACGAAAACCTGCTTGCGGGTGACGATCTGAGACACGCGCGTGTGGGTGGTTCAGCCGAGTCGTCGGAGAAAGCGAGTGCGAGCCGCTTGCTCGCTCACCGCTAGAAGTTGGAGCACCCCCTCTCCACTGCATTTCCCAAGGAAAAAGTTACGGTGTAGTTTTGGTATTTTATTGTTATTGGAATAGTGATGTGATCTGATTTATTGATTTGATTTATGATAATTGTTAGGTAGGAAAGCAGGAGCTTTCTTTGTTCTTGAATAATGGATCGACTCCGGCTCGGAAAGGAGTGCTGGTGTCCCAAACGGGTGTAGTATCTGACTGGCTGTACAACACGAGATCTGTACCCTGACATAGGGGTAGTGCTAGGCAGACTCGTACATGTAGGTACAGAACGATACAATAACGGCGCAGCGCAGAACCGGCATGGCAAATCACAAACCCTCTAGATTGACGCTATCATCACGGGAGGAATTCTAGACTGGCTAATAGAACAAGGAGACAGGGAAATAGAACAAAAAAGCATTTGTATCATCATCTCTCATCAAGGTCATGAAGACGGTGTGGAGGTGGTGCGGGTTAAGTTGCCACGAAGCAGCAGCAAGAAGAGAGGGAGGGAGGCAACATGACGTGACGCACAACTATTGCGCCCACGATTGCCGGAAGTAACTCTCGTCCATGGGCGGGGTGGAGCCGGCATCGAACAGATTACTGGTCCACAGAGGAACCGAGTCCGGCGGCGACGGCATGCTGTTCGATATGGGCTTGTTGTTGTAGCTGGGCGATTGCGACGACACGGCATACATGTCCTGCGCGGGGACGGACTTGGGTTCCATCGCCATGGTAGCATGCAGCTGGTGCTCGAGCGCGGCGGTGGATTCATTGGCCGACTTGAGGAAATCGTCGATGTTGATGGACTCCAGATCATTTGACGACAGGAGCTGCGCTTGTGGCAGCCCGATCAATGAGGACGCAGAGCTGACGCGGAGGTGGTCCATGTCCGATGCTTCGCTCACGCTGTGGAGATCGTGCATGTCGCCGTTGCCTGCATGCCCCAGACCCGGGAGTGGTCCAAACTCGTCGGCCTCGGAGATCTCGCCGGAGGAGGACGGCGGCGGCAGACCGGTCGGGTACGAGTTGTAATCGAAGCTGGCGTATGACGGCGTCTGCGTACTTGTCGCCGCTGGCACGTCCGAAGAGTACAGAGGGAAACTCGACCAGTCGACGGAGGGAGCGCCCAGTCCCGCAGAGCCCAAGGGCAGTTCCGAGTCGGGGGACGCAAAGTATGGTTCTTGGTAGGGATCCTGGAACGCCATGCATGTAATCGGCGAGTTGCTCGAGGTGTTGGGGAACGAGGTGAAGGTCGAAACATCGAGAGGGGGCGGTACGCTCGTGATGATCTGCTCCAGCGGCCGCTCATCCATGTTGGCCGGGGCGGAGGTCGGTTTCGAATCGCGGGGATGGTCGAGCGAGGTAGAAGCGTAGTGATCCAGGAACGACTGGTCGAGAGGGGCAGTCGTCGCGATCTCCTCGCCACCGGCGGCGGGCGCGCTGTGTGGAGAACCTTGCTGCGACGGCTGCTGCGATTGGGGTTGCGAGTCCATCGACAGCGCGAGGGGCTCATTGACAAACGCTGATTGTGTCAAGGGCAGATGGTCCGCAGATCGACGGGGTACGTCGGACGGGTGGTGGATGGTGTGCGATCGGGGGATAGTGTAAGGCAAACCGCACTTGTGAGCCATGTCATTGTGCTTGTGGGCGGGCTTGTGGTGCCCATCTCGGAAAATTGTCAACGTCGACTCGGACTTGGTCGAGGTGAGATGGGGTTTAACGGGACCCGACGGCTGAGACAAAGGCAGACCAGTCTCGGGAACGGTATCTAGATGGGATTCCTTTTTCAGCGCACACGTGCAGCGCTGGCCATGACTGCAGCCACAGCGGTGAAGTGCGTCCTCTGTAATTTCAGATCAGAAAAAGTGATTGGAAACCAGCGCCAGCATGCTCACGCTTCAAATCTCGCTTCTCTCCCGCATGGCAGTCAAACATGTCGGATTTCTTCTTCTTCTCGCCACAATCGCACTTCACGTGGGTTGTTCGAGACTTGCGTAGGCCGCGGCAGTGAGTGCATTGAGAGACTGGACGGCCTTTTTTGTTGATGTGGGTCAGGGGGCGGTCTATTCAAGACGAGTTAGTTTTTTTTTCGAACACCATGATGTACGCGATCTGTTCGACTTACCACTGTGGTGACAACTGCTGACCCGGTGACCCCGGACGCAAGCTTCACAAGCCCACTTCTCACCATCGATCAGCATCGCGTGTGGTTACTGAAGGGCACACATGCGATAGATCGCGAAATAAAAAATAATGTTGAAATAAAAAACAGTCAGTCGTAGAGACTGAGAGGTATCAAAGCCGTCAAGGCTTAGGGGTCCGTGTGATCTTCTTCGAGAAGTAGTCGGACCGAACGAAGTAGAACGAAGACAAGCAAGGGTATCTCAGGCGAAGGTGCCAATGTGCACACAAGTCACAGAAACGCCGATCCAGTAGTATAAAAGGCTCGTGAGAGAAGCCACTGTCGTTGCGAAATTGGTAGGGAAAAAGGGCGCGTAGGGAGAGAATCGAGTGGTGGTGAGAGGGGGAGTGTGCGGGTTGCGCTGAGGCCAGAGGCGAAAAAGAGTAGAGGGGAGATTTGGGGGGGAGCCCAAGCCTACGCACCGTTTGGCGCCGGCCGTTAGACAGGACACCAGAGACCGGTAGTGGCGGCCAAGTGAGAAACTCGATGTCAAAGCGTGTCGGGACACCCTGTGCAGTGAGGAAGAAGAGGAAGTGAAAAGCGGGCGAGCACGGTTAGATTAATAACGGGCTGGGGGTTTTCGCTGCGGAAGTGGTCGCTGTGGCTGCCCGGAGTGGTACGAATACGGTATCGGGGGGCAATTCTGGTACTGCTGCCTCAGGCCGACGTACTCTCGGTGTACGCAGTACAGGCAGTCTGTCGTGCATGTTCCTTTCGTTCTATCTGCAGCTAGATCTTTTCTTGACTAACGACATCGACCCTACAGGAGACATCTATCCAACTGCACGACGGTGCATCTGTACGTGGCATCGCTGTGCCGTCTCCACTAGCGCCCAATACATTGGCTCTCGCCTGTCGGGTCCCACAGGAACCGCGATGACTGTTTAGGGGTGCCCGTTAGCACCGGCTTGAGAAGGATTCAGTCCCAAGTCGAGTTCAGGGATCATCGTTGAGAAGACGGATAGGAAGAATTATTCTCTTCTTGTGTCCTTCACGTCAGAACCAAGCAGCGCTCGAGGGTTGTTAACAGGTGACCGGGGTGGCAAGGCCCAAATGCGGCGGCCCCCTTGACGGACACCCAGTAAAATAAAAAAACCCAATCCAGGGGTCAGCATGAAACAGAACACCGCCCTTTTCTTGCCTTACTACTCGTGTGTCTTTTCCACGGTTATCTTCGCATGAACTCACCCCCCACCGCAATGGATCTCGCTAGCCAGAATCTGGGGCCGCACCCAACTGCCTGACACCTGGTTCGTAGGTACAACAAGTCCTAAGAATAGTTAACCATGGGCCGAATTGGGGCCGCTGTTCTCAGGGGCCTACCCCAAAAGGATCCAGGCACAATACGTATTGTACGAAGTTCTGCCTTTCCGCAGAACATTCCACGATCCCTGTCGTCCTTCATTGGCAGATAATGCACACGACCAGAACACGGACAACGCCGCGCGATACGACTCGAGACTAGGGCTGGTTATGGCGCGGTACGAGGCAGCCCGATGATATCACTGTGCCTGTTTCGGGCGGGCTGCAGAAGGCCTTCTGGCGCCTGCTCGTCGATGAAGCCCTGATCTGCGCGGGCGGTTCCACGAATGAAAACGCCGCTGGTGAGGAATCCGGGTTACATACTTACAAGCGCGATACGGCCTCGTGCTCGTCCCGACGGGCCTGAGTGTAAGCAGTCGAAAGATACACTTCGCGCACTGCGCCGTACAGCAAGACTCCTGTAAATATTGTGCTTGCACCATCTCTTTCTCTATCTTCACTCTTCACTACTGTAGGATTGAATGTACAAAGTCATTAAACGACGAGCCTTAGAATTGCGACACCCAATTTGTAGCACACCAATTTCAATCCCGGGGAATGAAGTAGTGAGGTCGACCAGTGTGACATATCGATAGCTTTAGAACATCGAGGCATGCTCAGATTGTCGTATGCTTGCAGACGTTCTCTACGGTCTCCGATTGACACAACTTCTCCGCTAGATTCTATGCGTCATGGAGGGCCATGTTGGCGCTGTTGCACGCGAATGGACTCATAGCATGGTCATTGTCCCAAATAAAGATGATCAAAGAGCCACTCTCGTGCGTGAAATGCCGTGGTCCATAGCATTCATGACAGTTAGTGTGCTAGGATCAGTGGCTTTGATCACAGTCGGTAGTGGTTTCCGAGTTTTGTCTGCTGGGCCCGAGACCTTCCTGAGGAAGAAAATGTATCTGCTCTTCGGACATAGGCGCAGCCAGTCTATCTCGTGGTCCGACCTTGACTGCTGTTTCTCATATTTTCCAACTTGCTCAGTAATTGGTAGTAGACAGTAGCTTACTAGGCAGTCTGATCCTCTTGCGCCGAGAGGTCTTCCGCACCTGCACTTTTGCATATTGCGTTTGTCTCTCTTCTCCCATTGCACCATTTGGGCCCCATGTCATGACTAGGATTCGGAAACACTGTTCCTGTCCCACAAGCAACCAGTCGCTTAATCAACCGGTCGAAGCACTCCATAAGTTGTGCGGCAGACGCTGATTGGATAGCTTCCAAATGGATGATTATGTATGTCACTTTGAGTCGGCACAGCAGATCCACTAGCACCTCTACAGCAGAACTGTTGACCTTCTCGGTGAGACACAAAAGACTCTAGGTGTTAGAGGCAGTGTGTTCGACATCTACAGAGACATCACGGGTATGGCAGTTTCGTGTAAATACATAATGGCAGGTTCTATGAGCATCATGGAAAATGCAATATCTATTTTTGAGAACAGGGTTTATATGGCTAACTCATATATAGAGTAGGGCGTTTCACGTCAAGATTTGGGAAACAAGCGTGAGAGAGAATAGAGTAATCTGATTTCGAATACTGCTGTATACTAAACAACTTAGTGTTAGTTATTGGACGCATCTCGTTTTGAGAATAACTAAACTACTACAGCCGGGTAAATTCCCTTTACGTATGTGAGCTCTTTTCGACCTAATAGTCTAAGCATTAGTCTCTATGAGACAAAGAACTTCGATATCATACTATCTATATCTCTCTCACGGGAGACCAAATATACTGTTTTCGCTCAATTCATTCTCTTATTTCTAACCACAAACCCTTCTAGCACCGGCCGAACTCTGGTCCCTTCGCTCTGACAGTAACAACCTAGCGCCAAAGTGCAACCAACCCGCTCTACAACCTCAGCAGAAACAACAAAAGAGCAAAACATCAAGCTACTGCCGGCGAATACTCGAACAAGCCCTATGATGGAATCGGTGACAACTTGGCTCACACCAAATGGGCAACTGTCCTGGATCGCTGGGGAGTTCCTCGAACCAGAGTTTATTGCGAAGATGCCGCAATCTCTGGTCCCAGCGGTCCCAGCGGTCCTGGGTGATACCCATCTCTTCCTTCCGTGCCTTCGCCAGATCATATCTGGCCTTGGTCAGAGCCAGAATCTGCTTCATCAGCTTCAACCGGTTGATTCCCACGGCTGAGCGCTTGCGGTCCTTAAGCTCGTCCAGGGTGTCGATCCGTTGTTTGTCGGCCACGGTGAAGTCATATCCCATACACACGGGACAGGTCAGATCATCCCGCGGATGATCAGCAAACTCTGGAAATTTATGGACCACCCAAGGTACGTCGACAAACGTGCCGAAGCCTGCACAGCTTTCGCATTGGACCCAGTAGTACTTAAGGACATCCCTATGAGAAAAGCTGGATTAGACAAGCTCAGATGATCGGAATAGCAATCAATATGTATACCGTCCGTGCGGATTCACAATTATTCCAGCACAGTCTTCACCCCGCGTGACAGTACCATCCATGTGCTTCAGAACCTCTACTAATGTCGTCTCTGGCTCCGGGGCTGGCTTGTAGTAGTCGGGGGCCTCGCCTGTATCGCAGTAGTAGACTTTGGGCCCATCTATTGTCCAGCAGCCCTTGCGAGCTGGACTGTGTTCTTTCACCTTTTGCACCATGACGGACGACAAATCGGGATTGCTCTCCTCTGGAGCGGACTTGACGAGAAGCATATGCGCTGTGAAGCCCTGCAGCATGTCGAGATTGGGGCAGTAGACGAGGATGAGGTCGCCAGCATGGACCGCTTGACCTAGAACCCAAGTATTCGAAGCCATTTTGATGTAGTTGATAGATGCTAAGTTACCAGCACTCCAGTCTTACGTGTATGTATGATTAGGTCAAGACTAGGCCGAATGAGGATATCCAGATCATCCTGACATCAAACACGGCAGACAGGAATAGATACTAATACAAATCAAGGTGGATGCCTATTTATGGTTGTGAGTCTCCGGTCGCTGTAGTCGAATCGGAGACATTGAGAGCGTCATCATCACGATCGGGTGGCGAGTCAAGACAATGAGCGGGTTGGCGCTGAGAATACCACTGAGAACAGTCCAGATGATGCTGCGACCAGTATCGCCGTATCCTCTGCCATAGTGAGAGTGATGGAGTGATGGATCAGGAAGTACATATGCCCGGTCGGCCGTAGTTAATCCGTTCGCCACGCAGAAATGAATCGCCGTCTCCGTGATCAACTAACTATACGGAGTATAGATATGGCTAAGGAACAAATTATAAGGAAATGGAGAATCAAAAAGACACAGTTCTTCGCAGCAATGTTGGTCTCGCCCAGTGCGCTAGCCCCTTCAGCATGCCCGCTCCTTTTTTTAGCCTGTAAAGCAGAAAACCCTGCAATTCTCCTTCACCTTCCCTCCTCCCACTCCCTCCCTACCACCCCGGAAGCTCGCTTTTCTCAACAACATTACCCCTCGAGCCAGCTCGGGTGATTTCTCGCGCTATGAATTCTCGCGATCATTCCGACATGCCTCCGGCGCCCTCCTACCCCTCCCCCAACTCCGCGCAGATGGCCCAAGGCGCCATGCCATACTACAGCAACCGCCAGCTGACGGACGACGAACTCTTGACGGCCGAGCTGTCACGCGAAGCCTCCGGTGGCAATCTCGGGGGAGGGTCGGGTAATGGTGTCCATCAGGGCCAGTCGATGGTGCTGGGCTCGTCCAATGCTGGCGCGGACATGGGTCGTCACGACTCCGAGGATCAACACCAGCAGATGCTGCAGTTTCCGCCAAGTCAGCAAGTCGGCGTCGACCCGAATCACGATCTGAGTTACGGTGAACAAAGCGCTCGTAAGCGTTCGAAGATCTCGAGGGCCTGCGATGAGTGTCGTCGAAAGAAGGTATCATTTCCGCCCTGGTGACAGACGCGTCCCGAGTCTCCCCAGCTAACGCGATTGTTTTGTCCAGGTGCGATGCGATGCCACCTCCGAGACTGGCCTCGAAGGTTGCTCCAACTGCCGCCGTCTGGGCATTGTGTGTCAATTCAGTCGCGTGCCGATGAAACGCGGTCCCAGTAAAGGGTAGGAACAACACGCCTCCATCTTCGCTACTCATGCTGACTTTCAATCAGTTATATCAAGGAACTTGCCGAGCGTCTTCACACCCTGGAGAGTCAAATGCAGCCTGCGATGGTCCAGCCCGATGTGCCCTACCAGTCGATGAACGACCTTCCTCGAGCCTACCAAGACTTCGCCTCACCAGTGGACTCGAGCGGCGGCAACCGAAAGAGAACATACTCGGTCTTTGAGGGTCTGCCCAGCTCATCATTCGCGCAGCCGAACTTCAATACGCGTGGGTCGCATAATGCCTTCGATGCGACGGAGTCATCGGCAGACCCTTACAACCCAGCGGTCACAAGTGGTGGCGCTCCCAAGCCTGGCAATCTGTTCTGGAACCCGGCTAGCAATGAGCACGACTTGCCCAGCGGTCTTGAAATGACCGACTTGCCCAAGCATGAGGGCGACGATGACATGACTCCAATCAGCGTTGACGAAGGTGCTCTTGATGCGTATGTGGAATCCTACATTGCTCGTGCTCGTGAGCTAACAAGTGCGCGCAGCTATTATCACAAAATCCATACTCTACTGCCGATTCTGCCGCACACCAAGGAGAGGACATTAGAGCTGCTCCACCAGTGCCACCGCGAAGCGCAAGAGATTTTCTGCTATGCGTTGTACACCATCACTCGGACCGACTTGTCGCGCGTGGCAAGCAAGTTCGAAAAAGTCACCTCCTTTGACAATGCCCAAGATCTCCTCCTTTTCCACACCCGCCAGCCACTCATGATTCACTCACCCGCAGTCAATCTGGTATGGCTACAGACTCTTCTGCTGATGATCATCGATTGTGACACTCGTGGCCCGGAGAATTTTGTGTTGAAGGATGGAATTCCCAAACACACTCTAGTCCAGGCCGCCAGTAAGCTCGGATATGATCTGGCAAAGAGCCAGGGTCAATTGAAGAACAAGCGTGATACCGATCCTGATGTTGACTCGGATCCCAATCTTGCGCGGCGCAACTGGGTGTCTCTGGTCATTTTGGCCCGATGGTATGCCATTAGCGTGGCAGATGCGACTGTTCTCGGCTCCCATGAGATTGGTGGGCGTGAAGATGAGCGGGTTGTGGGGCAAATCACCACGGGGATTGCCTGTAAGTTGAGGCCGGTCTTTTGTTTTTAGTCTTACTGACTTTGATATTCTAGCCTACTCGACCTTCCTGTCTGAGATGGTCACTCTCGCCACTGTTGAACCGAACGTGTGCCAGGCGAACACCGGATTGGGCCGCATGGTCGGCGCCAACTTGGTCGCTTCGCTTGAGCGTCTTGCCGAGATGGAGGACGTGTTCAAAGTGCAAGAGTTACCTGAGAACACCAGCACGCGACCACTCTTCGAGAGCCTCCAAGCGCAGCTGTACTGGACAATCCGCCTGCTGATCAAGCGCCACGTCTACGTCTACAGCCCCTACGAAATCATCTACTGCGCGCAGGAAGTGATCAACGAGATGCACAAAGCGACTCTCCAGAACCGCCAACCCTCCCCCATCGACCTACACAGTCTGGCCCTCGCATCGATGACCCTTCTCGAAGCCACCGTCCTCCCGGAACACAGCACGGAATGCTGGGACTCGCTTGAAAAAGTCGAAGAGATCTTGGACCACCGCGCCAAGCGCTCCGCCAACGCATCCGAGTTTGGCGACATCTTCGGGACCCCCGGCTGGGACGCGAAGATCCGGATCTTCCTCGAATGGCGCCGTGCAAAGGCCCAGGAGAGCCAGCTCCATGAGTCGGGTAGTCTACCCAAGACATCAGCCTCGTCCAACCACCCGCCGATGGGTCCCAACGAGCAGCGCTCCCTGCAGCATCTGGCTGATCTCGCCGTCGGCGCTGAAGGCTCCGTTCCCCAAAACGCCTCCGCCACGCCGCCGCCAGGTCTATCGTCCACCGAGCACGGCGAAACCTCGCCGAACCTCGCTCCGCAGCTTTCGCAGTCACACGCGGGTGGGGGTCGCGTTGTCGTGGACTTTACAATGCTCACGAAGGAGGGATATCTCAATGTGTTTTCGGGGTTGATTTATCGGCGTTCGCGCTGAGATGAGATGAGATCCACCCACCGTGGACGTCCGTTCTCTCTCAACTCAACTCCTACTTGAATAGTATCCCCTTTCATATCTTACCCTTTTCCATTCCCTTCTCCGCTCTTTGGTTTCTCCCTACGTCGTCACGTCATGCACACGGATGGACTTACCTGACTAGCTGTTGCTATGGAGAAAATATCGGTTGTACTCTACCACATTACCTACTTTTTTCTTTGTCTTGTGTTGTTTCTCCCCCCGAGTTGTCTGTATCTTGCAAGGGGTGTTTAGTTTAATCTTGTTTGTTTACTAGGTGTTAAGAGTAATATGGAGAAGGTATTCATGAACCCCAAGGCTGCAATTGTCTTTTCTTTCACTCATGCTGTTGTCCTGAGTGTAATAATGGTGACGGTGAATCTGCCCCCTCCGGTAGCGATCGGCTCTGAAATCATTGCTGAGCCGGTTGAAATGATATTGACCAAGGAAGTTAAGATTTATCACTCTCTAAACAAACCTCAAGCCACCATCCCATCACCTCCAGGATTGCTCAAGTGGTCAAACTTGACCACCTCATAAACTCGTCGGGGTGATAAATTCTCAATCTTTCAAGGGCCTCGTTTAGGCAATTCACACTTCTCCGATGAATCGGGCTGGTTCGGGGTAGCCACCCTTTGAGCACCAGCAATGATCTGGGTGATCAGGTTTAATCATCCCGTAACTACAGTATCATGGCTTTTGTTTAACATTGTCCATCTAAATGCTTCACTCAACAATCGACATTCCGACTACGAAACAGGCCCACGCAGCCAGGTCAACCGTCCAAGTGCGCATACGATGGATGGTCAGCCAGCCCTCAAGGTCCTTTGTCGATGAACCCTTCGACGTGTCCTCGGCCACAGCCTGTATCTTAGGCGCAACCGCCGGCACAAAGAGAAGATGGCTAGCGGCGAATAGCGTGCCAGCAGTATACCAAGGCAGGGACGCTGGACTCCCCAATCCCGACCGTCGATCCGTCCAGATATTATATCCGCCTCCCGTCAAGGTCAGCGCGAGTAGGCCCAGTACGCGCATGGTGCCGTAGCCGAAGAAGGCGCGGAAATAGGAGGGCAGAAATTCATTGCTGCGGGTGCGGTGGTCGGGGTGGAGGAAGATGTTCAGGAAAAAATCCTGGTCGAGCGAGTACCAGAGCGTGCAGGTTGAGGTGATAAGTGGGGCGGTGCGCAGGAGCATACGGGGGTCGAGGATGAGTCCGGAGGCCATGATGGTCAGAGTGGAGGACAGAGGCTGAGAGGAATCACAGTGAAATCACCGAGAAAGCAGAAGGGACTCGCAGTAGCGAAAGTGTCAAGGGATACTCGCTGTGATACTGTAGCTAACGTAATCGGTAAGCGCGTGCACTATGTAGACGAATGGGCCACCCCAAAACACTATAGTAAATGGATCAAAGCATATCTGATAATACCTGGGTAGTCCGATATAGTAGAACAGAAAAAGAAAACAATACCGCCCAGTCAGCTAACCTCTATGCTATAATTGATGCACTTATTATCTCAAAAGAACAGAGAGGGAAAGCAAAAAAAAAAAAAGGAAAAAAGATATACTAAAAACCAGACTGATGAAAAACCACACTCGCGAGAAAGGACCTGATTCAACAACCCTTCGACATAATAGAGATATCAATGAAATAAACAAAGCCTGAAACTCACGTCTTCTTCCCAAACGCGAACCGCCTCCACACCCCCTCGACATCCTCACACAGGGTCATGAACTTATCATCCTCGAGCAGCTCGCACATCCAGTTCTCGAGCATGGCGGTGCGTTCGGATGTTGGTGCCGAGGAGTATTGCGATAGAGTTTGTTCAATTGAGGATGAGGACGAGGATGGATGCTGGGCAGGTGGTTGTGATCCTGGATTTTGGTGCTGGTTCTGGTTTTGGGTTTCTGATTGTGTTATAGATGTGGTGGTGTTGGGCGGAATGTCTGGATGGGGCTGTGTAGCCGATAAAGTATGCCCATCGAGATCTGTGCTGCGCTGCGTAGATGTGTTTGGCCGAGAGATTGGCGGAGGCTTAGGAGGGTTCAGATGGAGTCTCTGCGTTGGCAGTCGCTGTGGATGCCGCTGGGTTGGTGTCGGTGAGGGAGGTTGGGATTGGAAGACTTGGATGTTTGAGGCGCAACGTGACAGTCCCTGCAATGGAACATTTTCATGGGATACTTGTGCCTCGTTTAGTTCGGCACATGGATGCGGGAGCTGTGGACATGGGGTGGAACTGGGTGTCTGAGTCTGAGGCGCTGCATTTGTTCGTGTTTTTTTCGCGCTTGGTTTCTGGTTTGAGAATGGAAGGGTTCGCTTTGGGGGAAGGTCATGGCTGAGGGATGCGATGTCATGGTGTGCTGCGGAGATAGCAGGTCTGGTAGCAATAGTGGTTGTGCTAGTACGCCTCGCCTGTTCTGAGCGAGGAGGAAGCATTTGGTTCAGTGGTTCGATGTCGTGATAGGGTACGGCGGTTGATGGCAGGGCATAAGTGTTTGTGCGTCGCATAGGCTCATGATCGAAGCCCCGAGTATCCTGGCTTCGTCGAAACGTTGCCTGTGCTCTGGCGTTGCCGGGACCGATGCTTCTGGCCGGAGGATGCGCCTGGTAGGATGTAACATGCGAGACACTGCCTGAGCACGAGAGCGGTGGGTTGGTAGCTGAGTAGATAAGATATTAGAATGGCTTGGGGTCTGTCAAAAGTAGAGGAGAGAAAGTTGTTATACTTGTCGCTGTGGCAGATCTGTATGCTGCAGAATGAAAAGGAATCGCAGAGCTAGTGTGCGGCTCCCCGGTATAGCTTCTTGCAAGTGACGGGGCGTATTCCGAGTTCAACGACATGGTCGAGGGCAGTCTTCGAGAGGATGGGACAGAAGGCGCACTTCCTTCTGCTAAGGGACAGTTGATCTCGCCTAAGAGAGCGAGCGCCGTATAGTAGTCGCGATCAGACACGAACTTGATTTGGAAACGACGGAGCTGCAGAGAATCAATCCGTGAACTAAAATGGCAGCAGATATATACGTACGTAGGTTGGTCCTGAAGGGTACTTGATTGCCAGGCAGGGCATTTTCACAATGACGGTAAAGAGCATTTTCTGCGGAGAACCATTCAAATCTTGAGTAGAGGTCATCGCGTGCACCAGGTCAATTTGCTCCTGTAACCAGACATGCTCTCAGCCTGCTGCGAATCATCTCGAGGAACTGCAAGTCATACCAGTATGCCCTGGGGTTGGACCACGCGCAGTATCAGTCTGGCAGGAACTGAAAGGCTGCCTGGCAGTTTTTCAAAGATGCAGAGCAGATCGCCATTCCCATTTACATGGTGCCAGGTCAGTGGACCGGCATGCTCGATGAGAGTGGTGGTATGGGAGAACTTGGCGACGGCCAGATGAGTGACGTAGGGCGTATTCGGGTTCATTGTGAAGAAAAGGATATATTCATATACAGACACAACCCTCAGAGATGATGGAAGAGACAGGAACGGAGGGAAGGAAGTACTGGACCGGGTCACTCGGTCCAACAGAAAATATATATTCGCAGCATCCACACGCAGAACATGAATCAGCACTTCCCCGTAGTCATTCCAGAATAATCCAACTAATTCCAATCAGAAGGCAATTAGATCCAATAAAAATAAAACACCTCCCACGCCTGTCCACTATCATGATGGTTCCATGTTATACTCCCAAATTCGACACCCCAGGCAGCAACCACCGGAACGGAACAACCCGACCATCCGACGCGACTTTACTTTTGGCTGGGATGATCAATCAGCTCGGTCGATCACCAACTCTTGTTCTGCGTCTCAGGGCCACTTCCTCCAGGCATTGGCGCTTATTCCACGGATGATCTTGGTCGCCGGAATTCTTTTCATTCACGCAACCCTCCCTCCCTTCTACACCTCGTCCCGCCATTGAGCAGTCTTTGTTCGGTCTGTCACGCGCATCGTCGCCGCGAGACTTGATCCCAGCTCGAACGCGCCGCATCTATCACCTTGTCGCGGGACACCACACTCTTGCCGCTCGACAAGGAGACCCAATCCTCGGCGATATTCTTTGCGCTGATTCCACCACGAGGACCGCAGCAAGCCAACCGTCAAAACCAGCCTCCCTACAAAAGCCCTTCAGTCAAGGGCTGTGAAAACGACCCGGCCCTTTCACCATCTCCTGGGCAAGATACCCTCTTCGAAGTCGGTCGGCTTCGATCCACTTGCGCGACCTTGGGAAATCTGTTTCCCAAGGGAGACCCTGCCGTGAATCCGCTTTTGCCGCCTGTCCCCTTCATCTGTTCCAATCGGCAATATGTCCACTCCTACAACTCGGCACTCCCTGCGACGTATGCCTCCATGCCCCAGCAGACACGCTGATAATTTTGTACTGACTCGAGGAACAGAGGGCCTGCGCCAGGCGCCCAAAATCAACCAACCCTTCACCCCAGATACCGGACGCGAGCGACGTTCCCACACCCAGCAAGGCTTCACATCTCCTCAACCCCCAGCCAGCTCCCATGTGACCCTCAGCTCTGCTGCACAACACACGCCGGGTACGCATTTCGGTGTCGAAACCTGGGAGGGAAAGGAACAAATACCACTACCGATGTCCACGCGGGAAGTCGCAACGCCAGGGAACCGTCCTATGCTGTATGCCAACCTCAATCGAAAACAAGTGAAACAGCCCGATTTCTATGACCCTTATTTTCCTCTTCGATATCTAGAGGTACCAAGGAGTAAGTAGAACTCCCATCCGACTCATGGTGTGCTGACAGACTGATCTCATTTCCCTGCAGCTGATCACATCTACAAGCGTGCCCATTATGGCCTGCAATCTGGGATACCCGACGAAATCGACTTTGCATTGTACCATTTGGTCCAGATTTCCAACCAACGATGGGACAAGTTCAAGTTTGAAGGATTTCCTTTGCTGGCGGAAACCCTGATGGAGAAGGCTTTGGACGTCACTCGTATTTGCACGGGAGTAAAGTGGGAGCTCCAGTACGATCCTCGGCAGCCTATGGATAGGGTGAACGTGCTCAACTCACTACACGGAACGCGCAATATCCTCGAAAAGATCCAAAAAATACCCATGAACTTGCCCTACGACAGCCTTGAAACGTACGAGCTCAACCATGAGCTTCGAAATGTCAAGGAGGCCGTTTTGGTGATGCGTAACATGGTGTTGCTGAAAGAGAATGCTTGGTACGTCTCGCGCTATGCGAAGGGGCTTCTGAGGGATTTCCTGGTCATCCTGATCAATCTACCGAATCAGCCTCGCCTGAATGAAATCAAAAACGATGCTCTCGATATTGCCGAAGAGTGCACCAAATTCATGCGGACGGACGTTGAAGATCCCTTGTGGGTATCCCTGGTCAACTGCCTCGACTCATCAGATCGTGCGCATGTCGTGAGAGCTCTCTGGGCATTGACGCACTTCTCTACCGAGATGGATGAGGGTGACGGAAACCGGGCCATGGAACGCATATCCAAGTCAACTCTACAGCAACTGTACTACCACACGTTACTGGACCTCGACAAAGACGTCCTGAGTGGTGCACTTGATTTTTGGTATCAATACACGCTCAGCCCGGATAACATTGAAAAATTGATGGACATTATCAACTTTCCGGTGGTTTTTGTGCCCCGCATGGTCGCGCTACTCACCTACGAATCGCGGCCTACCAAAAAAGAAACCGTTCTCCAGGAAGAAAAAGTCGCTCCCGCTCCGTCAGAGATCCCGCGTGTGCCTGCAGAGCTTCTGAAGGACCTCATGGAGCTCTCTGAGCCCGAGCGCAGCTCTCAATGGCTTCGTTGCTGCTTCATCGAAGACACGGAGTGTGAGATCACGCAGATTGCCTTGTGGCAGGCCTACCAGAGCCGTTTCGCCGATCCTCGCGTTCCTGGAGGCGGTGTTCTTCCTGCGGCCGAGTTTATCAAGAACGTCAGCAATACGTTCACAAACGCCCAAGCTCAAGTCATTAATGGGCCGGGAACCGCCACCAAGTTCATCATCAAGGGTATCCGACCTTTGGAGACTGCTTATACGTTTGAAGGGTTCCCATACCTGTACTGCAAGTGGGCGGACAACTCGAGTCCCTCCAAAATGTGCCAGCAGGCTTTCGCATCTCCTACCGACCTCCGGAACCATGTCTTCGCCGATCACATGAACCTAGAGGCTGCCGAGGAGCCAGGCCAGTACAAACTGGATGCCGCAGAAAAGCCCATTCACACCTGTCAATGGGATAATTGCAATCGATTCCGGGCATCTGGGCCAAGCACTAACACCGCAATGGTGGCCGGCCACGTCTCCTCCCACCTCCCCGAAGACCGCCCCGCCGACGCACAGCCTCCAAGCTCCAAACGCGCCGTTCTCCAAGAACGCATCGTCCGCAAGTGGTACTACATGGATACCCCCGTCAACGAGAAAGGCGAGCCCTTCGGCATTGCTTACAAGGCTGCACTGGTGCTGCGGAACATTGCGCGCGGGATTCCTGATCGCACGGCTTCGCAGTATGGCCTCCCGTGGAAGAAGGCAGCGTTCCTAAGCCAGCGCACCAAGATCGTCGAGTCCTGGGACCGCAATCGCGCTCTGCGGAAGGAACTCACTGAGCTGATGATGGTGGTCGAACGAGAAGATGATTACTGAGTCCCTGGTTGATCGACTCTCATCATCAATCAACCTCCCTTGTATGATTAATACCCTGGTGTTTTTGTTTTACCTATGCTCTTTCTTCTATCTTCGCATTGTCGTCCTCTTTTCCTCAGCTTCCCACGTCCTTTCAAAAGAGGATTCAAGTTCACTTTACAGTCATGGCGGTTTTTTACCTTTTTCTTTCCCTGGTGATTTTCATTTTGCTGGTGAGAGAAACGGAGGGAGGGAGGCTTACGTTGAGACTGCTGGCTGGATTTGTGCCGCCAACACAAAAATTGCCTCGAAAGAGGAGTTGTTTATTTTCCTTGGGATTTGGGGGTTAGTGATCTTTCTTTACTCTTCTGGCGTCTCCGGGGGATGAAGAAGATAGAATTTGAGTTCAAACCAAGTATTTTCGCTACAAGGTCCTTGATAGCCTGTACGCGTAGATATTAGAAAAGGGTACCGTCTAGACGCACTACCATTCTGGCCGCTCGCAATTGGGACATTGGCTTAGGTGAATGTTGATTCAGGCTGCTTTCTGACAAGAGAGAGGCAAAGCTCTCATAGCTGATATTCAAAAACTAACTAAATCCTTTCTCCCTATCTTCAATATATCCAAAAAGCAAGAGCCAATTCCGTAGAGACTGCCTATTATCCTATCCTGGTTACTAACGCAAAGAAAGATGTCAATTCAGGGGACTCCGTTAGCGGCTATATACAGGACCTGGCCAATGCATTTTGTACTATTAGAGAGAGAGCCAAATTATCCTCGAAGTGTCAGGTATCTTCTATCTTGTGATTTTGACCACATTCCCACATTACCGTTCGGGTAAAGAGTGGTCGATCAATCCTCCACTAGTGTTCGCCAGACTCGTATAACACTGCCACTATACAGCCTGCATGAGTCACGGCAAATATTTGAGGTTATATAAGGTTCCATTTAGAGAAAGATGAGTGCATTCACTCTCAAACCGCCCTTGTATGCAGAGTTCTGTCAAGAGCACCAAAATGTCGAATACATCGCAGAGCCCAAATAAGTTGCAACGCCAGGCGATAGCAGAGGAGACTCATTCGTTAACACCAAAGATTCTCAATTCAACGGAAGCCTCGCCGGACTCAAATTTATATCGAAGCCTCCTGCCAAGTATCGCTCCGGTACGCGATGGAAGAAAGCCAAAGATAACAGTCCAAAACAGCGACACCTTCACTGCTGCGAAGTCAATTCTGGACCGCGAACCCGGTGCCAAAATTGGCATTTTGAATATGGCTAGTGAAAAAAATCCTGGAGGGGGATGGCTCCGTGGTGCGTTGGCGCAAGAAGAGGCACTTTGTATTCGAAGTACATTGGCGGCAACCCTGTACAAACGATACTACCCTCTTCCTGTATTCGGCGCAATCTGGTCTCCCAATGTTGCTATTTTCAGAGATGAGATAGGAGCATGGTGTCGAGTTTATGAAAACAAGGAGATTTTCACTGTCGGCGTTGTGAGTCTGGCAGCTTTGCGGCGTCCGCTATTAACGGCAGACAAGAAACGGTTTGGTATGTTTCTACACGGTTCATAAGAGTTCGGCCAAGTGCTGACAGACAATAGGTCGTCCACAAGATGTTCAAATCCTCAAGGACAAAATGCGACAAGTATTTCGAGTCTTAGCACAGAACAAAGTGACTCATTGTGTGCTTGGTGCGATGGGCTGCGGCGCATTCCAGAATCCACCATCCGAGGTCGCCAGGATTTACAAGGAAGTATTGGAGGAGGCAGAGTGGAACGGAGTTTTTGAGGAGATTGTGTTTGCTGTTCTTGATACTCGAGGTGAAGGAAACTACGCGATATTTCGCAATAGTTTAGAGAACATGGCATGAAAGGAAGACCAATGACAATGACGTCGTGCTGTTGGTAGAAAAACCAACAGATTTGCAAAATAAATATGCGAGCATATATTAGTGCAAGTAAATCCTAAAGAGGAACAATTGTTCCCATACATAATGCAGGCTCACTTCGCACTTGCAAATTCTCCAAGAACATGCATCGCATCCTGTGCCCGATCCACCGGAACATAGATGTGGTCATGAAAATACCCACTAACGACATTGGTACTGATACCATGATCCTTGAGACGAGAAGTAATAGTCGCAATCAGACCAACAGCCTCAAGACTGGAGTGAATAGCAAGCGAGATCTTCTTGCAAGGAAAGGTCTGCCCTGTGAAGCCGTGAGATGTGGCTAATGCCTCGGTGGTCACGATAGTGATACCTTCAGCCTCTTGGACAATGAGCTGTGGCTCGAGAGTGGCCAATGGGAGGGAAGGGAGAGGCTGTTTGGTGTTGAGAAAGACGTAGGTTGTTGGGTCCAAGGTTGGTTGCATTGTCGCAAGTAGAACGGAGAGATTTTCCTCCCCAGATGGAGGTGCCATATTGAAGATAATTGTTTCTGTGTTGGCAAGTATGAGTGAATTATTATTGCTGTCTTTGCATGCTACCCAAAGAGAGAGAGGTTGAACAAGTCTGAAGTTGGATGTCGTTCAAAGGGCGCAGAGTGTGGAGTGTCGACAAACAGTGCAAATATCACGACCGTCCCAACGTTAATCATATATTTTTAGAGCTCAACCATGATTTAGCAATGAGATGATGGATGTGGATATTTATACTCAAGAAACACTAAAGTCTGTACAAAAGTTGTTACTGTCCATATAGCGCATGACCTCTCAAGTTCTGCTCCTAATAATCGCCAGTAGGCAAACCGACTCTCGGAACATGCTGTCCGTGAAACCCGAACCCAACAGGTCCATTGACGTCGGCTCTGCCAAGCTCTGTCAGGTCATGGGCATCTAGACAGAGAAGATAACTTTTGCCTCGCATCCCATCCAGGACAACGCTGAGAAGCACTCCATCATCTTCATTCTTTCCATTCGGATCAGCGATGAATAGCGCTTCTCCAGGCGATTGACCGTGATGCGACCACGCATGGGTTTCCTTGGTCTCGCAGTCAAGCTTCATAATACTGTCGGTAAAAGTTGACTTGCCACCAAACGTCACAGCGTAGACATATCGGTGTCGCTTAGTGACAAAGTTGGGGTTTATTGTTGGCAGCTCGGGATTGAGCGCCGTACATTCACTCCACTCGATAGATGCCTTGCCGACCTCGGTTGTGGGGATAGAAGGCACTGCATGGAGACGGAAACGAGAAAAGGACGAGTGCAAGGAGTCATCCCGGTGCTGGGCAAGGGCCTTCGCCTTGGTGGACGTGGAAATGAGATTTTCGAAATACAGAGTCTCCAAAAACTCCGTGCTCTCGAGCTTCACAAGATCCGCCACCACATCCGTCTTGCTCGGGTCTTCCTTGGACGGTTCCTGCCATGCATTGATGGTGTGGAAGCAGAAGAATGCAGGGCTCTCGTACGTTGCAACTAGCCCCTGACCATTCTTGCGGTCGACGACATACCACGTTGCTGGTTTTGTAGGGTCCATCGGCATTATGGCTTCCATGAACGAGCCATTAGCAAGTTTTATCGGATTAATATGCGAATTCCAAACACAGAGCAGAACATAATCCTGTGTGAGAACCAAGGAATGAAGGTACGCTGGTGTTCCAGGAAACGAAGCGAGAATGGTCGTTTCTCCCGTAGAGGCCGAGACTTGGAAAACGCGATATGTGCTGGTTGGACCCAGTGAGCAATTGAAGTTGAACATGTCTCCAGTAGTAGGATCGGATCGAGCATGTGAAGCTGCCAGCGGCCCGTTGAGATCCGGATGAAGGTCGGCCTGCGTGGCGAGTCCTATGGGCTCTAGGGTCTCCGGGTGGATTTTCTTGAAAAGATGCCTATCGGTCTTTGCATAGAGATTCTGGATCTGCTTGGAACCGTCCCAGCGCTTATCAGCCCCGGCAGTAGCTGTGTGATCCAGACCAGGCATATTGACGGATAGGGTGACGCCAATATTGATAGCAGATGGATCTTTCGGGAGAGTATGTTCACTTTGAACCTTGTTGAACACACTCTTGCAAGGGTCGCGTTTTTGTCCAAACCCCATACTCTGGAGAGATCCGGTCTTTCGCACATTCTCAATCAAAGCATCAGTTGAGAAGCGCGAGTTGTAGAAGACCCGAACGGTCCCATCAACGCTGTCAGGGCCCATGATTTGGAAACGATGCGTTTGGCTAAACCCGTCAAACCAGTGAGATAAGTGGAATGTCTCGCCATTTTCTGTGTCCACTTTGCTTTTGCCCGGTCCAGTACGGTATAGGATTCCGGCGGCATAGGCGGGAATATGGCCAGTTACCGACAGTTCCACAGGATTACGCTCTTCAAATTCAGGTTCGAACTGAGTAATTGAATTAGAGACTTGTTTGACTCAAAATGTGAGGCATTTAAACTTACTCCCTTGTCATTAGGCCAGTTATTGAAATGCTCCTCAGCTGCAATGGAGGTCATTTTGAAGGCTGTAAATAGCGATAAAATTTGGACCTTGAAGGTGTCCTTTGCTACTCAGAATTTGAATAAAGGAAGGAAGTAGTCGGTCTGAAACGAGCTTTAAATATGTGGTCAGGAATGCCCCCCGTGCCATGTTGTGGAGGAAAGGCATCGGAAACGCGGTTGTGCGGGGGTATCGCGACGGATCAAGTGGATCCTTACCGACACAGCCCAAGCTGACACTTCCACCTCTCGCTCGCCAATCGGTTTGGCCGACGGATCGGTCGGACACGGACTCGGACACGGACTCGGAAACGCCTATGGGCTTCATCTGACTGGAGCTAATCTCTTACGCTCGATGAACTCATGTTTCGCTGTTGATTTGGCACCTCGGCAGTGCGACGGCCTTCACCGGCGGACATCACCCGCACCTAGACGACGTACGAAGGACACCGGGGTGTCTTTTGCCCGTTACTTGGGTACAACGCAGAGACAAAAATTCACCGAACAAATTATATTCGAACATTTTTAATCACTCAACCAATCGACATCCAGCAAAGGAAGAAAAAGGGCTTACAGGACCAGGCTGTCGAATGGAGCGGTCTCGGCGGCAAGGTTCTGGTGTCAGAACCAGCAAGCAATGGAGCTGCGATAAGTGCCCGTCGAAGTTCGGACGACTGGATCATTTGAAGCGCCATGAATTGACACGTTAGTCCACTCACTATAAACACTATCTCACAGTTATGTTGACCTGACCTCCAGATAAGACGGGAAAAAGCAACGTCTGTCTGTTTTGCAGAGCTTCTTTTAGCAGAGCGTATGTCTGCCAGTATCCCCTTGTGATAAAAAGCAAAATTACTCACCAATTATGAAGAGATGTCTTGCGAAGACATTGGAAATCGTGCAAAGCTCGTGTAGACAATGGACATTCTATCCCCGAGCCACACCAAGGAGGTAAACAGCGACGTGCGTGCGATAGCTGTGCGAGTTTGAGAAAAGCTTGCAATGGGGAACAACCATGCTCTGAGTGCAGTGATCGAGGTCGGCAATGCTCCTATCAACGTTTGTGCGAGAACCCTGGCAATCCACCCAGCTCTCTCAAGGGAGATAGTCAACAAGTTTCAGAAACGGCTGCAAATATTGATCCTATGTCCGAGTCAACCTGGGACCTTGGATTGCAGACATTCTATCCATCTGCAAGTGCACATGCCTACCGCATTCACAAGCTGTCGACGTCTTAGGTCTAGTCTACAAGGAGGATTGACACCTCTTATGACTTGGCCGGTCATGGTTTGTCGCACGAGGCCAGAGAACTGCAGCGTATTGGTTTTGATGCTCCCAATTCTATCTAATCCTGGAATGGACTTGCGCTTTTACTCGCATCCGCCCTGTTAAGGTCTAACTCCTTGACAAATCCAACCATACAATCTAATTTAATGGATGGATGAGCATGGGATAAGTGAATTTTATTCGCTCAAAATTGCTAAGCAAATGGTTTGGTACCCCATTTCAAGTCAGGGTCAGGCTTCATTCTCCAAGGCCTTGAAATATCTGTATAAGCTCACAAAAGCCTCCAGCCATTCCTCTTCCCTTCCATCATGAGGCTCATACAGTCGGAACTGCTCATCCCGGCGAAACGCAGCGCGAACTCCAGAATTATGTGGCGTAAAACACGGGGTCTCTAGATTTAGGTCTGGAAATATGAACGGCTTTCCAGACCAAGGCGTGTTCGCAGTCCGGAAAACCTGGTTCTGATTATTTGTTATGAGAGGATGCTTGGCCTGAGGCAGCGATTGAGGAAAAGATGAATAGAAATAGGGCATTCCGATGATCAGGATTTGGGCGGAGCGCTTGATCGATGTTGGATGTTCAATTGGATGCGAAAGCCCGTCTTCTGGCTTCTTCTCAGGAACTCCGTCTTCTCCACCGGGGCTCTTAGTGGCCAACTGGTGCTTTACCAGCATATCGATCAGCTCTTCCAGGGCCCAGTCGAACGGAATGATAGGGAAAAATTCATAGAGGAGGAACTCTGAGCCTGCATAATAGAGGCGATGCACTTTTTTACATTTGTCGGCACTAGCCTTCATTCGTTGAACGACATGCGTAATATTCCGTCGTGGCTGTTGGCCTGGATCCAGTGTCTTCTTCAAGATGCCCGGGTTCGCTTGTAGCATATCTGCAGCCCAATGCAGCTGAGAAATACTCTTGTGTGCCAGGTTCTTTCTCGCCTCTTTCGTGGCCTTCCAGCGCTTTTCCAGGGCCTCAATTGTTGAATAGTCCCAGACTTCAGAAAGTCCAGGGTCCGGAGTATGCACCGTAGCATAACGATTCAGATTCGCAATCTTGGTGGCCGACTGGATCTCGTTGTAAATGCGTGAATGTATTGTGTCTAGAATTTTGTTGTATCGCTGAGCTTTGATAGATCGGATGTTCAAGGCGAGGATGGAATTCTCGGGTGCCATTTGAAGTTGACAGCTTGAGCAAAACTCGTGGTAGAAGCGAGCGGCGTCGCGCACTTGGGCAAGAATTTCGGGGTCATGATTGAAGACCTGGCCACAGGTTTGATGTGAGAGAATGCAACCGTTTATATGAGGATTATCATGAATCAAAAGCCTGAGAATGTCCCAGACGCGAAGATCATCGATGATTTGGTGCGTAAGCTCTGGTGGTGTTGTAAGGAGCCCTCGAACGAAGGCTTGGAGAGGAAGCGAGCCCATGGTGGCAATGTTGGTGGTAGGACTATGCTGGATAGTCTCTTGTAGAATGAACGTGTTATTTTAGGTCGAGCCCCGCCCTCTTTTATACGAATTTTGCGAGGCTCAAAATTCGCGTTAGTCACTAGTGGCCCGCGGTGGTGGTTGGGGGCCAATTCAACTGCTCGCGGCCACCCTGTGGGTTGTAAGTGACAATTCCGCAACTATTTTGAGCATGTCCGATACCTCCCCTTAAGAACCGAGAAACTTTGACGCGCGGAAACATGAAGTCTACCCCAAATGATTTACATGTCGAGGGATGTGATGACCCGGAAGTTACCGCACTACGCTTGAGGGAGGATCACCGACTATGTCGCGAGAAAAAGATGCCGAGTACTCTAGTGCTTCACTTGCCTACTGCTAGGTGTCGTTTATTAGAGGATGTGTCATGGCACCTGACTCCTCAGAGCGAGATACCGATGGCCCTGCGGTGGACAAGATGCGAGAGCATTATTCAAGGAATCAGAGCCTATCTGAACCAACTGGACACTGTGGCGGACAACGATGCAGACAGACCGAAATCATCAAATGACAGCATACCCACAAGTGAAGAGTATCATGCAGCACTAAAGGTGCTGGACTACCTTCATATGCACAATTCCATCTCGCAGCTCGAATCATCAAGCCCCTTATCTGACGTGATCCTCGCGGTGCGCACGCAACTTGGGATGGACAGCAGCCGGCGAGCTCAGCATCATGCCTCGCATGCGCCAGATACCAGAAAGGACAAATACTCCAAATTTTCCAGGTGCTACATCTGCTGTTATCGCTTCCCAGACTCGGAGGCCCATGACTTATATCCGTCATTGTGTCGGTCATGTGGAATGTTCAATATTGCTTCATCTCGGGTTTCCTTGCCCGAAAAGCTGGATCTTTCAAGAAAGACTGCTCTGATTACCGGAGGACGAATCAACCTTGGTTATCATACTGCGCTACGCATGCTTCGTTGCGGTGCTCGAGTTATCGTTTCATCTCGGTACCCTGCTGATGCAGCAACTCGATATGCAAAGGAACCAGATTTTGAGCAATGGAGCTCGAGTTTGAGAGTTGTTGGTGCGGACTTTCGAGCTGCAAGTGACGCTTTCAGGCTCGTACATGTTGTGAAGGAGCTATTGCGTGCATGGGACGGACGGCATAATTCTGATTCGCGAATGGCACTCGATATTTTGATCAATAATGCCGCGCAGACTTTGACGGATCCCGTGAACGCAGAAATGAAAGCTATATCTCGTGAAGGGGCATTCAAGGATCTACCAGGAGCCAAAGCACTACTCGCGGGTGGTGCCAGTGTGGACTACCAGCCTCGGCTAAGGGGAGGGATGCAAGCATCTTGGATACCGAGCATTGAGGAAGGGCAAACACAACAGCTGCTTGAGAATGGAATTGGCCAAGATAGTCTGGATGAAGGCCAAGTTATCCAGAAAGGACTTCGCACCACCAGTGACATCGACTCCGACTCGAGGTCATCATGGGTGCAATCGCTAAGTGAGATCCCATACGAGGACTTGATCAGCGCCCATTCGGTGAACGCCTTCGTTCCATTGATATTATGCCGCGAGCTACTCCCTCTCATGGGCGCAGCCGGTTCATCCTCGACATTGGAGTCAAAGCCGGTGGGATACATCGTCAACGTTTCATCGCGGGAAGGAATCCTGGAAGACATGCCCAATTCACGAAGCAAGGCTGGACATCATGTCCACACGAACATGTCCAAGGCTGCTATAAACATGATTACGGAAACAGAAGCAGGAAAGGCGTGGAAAACGCGCCGTGTTGCGATGAACTCCGTGGATCCAGGGTATATGAGTGCTGCTCCGGAGTGCCAGCCCAAAAACGGATGTCCTATTGGTTTTGAAGATGGAGCTGCTCGGGTGTTGTGGCCTATCGCTGTTGGTGAGGTGGAGGATCGTGTTATCTCGGGGAGATTCTTGAAGCATTTCGAGAGAGGCGCTGCTGTTGTTAGCCGTCTGAACTGAGTATCTTGGAAATCTGGGAGCGTCTTAATTAGGATATAGAAGAATCCAACCTCACTATGGTTTAAATCGAAGAGTATTGAATTTTTGACAGCTCATCGGATTGTGCGTATTCCACGGACGGATCTCAGGTCTGACGGAAGCCGCAGTGGCAATTCGCCAACCAACACTACCGGACATAGAACCGTTTTAAGAGATTATTGATTTCCTGAATACGTACTTCTACCCCTATGTTTCAACCGGGACTACTCGTCTTTGGCCCACTCACACCACAGACTGGCAATAATATTGGATTCGGTGTTGCAGGCCGTCCTCAGCGAGTGCCTCATACACAGCTGAACAAACAGGCTCTTAGTCGCGCGGGTCCATTCGTATCTCTTGGGTCGCGGCCTTTTGTTGACAGTCAGGCTCACCATCTCCAGACTGTTGGGACGATGGTGGCCCAGAAAATCATCAATCCTCTCAAGGCAGAGTCGGGGTCCCCACCGGTAGTGGCTTAACTCAGCACAGTCATCTCGAAGATGAAGCTCACGCAGCGACTGGGGCAATTTCTGTAGCGTTGTCTGTGGTGGCGGAGCCTCCCATCCAAAAAGGAGGATGAACGGAATGGTTAGCGATTCCAGCTTGCGATGATTCGCCAGTGAGCCGAGAGTGCCTTTGAAGGATCCTTTCCAACGAATGGGGCATCTCCACCGCAAATCATGCACAACGAGACATAGGATCCTGAGGGAGTGTTTAAGGTGTGAGAGGGCTCGACACAGTTGGTCAATATCATACCGGAGGAACTGCGGCCGACCGTAGAAGCAGGTATCTGCAAAACAGTAGCAGAGCTCCTGGAGATTAGGCGTGGTTGAAAGTACCATAGCCAGGTCAGTTGGGGTCATGTCAGTGGGGATGAGACGTAGGACAGTAAGTTTGGTGGCTAGGGGAGACCTGGGTATCGGCCAGCAAAAACGCACCGAGTTGAGAAGTACGGTGTGAATAATTTCGATGCGCGGAAGGTAGAACATCGTCGAAATCTGATGGAGGTCATCTTTACACCGAGGAGAGAGACGGATGATCGATCCATGGGGGCCTTTCCGACTCCTGGTCAGAAGACACGTGAAGCTGCGCAACGTGCGAAGGGGGTAGTCGGGAGTCTGATGCTCAAGATGAAACTGAATGTCCTTGCAAAGCTCCCGGAAAGATTTTGTGTCTGTGAGCATGACATCAAGCGAAAGGTTAGTCATATTCTTGCTGAACGTCAGGTATGTAGACAATAACAGGCGAATGTCATGGGTCATGATCGTAGAGAAGAGCCCTTCTGCTAGCGCTCGAATATTGACTCTTTGCAGCGGGCGGGAAGTTTTCCATTTCCACCTGAAGGGGCTCGACAGCTCGTTCTCGCTAATCCAGCATTCGAATCGGAGATTCTGCACCAAGGCCCCTAGATGGGGCTTCTCCAGCAGAGCTACCAGCAGGCGATGGCTTGCAGGGCATCTGCCTTTGCCGTTGTTATCCCATCTCATCCCGACGTGACGGTAGAGAAAAGGCGTGAGGATCCATCGAAGCTGCAAGCAGGTACGCGTGCACGCAGAGATATCGCGAGATCGAAGAGGGGATATGATCATCCACAAAACCTCAGCAGGCAGTTTGGCCAGCATGATAGGTTGCCTCAAGGGCCTGCACCGGACGACTTCCATGTTGGACGAGAGCACAGACGATGGAGCAGCTGGAGGTCATGAATAGTAGAAGAGTTGGTCTGTGTGGACTTCATGATGTGTATCTGTGCGTCTTGGGATAAGCGAAAAGAGACGAGAGGCAGCAATCAAGAGACGCCAAAAAGGAAAGTACGTGGCCGGCACGTGAGGTTTGTTGTTGTCCCTCATGCTGGCAACAACTTTCTTCCAGAACATGTCTTCTATGTCAAGGGCAAGCGTCCAACTCAGTGGTTCGTCTAGAAACACGGACATGCAAATCAATGATCTACGACGAAAAGACAAGTACGGCCATCCTCGACTGTTGTTCTCAACCTGCAATGGTCAACATCCATCATCATATATACCACAAGGAACGTCAGCCTGATGTCAATGCTATCACTCTCGATAAGGGTGTTCCGCCGAGCCATGCCCGCCAGAGTGGATCCATATACCGAAGATCTTGACTTGAAATAACCAGTTCGGGGACGCGTTGCCGTGCCATGTCTTGCAGTGCACGTCGGTAACGCATCATCGTGGCAAAGGAAGTGTAGTTACGATAAACACCGCCGTCGACTCACTGGGACTCCCCCTGAGCGACTTACATATGCAGGGGCCGTGCGCGATGGGCCCCGCTGCGGCATCTAGGGGTTTTTTCCTCTCCGAGAACGGGGAGGACGGGAGACGTTGGCTTTGATCGACGTATACGTCTTCGGACCAATTACTTTCCGTTGATGATCTTGCCAGAGAAATTTCCGACGAGTTGTTTCAGATTATCCCAGCTGTTGACATATGATTCCCACAGGTTGGCCCAGTTCAGTGAGGCAACAATCGCATTGTTCTGGTCAAGACAACGTCTACTTCTACCCATCTGGCGCTATTGAATCTATTTTACGCCACCAGGTCCATGCCGATCTTCTAGTGTGGTAGATTCGGCATTTCGCACGCGAGCTGCCAGACGACTTTAGCCGTGGGTCGGGAAAAGGGCTGCTGCATGACAAGCGGCAAAATGGGTCTCGCTAACTAGCGGCCTACTAGTACAGCAACCCTGTACGTACACAGACCCCGATGTGTTCAGTCAGCCGCTTGTATTTCATGTCTGCAATTTGGCTAGGGGTACCGGCGGCCCGAAACCCGCGCTTGCGCTAATTGATCCTGCGCGGCGTTCCCCAGGATTTACTTGCGAAGAAGTCTTCGTTGGATCTGTTTCCTACATATCAAGCGCTCCAGCTAACACACCGAGGGGTCCAGAACCTTGGCACAATTTAGAACGGTGGGTTGGTTGGGTTGGTTCCGTGGTTCGAACACTCGTTTCAAAAGTTGACACTAGTGACTGGTTCGTGCGGTTGCCAGAATGAGGGCACAGCACGTCCGTGCATACCAGTATCCACGCAGCGAAAAGCCCGTGTTCCCCGATCATCCCCTACTCAGAAACTCGAATGGCAGGTCCACAGAAAAACGGGTTCCGGTGCCAATCCCAATCTTGGCAACGAACTCTGGATAATTAGCAACCGACCATCTTCGATTGCTCAACGGCTCATAGCCTGCAGTAGGACCGTCAACGCGCATTGGGCTAGGCTCGTGGGCCACCTCGTTACCCCCTGATGGAATCGAGAATCCACCCACCTCATAGGCTCCGAATTTCTGCCTAGTACGTACTGAGTGGCTGTCCAAGGCGGCCACTCTCCGTCCTCTGCAATCCCTGCACCTCGGCTGGAAGGCTGTCAAAACTCTGTTTTCTCTAGCCGCAATTCGACTGGCCGGAAAAACGGCACTTCTAATATTCTCTTGGCTGTAGCGCCGGGTGGGGATTGATAGCGCGCAGAATATTAAATAAGTCTTGAGTTTGAATAATAGCTTTGTTCCCCGCTGAATCGCCTCCCCTTCTAGCGCGGTGGTGGCTGAAAAAGATTCCCTGGAGGGGTTATATGCAAACCATCTATTGAATTTTTCGGATCTATTCCAATTTATTCCACTTAATTACGAGCGAGATCTCCCACGATCGACTTTCTTATCTGAGATTCGAAATGGGGCAGTGAAATCGTCTCCATTCATCTACGTCCACGTTCGCTTCGATTCCGTCTCTCCTTTGCTCTCCCATTTGACCTCTCACTTCAGTCGGTGTCCGAGACGGCATCAACGGATCCTTCCATATTACCATGGCAGAGCTATCGACAGCTCGTGGCCGTTCGGCCCTTGCCGTCAGCATTGTCTTTACGTCGCTGGCTACCTTATTTCTTGCAATTCGCATCTATACCCGAGCGTTTTTGGTGAAGCAGATGGGAAGCGATGATTATACGATTATTGTTGCCTTCGTAAGAAGCCAAGAGAGACCGTTCTACGAATTGAATTCTAATCAACTCTGTTGTCTATCCAGGCTTTCTCATGGGCGTTCTTTGGGTTATTCGTTGGAGGTGAGCCGGATCCGATTCCTTTGTCTCTAAAATCATCCAGTCACTCACAAACATTCAGAGACCTACCACGGCATGGGTGCTCATTTTGACACCATCCCACACCCGATCTATATCACGCAAATGATTGTATGCTTAGGCTCCTCGAGGTGACAATATGGAGAGTTACTAATCCCCTTACAAGTGCTTCTGGGCCTCAGTCCCAGTTTACCAAACCAGTCTCATCATGACCAAGATGTCTATCCTTCTACAATACAGACGAGTCTTCTCGACAACACCAAACATGCGCCTGGCCTGTTTGATCCTGATCGCGTTTCTAGCTGCCTATGGCACTTGGACAATTGTCAGCGCCTGGGCCAATTGTGTCCCGGTCGAGAAATTCTGGAACCCAGATACCCCGGGCTTTTGTCTGGACAAGGAGGCATTGTGGTTTTCCAACTCTGCCGTCCACATCCTTACCGATCTCTTGATCTTGATATACCCCATGCCGGTACTGCAGTCTTTGCAGCTGCCAAAGAAGCAGAAGCTGGCTCTTATGGGCGTCTTTGCTCTCGGTGGATTGTCAGTATTCGACTTTCTCTATCAGACAACCAACAGGCACAACTAACAAATCAATCCTACAGTGTCATGATCACGAGTATCCTCCGCTTGAAGAGTCTCCTCGTCATCTCCAAATCAACCGATCCAACCTGTGCGTCCTTTCCAAACCCTTAGTTAACTCGCAACCCCCATTATCTCCAGACCAACCAACTAACAACACCTCCCGGTACAAACAGACGACAACGTCGGCGCCGCCACCTGGTCTGCGGTAGAATGCAACGTGGCCATAATCTGCGCCTGCCTCCCCGGCACGCGCGCCTTCTTCACCAAACTCTTCCCACACGTCTTCTCCAACCGCAGCGGCGCCTACAAGAGCAAGGGCAGCAAGTTCACCCATCCCTCGCGCACCCACCGCAGCACAAACCTCAATACCTACACAACAACCCAGATCCAAGCCTCCGTCGTCGGCGGCCATCGCGAATCCGGATATGACTTGGATGACTTTTCGCACTCGGACTCTTCAAGGGCCGGCTCGATGAAGGAGAGTGGATCTAAAGAGGGTCATGCGGGGATTAAGGTTACGACGTTTATGACACAAGAGTCGACTTCGAATACAATTGCAGATGGTCATCATTATAAGGAGATGGATGGTGATAGTACGAGGGATTTGGTACATAAGCAGAGTGCGGATAGCTTTTGATACGTGCTTTCGGTTTGCCTTCATTCGGTTCCTTTCGCTTTCCTCTCCGGTTGTTCTTTGGTATACATATTTTCTTCTATTTCATGTCCAATATTTACGAAAATTCTAGGTGGGCAAGCTTACTACGGAGGTGGATTCTTCTTTTGCTTTCCGACTGTCTCTTAATGTTCTTTTCCTTGTCACGTCATATGGTTTTATGGGCGGGCTTTTGGCTTTTGTTGAAATACTCTTTCTTTTCTCTTTCTGTTATGTATCTCGTGTTCAATCCACGGTAACAACTGCTGGATCTCCATACATCGCGGACGGGTCAGGGCTTTGGTAAACGGGGTCGGCCAATTTCCAGTTGGCCGTAGGTAACCATCTCTGAGCCATAGAATTATCGCAGATAAATAATTCAACGAGAGCGACGCTGATCGAGTGCATTCGCTGCGTTCAAATCCAGGCCATGGCCTCCAGCTACACCTACTCGTTCTTTCCTGTCTCGAGGACCGATGGAATTAGCGCCTCCGCTCAAAAATATCGAGAATTGCGTTTAAAAGCATTGAAGACTTCACCTGGCTCTTTCTCATCAACCTACGATATCGAAGCGGCTTTTACCGATGCAGAACGGGTCGATCGCCTCACTGTGCCCGATCGAGAAGTCTTCATCTGTGCCGCCACACCATGGGGCCGTGATCCGTTATGCCCCAGTGGCATCCAATGGGTCAGCCAGGTCACTCTGCGAGGACCTTCATCCAGCGCTGATTTCGAGTTACCCCCAGAAGCTGGTCAGCCACCCCAGAGGTCCGACAAAGAGGAAGAGCGATGGCAGATGCTGAGCTTGTTTACCCTTCCGGAACATCGCGGCCGTGGACTTGGGAGCAAACTGTGCCAGGCGTCCCTTGACCATCTTCGATCATACAGGTCATCTCCTCGGGAAATTCAAGTACGGCTCATCGTTAAGGCGGGAAATGATGTTACTGTGGAATTGTATCGGCGACTTGGGTTTATCCACGCCGGGAGAGCGACTCTTGTTGAAGCCCTCATCGCAAATGGAGATGAGCATCTTATCCCGAAAGAGCGGAACTCGGCAAAGTACTCAGAAAGACAAGGGCTGATTATGATATCGCGTATATCACGCTCATAGTGTTTTTAGAGCAATAAATAGAGATCTTAGACTTCCTGGCCAATTCAGTTTGGGGCGCGTGGATGGTTCCAAATTGTCGTAAATTTTCTGCGAATATTGATGATCGTAAGCCTGCTGCATTCGGCTCCTTCGGCCGTCTGAGACCTGTTGATGGATTAACTCTATATCATACCACAGATGAGATGGAGACATGAGACAGGGAGACTTGGAGTCATGTTGTGTAACTTAATCCTGAGTACAGTGGCGACTGCTATCGCGTTCTATGTTGGTCAACATATACGAGCTCTTTCAACCCTTAATAATAACACGCTAAGCTAGCCCCAAAATGGTTCTCTGTATCTAAAGATCTAGGTAATAGCAGCATTCTTCCAACTACAGAGTTCTGAAGAAGTAAATGAGCTGCCTAATACCCGGACTGAGAGCTATGTCTACTCACGGGGTTAGGATCCAGACTATTAGAAATGGTTGATTCAAAGAAAACTGTATATGAATCGATGAGGACCAGCCCATTTTTGCCTCTAGGGACCACCGCACAAGAAAGAAAAACACGGTGACGAGGACCACCAAAGCAGTGAGCGGAACAATTGAACAGAGAAGGAGGAAGAAGAAGTACGCAGGGAAGTAGACCTGTCGCGCGCTCGGAAGTCAAAAGGACGAAACGAAAAACACCCAGGTATGTGCAATGCCCACTAGCACCTATGCAACTAACTACCCATAACCCAGAATAACGCAATCTGTTTTCCACCCTCCACGCCACTCAGTCTAGGTAATTCGAAACGAAATGAGAGTTCCCGCCTTTTTTTACTCCCAAACGTTGGAGAAAAGATCGTCATTGCCTCCAAACCCGCCCGCCGGCTTGGTTGAGCTGGACACGTTGCTCGTGGCAGTCATGGTGTTTGACGAGACTGGGGCGGCACTGGTCCAGCCGCCGAAGTCCTCGTCTGCTGTGACGGTGGGGGTTTGCTTGGACGGTGCGCCCCAGCCAGATCCTATGTCGTTGGCGGTCAATGTGTCGGGAACCTTCATCATCGATGCGGCGGACGGGGCAGCGGCGGGGGCGGGAGCAGGCTCCGGTGCAGGATCAGGCGTGTTCCACGCATTACCACCCCATGGGTCGATGCTCGCTGGGAACATGCTGGCGGGCGCCTTGGTGGCAGCTGTCTGTATGGGAGGGGCAGAGGGCTGCATCACGGGGCTGGAGAGGTTGAATGCCGATTTCATTTCTTGTTGCGGAGATGGAGCCTTGGGTTGCGGGGGTGGCGAAGAAACGGCCGCAGGCGCAGGCGGGGGAGAAGAGAGACCAAATAGATCGTTTGACAAGGGGATGGATGGAGGGTTGGGTTTGGCGGGAGGAGACGCGAATCCGCCGAATCCGCCGAATCCGTGGTCTTGTCCATTCGAAGAGATCGAGGTTGTTCGGGACTGTGGCTTCGTGGCAGACATGGTAGGAGAGGTCAGACTGCCAAAAAGATCTCCGCCAGCAGAGTCAGAAGGCGAGGTAACCTTGGGCGTGGCCGGCATGGACTTGACGTTGCCAAAGTTGGAGAGATTGGCAAAAGGTGCTGGCTTCTCTGCTGGTCTGGGAGGCGGAGAGGTGGTCGAAGATGGGAAACTCAACCCGCTGAAAGCGTCCGTCAAGCCACCCATGTTCGACGAAGCAGATGCACCTGTTGGAGAAGCCATATCGCCGAAGGAATTGTTCCGCTCATGCTGGGTGGGAGGAGGCGGCTGCGGCTTCGAATACAAGGATAGAATAGACTGCTTCAGATCAGGGCGAGACATCCCGCTCGGGGCAGCAGGCGTTGATGCAGTGCTAGTCGGGCGACTGCCAGCGGCCGCCTGAGTGCTTCCAAAGAAGTCCAGTCCAAGCAACGAATCGCCTGGTTTTTGAGGCTTCGGTTGTGCTGGAGGTGCTTGTCTCGGCTGCGCGCGAGCGGCGGGTTCGGTCGTGCTGGGGCGCACCGGGGGAGCGATAGGATCGTCGCCGAACAGGTCGATCGAGGGCTGCTGTCGGCGCACGGCGGGCTGGTTCGGGGATGTAACTCGTTGCGAAGCAGAACGTTCAATCTTTGCCTGTTGCTGTACAACCGCAAGAGGCTGGTAGGTCAGTTATCGCGGCTCTTTCTTGATGCTTCGGTAAAGGCAGACACTCACCACATCGTCGCCGTCATCCAGAGTGGAAGGATCGGGCATTCCCCCGTCCATGACCCATCGCTTGGAGTCGTACTTGGTGCGTATGAAGTTTTCGATTTTCCTAAAAACCATCCAGGTTAGCACGCTATCAAAAAAGATGGAACGGCTTCATTCGTTCACTTACGCTTCCGCCGGAACATGGCCCGGCGCCAGCTTCGCTTCCCAATACCTGTGACTTCAGTCAGCACGTGGCCATTCCAACGCGAGAGTCAATTGTGATGACGAACTTGTTAGCTCTTGAGTTGCCCCATTTCAGGACACTCTGCAATTGTTCATCGGTCCATGCGTCGAGGTCGACCGACTTGACGCGGCTGATGTGCGTGCCCATGCCCCGATGGATGCCCGAGCACCGAATGCAGATGAAAATACCCAGATTCCAAGACGCCCATCGTGGATCTAAGGCAGTGAAATGTCAGACCGTGATTATCAACGCAGGGCAAAAGTGTAGACAACGGGGCGCAGTAATCTTCGTTCAAAGGAGGGGGGACACTCACGCTTGTTGCGCTTGCAATCGGCACAGATCTTGTTGGACTCGAGTTTCAGGAGACTCTTGATGGTCTGCTGGTTCTGGGCAGCCTGGGTCGGGTTGGCGCGTCGAGACATTGTCTGTGGCAGGCAACTCGAGTAGGGAGCGAAGGAAGAATAGGGAGGGACAATGATCATAATAAGGGACCACGACTTCAATTATCGGGTGGCGGTCGGGTCGTTATCGTGGCCTGAGGCAGCGATGTCGGGATACGGCCGAGGGAGAGAGACCACTGGTGCAGTATTGTATAGAGAGTGAAGACTTTCAGGGCGATATTATCCATAGGTAAACAGAGATATTGTGCTCACGGTGAAAAAGGGCCAACTCAAATGAAATCATGATTCGATTTTCGTAGTTCAACCACATCTACTGCGCTCAAAGATATATTTCCCCAACTCTAACTCCGTGATCAATCTTACGCCTTCGCCTTCGGATTCTGCTCATCCTCCGTAAACCGCAAACTAATACTATTCACACAGTGCCGTTCATCAGTGGGCGTGTTATACCCCTCCCCCTCAAAAACATGGCCGAGATGCCCGCCACAGTTGCTGCAGACGATCTCCGTCCGTTTCATGCCCAACGTATTATCGACATGTCTAGTCACTGCGCCAGGAATAGAATCAAAATAGGCTGGCCAGCCACAGCCGGACTTGAACTTGTGGTTGGCTTTGTAGAGCGGCGCGTTGCACCCGGCGCAGTTGTACACGCCCTGCGAGGGGGAGTGTTTATCATACTCGCCCGTGCCGGGGGGTTCGGTGCCCTTTTGGCGGAGGATGCGGAATTGTTCTGGATACAGTTTGAGTTAGTTATGATGAGGTATTTGCATCGACGTTTCTTTCGAGCACTCACCTGGGCTCAGAACGGTCCGCCACTGGTCGTCACTGCGTTGGTCGGGGTAGGACATGCTTTCGGACGGTTCCTCCGCTTTGGCTTTTGAGCTGAAGAAGGCGCCGAAGAAGGGGATGGTTGGGGCGGCTTTGAGCAGTTTACTCCCGGAGATGGAACGCGGGGCTTTGAATGTCGAGCTTGAGAGAGGCCGCAGAGGCGCAAAGGTGGGAGGTTTGATGACGGGAAGAGCGCGGGGAGTGAAGAAGGAAAAAAAGGGGCGAACTATGAGTTGAGAGCGCATGGAGATAGATAGAGACCAAGCTGACACGAAGTTCTGCAGGGTAAATCAGCAGAGCAGAGCAGATCGAATGCGGGTTGGACCGGGTTACGTCATCACCGGTGATCTAGAACTATACAGTGGTGTCCAAACGGGTAGAGGGTTTCAGACTTTTGTAATACCACATTGTACGAAGGCGGCAGACAGGTGGGAGCTGATTCTATGGAGACTATATGAGAAAAAGAAGATGGCTGAGCTGTGGATGTTTCCGGTAGTCGACTACTGGTGTTGAGACAACAGCCAAAGGCAGCGGCGCTTCAATGTATTGGGTATCTCAGACATGTAACAAGCAAATGCAAAAACTATGTTCAGCGACGGGCAACCCCAAGTACCGTCAGCTCGCCCTCCCCAATCTCCACGCGCCACCCCTCTCGCACCAGCATCTTGCTCACGGCGGGCCCCAGGCGCGAGGTGCCATCCCGGCTATGACGCCCAACGCCAGTGATGATGCGAAATCCACCACGAGCGCCGAGGGCCTCTCCGCGCTGGTACTTGGCGTCGCCCAGAGACCCCCACCAGGCTGCCACCCGATCACGAGTGATACGGACGGCGTCCTGGACAGGGACGCCGTGAAGGTCAATACAGGAAGCGGAAGACTGCTCCGCAACCAGGGCATCAGCAGCAGCGGCGATGTTGGCTTTGGCTTTGCTGAACTGGTCCCGGCCGACCTCTGAATAGTAGGCCGCGGCACCACGCAGCAAGGGGGTGGAACCACCCCGCCGATAGGCCTGGGAGGCTTGGGAGTAGGCCTGTGAGCCGGCCGCAAATTGGGTGGTGGCGGAGGCGTGGGCCTCGTCGTAACTGACGAGGTGTTGCGGGGTGTTCGGGCGTCGTTTTGGCTGGTCATGGTCGGAGGTGGTATCGATGGGCGGCGCAGTGAATTTGATGAGGTCGGAGAGTATCGGAGGAGGAGGTTGACTGGTCATTTTGACTGCCAACTCACTGGTTGCCGACATTATGTTCTGTGTCACGGCGCAAAGCCCAGCAAGGGTGGAGGGGGGAATGGAAGGGAAGTCGTGGGAAAGTTCTGCGACCTGAACGTCCGTTACGAGGTCTTTTTGATTATCCGAGTGTTTCTCTGGAGAGTTTGCAATAGCAATAGCCCGAATGGTGGCAGGTAACGACATTGCATTTGCATGATACGTGGAAGTAACATATTGCTTTGTCAACACAGCTGACGTTCGGGTCCAGATGAACTCAATGTCTCTCTGCCCCGACTGCCATTTATTCAGCGGCTCGACCTCCAACGACTCCATTGACGATTCAAACCCAGAATTGCCATGGTTCTTGGTCTGGCGCTTCTTGCGGCCCTTCTTGCGACTGGACCCAACAATATCTTCTTGCATGAAGCCATCAATGCCCTTGGGAAGTGAGATCTTGGTCCCGTCCTCGTCAATTTGGCTCTCGTCAAAAAACGCGAGATTCAGAAGCACATCCATGGACTTATCAATATCACCCGCACATTTTTGCAGTGTTTGCTGAATGGTCAACGGCGTGATTGTGGGGAACAGGTCGTGCAAATACTCAACCTTGTCTTGCTGGGTTGCCCCAGACAGAGATCGAGACCCGTCGGCAGCAATTGTGTATGCGAGGTGGGGTTTTGAACCCGCTTCAGGCTTTGTGGCTCTGCCACCTTCATCGGTCGGATCTTCCAGGGAGAGTAAAGTTGTGGTGTCCGTTAGACCGGGCAACGAGCCGGCCCCAGTCCCTTCATCGGCGCTGTTGGCAGTGCCTGAGGGGTCAAAAGGGAGATGCTCCTGCTCCAAAGCTGACTCCTTCAAGGCTTTCAGGGTGTCCTGCAACTGTTCCACTTGAGCAGGAACTGCGAGGTCAAAGTCGGATACGATGGCGCTGAAAAGGGCAGGATCTATGGGAGGACAGTGGCTCTTCTCCAGCTCCTACAAAAATGCAAGGTCACCGATCAGCAGGTACTCCTGAATATGGACCTTTAGCTACTACCGACCTTCAACAAATCGTCATGAGGGTCGTCCATCGCTGAAGCATGACTTGCACAGTCGGAACTGTGCCAGGGAATTTGATCATGCCGGTTCACAGGAGCTCCATCATGCAAAGGGTGACTGTCATCGGCTTTGAACAGAGCGGCAGGGTAATGTGCAAGAAAGAAGGAGAGGTGAATGGGGGCGTGTTGGTGGTGGGCAAGAAGTAAGACCCAAGAGGAATCAAAAAGCGGGATGATATGCCACACGTCACCGCCCTCGGAGACCGGAACAATCACCGCCGAAGTATATCCAGATCGTGCCATTAAAAACATTACGGCAGACACAACCCAAGTTTCCCAGGCCTGTTAGAAGGGGGGATGCAAAGAAACAAAAAAAGAAAAAACGTAGAAGAGCTTGCAGAAGTTCCCCATGGATCAACCGGAATTTTCAATCAATTCTTTAAACCAGAGATTGTCCGGTGCAACTAACAGTAGAACTTGCTGTTTATTTGACGGTCGCTAGTTTGCTCTATAGCACGGAAAAAAGTAGATGTAACAAGTCAATGGAGCAGAAAGAAAAAGAGATAGGATAGAAGTTTTTCTCAAAGACAGCAAACAACCTTCCCCAGGTCGCCGCTTTTTTTATTATTTATTTGGCAAACAAACCCGTCCACCAAACCCCCTGACAATCATTGACCTGAGCTGCCCATTTGTTAGTGGAGATGGTGCCTGTGCGCTTGTCAACATTTGCATCTCGCTCCTCCTCATGCACCGCAAGGATGCAGGTCGTATCATTTCTTTGGATGAGGCTCACAAGGTGAGTACTTGGTAAGAGTTATCTAGAGGAAAGTCTTTGCTAACCTGCCTCATTTAGTTTATCACGGCTACCTCTCCCGAGGCTAATGGCCTGACGGGGACCATGCTGTCGATCGTGCACCAGCAGCGCCACCTGGGCACGCGCGTCGTAATTGCAACCCAGGAGCCAACCGTCTCGTCGAAGCTCCTCGATGCAACGTCAGCATTATTCACCGATTATCTTCCTCTGCATGGTTCAAGGCTATTCAGGCACATATTGCCGGGGCAGCGATTGAAGTGTCGGACTCAAGAACCTCGAAGGCGACGTCAGATCTATTCCGCCAAATCACGTCTCCGCCCACCGGCGAGGCGTTGGACTTCTGTCCGCCGGCGCTTTTGGACACTGCCAAGTACGGCTCGGAGTACCAGGATGGGGTTAGCGAGTTGGAAATGATGGTCGACGGGGAAGAAACTAGCTCTTATCAGAACACAGCCATCCAGCTCGGTCCGAAACACGCATGAATCCGCATCCGTGCCCGAATCACCGCTGACGGTGGGCGCAGCGTGATGGAGAAGTAAAGCTGAAGTGTCAGTACATATTTACTCGTTTTGCTATTTTGTTCGCTTTTATTTGAGTTTGGATTGGGATACAATGGAGTACGGCGAAGGGTTCGCTCAGATGATTTTGTGGCAATTGTACGGAGTCAGCAATGACGCGTTGTGATTGATGAAGACAAAACCTTTGTCACTACATAAAAATGTCAAGAATTGTTTGATTAATTAGGGACATTCCGCTGTCTTGAGATCTGGCCATCGAGCCGTTCTCCAATATTAGCCACCTCTGTCGTTCTCAAGGCCCTACTAGGCGATGACGACTGGTCCAGGCTTAGACGGACTGTTTACCAAGACCAGGATTTGAGGTACGCATGGAAAGAGTACACACACGCCCACCCCAATCCCGCTCTCGAATGAACTAGCTCGACCATAATTGCCATATCGGAGTACACAAAGCTCTCATCGAGGCCGAATAGTGACTTCTTCTGCGACAAGGATCAGACCTGAAGTGCAGGCATCGACGTAACTATTTTGATTTCCTCCGAAGCATCAAGTACCCAATGATGGCTTTTCCGACTCTGTGAATGCGCAGTACAGAACGAGTCGGGTATTCTAAGACAACCTCAAGGCAACCATTTTGTCACAGTAGCGATAGCCAGAAAGAAAAGAGGTTAGTGGTAATATATGGAAGTCCTGAAAATTGGTCGGTTTGTGCCATCTTACACGCCAAGTTCTAAATCCAGGTGGCTGCTGCTCTTAGTCTTGTCCTACCTGAATCCATGGCTCCGTCCCCGAAAAAAACTCGCGCAGACATCCAGAGGTTCCGGAGTGCCAAGTACTTCGGATAAGCTGTTTCACATTCGGGGCTTGCTGGGAAATCTCTGTTGTGAATCTCGGAGAATTTACTTTTGGTTTTTTTTTTTAAAAAAATCCAATGCCTTTGAAGGGCATTCTTTACCTCGAAGGTTGAAACCGAATCAGTCTCAGCAAGTATTGTCTATTCATGTACTAATAGATTCATACTAAGCTCAAGTGTATCTAGCAACTTGTCTCAATCAAAGGTCTCCAAGAAACAAGTACCAGCGCCAACTGGACTGGGTAAATAATACCAGGGGCCGTGTACCTGGACCAATGAATTCAGATACTACACAGCATCATGGCGCAGCAAGATCTGCTCAATTTGTAACACGGACAGGAGCTCAGACGCGCGGCCGGTCAAGATCACACTCCCTGTTCTTCACTTGCTCAACGATAAATTCAAGTCGAGACCGAGGTTGAAGGTGGCAAGCTACAGCATCAAAAGTCGATATTCGTGCAAAGGCTCGTCAAATCAATGATTAGCCATCAGAGTTCATTCCGGCATCTAGAAGACAGCGCCCTTGTTCGTTCTTTCTGTCGCACAGAGCTGGAAGTACGAGAGCGGACGAACCAAGGCACCACGAGTTACCTACCCAGCCCAAAAATAAAGCATGTCACTCAATTAAGCAATACGGTCATGGGCAAGACCCTGGATTGTTGTTCGTGATTCCATGCCGTAATGCCCATCAGAGCTATAAAGCAACCCATCTCCATTGCCTGCGGACGTGCTTTCCTTTTCATTACTCCTCACGTTCCCAACTTTCTGTCTCTAGACTCTCTATAAACGTCTTGTGCTTTTTGATTTATCACAATGCGTGTCGCAATTGCGTCCTCCCTTATGGCCTATGCTGCTACCGTTGCAGGTATGATCTTGGATGACGATGCATTTTGGTTGCTTCTGACAATTACAAAGGACTATTCGTGACTTCGCCTCTCAAGGGCGAAAAGGTCGACTTGAGCAAGCCTGTGACAATTAAATGGCAGTCTGTCAGGTACGCCATTACAGATCAGCGAGAACAGGAGCAGAAGGTCTAATGTTGAAAAACCCAGCACCGACCCGGGAACGTTCTCGATATATCTCGTCAACCAGAACACCTACCCCAATATAGAGACATTGATTGCCTCAAATGTGGACACCTCGAAGGGTCACTACACGATGAAGGCTCAGGATAGCATCGATAAGTACGCCAATCCGGCCTTTTTCAGTAAAGAACTTCGTTAACATTTCCACAGGAGCGGATATCAAATCAACTTTATCTCTCATGAGAACGACGGCATCCTAGCACAGTCACAGCAATTCACTGTCAGCAAGTCCAAGTTTTCAGGGGCCGTGTCTTCAAGCTCTGGTAAGGACGCCGCCACCAGTACTGCCAGTCACACTTCAAAGTCTGCCTCTGCCCCTTCGACGTCCGTGTTTTCTCATTCTGCCTCCTCATCAGCCTCGGAAATTGTTACTCATTCTTCGACTGCTACTTCTTCGACGCTTGCTTCTGCTTCTTCGTCGACTCACTCTCCCACTTCCTCCTCGGCTTTTGCTCACAGTTCCACCAGTGCGTCTACCCCTGCCACCTCTCCTTCGTCTAGTGCTTCCAACAGCGCTACTGCTTCTACCACTGTCTCGTCTTCTTCTTCTATGATGTCTACCAGTGCGTCTTTCCACACCATTACCACCCCATGCTCATCTTCATCTTCTTTGACCTCGAGCTCCTCCATCTCAATTGTCTCTTCTTCCACAAGCACTGTTTTTTCAAGCACTTTTCGTACCAAAAGTACCCACTCAACACATTTCACACATTCCCATCCTACAAAAACCCATTTTACTCATTCTCATACCCGTTCTCATTCTCGTTCTACCCTTACTGGCACTACTACTCCTGGTGAGTCAACGGTGCCACGACTTTGGCTTCCAATTTTTATCTCGTTGCAATTTCCTCTCCTCTCACCCCGCGCAATAGTGTAGCGTCTCGTTAACTTCTGTCTGACATAGTGACGAGCACGACGACCAAGACACATACCATGCACATGACCACATCCAGTATGTCCGAAATAAGCATGTCCTCTGGTTCTATGACCGCCACTGGATCGGCGACTACGACTACTAATGCTGCGAATGTTCTGATGGCGCCTGCTCAGGCTGGTCTGCTGCTGGGTCTTGCAGCACTGGCATTGTAGACGTCAGAGGTTGGTTGACCATGGAGCAGTTATACAGGGCTAAACGATTTATGCGATGTTTGTTTCGTCTTGCGTAGTTTTCCTTTGCTAGCGGAAAGACCTTTGAAAGGGGAGATTGAGAGTGAGTACTACTGGTTTATGTTGGACGTTATTTATACGCCCCAGACCCTAATAATACATGCGATTAAGTCTGTCTTTTTCCCATAACAAAATGCACAAAGATCCCAGTACTAACCCACTGGCACGGATAATTTCAGACTAGGGTGGCTGAAGAGAGCACACTTGCCTCCGACTAGTTCTTCCATAATCGAATATATATATATATATATTTTTTGACATCTTGCAGTGGGCGCCACTGATAGGCTGGGCCATTGTATTCTTTGAACACCGCTTTCATGATCCATATTTTATACGCGTTCAGACAATAATTTCAATAAGAATTCCCAGTCTAACCTTGAGGCCCGGGTTGATCCACACGTGCATCTCGGTCTCGTGATCCCCGCAATTTCCCCAGTTTCTAGTGCACAGCCCCACAATCTTACTTGAGGGGACGAGTCAGTCAGTATTCGACACTGAATGGAGCTGTGGTTTGAGACGAGAGGAGTAATCAAATTGATGGCAATGAGCATAATGTTGTGCCCACTTGCCTAAATCTGCATTTTGGCCCTAACAACATAAACCTTTGTCAACTCTATGTTAAGCAAAATTGGTATTTGATCACTATCATGTTATTCCCGCACATCTCAGCATCTCATCAAGCCTTTGGGGTGGAACGAGATGTACGCCGTAATTGTATCCGGGGAATGCGTTAGTTATTCACTAGTCTTGGTCCGTAGGTGTAGTATCCATGCCCACAGTAGGGAGTGGGAGCAAAGGGGGGTTTTCAACACTTCTCTTTCAGTGGTGCTCGGACTCCTCATATACGTGGAGGGAGTAACGATAGGATAGCGTCGGTAGTTGGAATCTATACAAGTCCCGTCCAGTCGACCTGGAAAGTGGCCAAATCTCGGGTCAGCTTCCCCAGCCCCACGTCGCCCCACGATCTAGCAAGTCAATGACAGTTTCCCTGCATGTCTGGCGTGAAGCAGAACGGCCTGCGTTAACCGAACTCTTTGATACCGGGTTTTTCGAATGGTGGTAACCGTAGAAAAATTCTATTGAGCTGGTTATTCGCTCCGAATGGGAAAGCGATGATGACAAAGGGCGGCTTGCATAACCGCCACGTTAAGGCCTTCTGCCCCGGTAGCCTTGGAAGAAGAGTCTGGAACAAGTTTGGCCAGGTCCAATCATTAGCATTACAGGAATACCGCATGATCTCACTCCTGCTTAAATATTACTGGCCCCTCCTATCAATGTAGGCTCTGCGATGGGGCTGCTCTCCATGACGATCGCGCCGAACGGTGAGATTGTGGCGATGTCCAATTCGTCCCTTTGGGTAAGGTCTCGGTAGATAACTATCAGTTGACATGCCGTGTCTTTACTTTATATAATCCTGTATCTTCTTGTTCGCCTGTGTCCAACAGTGTTCAACACACCTACTTTTCAATTCGGTCGATCAAGATGCATGGTATCACAGATCATATCCTCCACTTTCTATCCCAGCATTGGCTGGTTGTATCCATAATCGCCGTGTTCCTGTGGGTGGGGAAAAATAGGTATCATAATGGTCTACACAAATATCCTGGCCCATTCTTGGCCTCCATCACAGACTGGTGGCGCTTCTTTGATGTTTATGGCCGCCGGCCCGAAGTCACCCACAGAGCCCTTCACAAGAAGCATGGTGATGTTGTTCGACTTGGACCAAACACCCTCTCCTTCTCTGATCCTCAAGCTCTGAAGACAATTTACGGCTTAAACAAGGGATTTATCAAGGTAAACTGAACTTCCTTCGCTTTACGTGGAATAATCCGAGTCGAAATCCATGCTAAGTGATCAATCAGTCTGATTTCTACGTTGTGCAGCAATCTGTTGCAAAGGGCCATCGTTTGCAGTCCCTCTTCAGCTCGACAGATAATGACTTCCATGCCCGATTCCGCCGCTGTGTGAACTCGGCTTTTGCAATGTCTTCCTTGGTCCAGTACGAGCCCTTTGTGGATAATACGACCAAGCTATTCTTGCAGCAGACCAAAGACATTTATGTCAACAATTCTGAGGGCTGTGACTTTACTCAATGGTTGCAATTCTATGCATTCGATGTGATCGGGGAGATTACCTACAGCAAGAGACACGGCTTTGTTGAGCACAACAAAGATGTCGACGGTATTGTGGCCTACTTGTCGTGGCTATTTCTCTATGTCGCCCCGGTATGTCTCATTCTGCATTCTCATTCCTTACTATCTGATTTAACAATCTGAATAACTAGATTGGGCAAATCCCCTTCCTGGACCTTCTCTTGCTCAAGAATCCCATCTACCTGAAGCTCTCCCAATGGGGATTCATTGATGCCACTTTCCCCGTCGCCCGGTTCGCAGGTAATCGCATGGCCGAGCGAATGCCCGAGCTAACAAAGGGCAATATTGAGCCGGTCCCCGGGGCAAAGTCGCTCGACTTGCTGTCCAAGTTCCTAGCAGCGCACCAGAGCCATCCTGATTTTATGACTGAGACCCTAGTCCAGACCATGGCTGTCAGCATGGCATTCGCGGGCTCCGAGACAACTGCCATCAGCCTTTCAGCGGTTTTCTACTTCTTGCTCAAGCACCCTCAAGCCTTGGCCCGTCTTTGCTCTGAGATCGACGATGCTGCTCGTTTGGGAGCTTTTGCGGACTCTGAGACTGGTCTGGTTTCCTGGCATGAAAGTCAACGTCTTCCTTACCTTGACGCGTGCATCAAAGAAGCATTCCGACTGCACCCAGCTGCAGGTCTGCCACTCGAGCGGGTTGTGCCGGAGGGTGGAGCGGACATTGCGGGCCATTTCGTTCAGGGCGGGACGATTGTTGGCTGTTCGGCCTGGCTAATTCACATGAATAAGAGCATCTTTGGCGAAGACGCGGAGGCCTATCGTCCGGAGCGGTGGTTACCAAACGCAGAAATTATCAAGACCGAGAATGGTAAGGAGGATGAGGATCGTCGCATAAAGGAGATGAATGGGACGATGTTCCAGTTCGGAATGGGCAGCCGGACGTGCATCGGAAAGAATATTAGTCTGCTTGAAATTTACAAACTCGTCCCAAGCATGTTGCGAAGATTTGAGGTGTGTCATTCTTATGTGCTGGATGTTCTATAACATGGCTAATGTCCTTTTTCCAGATTCAATTCACGGATCCGAGCCAGGAATGGGAGCTAGTCAATGCTTGGTTTGTCAAGCAGAAGAATTTCACCACTTCCTTTCAGCTTCGGGAGATTGTTAAACCCGAGGTTGAAGCCTAGGAGCCCAATAAAACATGGATAAGGTGACCGATGTCTGTTTCATTATTCCGGACAGTCCATCATAGCTCGTTTGCTCTCCTTCAGCGGCAGTGCTTTTTTTTTCTCTATGAAAGCATTCCCAAAGTTGGAGTTTCCCACATTTTCAAGTATGGATCAGCCCATACTCCCAACTTGAATTAAGCTATCAGAAACCAGGCCATTCCTAGTTTCAAGGGCATTATTCTATGTAAGATGGGTATCACGTAGTCATGATCGGATTCACATCTTGCTCCTAGGATACAATATATTTCTTTGAAAAGTTCATGAAAAGATTCAAAATAGGGACAGAGCGGTCGCTATTCTTTTTTATAGTTGTTGGCCAAATTCCCTAGATCCTTTAGACAGGTTCAGAGAGCGGACCACGTCAATGTGTTTTTGGGAATAAGAAGTAGTTAAGTTTCTGGGACTGACAAAAAAATGGGGTTTTTTCGACCCCTTACTAGGCTGAGAAGCGATCAAAAGTTGGCATAAATGATCAAGAAAGTGAGGGAAAACTATGAACAATACCCAGTTTCTCAGATTTCTATTTTAACAAGGAGTATCCTGGAGTGGATTCCTCTTGCAGAATCTTCGTCTGAGGGATTTGGGGGCCCCCGAGGTCGCAGATTCGGACCCTCGACCGTCAAATTTTAGGGCCAGGTTAGGGTAGTGACAGGGTCGTGAGGCTCACCCGCGGATCCTGCCGCGTCGCGGGGCCGCGACGCCAAGAAGAAACAACATGTAAATATCATGGCGAGAGACTCTCAGGCTTCGCTAGAATGAAGTAAATTTTCTAGTCAGAGATACACTTGAGAAAGGGTTGCACATTGTGCTTTCAAACGAAGGACTATAGCATGCGTGGCAGACCCCTGATGGTGCCCTAACCGTCTGCCATGTTGAAACTCGTCATCGGCTTTGTGAGTTTCAGACACGAAGGCGATCGAGATTACTACCTGCATTGATAAGGGCTACAGCCCAGTGTATTCCGTTGAAAGGCAATGGACAGAAAGGACTCGACGCAGGAGAAAGAGAGGAATAAAGTAAGGGAAGAGGAAAGTGCAGACGGAAAGGTGCCATATGGGTCACATGCCGCATACATGGGACGCAAGTGGCCCCAATGGTTATTCAGTGATATTTAGTGTTCATCACTGACTATGTACCAGATCACATTATGACCCCAGGAACAAGGATGAGTGCGGCACAGTAACATGAGACTGCTGCCCACCAATACCTGCGGCCGTGTTACTACAAACTAACAACCGGCAATTATAGTAAGCAAATCCAATGTGGATGACTGAGGCCAAACGGAGTGGCACAAATAATGAAGGGTCGTCCAACCAAAACCTTATGCGCCGGTCCGCCCTCTACACTTATGGGCCAAAATTATAGCTTCCTCTATTTTTTGGGCGATAATTCCACGAAGGCAGTCACACCAGTGATATACCCCTGAAACTAGTCCGTGTTGGGTGCGAAACAGGATGCGACCTTGTCTTTACTGTCACATATTAGACCATTTTGTCCCGGCCTTACTCGGAGCAAAGGTTTCTCTGGTTAACTGTGCTGCTGTTGCCCGATATGAATTTACCATCATTGAAGGGCATAATTCTCTTTGGGGTTTCCATCACCAAGCTTGTGACCATCGTCACCGCTGAGCCTATTGGCCAGTCTGAGCCGTCAATGTCTCACCTTTCGGGCTCGTCGACTTTGTGTACTACACTTGTCGATGTCGATACAACCAGTACCATTATCATCGATGGAACTACTATTACCACTATCGACAAGTACCATAGCAGGCCTCCATTGAAGAAGCTGGGCCCCTGCCCTGCTCCCCAGCCGAATGGAGCCCACCCATCTCACAATGGTACGATACCTACATCCTCCCGGGTTGGCCCTTCAGGAAAAATTTCCCCCAAGCCATCACCAAAGTCAAAGGCATCACACCACGCTGGCGGTGACTCATGGCCATCTGAGCCTTCAGCCGGTCAATCGAAGACCGGGTCACAACCAGAGTCAGCGAAGTCCCATGAGGGCAATACACATGGCCATGGTCAGACCATCCTTGCAGATTCGTCTAGCCAACTAGGCGTGATCGTTACTCCTGGGGTTGTAGTAGTCACAGAATCGTCAAGCACGAGGACGTTGACTACCGGCATGGTGACAGTCACAGATGCAGCCTTGCCCCCAGGGGTAATGGTGTCTCCGAGCCAAGAGACAGTCACAAATTCGGCAGGCGTGACGACTGTGACTGCGGTCATGGTTACGCTTCCAGAACCATCAATCTCAGCTACAGCTCCGTCTGTCATCACCGAACCTACTGGTTTGGTAACGATAGGGCCTCTGTCAAGTGAGGCGGCCACTAGCAGCGCGTCTGCGTTCTCGACCGATCTCGTTGCGATTTTCCCTTATATCAGCTCTTGGATTGAACATTCCACAAGATCTGCCGAGGCAACGCGTGCAGTCAATGCCCTTAAGACGATAATTCCAAAAGGCAAGCATCTAACAGAGGAGCTGAGCGGTGGTGGATCCTCTAAAGGCGGTGGTGGCAGTGGTTGCGGCAGCGGACTGAAGAGGGGTCTCTTCAGCAGCATTTTCGACGCAGTGAAATGCATCACAAGCCAGGTCGAGGATCTTGGAAATAGTATTGAGCGAGGGATTGATAAGATTGATCCGACTAGTATTGTCAGCTATGTGAAGAGTCTTCTGGACGACATAAAGCCTGATTTGAAATCCCTGAACGACCTCCTTACCAAGGACCCTGGAAATGAACCTGATGATGAACCGTCCAAGAAGTCGGAGACCGAATCTACCACGTCCGAAAGTGAGACTTCGTCTGGGACTACATCAACAGAAACTACGTCCACCACGTCTACGTCCACCACGTCTACGTCCACCACGTCTACGTCCACCACGTCTACGTCCACCACGTCTACGTCCACCACGTCTACGTCCACCACGTCTACGTCCACCACGTCTACGTCCACCACGTCTACGTCCACCACGTCTACGTCCACCACGTCTACGTCCACCACGTCTACGTCCACCACGTCTACGTCCACCACGTCTACGTCCACCACGTCTACGTCCACCACGTCTACGTCCACCACGTCAACATCAACCCCATCCAGCACACCCCGGTCTTCAGCATGTACTAAAAAACCTACTACGCTACTCTCTTCGTTTGAGACTACATCAACAGAATCTACATCTACCACGCCTACGTCGACTAAGTCTACATCAACCCCGTCTCGAACATCTACCCCATCCAGCACACCCCGGTCTTCAGCATGTACTAAAAAACCTACTTCGCTACTCTCTTCGTTTGAGACTACATCAACAGAATCTACTTCCACCACGTCTACGTCAACTAAGTCGTCTACATATACTCCTTCTGCATCCAACAGATCCAGCCCATCCCCGTCTTCAGTATGCTCTAAGACACGTATTACGCTGCCCTCTTTGCCAACGGAGACGACGAGAACAGGGCCATCTGATATAGTAACGATCATATCTACATCCACGAAAGCTACATCTCCTTTCACGACCGCCGACTCAACGTCATCCAACTCGCTAGATTCCTCTGCCTCCAGCAGTTCCACAAGTACAACAATGCCTACAATGGCTATCGGCACAACTACTTCGGCAGGTTGCAAGAGCGCGGGCGACTGTGGAACACTAAATTGCGAGCTACACAGTGCCATCCCGACCTGCGTGGTATCGGATTCCAACCCTGGCACCTGCAGTTGTTTGTCTACTGCTACAGGAGAGACATCAATACAAAGCATAACCCCGCCCCCCAATAGGGGGCCGTCTCAAACGACCTTTGAAACTCGGACGAGCCCGCCTGAAAACAGTCCAACAGTAACCAGCTCGGCGCCGCCCTGCCAAGTAACCAGTGACTGCGATAGCTTCTGTGGCTCTAACAGCCCTGTATGTTTTCGCAATAAGTGCGTGTGCTGGCCTACATACACCAGTTCCTCGGTTCACGCTCTCGGGTCGGCGGCATATCTTTCGTGGGAGAGAGCTCAGTCATCTATGTTGAAAGCCTGGGAATCTTCGCCGGAACATCTTTCTTACGAGAAATCTATGAGCTCTGTTTCGTCTGCAGCTTCGGCGGCTTCAAAGAGCGCCGCCGAAGCTGCAGCATCGAACAGCGCTGCCGAAAGTTACGTTTCAGAGGTCGTCGCCTTCGTCTCCGCCATCACCTCCGCGGCTGCTGCAGACAGCGCCGCCGCAGCCGCGGCCATGCCCACACCCTTATCATGCACGTTCGGCATGCTCTGCGACCAGACCAACTCCGATGGCAGTGCAAGTTTTGGTTGCGGACTCGCTATTTGGCTCGAAAACATCGATAACCCTTTTGACACTGACTATAACGAGAACTACTTCTATAAAGACGTTGACTGCGATTCAGGCAGCCACACCGTCCAGTATCGGGGCCGTACGTGGGAGTTCCGTTATGTGAACATGGGAGCCTATGCGACTGAATTGGGGGAGGCATCTATTTCGGTCCAGCAGGTTGACAATGGTGGGAGTGTGCTGGAGATTGCGCCGGCTGATGGAGGGTCTAATAACGATGGTTCTAATGCCGGATTTAGTTCTAACTATCGGAATACGTGGTGGAGGACTGGGATTACTTGCTAAATTCTTTGTTGTTCACGAGCGGCAGTTCTCTATTGAACATCACTCAAATTGCGGCCTGTATGATCCAATCCTATATTGTTGCAATTCAGAACTCATACAGACCTAGAATAACGAGTCTTGGGAAGATCATTCACATGGATAGAACGGAATTACAAGGGCATCTGATGTCTTTTCAACAATATATATCGGTACTTGGACTTGCGAGTTGAGAAATTTTCAGGGTGAACATGCGTCAAGTCTTTGGTTAGAAAGAAGACATTTTCGGCGTTAGATTCATAGGTTTCATATTCTATAAGACGAGGACCAGTGGCGTTCTTTATTCCTACTGAGGTAGGAAGGATTCTAGGATGGTAGGAATAAGAAAGAAGATAGAAATCTATAAGTAGTACGTTAGTTTAAGTTCCACGAGGGTCAGTGGTCCATGTGGGTTTGTATTCCTTGCTTTCCAAATAGACTTGCTAGGTAACCACCTCTCCTCGAACCTCGGCAAATCGCCGGGCTCCGTCCCCGACTTCTCCGCACCAAGAAACTTATCACAACTAATATCTCATCCCCTCCCACTTCCTACAATTTCACATTCATCCCAATCATCAAGAGACACACCTATACAATGCCCGTTCTAACCCTCCACCTCCTCGCCCTAACCTCCCCTACCAATCTCCAACCCTTCATCCAACAACTCAAGCAAACCCCAAATCTAGAGGTCATTCTCACATCCCGCCCGCGACATGTCGTCATCCACCCAACAACCCTAGACAACAACCCCCTCACAAAAACACCATGGGACCTAATGGTCCTCCTCAAAAGTGCCTCTAGCACCACCAATCCCATCCCATCAAATTTACACAGCTGGATCAAAAACGAGTACAAAGTCCCAACAGGGATCCCCTCGCGCCTCCTATCAACCTACCCAACCCGCGACGCAGACCTAAAGCAATCCGCGCGTTCGGCCTCTCTAACCGGGTCACTAGACAAGGTTCTCCGCGACCAGGGGAAAAGCAATACAGCGCAAAACCTCGAAATCTCCCCGGAACTCCTGGAATTCATGACCAAGCTCTCGAAAACACATTCTGGCCCCGTGACAATGTTAAATCTGTTGCAATTCCACTATCCCAATGGGAAGGAAAGCTATTACCAATACGGACAGGCGTTTATCCCTATCGCGGGTAAGCGAGGCGGGAGCGCGAAACTTGTTGGCGCGGTGGTGAATCGATCGTCATCACCAGAATCGACAGATTCGAGGGGAGGCAGCCCCCCGCGTCCCGAAACGGAGTGGTGGAATGAGGTTTCTATCGTGCATTATCCGTCCATTAGGCATTTTTGTGATATGCTTGCTGGGGAGGATTATCAGGGTATCAATGAGAAGTATCGCTTGTCGGTGAGTTGACTTCCTTGGATGTGTAATCATGGGGTGCGTTGCTAATAATATTGGTGGGTTCAGGCTTTGAGGGATACGTTCTTGCTGTGTACGACTGAGTTTGATGTGGAGGAGGGTGCTGGAGTTGCGAAGCTTTAGGTAGCTGCGACAGGTTATTAAGTGGAGTGGATGATCAATATAGGGTTAACTGGTATTTAATCAGGGTATCTGAAAGGCAAAGGCAAATGCGATACAAAGTATTCAGAGGAAAAAGAAAACAAGAGCACGCTAGAGTGTTCCACGCCATAAGCAAGATCGTAAAGTTACCCATGAGAATAGCGATGTAGAGGGCGTTGAGCCGGTTTATAATCATACTTCAAGCCTTCTTGCTACCGACCAAGGATGAGGGACGGTCAGGGTTGATGACGCTGTCGTGTGGCCGGTCCCAAGTACGGATATGACCTGTTGTAGTTTTAGGTATCAGTGGCTGAGCGAAACGAAGTGCGATAATTATTGCATGCATACCTTCAAGAGAAGAGGTCATAATACAATCCTTCTGAAAGCCCAGCCAGCAAATAGGATCTTGGCCGACAACTTTGGACTAAAGACGTTGTTAGCATGAGGCCTTTCAGAATATTTCCGAGGCCAGGCCATTATTTAGTGACTCGACTCACCATGATAGGGGGCAGCAGAGCAGTCCGCGATCTGGGTTCGATGGGGTGGCTAGTCTGCTCAATATCGCCGTCGGATTTTTCAGTTTTCTCAGAGTCCGATCTGAGGCGAGTAATGCCGCCACTGTCTGCGCGATGGCGGCCAGCAGGCTGTAAGCCGGGGGCGGCAATACTACCCCGTTGACGAGCGGTTGCCTGGTGGAGTTGAAAATTGTTAGTTTTGACACTCCCAGAGAGAAAACAAGTGGAAAACGTACTGCGCGAGGACGGTGGAGCATGCCGACGCTGAAATCCCAGAGGAGCAGTCTGCAATCATCTCCAACGCTCCCGAATCGGTAGGTCCGCTGGTCACAGCGCCATGGGTCAAATGCAACGGCCGAAACAAAGGAGTTGTGGCCTTGGCATCGAGCAACTATCTTGCGCTCCGGGAAAGACCAGATGGTTACCAGATCGTCTTGACCGCCAGTCACGACGTACTTGCCATCGGGGGACCAGCAAACGCAAATCAGACCGCCATAGTAACTGCGGAAAATATCCAGCATTCTATGTAGCCATACATTAGCACAATCCAACGATAAAAAAAAAGAACAATGCTCACTCTTCCTTCAAGTAATCCATAAGACGCAGCGACCCATCTTCTAGAACCACGGCCAAGTGCCGCTGATCCGGCGAGAAAGCAAACTGGGCGATTTTATGGGTGGACAGTTTCCACAGTGCGACCGGGTTGGTCTTCTGGTTTTTGGAGTTGACGGATTTCTGGACCTCCAGAGGTAGTCGAACGCCCTCCTTCTCAGACGGAGTGCTAGCCTCGGATGCGAACAGAGCATCCTCTTTCTCCTTATCATAAACCACCAGAGCTCCGTTTGCATGCGACGCCATGAACAAGTGCTCAGAGCCAGGAAGCCATTTAATATGAGTGACGGGGGAGTTGTTGATCACTCCATTCTTGTTGATCCGGGCGTATTTCTGCGACATGGGCTCGTACCAGATGATGTCCCCCGCGGAAGAACCCATGACGATGTCCAAGTGGGATGAAGACTTGGTAACGTCGTTAATGTCGTGACACAACATATGTGCCTTGGTGAAGAGAACTTTGGTCAGATGTTCCTCTTTCTGCGCGGCGCTGAGGTCTAGCCATTGGAATGCGCGGTTGATGTTGGCAAACGCAAAGACACCATTAGGGTCACGGTCGCTCAGCCTCTTCGCCGACGTCTCATGGGTGATGACTCTCGAAACAAACGAGGAGCTGCTCTTGATGATATTGTTCTTTGGCTTCCGCTTTTTCGCGTCCTTCGAGTTAGCTGGCGGTGGAGCGAGCGCAGGGTTTCCATCGCCAAATTGCGGTGCCGTAACCTTGGTCGTTAAGAATGTAGGTGGTCTCTTGCGCGCGTCTAGGGTGACCAAAGACACCTTCACACCAGATGTCGGAGGGTTCGGGACAGTCGCGAGAGGGTTTGGGTTGACAATTGGCGCTTCAGATGGGTGCGGAGGCGGTGTTGCAAGAAGGAGATCATCCTTCAGAATGTACGTTCCTGCGATTTATCCGATGTTAGCCACGCTATGGCCCGATGTATCATCCCAAAGCTCAGCAACGTACCTTCACCAACTTGTAACGGGCACCCGCCTTCAGGATGGGAGATGGTGTTGTTGGTTTCGATGACCGGCACGGCCATGCCATTCGACGCCCCCGCCGCATAAGCGACAGGGATGGTGTAGCGGGGAGGGGGAGGCGGTAGAACACTTGAGAAAGAGTCAGCACACGAACTAACAGACAGTGATAGGGGACAACAATATCTCCGCAGGGTGACGGTAGTCAAGGCCACTTTCGGTGGAGACATCGAAGTGCTTCCTTCCAAGACATCCTGAAGCTGACATTCGAAGCGGATATGGGGGGACTAATGACAGGAAAGGGAATCCGGAAAAGGAGAGCCTTACAACATGGCTGCAGATACACAGGTATAGCAGGATAATACAGTCTCAGTCCCGACAAGTACAGAGCTGTGGACGGCACCTGGGGTGGCAAGCAATTCTCAACGCGGAGGGGATCCGGTTCGACTGTTCTTCACTCTACAGAGCGAGTGATAAGAAGCACAACGACAGTAACAGTCCAAGGAGACTTTGTCGCGAATAGGACCAAAGGAAACTCAAGGTCGAGGCCGTATGCAGGGAGAGCCGCGGTGATCAACAGTCTCCACGCGGTCGGGATCGGCGGGAATGGCTGCAAGATGGAGAGATTGGGGATGGGCGGAGATCGGGGCGATGTATGGTGAAAGAGAGACTGTAGGGAGAGCGTGTGGGAAGGGGGAAGGGGAACAGAAGACAGGATGAGAGGAGGACAGATGAGGAGAAGGTTGTCAGCACGAGGCAGAAGAGGCGGAAGAGGTCCGGGGTAAAACGTGGGAGACAAAGGCGGTATGTATCGGTCTGCGGGGCACAATGGAGGATCCACCAGGTACAAGGGGTATGGATTAGGGCTAGTGTTATTGGAACTATGAGGCATTCTACACATCTCACAGTGGGTATGGATGAATTAGGGCCAGGTAATGGGCCAAGTATCAACTATTCTACACAACCTTCTCACGTCCCACTCCCACCCATTCGTCGCCAGATCATCGTCGCCGCGGCTCCAGCACACACCACGGCCCCCAGCGCAATCCCCCACGCCATCCACTTACCCTCAACATCCTCCTCACTGCGCGGGAAGACGGTGCTGGGCTCCATGGCAGCTTCAGCAATGTGCACAAAGACCTCCTGGATAGAATTCCACGTCACGCTGACATGCAGCGGAGGGCTGGGCATATTCAACATGGCCGTGTACTCATGGGGCTGATACTCCGCCCGCTGGGTGGTCCGGTCCAAGTCCGCTTTCAGGGCAATGAAGACGCTGGGCAGTTCCTCCAGATGCGGGTACTTGGCCCGCAAGGCCGGAATGTACGCAAAGGAGTCCGGGTCGGACGAATCGTAGGTGTAGGCTATCACATCGCACTGGTCGAGTAATTTGGCCTGGTTCTCGAGGATGGCGGGTTCCAACTCCCCGAGTTCGTCCATGATCAGGTAGCACTGCTTCCCACCGGGCAGTTCAACGGTGTTCACTGCCGTGCGTGGCTGGATGGTAGGGTGGTATGTGGTGCTGAACCCGCGCGACAGGAAAGCGTCGAGTAAGGCGGACTTGCCAGAGCCAGAGGCGCCCAGGACATGGCATTGAACCACATTTCGACCGACTCGTCCAGGTCGTCGCCGCCTCTTGCGCGGCCGCGTCACTTTTAGTGCCGCTGTGGTAGATGGGTTGCTTCGGTCAGAAGACTCGAAGCCCAGGTACGCCAGGTATTCCAACGTGGTCTTGGGCGACATGAAAGTCGTCATGCTCCACTGGGCCAGCCAGCCTTGGAGGGTCACATGTCCAGCTTCGCTCCGCACGGTCGAGGATGGGAACGAGCCATCAGCCCACGACGCCGGCAGGCCTGGGGTCGGAGCGAACAACGATGCTAGCTCGGCGTTGTTCAATCCGCCATCGTTGTCCTTGTCTGATAGGAGGAAGAGATTCACGAAAAAGCGATATCCTTCGGGAGACAATTCGGCCGAGGCGAACGGCGGGACCTCGAAGCGGGGATGTAAAAAGCTCTCTTGCAAGGAGAGATTATCCGTGTATTGAAAGGCCCGCAAGATAATCCACACCGTCTCATGGCGCCCTTTCTCTGCATACATCTTGTTCAAATGAATAAATCCCCGGCAGTCAATCCCAGAGTCGGACACCGATTCCGGGTAGGTTTTCTGGATGGTGTCCTTGATATGTACCAGATCTTCCTCGCTCAGGGACTTCCCGAAGCACCGTGTTTGGAACTCTTTGATCTCCTTATCCGACAGATAACCATCGCGATCCTTGTCGCTGAGGTAAAAGATGCGTTGCAGAGCTGCGACGGCGGCGGGCTTGAGCGCGGCCTCCTTGGAGTCGAATAGGGGTGCGATGGGATGGGTGACGGCCTTTTGACAGACAAAGAAAGCCTCGTTGACATTGCGGTGTTCGCGGGCGCTAGTGCGGATGCATGAATCAATCTCCTTGAATTCCGCCATCAGCGGCAGCATCTCATCCTCGAGCACCTGGGCCTCGCTGTGCTCCGCAGCAAGATCAGACTTGTTGGAGCACAGGACAACGGGGACATTCACCCCCAGCGACCGGAAATGCGGCAGCCAGAAAAGTGCCACGCGTTCATAGCTATAGTGATCGGAGTAGACCAGTAGTATCACGTTGGATTTCCGAATCTCGCGGGCTAGGTTGTTGCGCTCCTGGGGAAGCGCCGAGGTATCGACGACCGTGGTGGTGGTGACATTTTCAGGGGTTCCGATCGTTGGAGGGATGGTGATCTGGGGCAGGACGGGCTGGATTTTGTTGGTGACGAAGACACCCTTGACCAGGGAGGTGATGAGGCTGGACTTGCCGGTGCCTTCGTCGCCGCAGACGCAGATGCGGACTGAGATGGGTCAGCAGAGAAGGGGGTGGCATTGGCAGAGATGGACATACCTGTTGCCATGAGCAAGGTATATGCTACAGCAAGGAAGGCTATGATCTAACCATTGCGATTGTAACTATGGGGGTTGCCGGTCAAGGTGTTCTGGAAGGAGATGCGGCCGCGGGAGAGATAGTGCCTGAGGCGCCCACGGCCACGTGAAAGTGCCTGGGGGAAGATGCACAGCCAATGCACAAGTGAACTAGTTCTCTAGTTACAAAGTAGTTATTAGTGAAATATAGGCAGTGTTAGGTGCATTTCGTCCTTGGTCCTAATGCTATCATTGGAATCACTCTTTGTTGCTGTGCCTGGAAGATATACTTCTTCCTCCTAGGCACTGTTTGCTCCGCCACCTTCGCCTTGGCCACCGTCAACTTTCTCTCTCCTAATACTCTTCGGGCGAATCACCATTGTCAGGAACAGGCAGTCACTTCTTCCCCACTCGCACCCATCCTCTGACACGCCGGGACCTGGCCCTCCATCGCTCCTCCAACCGGAGTTCCTCTCATCCGTCACCCGGTCCACCCCATCCACTTGACTGACTAACGCTGAACCACCGCAAACACATCAGCCTCACCCTCTTTCTTCTTACGTCCGTAGTCGAGCTTCCCCCATTTCCTCGACACTCCCGCCAAGATGCCTTTCGGGATCCATAACCCGCTGCCTGCGTCGATGAACAGTACGTAACATATCCTGCATTCCCCTCGTGCCCTCTTCCCCGCAATCGCGCTGACGGTGTCTTTTGTCACTCCTCCCAGGTGAATGCAAGAAGGCAGCTAAGATCCTGGCATCCTTCATCGACCCCAAGCAAGCATTTGGCCCTGATAAAGTCATCCCACCGGAGATTCTGGCTGGTGCTAAGGTGAGGCATACGTGGTCCTCAGATTGCATTCCCCGGCATGCCGGTTGAACGGACGAACTAACCGCCCGCTTCCATAGGGTCTTGCGATTCTTACCGTCCTCAAAGCCGGCTTCATAGGCTCTGGTCGATTCGGCTCTGGTCTCGTCGTCGCCCGTCTCGCAGATGGCTCCTGGTCGGCTCCGTCGGCGATTGCGACCGGCGGTGCGGGTGTTGGAGGACAGATTGGGTTTGAGTTGACCGACTTCGTCTTTATTCTCAATGATGCATCGGCCGTTCGCACATTCTCACAGGTTGGCACGCTGACACTGGGTGGAAACGTTTCGCTCGCTGCTGGACCCATTGGCCGAAATGCGGAAGCCGCGGGAGCGGCCAGCACGCGCGGTGTGGCGGCGGTGTTCTCTTATTCCAAGACCAAGGGTCTCTTTGCCGGTGTCAGCTTGGAGGGTAGCATGCTGATCGAGCGCAAGGATGCCAACGCGAAGCTCTATGGTAGTCGAGTCTCGGCCAGCCAGCTGCTGACCGGCACCGTTCGCCCCCCACCTCAAGCCGATGCCCTGATGCGCGTCCTCAACTCCCGGGCCTTCCAGAGCGGTGCGGGGAGAGTGTACGGCGACTCCATGTACAACGACATTCCAGTCTACGACTCGAGCCACGATGATGTTGTCTGGGAGGGCCGTCGCGGCGCAGCCTACGGCCAAGGCCAACGGGGCCGCTCCAACACTTACGGCGATGACGATTATTCCTCTCGTGACAGACCCAGCCGGTCAAACACATGGACGGACGACGTTTACGATCGCCCCGCAGGGGGACTGGCTCGCTCGAATACGACACGGGCACCCCAGGGCGATGCGTGGGGAGACAACTACGGCCGCAACCGCAGCAACACGGGGCCGTACGAGGACGATTATTCGTACTCAGACCGCAAGCCTAGCCGTCCAACGGCTCCCAAGCCGGCCTTTGGCCAACGGACTGGTCAGGGTTTGCGATCAGATCAAGTCGTCGCCCTCTACACGTTTGATGCCGACCAGGAGGGTGATCTGGGATTCAAGAAGGGGGAGATCATCACGATCTTGAAGCGAACAGAAAAGGCCGAGGACTGGTGGACGGGCCGCATCGGCGACCGGGTCGGCATCTTCCCTAGGTAAGAAACGTGTGTGTGCTGCTATCAAACCATTTCACTAATTCGGATTCCTGCAGCAACTATGTCGATGCTTCCTCCTAGGTCTATGTCTGCTCCATGCTGGCTCATGCGGCACAATGCATTATCTCGAGAAGCCCCATTGATTTGAAGCCTCGTCCATGGACATAACAACGCCCGGGGATCTCTCCTGGTGTATGCGGATTTGACTCGTCTTCCTGCCCCCGTCGGGTGCCGTTTCATAGTCTTGAGCGCTGGTGTTTTTGTTTTCATTCTCGGGTCCGCTTCGCTCTGGGATCCTCTTTTTTCTGGTCTACGATCGTTTCCTGCAAGTCGGATTCTCCTCATTTTGTTGTAGCCTAGAAGATCTTTTTTCCCCCTTATCTTTCTTCTGCCTGAATATTGTAAGCACTGTAAGCCTCTTTTTCTTTTAGTGTCCATTAGGTACTATGTATTCGCCCTGCCGATTGGTTCTCCTACTGGCTGCGTCCAGGCCCTTGGTCCCCTCTCGAAAAAAGGAAAAGATGAACCCGCCAACCAATTGCAAGAAGACTCTGCCTAATTCCATCCGGAGCGTAGCGAGTAACACCGGAGGCGTTCACATTTCAAGATCAAAAGCACCACGCTCGTTGGTCCGAGGCAGAGAGCCCTAGACCCATGTCCTGGACCCATGTCCTGGACCCGGGCGCAGGCCGGTCGTACTTAGTACACCATCCGGGGTGCGTTGGAAATAGTTTAAGATCCATCGCGGGGCAAAAGGAGGATGCTTGGCATGTTAGATTGGGGGAGCCGAGCCAGGAGAGGATGCATCTGGAGTGTAGAAATGTCCTGATCCTTGGTCGGAAGGGCTCAGGGCTACCTAACAGACCCCCCGCCGTGACCTGCATGGATGAGGTGCCACGAGTCGAGTACAGATCGTGGCAGAGTGGACGGAGGGGTCACACTTGTATACTCGGGCGCCCGATAGTACTGGGATAGAACCGACACTGTAACGTGATCCTGGAGCGGGTCACTGACGGAAGAAGCGCAGCCGCAAACGAGTATCGCAGTCAGTCAGCAGTGGTTTAGCACCACCGCCAACCAACACCGCCCGCCAAACCAATCATTCTTCCTTTCTCTTCTTCCTTCCCTCTATTCTTCATTCTGATTCACACTTAGTCCTCTGCTTCTTCGAATGACCGTCCCACGACGGTAACTGCCGAATGTCGGTCGCTTGTGGTCTCTTCTTTTCTTCTCCGCTTCGATGATACTTCTTCTTCGTTCGCTTCCCCAGGTGGTAACATTCACCTCCTCGAGCCTCCCCCTCCCCCTCCCTCCCCTAGCGAGCCGTCGCCCTTCCTAGGTTCTTCGGGCCATCGCTGGTTCCTGGACAACTGGCTTCCATGCAGGTGCGTTATTTTTTGTTTTCTATCCTCTTTGTTCTGCCGGTGCCCGATTTCATGGGGAGATTGCAACCCCGTGCCTCGGGGTCCTCACGCGGGCACACCCATCCGGCTAGGGCTGTCGTGATCTGCCTACAGGCCTAGACCTATGGTCTTTCACGCTTATTTCACGGAATACTAAGGCTCACCTGCTGTCATTTAGGCTTCCGCGAGCGCCCCTGAGGCTGGCGGAGGACATGCGACGCGGAGAGGCCATGCCCCGACTCTGTCAATCAGCGACCCTAGCCACCATGTGACGGAGGCAATCGGCCATATGTACGACGATGACTATGATCGTAACGATCCTAGGCGCCTCAGCTACATAGCATCCCCACTCGGCGAGTCAATATCAACGATCCCACGAGCCACGGGCGCGCGCGCAGAGTCCTCCCCCTCTCCGACCCTGCTCTCACCAACTTCGGCGGAGGTCCGCCCAAAGCAGTCAAATGGACACCTACGCCCGCAACCCATCATTCAACGCCGGTCCTATGATCGGGACAGCGAACCCGGTTCTCCCGATAGCCCTCGTTCCCCGTCCGAGACAGCCACATCCTCCTTTCCTCTGAACGATATCGACTATGAATCCGATCCTGCGGCGGTGGCCCAGGAACTGAACAATCTGGCTGCTATTCGTCGCATGTCTATGGATGTGGCGGCTACCGGGGACCCAGATCTTCCAGGCTTTGGAAACAACTTTACAGTCCCCTCCCTACCGCCCTCCCCCTCCGCCGATGAAAATGATGCGTCTCGGTTATTTTGGGTGCCAGCCCGCTTACACCCAGAACTGGCCCCAACTGAATTCAAAACGTTTCTGGAAAGCAAGGCAGACCATATCAAGCGCAAGTCGGGTGATTTCTCCTCTCTGAGCCCGGAGCGTTCAGGATCTGAGAGTAGTCTGCGCCGCAAACGGTCTATGCTATCCCGGGAGATTGACGATTCGTCGGGTTATACGGACGGTGCGGATCGATTGGACCGGCAGCGCTCGCTTGCTCGTAAGCGAGAAGGCATGTTGAGTCCCAATTTGCAGGAGCTAGAGGCGTTGGTGGATGATGGAAAATCGCAAGGCTCGGACTCGCTGGTACAAGGAATGCAGAATGCGAGCATCTCCTCCACCGACGAAGACAAGCCGATTCTACCCCCCGCACCCCCGGGCCACAGTCTACGACGGTCGACACGCACCCAGTACAGAAAGGGAAGCTTGAAAAAGGGCGAGAAGCCTCCTTACTCCAAGCGTCTGGGGAGGACCTCGGAATCTTCAGATTCTATGGCCTCGATTGTCGCTGCATCTGATGAGCCGCCAATACTTGGACTTACTCGCGTTTCAACCGATCCCACCTCCAATGCGAGCCGACCAACGCGGGCCCCATCTGCTTCATCGCGGACCGCGGCTTACGCTCCAGGGTCCTCTCCAAGTTCAACATTCGATTCCATACTCGAGAAACCCCAAGACGAGGAAGGCGACAGGTCCCTTGCTAGCTCTCAGACTGATGTTACGCTCGGGCGATCGGATTCAGGAAGCCAGTCGAGTGCCACTTCCCAGACACGAAACTGGCACTCTCGTCTCAGCTCGAATGGTCGCTCAACCTTGAATATCCCCCCATCGGAACAACAAGTTCCCGCCATTGTCGAAACGCCCGCCGTCGATCCCAATCGATCGTCAGCTAGCCAAGTCCCACAAAGCAGCCGGGTACCAGACCGCGATGCGCTGCCTGCAATGTCCAAAGCGACAGCAATGAAAGAACCCAGCTTGAGCAAGCGATCTTTGTCCAATCGCCAGTCCAACAAGGATACCACGTCTTCGCTCAATGACTTTGCCAATAATCCGCAAATGATTCCTGGCAACAGTACACGAACCGACACTCTTTCCTTCATTCCTACCCTGCCCGAAGAGCGTAAGGCCGAGGATCGAAAGTCGGAGAGCAAAAAGTCCAAGGACAAGAAGGACTCGGAAGGTGGCCGCAAATCTAGCTGGCACTGGCTGCTGGGCAATGAGGAAAAGGATAAAAAGAAGGACAAAGACAAGGACCATGACTCGAAGAAGACGAAGTCGAAAACTGTCGAGAAGGCTCATGACAATACCCGTCTGGATGTGTTGCAATCATCTATCGACAACAGCCAGCGCGGGCGCGAGAGCATCGCTATCGATCGCCTCGACCCGAAACTGGAAGAAGAGCGACGCAAAGATGGAGCCAGACGGGCTTCGGGAGAGTCCAAGAAAGAAAAGGACGGGATCTTCTCATCAATCTTCGGTGGTGGACGTAGAAAGCATGGAGAGAGCCATCACAAGAAGAGCTCTTCGCGCAACATGTCCCCCAATCCTCCGGCCCGCGAGCTGCGCGCAGACATCGACTACCCGTGGACCCGCTTTTCGATTCTTGAGGAACGAGCAATTTACCGCATGGCACATATCAAGCTTGCAAATCCGCGGCGTGCACTCTACTCTCAGGTGTTGCTGAGCAACTTCATGTACTCCTACCTGGCCAAGGTCCAACAGATGCATCCCCAGCAGATGATGGTCGCCTCCGGTGGATCACAGAGGCAAGCTAAATCCAGGGATCCGCAGCCAGAAGAGTACCTTCAATATCAGCGATATCAAGAAGTAAGTGGAGCTGGTAACGAACTCGTCGACGAAGAGCCATAATGCTGATGGCTTCCAACCTTTCTTTTCGCAGGCACAGGAGCAGCAACAGCACCAGCAGCATTACGGGAATGGTGCATATGACGATCCTTCCATGTACGACTATGATGATGATCCGCATAATCGCTACCACTCAGGAGGAAACAAGCATGGCTATGAGAACGGCAATGTTTATGATGGCTCGGGACATTACCAGTATGGGCACTCGTCTTTTGGCGATGATGTCCAACTTGACGATGACGACGATGACGATATGTGGTGAAATTCAGGCGTCTTCACTCGCTTTTTTCCTTTTCTTCTTTTCGTCTTTGTTTTGTTCTAGCCTTTTGTTTTCTTTCTTTTCTTTCTTCATTTGCTACGCACGGAATACCCATGCCTCTTTTCTTTTTTCTCTCTTTGTTCTGGTTTCTCCTAGAACGTGTACACTGAACTGATCCTTCTCCCTACCATCCATCACCCCTCTACTGAGCCTCTTTTACCCTTCCCTTCATCTTTTCGTTATAGTTCATATGGGCCCGCCCAGTCTGTCAACCGGACTCATATTGTGACGCACACAATGGACTAATAATACGAGAGATCCAACGGAATCTCGCCAGTATGGGACCATGATGGATGGATGGTTTCTATGGGTTACCGCCACATCTTTAGTTTCTTTCTTTGCTCATGCGGTCTGATCTGCTTTTCCTTTGTTTCTTTTCTTTTTCTTTTTCTTTCGCATAGCGCCGGGTGTTTTCTTTATTTTTGTTCTCAATTAATCGCGCTATCACACATACTGTCTATACAGTTTTGCCTGTTCACTCCTGTAGTTTCTTCTTTTCTTTCTTATTCTACTCGGATTCTCAACTATACCAATGAATCAATGAGGACGTCTGTTATATATATGTTTACATTTCATATTAGGTATGTTAGTAGCATAGCCCATCAATGACCCTAACATATATTTAGTTTTCCGCGCTTGCAGCAAGTGAGTGGGATTAAACTGCATATGTGGTAAATTCTGGCCTGGGGTGTTTCATGTGACATATGTGTGCTCCTCAAAAGTCCGCCTTGTTAGAGATATGGTAAAACTTTGAGTTACTGGCAGGATAGGGCAGATATAGCCAAGAATAAGGTGCGCCTTAAAATACAGCAGGTTAACAACATCCATTGGACTCTTCATGTCTTCAGCCTTGTGGTGATATCGAAAATATTCAGTGATGATTGTGTTTCTTGCGGGGACCTAAAACACTGTGTAGTGGGATTTTCCTCGGGGTGCCCACCCGAAAAGAAACCGACATTCTTATTAATCTCGAATTCTTCCCCTCCAATCTTCAAAAGTCCCATGATACATACATCATTCACTGGGAACGATCGTCTATCTAGCACTGCAATTCCGACGCGTTCTCATTGCAACTGCCGGAACTTTATAATATACACTTTTCCAATTATCCCAAACACCACAAATCATTCGGCACTCAGTTCTATGCAAGTTTTTCGATATCTGCAACTTCTGCATATTTAGTCTCCACAATGGCCTCCAACAAATTATCCATTCTACCACCGGACATCATGGAGTCCCAATTGTCCACAGTTGACCTCCTAACGGCGATGTTTCCGTCTCCAGGGGAGCTGGAAATCCCTGAATCCACAACGCAGTGCGTTGAGACACTTCGGGAGTGGTGCCAGAACCCAATCTCCACACCTTCCAAGATCCCCTCAAGTATATTTCTCGTTGTCAGTCTACCAATTGCAGACGGAGACAGAACGATTGAAGTCAACATTTCCGTTCCACTTCAATGTGAAGATCCGGCGACAATTGAACAGCCACCGTCATTAAGTTATTCACTTCGACAACCAGACTGGATGTCCAAAGCCGAGGTTGCTGAACTCGCTGCCTCAATACCGCAAGGCGATGTCTTAGAGGCATTTGAACACATCCAGACAGAGGCCAGCCGCTTTCTTGAAAATAAAAAGTCACAGGCCGTGAGTTCAAAGGAGACGGAGCCACATACGAGTTCAGCAGGACCGATCGTGAGAGTCTGGTTCTATTTCCCTTCTTTATCCACTCGTAAAAAGAGGGGAGATATGGTCAACCTCGCACCGGGGTACTCTCTGACAGGCTTTGTGCTGGCGGGCAAGCCGGGGGTATTGTGTCTCGAGGGCACGTCGCGAAATATCGATGCCTATATGAGCTTCGTGAAGACGCATTCATGGGGCGATATCCCCAGTCACCAGAAAAAAGTCAGCGAGAGATTTCGAGAGACCGAAGGAATTCAGAGAGTGTTCTCGGGCATGGAGGAAATCACAGATTCGCTAGGAGAAAGAGGTGGACAGCGGGCCAATCGGGGTGATATGCAGGCACTGGAGGCGTGGTTAGGGTCCAAAGGACTGCAGGAGGCTTTTGAAAAGGTGATATTTTAGGAGCTCTGGGAAACCCTGAGGATTAATGTACTTCTAGCTTCTAAATGCTCATTGAATGTTTGGTGCTAAGCTAGCCCCACAATCCTAGACAGGGGCAAAAGCGGCTACGATACCTAGCGTGTCTTTCGATGTTAGCTGCGCTTCATCTTGACGAGGTTCCGTTGTTGATAGGTCTCGCTGCTCTAGTTGGGACCTCAAAAACTCCCGGTCAGGACATAAGAAGATGATGCTGATAGCTAAACGCAGTATGTAATAATAACATACAGCTCACCACGTGACCATGCGCCCGCCTAAGGTGTCTTGTTTATGGCCCCTTATTAGAGGATTTTAAGGAAACATGCATATGCGATGCATGGGAGGCGTTAATTTCTTTGCCTTCACGTTTACCACTGTCTAGGATGAAACCAAGGTACTTTTGTTGGAAAGACGGGATTATGGTTAGCAGTATTTACCAGGTACCATGGTCTTAACCGCCAGTCAGCCTAGGGGTTAGAAATTTCAAATACTCCCCTTAGGCTAAGCCTTCAACCTTCTCTACTACTACCTAGTGTAGCTCGCCTCCAGCTATTCAAAACCACATTCACTCTAGATTCACCTGCAGTTACGACCCCTTCGGTCGCTCTCAACCGAGGGCTACACTGCTACCTCCAGCCAGTTTCTTCAGACGACACACACCTCTACCTACTGATATGCAACCACCTACTCTACTTATTGAACCTACATCCACCTTCCACTCTACCTTCTATCTTTGCTTTATCCCCCCCCTTCTCCCGTCTCTCCCTGCCGGTTTGATTCCTTTACTCGCTCTCAGTTGAGATCCATCCGATCACCCAGATCCTGTACCTACTGAATCCACCAAGCACTTCGATTTTCATTGCTCTCATTTGAGGCTCATTCCGTCACCTGCCATATTTATATCCAAGATGGCGTCACGGATCGAGGATTTGAATTTCGCAACCCATCGTCCGACTCATGCGCCATTCTCGGTCGAAGCCCTCCGAGCGTGTTTTCTTGAGATAAACAGCATCATCAACCGCATCTCCGAAAGTAATCAAAACATCCTCGACCATGAGGAAAGCTTTGCACTGTACAAGAACCACACATCCCATGCTTCCAGGATCGAAGATGATTTCACCACAGGATTGTTCGACGGTCGCAAACCGTCTGTCACTGTCACCGACAGTCGGACTGTCGATGGACGAACCAGAGCAGATGTTACTTGGCTTGACCTCATCTGGGGAGTGCGGCCGGAAGAGTTTGTGCGCCATGATGATGGAACCTTTCGTTGCCACTTCCGAGGCCAGACAGTGACGATTATGGAATGCGACCATGCCAGATTACGCTTTTCGCCGCGACACCCTCTAAGCGGCCCGACCAAAGTCGCCAGAGAAGATGCTATGGCAGAGTACGAGACGCTGTCAGAGAGGCGGGCCGCCATGAAGCAAATGGACGAATGTAGGTAAACCCTGATGAAAAACCATGTTCGGCTGATACTCATTCAAGACCATAGGTTATCAAAACTTCAAGCGTTCTCAAGCTGAGATGGAAACGCGCTTCAGAATGATTGCTGAGCATCTGGGCCTCCCCACAGAGACCCCTGGGACTTCCGATGCCCAACTACCGAATGAATCTCGAAGTGCCTCGCCTGCGAACTCGATAACAGTTGATCCGCAAGGGGATATTCCATATCGGGCAGCTCATCAACTCAATCTGCGCACCAGGCAAGCCTCAGAGCGAGATGAGAGCCGCAATACCACTGCCGAAGGATCTCAAAGGCCGGACGCCTCTCTCGTCCACAGATCGCTGGGTGCAGTGCCTCGTGATTCCGATGTTGAGATGACGAACACCGACTCTTTACGGACATCTTCACTTCCCAACAACGGACCCCTTGCACCGACCGAGTACTCAGCCACCGCTTCCTCTACATCGTCAGTGTCTGCCGAACCTTCCATTGTGCCCAAGCTGGAATATCCGGAGAACTTGGATATTCAGTCTTCATTATCGGGCCTGCCTTCCCTCTCCAAAATCCCTCAATCTCCGAGGGAAGCCATTGCGGGGGGTACCCTTCATATCGTGGTTTCCAAGAAAGGGATGATGGTTACCCACAGCGAAAAGGAGCTTGCGGAAGCGGGCTACTTCATACAAGCCCTCAAACTAAAGGGAATGTCCTGGACACAGATTTCCGATGAGTACGCTCAATATTTTGGGGTTCGCCGTAGTCCGATGGCTCTGGCAAATCCTCAGGTCCTCTGGCGCAATTTACAACGGGACCGACTGCTGGTGCTGAAGATCCCTGCCCGGGCGCGGCCTCGCGAGTTCCCATCAACCGGTACTCGCTCGGATATGCCTCTCCAGTCTGAGTATCCTCGAGCTGTGCCGGTCATGCAAGAGAGTTCTACGCAGTAATGCCGAACAATCTTCAAATGAAAATGTATCAGTCACTCTTATTTTTAATGGATTCTGCTTCAACTATGATCTTAATAATTTCATGTTTTCACAATACCAGTAATTCTTGATGACCCGGAGGTCTATTCTCCGCCTAACTCGTTGGATATCCCGGTTTCCTTAGTATGCTGTGAGTGGTACTTGTGCAGGTTATACATCTTGATAGACCCACAAACACTATTTAGCGCGGCGTACAGGTATTATCATAGAGTTGCACTTGCTCTAACAATAGCCAAACCATACATCTTGGCTGAGGAGACCACCTCAGTGGTTCCGCTTCAGATATGATAGGTTGATACTTTTAAAGATTTGATTTCAGCTTTCGCAATACGGCGGGAGTGTTTGCGCTATTCGGTTCATCACGACCACAGTAAGCGTCGCAGTAATCCGTCGATGGCATCTCTGGACATCGCTACCGTAGCTGCCAGCTTCACAAATACTGACGAATCACTGGCGCTGGATGCAACCTAGTAAGCAGGACCAAATGCCGAGTCGCTGGCCACGGCGATATCACTCCGTGTCGCGGTTGGTCACATATTTTGAAAATGAAAAGACGAAAACGATTTTCAGCATCGTATGCTGCTCTTCTGCGATAGTGAAGATTGATATATAGTGGAAAGTGGGTTGGAGCTGCGATGTGCATTTAAAGTCTATTGAATAGAGCGGACCCAGGGCAGTGGTTTGGGCCCGCGGCAGTCCTTGAGAACTAACGGGCAGAGCCGAGCCTAATTTACACGTGGAGTGAGAATAACGGTCAATTGTGCGCATCCTAACTCCACAATATACCTTTCGATGGAAACAGACCTCCCTATGCGTTCGCTCTTTTGGACGGAAGATATAGTCGGCAGGATTAGCTCACGACTTCGCACAGGATAATACAGAATAGGAGGTGTGTTGTTATTCCGTTGCAGCTTGGCAAATAAAAAGTCGAATCTAAAGCGCGCCCTTCAGTAGTATTGCCTATGAAACAAGTGCCACGAGCTCAGAAAAGCGGAATAATTAATCTTGCACAGTGGGATCCGAAGCCTTGTCGCTGAAAAACCGAGGTGATCGTCAGAGCTAATGGCCTGGCCCGAGCACGTTGATTGGCCTGCTAGTCCCATAGTGCATACACTGCCCCATCCGTCTGGCTCTAGCCGCCCATCTTTTCTCGTTCCATATCTAGCCTAGGGGAATTGTCAAACCCTCTTGCAGGGAAGGGGCCAATCCAGATGCCGAGTGCCCCGGTGCCCCGAGTGCGTTTTCTGTTTGGGGGCTGGTGTCTCAATGTTAAACTCTCCGTCACGGAAGTTATCTCTGACGGCCCCCATAAAAATCATCATAACGTAGCAGTCATAAGCTCCCACCCCCTCTTTGATCTGTCGTTTCTTCTATCATCACTTTCTGCCTCTGATCCAACAGAGCTGGCTACCAGGGGGAAGGAGCGCGAAAGCTGTTTCTTGACTATCACCCATCATGACGAGTCTAGCGGCCGACGCCGCTCAAAGTGGTTTTCAGGGGTGGTATATCCTCAATGAGTCCCGTTTGTGCACCCTAACCTCAAAATTTCTGACCGTATCAACTGATCGTCATTACAGCCGAGGCGATTGTGTGTGAACCCGGATATTTCACTACCAGCGGATCCTATGCGGCGTGTGCGACGCATGCGAGCACTTCCTCGTCGTTCACTTGGAATACTGGGTGCTATGGATCAAACACACTTCTGTACGAGGGCGGCGGTGGAGATATATGGTAATCATCTACTCTTTTATTTGAGCTGCGTTATTGGGCGCCCACCTTAACTGAATATCTCTGCAGTGTCAGCGGGGCGTCCTGTCTAGGAATGACTATTTTCCAAACATCCCCGTATGGAATGCCAGTCGTAACACAGTTTGAGTGCGTAACATATTGGTCCGCTTCAACTTTGTACCGCGAACTCGGCAATGGATTTTCGACCACTAGTGAGTTTCAGCATTTCATCTCGGGATTGATTCTTCATCCCATACTAACGCCCCCTAGGCACCTCAGTAAAGACAGTCGCACCAGGTGAAGCCAGCCAAACGATGCATACCCCACCAGCGACCTCGACCACGACGACCCAATCCTCATCAACGGCAACACCAACTGGCTCTAACGAAAATAGCTCTCAACCTGTTAGCTCGGCACCTGCTAGCTCGGGGCTTTCTGGAGGCGCAATAGCGGGTATTGTTGTGGGGTGTCTGGCAGGCGGATTCATACTGGCGTGTATATTATTTTTCCGCAAGAGGATTGCTGCTGTCTTCTCTGGGAAAGGCAATCCAGAAGCACAATATCATGATCCTCCATGGTATCGAGGGCACCCGCAGCCACAGATCGCGGGGGCCGTGTCTGAAATGTCATCTGATCGACCCCCGGTGGAGCTGCAGGGAACTCATATTGTACGGGAGCTCGATGGATTGAACTCAAAGCCAAAGTATTATGCGTGAAGTTAAGTATCAATAGACGATACGACCATTATGCATGGAAGCGGTGTATGTGTTGCTTATATATCATTAATACTGGGAGTACTGTTTAATTTGAAGCCCTTGCCATTATACACACTGGTTCCTGTAACGAGGTTGTAGACTACTTGGTGGAAAACTTGCGTCCTAGCATCCCTGATTTATGAACAGACGGAGAGTGTGTGTGTGCGATTGAATGCAAAGCTGGGTCACGCTGGCCATCTATCTGCCCCCTACACTTTAGCTGCTACAACCTTGCAGTCGAAATTCCCCACCAACTACTCGATCTCCAATTCCCCTGCTCTTATGCACCCTTGTGCTTGAGATCGGGGACACGGCCCTGCCCGGCCCGCTTCCGTCTTCTCCGGTCGCCAAGAACCCGGAAGCGCACCGGATTACTGTTCTATACCCCACCTAAGTTTTCCCATCGAAATTTCGATGTACGCGATTGAAGACACTTCTCCCTGTCTCAACTGTTTTCCTTATCAACAGAACTCTCAATATGGCAGTGGCTAAAAGTGGCTCGATTATTATTGTCGGCGCAGGTGTATTCGGCCTCTCGACAGCGCTGGAGCTTAAAAAGAGAGGATACAACGACATCACCGTTCTGGACCGATTTGTGCCTCCTGCAGCTGATGGAAGCAGCGTCGACATATCACGCATTATTCGCAGCGACTATGCAGACCCAATATATTCCAAAATGGCCCGCGAGGCCCTTGAGGGATGGAGGACCGAGTACCAGGACCAATACTACGAGTCTGGCTTCGCTCTGCTTTCAGAAACGCCCAATAATGCCTGGATCGAAAAGTCAAAGGCAGTAATTAAGGCTTCGGGTGGTCACATCGATGAACTCGCCGACGCGAGTGAGCTGCGAAAGTTTTATCCGAACGTGCAGTCCAACTTGTCCGGCTTGAATGGATACCATAACCCCCTAGGCGGCTGGGCCGATGCAGCGGGGGGTATCCAAAAGTTAGCTTCACGGTGTAGTGTGGCTGGGGTATCTTTCATTACCGGACCTCGGGGAACTGTGGCTTCTCTCCGCAAGCAAGGATCTCGTGTCGTGGGAGTCAATCTTGTCGGAGGACAATTTCTACTTGCCTCACAGGTAATTGTGAGCACAGGAGCTTGGACGAACCGGCTGCTAGATATTGATCACGCTGCCTCTTCATCTGGGCAACCAGTTGGCTTTATACGACTTACTCCGGAGGAAGCTCGGTCCTTGGATTCCACCCCGGTCATGATCAACATGAGCACAGGGGTATTCTGCTTTCCACCGACGCCGGGAACGAACATCCTCAAGCTCGCGCGTCATGGATACGGCTTCGCGAACGAGGTCATGCTTGAGCGTGATGGCAAGCCGGAGTCGGTCTCGTCGCCAAAATTCGAGAGCAGCAATGCCGAGTCTGGCTATCTTCCGGATGATGCGGAAGAGTCTCTACGACAAGGGCTGCGCCAGTTTTTCCCTCAATTCTCAGACCGCCCTTGGATAAACCGCCGTCTTTGCTGGTATACAGATACACCAAAAGGCGACTTCATCATCGACTACCACCCAACTTTGCAGGGGTTGTTTGTGGCGACGGGTGGTGCAGGACAGTAAGTTGTATATCTACTTCAACCTTGACCTAGAAAACTGACATTGTAGTAGTGGGTACAAATTTCTTCCCGTATTGGGCAAATATATCGCAGATTGCTTCGAGAACAAGGCTCCAGAGGAATTGCGCCAGAAATGGAGGCTACTTCCTCAACAGGGTCCGAAAGGAAAGGGCATGGCGGGTGATGGAAGCAGAGCCGGGCCACCTCTCCGGAAGCTTACTCCGTTGGAGCAGGCCAAGCTGTGAAATGTGTCATGATTACAATCACACCCACATTGGAGATTTGGCTTGTCCATAGAAACAGATAGGAAAAGCCTAGTGTCAGGTGTAAAAAAGGCATTTGAGCTCCACTACCCCGCAGTCGGCGATTTTACGGCGCTTGGCCACTATGGAGAAGTGAACCATACTTTCAAATAAGTTAGTGCCATAGCTGGTGCTAAACCTGGATCGAAAGCATTCCACTGTTTTGCTCGCTTGGCTGTGAAATCCGGGGCTCTCCGCTTCTCCACAATTCGGCGATTTTGCGGATCGAAGTAATCTGTTACCGAATAATAATACTCCAGAAAGGAAAACTATAGAGTTGAAATAACGAATAAAAGGGCACCCTCCCATGGCAAGCAGGGGTTAGCATCCATTAACCCTCAGTTTGACTAATCCTGCCATTATGTTTTCTTCTTACCGGCAGGAGGTCGCCGAGGCTGAAGAAGCGGGTGTGTATATTGGTGGTTGGAGTTTGAAGAACGTGTTCAGACCAACGAAAGATACTCATGGAGAATATGGTGAATCTCATGCTCATTCGAGAATGACGGACATGCACTAACCGGTGCAAGACACCGCCGAGGATCGAATCGAGCGCCTCATAGTTGAGACCCCCGACTGGTCTGAAGAAGAGGAGCGACGGCTTGTCCGAAAATTAGATTGTCGAGTTGTCGTTCCATGCTGCATTATGTACATTCTTGCCTACCTCGACCGATCCAACCTAGCGAATGTCAAGATCCTCCAGAATGATACGCCGGATTCGCTAGAAGAGAGCTTAGATTTGAAGGGAATTGATTTCAATTGGGTATGTTGTTCAGGCTTTGGGCTGTATCAAAAAATATTCTGATCAAAATATGTGGGTTTAGGCTGTATCCGTTGCCTATTTCGCGGTAACTGCCATGTTGATACCGGCCAACTTGATGCTGAAGAAATTGTCCGCTAAAATCTTTTTTCCACTCTGCATGATCACTTGTTAGTTATCTGATCAGCCTGCCCTTGTTTAAAACGAGCTGACTCGATATCAAGGGGGCGTCATCATCATGACCATGGCGGCTTGCAGCAACGCAGCAGGCCTGATTGCCTCCAGAGTGTTTCTGGGAATTCCCGAAGCCGGTGTTGTGACTTGTGGCGTGATGTACTTCAGTTTCTGGGTGACTATCCCTTTAACTCTTTCTTGCTGTTTTTAATAAATTTTGCTCACTATTTGCATAGTATAAACCGCGCGAACGCGCCGTCCGAATCGGAATATTCTACAGTTCCAACTCTATTGCGCAGGCAGTTTCAGGGTTCTTGGCTGTTGGAATCAACAAGGTAATCACAACATTCATCTGCTATAGTATAGTGCTGACAGTGAGTTCAGCTCAACGGACGAGGTGGATTAATGTCATGGCAATGGGTCTTCATAATTGAAGGCGCGATGTCGATTGCTGTCGCCATCCCAATCTACTTTACTCTGTTGACTTTCCCTGAAACTTCAACGAGTTTATCGTCCCGAGGTAAGAAAATTACTTTTGTCAACGGAGAATTCTCTAACTGGTGTTTTAGAGCGGCGCATAGCGACCAACCGATTCGGTCGTGGCAGTACTCGCCAGACAGACGTGACTTGGAGCACGAGTGCATTTATCCAGTATGTTAAATGATCGTGATACTACCCAGATGATATGAGTCTGACAATTTTGCTCCAGAATTATGACTCGGCCCTCGACCTATATATTCTTCATAAGCTATATCTGCATAGCCATTGCAGCCGTCGCGCAAGCTACTTTTCTACCAACCATACTCAACACAGTAAGTACTTTCCTAGCCTTAAGGCTCGCTTTACATTTACTAACAAACCCAGCTCCTAGAGTTTCCCACCCAGCGAGCAAATCTATACGCAGCAATAGTCAATCTCGTCGCAATCCCACTGTATTGGACATACCCCCTCCACTCCGACTGGACACGCGAACGAATGTGGCATTTCATCGTCCCCGTTATGGCCTCAATCCCTTGCTATGCAGTATGGACGCACTACAGTTCGCACCACGCCACACATGACATCAGCTACATGTCACTGTACGGCATGGCATTCCTCGGGCAAATGCTACTAGTCGCCCAGCCCGTTCTCCTATCATATCGCAGCGCGACACTATACGGTGCCGCAGAGCAAGCTGTTGGGACATCAATTGCGGTAGCCGCTTTGTCTATTGCGAGTATTATTGCGCCACAGATGTATCCTGATCGGGATGCGCCGTACTATCTGGCTGGATTTTCGGCAACGGTAGCTTTGCTGGCCATCAGTATCCCGTTCTACCTTCTTACACCTCTCTGCCTTTACTGGGAAGCTAGGTCGCGCAAGAAGAAAACTGGACGGGCACTGCCTCTGCAAGTGGATGAAGATGTGGCTAGGAGTCAAGCTCAAGCAGCGACAGAGGCGGAGATTGAGAAAGGAGTTGACAATGCAACAGAGGTTGTTGAGGTAGAACACGTTCATCATTAACGGTGAGATGCGAATGTGCGAGTTCATGGGTTCTATCAACTATTATATGGACGGCGGCCAGTTCCACGTTGCAATTGAATATAGAACCAAATTTTAGGGGAAATATAAGAGGAGAACGAGAAGAATTTGGGTTCTAATAATTTACGAGGCTTCTTGCACATAAATCATTGTGCCAAAGCGCTGAGATGCCCAGTATATACTTGTAGATTATCTACATACCAGGCTACTGACGATCATTCCGTCCAACACGGATGCGATGCTGTAAGTATAGCTGAAGCAAATAGGAAAGAACTCCCTCAAAATAAGGTAAGAATCCGAGTAGAGGCAAGGTCGGGGCAGTTGTCAGCGGAGGCTGGACTTCGACGAAATTTCCACGCCAACGCCTGGTGAAACTTCCTCAAGCTTAGTCAAGAGCTCGCGGAAAAAAGCTTCTTGGATCCCTGCACCTTTAGCATTGGTTACTGTACAAGAAGGCCTTGATGTGTATCAGCAATGTTGTTCGGGGGCTGTGATGGGATATATCTTACTGTTTCACCTGACAATTATCCAGATACTGACCACTGCTTTCTTTGCCAGACAGAATTCCATGGACCAAAGCCCGGCTACCTTCCTCAGTACTACGAGCTAGCATACGCGCCGCGAAGCGATAGCCGGGACCGCTCGATTCTCGCATTAACTGGGACTTGCACCAGCTGGGGTTTGGCGAGTTGATTATAACCAATGGGCCCTTGCCGTTTTCCAATTGCTCGGCAAATGCCCTGACACCAAATAGGACCAGCAGCTTCGATAATGGATATCGCATAGCCATATTTGCAGTTTCCTTGTTGTTCAGCCGTGAAAAAATTCCGTGTCCACTATCAAATTCAATTTCTTTCAAAGGTGCAATGTAATGCAAGGCCGAATTCACAATCGAGACACGTGGAATAATGCCAAACTTTGAGGCAGACTCGCGTAGTTTCGGCAGAAGTAAGGAAGCAAGCAGAAATGTGCTGACCACGTTGACCGTGATTGTTCGCTCATTGTCTTCTACCACGCGGAAAGTGGTTGTGGCCAAGCCTGCGTTAGCCAGGAAAGCGTCAAGACGTGGAAGTGTTCCTGCGCGAGCCGCGAAGCTTTTGACAGAGCTGTAGCGATCCATATCCAGTTCCCAGACTTCAATAGTGTTGCCATCTCGACCAGTGGCTTTCAAAAGCTCCAATCGCGCAACTTCACCCTTGTCAATATTCCTGACGGCCATGATGAGTCGATCAACTCCTAGGCACAATAGATGACGACTGGCTTCGTAGCCGAGACCTTGATTTGAGCCGGAGACGATGATTGTCTGGCCTGTGAGATCACCCTTGGGTAAAGGTAGTTCTATGAACATGTTGGAATACATTGTCGACGAAACGCCCTTCAGTGCTGAGAGGGCTGCCATGTTTGTTGATAGAAAAAGATAGTGTATTTGATATTTCGAGTCCCAGGATTGTTGAAGTTAAATCAAAAAGATGGAAAGAAATAGGAGCAGGAGAAAGCCTTAAGTATTTCCTTTGGTTACGGTGCGCTTCCGGTTAAAGCCCCATTGCTTCTAGCGGGGATAATACGTCCGACATAGTGTTCTAAACCTAGACATCTGATTCACTGCTTCTAGGACGCATCTATATTATACTTGCTTATTTGGAAAGTTAAGATCAAGAAACCGATATTTATGCTCGTAATTGTCATTGAAGTGAGAAGTGCATATCAAGTTGAATGCACCGCTACGACGGGATGAACCAATAGGAAATGCCGAGATTGATTCTTGACATAAACATGACTCTAGTCATCTGTAAGTTGTAAGAAGCAGGAATCAAGAGGGCTTTTCTTCCTAAGTTCCAGAAACAAAAAGGATTCTCTGCGTTCATTACGTGGTCGATTATTTAATGCGGTGATAACTGCGAACATCAGCCGCGGCGTCAAGCGGATATAATAACTCCGCTCCGCACGTCCCACATTTCAAACCCTTTAACTCCGGCGACTTCCCCACTGATCTTGACCGTCCAGAACGGAAGCTCGCAAATCAATATTCAATCATAGTAACACATCATTGACTCTGGTCATTGAGAAACGCCTCTCATGGATACCCCATCACAAAAAGTCGAAAAAAGGAATAGGCCGCCTGTATCCTGTGAACCCTGTCGCACTCGAAAGTAAAAGCTTCCAATTATAATCTTCGCCCCAGAGCTAATTCTAGCATGACAGGTTGAAGTGTAACAGACAAGTACCGTGCGAAACATGTGTCAAACGGAAAATACAAAGCTCATGCCAATATGCCGCGAACGCCGAGCGTACTAGACCTAAAGCTTCTGGTCATGCCAAGTTGAATGACAGACTGAAAAGCATTGAGGAGCTGGTCTATTCTTTAATCAGCACAGAAAATACCTCCAAACCGGAATTACGCTCTAGAGTGGGAGGACATCTGACTGAGCCTTCACCTCCCGATCTTGGAAACCTTCCTCAGCCAATCGTCAATGATGAATTTTCACCTTTGAGAATGGAAAGCGCACCTGGAAGAGAGACGCCTCGTTTTATTCGTAATCAGGACGGTGAAGCAATCTATATGGAACCAAGCCATTGGATGTCAATTTTGCAAGATATCAAAGACATGCGGGCCGACTTGTCCTCCAATAGCTCACTTGCGTTCCATGAGCCTGCAAGCAGCCAGGACCTCGGGTTAGAGCCTGACATCAACTTAAGTATTGCTCGAAAGGATATTTCAACCGTTTCCGAAGTTTTAACATCCCTTCCCCCTCAACCCACTTGCGACATGTTACTTTCTCAATACTTCAATTCTCGATATATGGTCTTGGGTATGCAGTGAACTCACAGACAATCGGCCTTGAGCTGATATGACATTCTATAGGGGTTGTGCATTATGGAAAGTTTCGTATGGAAGTAAGTCTTGGTTGATCGGATCAATTACGAAAGTCAATAAACATACTAAGCCACTATATGAAGTATGAGAATTTCTGGAAACATCCCCAAAACACTTCACTCGGATGGCTTGCCCTCCTCTTTGCCATACTGAGCATGTCGACGATCCTGCACAGCAACACCAAAGCCCGAATCGCACCCAATCAACAACAGATGGTCTCCACGAAAGCATTCCAGCAGATGACAGCCCAATGCCTCGTCTTGGGCGAATACGCAACCGCGAAAGAACATGCGTTGGAAGCTTTACTTCTGTACCTTCAAAGCCGATTCATAACGCAAACAGGCTGCAATGCGCGATTGTGGCTGGAGCTCGGAACTCTCATTCGACTCGCTTTTCGAATGGCCTACCATCGTGACCCCAGTGAGATGGCCGATATGCCCCAATTTGAGGGTGAAATGCGCCGTCGTGTCTGGCTACATGTGTTTCAGATTGACGCCCTGGCTTCTTTCCACATGGGTCTTCCGAGCATGATTCCAACTGAATATTGTGACTCGCAAGTTCCAAGGAATTTATACGATACAGATCTGTATGTGGGCATGGAGAGCTTACCTCCTTCGCGTCCACACACAGAAGGCACCCCGATACTCTATGGGATCGTCAAGGCTGGCGTCATGGCCGTCTTCAAGAAGATTGTCGCTCACACGCAATCTCTGGCTTCTCCCGGATATGACGAAACACTTGCTCTAGATCGTGAAATGAAGGAAACGTACGGGAGAACTCCAGATGTCCTATGCCGAAGAGATGTCTGCCAATCGTTCATGGACTCATCCGACATCATTTTGGAGCGCTGTACCATCGAACTACTATTTCTGAAGGGCATAGTGGTACTTCATCGACGCTACATTCGACACGAACCCCAGAATCCAGCGTTCGAACTCTCACGCCGTTTCTGTTTAGAAGCAGCTCTCGAAATTCTTACCCGCCAAGCAGATATACACCAAGCAACCCTCCCCGGTGGGCGCCTGCATGAGGATCGGTGGATGGTCACTTCTCTGACCGTGCAGGATTTTCTCCTGGCAGCTATGGTGGTTTGTCTTGATCTTTCTGTGAGGATTGAGTCTCGCCAAGAAGAAGTTGATCAGAGCTTTCCGTCTAGAAAGCTACGCGCACTTCAAGTTTCGCAGCAGATATGGGCTGAAAATGGGAGCTATCCCCCTCAATCACGCCTAGCGTCTCTAGCCCTAGAGTGGATGATCCAAAAAGTGAACAAGGTGAAGGTGAATACCGCTACTGAAAGTCCTCACATCCCAGATACAGACACGCATTTCTTTTCTGGGATCGAGTTGCCATATATAGAGGCTATGTCTGATATGATTGATGGCACGGAAGCCCTAGATTGGGTGAGTTCGGTTACTACGCTATTGAGGTTTTCGGTCTAACTAGGTGGCAGTCCTTGATAGACCAGTTCTTGCAGAGTCCGGGAGCGAACTCGACTCGAGAACTTTAGAGGAAGTGGAAGAAGGATCAAATACACAGAAAAATAAAATCCATTATCAATGATTATTCTGTGTCGGTCTCTTTGTTCATTTAAGGGAATCAAGCGCAGAATATCGAAGTTGTGGCGTTGTTAATTGATGTCCTTCAAAGTGGCGGGAGCTTCTGAATAGAAAATTCAATAATCCCAAAGAGGGAGTACATGTAGTAAAGACTGCTATATCCAGAAAATAACACCAGAATACCAACAATCGATATACAAGAAGAGATATATAAACATCAGCGCCCATCCATATTATGAACCCCCAAACCCAGAATTTGCATTAGAAGCCCACCAAGGCTCAGACATATCCCCCAAATCAGGAATCGTGCCATCGTTCTCAAACGGGGGAGAAGACAGATGTCCCGCTCCGTTGCTGTTACCGCCAGTGCCAATATTCTCGGAAAGAAGATGCAAATCCGAGTTCCGAATCCAGTCGAAGTCACCTGCCTGAGAAGGTGCTGCAGGGAACTGGTGGTGGGAAGGTAATGACGAGGATGGATCGAATGGGGCATTGACATTGGACGATGATGGAGGGATCCCTGACCCTGCTGCGAAATCGGGATAGTTATTCTTATTATTATTAAGAGTGCCCTGCGAGCGAGAAGTGACACCTTGCGCGTCCGCATTGGCAAGGCGGGATTTCTTCCGAGCGCCTTCCGGTCCCTGTGCATTCCGATTGGTCTGTGAGGAAGAGGCCGGTTGCTGCTGCTGCTGCTTTTGTTGTTGCTGTTGCAGCGACTGCAGATTCGCACTGCTGATCTGTCGCTTCGTCGCCGATCCTGATCGATGCAGATGTGCCTGCCAGCGGCGCTGGAGGGTGACAAGGTAGTCACGCGTGCGTTTCGCATTCTCAAACGATTGGCCGAGTTCATCGAGGGCGCGGAAGCAGAGATTCAGATATGCGACCATTTCGGCGTTGGGCGGGTGTCTGTTTGGACTGTTGCCTGATTTTCCCGGTGCTGATGGCGAACTAGAGTTGGATAGAGTAACGAATAGGAGCATTAGGGCTGCGCTGAAGATTATTGCCACGACTTGGTTGTTCATGCGGCGGAAGGTGTAATGTTTTTCGTAGATGTGGAGAAGTCGTGCTACGGCGGTGGCGGATTCGACGCACATTCGGCGTGCGTGGTGATAACCTGGCCCTTGACGAGGAGCGCGTGGCTGGATGTAGCTCTTTGATAACCATGGGCGGTGGAAGAAGATGACTATTTGGTGGTATTGCATGCTGGAAGGCATAGTTAGGATATGAATTTCGATTGAGGATAGATGGACTTACTGCAGCATGAGAAGATGGGGCAGTTTCGGCGTCGTATCATCATCCAGGTCAATCTCAAGATTGGAGGGCAGATTAGCCTTCCAGGCAAAAAGATCCTCAGTGACCTGGTAGCACAGTCTCTGCAAATCATGCCGGGAGATGTCAGAACAACCGTACCTGGAAGGAAGCACATTAGTGAGGTTCAATTAGAAGTAAAGGCTAAAAGAATCACGCACAGAATATGTCCAGCCGGAGAAATCATTTCCCACAGCACAACAAACTGTCTACAAATCAACTCCAGCGGGTTCTTCAAGCCTTCTCTCTGGCGAGTCTCCGAGGAATTTTGCAGGCCATAGGGATGCCATGTTCCCTCCCTCTCACCACTAAGAGCGAAAGCTGGTTTTGGAACAGTGATGTCCCCTGCATTCATGCGGAACGGACGTCCGAGATAGAAGCCCCAGAAACTACAATGGTTAGTTAGTAGTCAAGTCACACAGTAGAGTGACATGGCTTACTGGTCTGCGACATAACTTCCCCAGAAGGCTGCGCGACGGACTTCGGCTTCCGAGGGACTCATTTGGCCCTGATTGACGTATGGAGTCATGTCAAGATGTAGCCCGAGATCGAAAGCGAGTCGCATGGACATCCCTAGCGAATCTGAGTTACAGCCCTTCGGGTTGTTTTGAAGATTACTCACCACTATAAAGCCAACCTCGCGCATCACGGTTCGATGCTCCTTCGTGACAGCTCAATATAACCAGTGCCTGGACTGTGGCAACACAGGGAGAATCAAGTTCAATCTCCAGAAGCGCCTTAGCCCGGTCCGCAAAGAACTCCGCCAAGGATTTGGGAAATGTAATGAATGTCGGATGATACCGGGCTTCAAACGCACTTCCAATGGCGCACCTGCACAATATTAGCGTTGTCATCCTGCAGCGAACAGAGAACATACATAGCGTTGGTCAGAACTTCTGAGTAGAACGGCGTATCATCATATTCATTGCGCCACTTGGAGCGGGAGGTCATGTACATTTCCTTGTCGACCACGTAAATGCTGGGATTTTGCCATGTAAAGTAAAGCTCGACCAGGTGGTCTTCCAAGGCTTGATCTACGGGCTGGCCGACCCGAAGATGGTTGAGAATATCCTGACCGTCATGACGCACGGTGCGCGCATCCGGACGTTGTCGTTGCTGAGTTGCCGACACATCAACGAGGTTGAGATTGGATGTTGCGCCGTAGAAGCGTAGATGACCGTCTCCTGCGATTTTCAATGTGCCAATGCGATGTGACAGCTGCTCGATCACGTCGTTCTCGGCATCGTCTTCTTCTCCGCTGTCAGACTCGGTGTCTTTTTCGTTCTGGGTCTGGCCGAGCAAGACTCCCGGCTGCGGAGCCATGTCCATACCGAGTGGATAGCTCTCTGGACCCAGCTCTGTATTGATTGGCAGGTCGGGGCCATTATTCATATTTGCATAAATGGTATCTAAGCTTTCAGCGGTTGGAAGAGTGAAGCCCCAGTGGACAAAGCTCTGGTTGTCCGATGGCCCTTGAGTCATTCCGAATGGGTTCCAAGGTTCGACTGACGCCAACTGTGGGTGCGGAGCAATTTCCTCTGGTGTTGATGTCCCTGTCGCAGGGGCAGATGGAATCTGGGCCTCTGTAGTTGGATTTTGAACAGGCGATGTGCCGGACTCCGCGAGGGGAATATTTCCCGACTCCTGACCAGCGGCTGCATCTCTATTAACCCCACGAGGGATTTGAAGGGTATCTAGGACCCTATTCATACCGGCCTCATCTTCAGGCCTCATAGGCGGAGGCTGAAGGCCCTGGTCATAAATAAATCGACAAAGCTGATCGACGCGAGCAGAAAAAAGCTCCGTAGCTGCGCGCAGAGACACCCTAGACCTTTATTAGTCGCTAAGCTCTGACAGCGGATGATCAGAAATATTAGATCAATACATACTTGCGCTTGTCATCGCCATGCTGGTATTTGCACTCTTTCCCCTTGCGCAGGCAATTCTGGCAGTTCGGCGTCGCTCCGTCGCATCTGATTTTGCTCTCCCGACACGGCACGCAGGCGGTGGTGACGTGTTTGCGGGGAGGCTTCTTGGGTTTCTCAGGATCGGGCGACGGCATCTTGAATGTTGAATGAGCCGCTTTGGAATCGCTATGCGACTCAGGAAATGAGCCCGGAAAATTTCCTCGAGTCCTGGTGCTCGTCTGGTGCCTTGTCGGCTTGTCTCCGAGGTCGCTGTCTTAGCCGCTGAAGATCCCCGAGCAGGATTGAAGTACAGTGAGATGCATCAAGTCATCGCGTCGCTACACACAACGTGACATACATCACTGGCCATGGAGATTATGAACACCGCGCGACTGCTGGGTTGTTAACTGTCAGTCTGGTGACGAAAAGAAAAAGGTTGGTCTGGGGGCGGCGGGGAACAATGAAGGGTCCACCTTGTCGGCCTATCAGATTATGGATGATGCGGATGATACTATAGTATCAGAATAATAATGTCAAATTTAGATCGGGACTAACGACATGTAATTATCTACAGTACTAGATCAAACTACACGTTAGCCGTGCGTTTGAGTTTGTCGTTCTGGACCACCTCGACCCAATACCCATCCGGATCCAGAAGGAAGGCGATGTTGTGCATCCGCCCATCCGTCAGTCGCTTTTTGAAGTTGACATTGAGGGACTCAAAGCGGTCACATGCCGCCTGGATATCGTCCACTGAGATACCTACAAAGCTGGATTAGCGCCAGACAGACGGGTCAGTCGCCTACGGACAGCACTTACAGATATGGCCGAAGCCCTGGGGCTCCGCATTGCCATTGTGGTAAACCGGACCCTCCTGCTTCTCCGTGCCGTAGTTCCAGGTGAGCTCGAGCAGGCCTTCCCACTCGGCGACGGGGTTGCGCACGCCCTCCTGGATCTTGGGGTTGGCGCCCGGATAGCCCAAGAAGTACAGGTTGAACTTGTTGTCCGGGTTCTCGGCGGTGCGCACCAGGGTCATGCCCAGCTTCTCCTGGTAGAACTTCAGGCTCTCCTCGGCGGACTTGACGCGCAGCATGGTGTGGTTGAGCCGGTAGGAGCTGGGGTCCGTGGTGGTGCCGATATCCTCATCGCGGCGCCGGATGATCTCAACCCAGTAGCCGTCCGGGTCTTTGGCAAAGGCGATGTGCTTCATGCGGCCCTCTGTGAGTTTCTTCTGGAAGGCATACCCGGCGTCTTCGATCCGCTTACAAGCGGCCTCGATGTTGTCGACCGAGATGGCGAGGTGACCGAAACCGCGATAGGGCTCGGTGTTGCCATTCGTGATGCTGTAGTTGGGGTCATTCTCCGTGCCATAGTTGTGGGTCAGCTCCAGCACGGCGTTGCGGTCGGTCCAGTAGGTGCACTCGCCCTGCAAAGACTTGGGGCCGGTGTAGGCCAGGAAGTAGTTGCAGAACTTGGCCTCGGGCATGTCGAGCTTGTTGACCAGGGTTAGGCCCAGGAACTGATAGAACTCCACGGAACGCTTCGGATCCTTGACCCGAATCATCGTGTCTGCAGGGGTACATCGTGTCAGCGGCGGTACTTGGCTGCAGGCGGGGTACACCAACGGTTCAACTTGTAGGTGGAGGGATCGGACGCCATGGTTGCGAGAGATCGGGCTTCTGCTAGACCGTCAGTGATTGGCCGGGAGAGTGCGTGGGGATAGATAGAGGTATACTTGGCACGCAATGAAGCGGTGTGAGGACCCTGAGAGATGGAGAGAACAGTCGAGCGAACATGGATTGGGAGAAATGTTGGTTATGGGGACATTTGGAGGAGGGGGAGTTTGTCAGCGTGGGTGGGGAATGACGCTATGAGGAAGTCAGAAATAGTGCGAGTATACCAAGTAGCTAGTTGCTCTCCCGGGATAGAAGAACGACGGGGAGTTAGGAGTTAGTGAGTGTCAGGTCAATTGACGGAGAACAAGAGCACAAGTCAGGTCGGTTGCCAGCGAACTATACTATACCACTTACCACTCTTACTCTTCTTCTACTCCCACTTGCTACTCCAGCTTCCAACCCCCCCCCCCTTAACGACTACCCTTACCTACCACACCCTAACCAGTTCGTGAGTTCTTCTCGTCTTATTTCCCCACACTGGATCGTCCCTCCTTGCCCTGCCATTGGCCTTCTCCCTCCACCATTTGTCGTGTCGCGCCCCGTCTGGATCGGTCTTATGCTCTTTTCTTTTTCCATATTTCTTCCTTTCCCGCGCTTAGCCCAGCGGCCAGGCACTCATCTGCTCCCTCTCCTCCCAATCACACCCACGGATACCTTCACGTTCACCATGGCGGTCTGCCCGGCAGTTGAGCCGCGCATGCCCCCATGACTCTCGTGGTCCTACCCTGGTTCCCTCATATAGCTCTCCCGGCGTGTCCGCGCTCTGTGCCACCAGCTGCCGAGGAGTTATCGTGACTTGCCATTTGGACCATCAGTCAGGGTGCGTTGAGAGTCAAACGTGCAGAGCTCATGCCCACATCCCCTCACATCCTTGTCCGCTTGATCCCCAGCAGACCGGAGGAAAACAAGCTATGAAAACAACGCCTTTTGCTCGCGTGACTCCTCCTGCTAGCTGATCTGATCTCCAAACTGCTGCGATACCCGTTATTCTATATACAAAGAAGAATGGGTGTGCCGATGGCTAAAGACGAACCTCCTCCAGTCTCCTCCTGCGATCACTGCTTCGCCGCCAAGCCTGATCACTCGGCTCCCGCGATATCCACCGCGGATCCCTACGACCCCAACTTCCTCCCCTACTGGGCCCGCTATAGCGCGCAGTACGCCCAGAACCTGCTCGACTGCTCCGACGAACCGATCGAGTACGACCCCGAAGACGCAGACTACCACGACAACGCGTTTTTCTTCCCGGAGGATTGCTCGTGGACCCCGCCCAAGGACTGGGTCGTGGAGGCGCACCGGACACAAGTCCCCCAACGGCGCGCGGTCGAACAACCCATCTCCTTGTCGGCGGGACCGGATACAAACACAACCGACGCCATGATTCCCGGACTCCCGGACATCAAGATGCTGGACTCGGAGGCGCTGGGTGACCTCCTGGACGATAACCTGTCTCCGCCGGAGATCACGACCATCCTGTACGTCGCGCGGGAATTGTCTTGTCCCCGCTACTCACTCTCTGACTCTTTGATGCTAATTTCCCTCCTCAGCGTCTTCGCAACCAATGGCGCCGTCTTCGCCTACGCCTCTTCCCTCTCCTCCCGCCAGCTGCGCAACCTGAGCGCAACCTACGGCGCCGCCTACACCTGCTACGCAAAGACCGCCTCAACGGGCAACCTCACAGGCGTCAACCCGGCCAGCCACCCATCCTCCTACGTAACGGCACAATCAATGTCGCTCGGCGACGTGGGATCGATCGTTTTCGAACTCGACGACTCCGTCGCAGTGGTCACCCGCCTCGCTGATAAAGTCCTCCTCGCTGCCGTCGGCCCGTCCAAAGTCGACCCGCCCAGCACAAATGGAGCGTTCGACTCGAACCGTCTTAGCGTGCCAGACGGCGGATACCAGTTCACGGACTCGAATGGCACGCCGGACGGCTCGCACGACGGCCAGCGCACGCCCACTGCAGCTCCAGCGTCTCCGAACGCGACAGCACGCAATGGAACCGCCACTGACTCGGGGGCTATCGAAATAGACCGCAGCGCCGACCTCGAGCGTCTCGCTAGCTTGAACCTCTCAGCATCCCCTGCCGTTCTATTGGCGCTGGAGTCTAAATGCGCTGCGTTGGGCCGGTTCCTGGGTCAAAAGTTGAGTGATCTAGAGAGTCCGGATGATTTCTAAGGAATTCATCTCGGGTTGATGAACCGGTTTATTTTCGATGAGACTATTGATCCAAAGTACTTTCTACGTCGGTAGTTAGCGAGTTGGCTTCGTTATGGGGTGGGTTGGGGTTGGTTCTTCGCGACAGAGCATAGTCATGTGCATTACATTGCATGTATGGCAGACATGAATTGATGACAGACATTATTGTTTCATTCGCACTTTTGTTGTTTCGTGCTCTTCATTCGATTTTCAGAGTCTACTAGTTAGTTAGTGGGCGGCAACTACACACGGGATCATCTCGCCGTCTAAAAGTAAGACTGTCCCGGCCTCATCCCGTCTCTCTCCATCTATAAATATGCGTTCAGACAACGCATCTCGAATGTTTAACAGCTCGTAACGCTTCAATTCCGCTATTACACGAGGTATGTATGTCATGTGTATACATCGAACAAGAACAGGCAAGACCAGGAATGGAATCAAGCATCATGCGCAAAGATAAAGAAGAAGAATTATGCAGATAGGAGGTTCTCTGTAGAGCCTACGACTTCTCCGACTTCTCCTGAACCGCCGAACCACCGGGAGACGTGTGGAAGTGGCTGGCCGTGCTCGCCGTGCGACTCAACGCCGTCGGGCTGGCGACCTGGTCCTTTGTATCGGTGATGTTGGTCGTAATAACGCCCGTCTCGGCTGCGTCACCGGCCTTCTCCGGCTTGTAGGATGCCGAGGTGCTGCGCGAGGGAGGCTCAGAGGTGGCGGGGGAGGCGACCCCCGTTGAGGAGAGAGACTGGGACTGCGACTGGCTGCGAGTCAAGTCTTTGATAGTGCTCCACCACTTCTCGGCGTCGGCGGGGGTGTGCGCCTTGAAGGTGAGCTCTATGTTGGCGGCAAATGCATTCCCCACCTTGCCGTTCGAGACATCCTTGCCCTTGACGTTGAACTTGACGCCGTCGATGGACCCGATCACACAGTCGGGCAGGTACAATGACAGCTCGGGGGAGGGGTCACGACGGAAGTCGTCGTTGTCCTTAAACTCGTGCAGATACTTAGCGGGAGTGACGACGTAGTACCCCGTGCTAAAGCCCTTGATCACAGCGCGGGAGCGACGCTCCAGCGAGCCCTCGATGAGCGGCTGCGTGGCGCGGTGGTCCTGGTTCGGGAAGGAGATGTTCTCAAACAGGCGCGGCGGCGAGTCCGGATTGACCAGCTTGGCGTCGTTGCTGACGATAAAATTGATCCACTCAAAGTCCGGTGGGATGCGCTGCGCCGTGCCCAGGATGTCGGCGTACATGGTGCGCTGTCGGTCCAGCTGGTTTTCCATATGCTGGAAGAACTGCTCCAATGCACTTTGGACAGTCTGCAGGATGTGTGCTTCGAACTGCTGGAAGGAGTTCTGCAACGAGAGGACGTCCTGGCGGTGGGTGTTCTCTTCGTTGACTTGCTTGTTGAGTCGGTGGTTGATCATCCGCCGGAGGAGGTACGGGTCGTGCTGCTGCTCGATCTTGCCTGCAGCGGCGGCGTCAAAGGCCGCGGAGTTCTGGCCCAGGAGCTCGATGTGCTTCTGGGTTTCTTTCCGGGCCTTCTCGACGGCTTTGGCGCCCTTAGCTGCGCCCGACTTTAGTTCCTTTGACTTGTTCTTGACTTCCTTGTGCAGACGCTCGAGGGTCGGAAGCACGCCGCTCTTCAGGTTCTTCTCGGTGTCGAGGTACATGTTCACGATCCCCTACCCAATCAATCATCAGCTATTGCTCAGAATTGCAGGCTTGTTGCCGCCCCATACCTGAGAATTATTCCGCATGTTCTCGAACAGGCCCGCAATGCCTCCGGCGCTGGAGCTGAAGTGGTGGCCCTCCTTCAGAGGATCGCTCACGGACTGATGAATTATCCGTTAGTCGATTCCAGGCGACCCGAGTGTCTGCCATACTCACTTTCAAGACCTTCTCATAATCCTTGGAATTGGCCCTGGAGACCTTGGCAGTCGTGGAGACATAGTCCTCAAGATAGCCGGTCATGTGCTTCCAGGCTCTCAGACGCTCAAGCAGGAGATTGGTGCTCTACAAACACACAGTCAGTTCTCGTGCCCTTTCTTCCTTTTCTCTTGCCCGAGGATAGACCCCGCGGGGATAATTTCAGTCGAACGCACCTCACTGCTATCTGTATGAGGAATAGCCTCGTCATCGCCATCGCTCATAGACGTCCGCCGGGTGAGGGTGCTGGTGACCGTGCCCGTGCGCGTGGGGAGCTTGACGTCCACTGGACTGGTCATGGTTGTAGTGGTGGGGAGGTAGGCCGGCGGGAAGAGACAGAGAAACTCGCGGGGAGGGAAAGGACAGAACCAGCAACGACGACGAACCCCAGGGGAGAATCCGGAGCCTTAAGAGCACGGATCGGAAATCGCGGCGGGGTGGTGGGCCGACCGACGGTGTAGGGTTGGGTTGGGTTGAATTGGGGGAAGATTGACGGCAGTGGCTGAAGATGAGCCACAACAAACCAGGTCGGTAGCGGCGCTAGGCTAATGTGGAATAGTCGCGGCGATGGTTAACGGAGCTAGTGGATGGCCAGTGGGGACTTGTGTTGTGGCGCAGGAACGGAGAGAGCAATCAGTGGCGGCAGAAAAGTGTAGGTCACAAAGGGGAATGAATGGCTTATTTACAAGTCGACATTCCTCGACCGATCCGGGTGCGATGAGGTCATGCAGTGGAGCGATTTAGAGTTGCATACCGCCATGGCAATATTTATTGACAGTACTGATGAGGGAGTGGATTATTAAAGTACATCAGAGAGATTGTAATCATGCGTGACTCGTGCTGCCGGGCAGCTATTTCATGAAACCAAAGGAAACTCCATCTATGAGAGGAAGCAAAAAATCCATGTAGTTGCCAAACGCCGAAGGCAAGAAAAGAGACCGGGGATGAATGCTGTGAGGGGCCTTGGTGGTGTTGCAATGCTGAAGGAGAAAGGAAAAGGAAACCAAAGGAAGAGGCAAGGGGCATAGTCCAGCGTCCAGCACCGGGCGTGATGGGATATCGGTAAAAAGAGAGGAGAGAGAGCGAGTGGGTGCTCCTACCTCGCTCGGGCTTGGACAAGGCGAAGTCGGCGTTCCTCGTCGTCGGCAGCGGTGCCGCGAGCCTCGAAATATGGGGAGCGGCTAGGCACCTCTGCAGGGGTCGAGGTGCCGGTTGACCGACCGCTACGCAGATAAGCCTGCTGCGGAGACTGGATCACCGGCGGCGTGGGAACGTCGCTTGCCATGACGGCGTTGTAGTCGGGCAAACCAGTGTCGCACGGCCGAATGGTGCTGCGAACGGCAGTCGAGTAACTGGGTACCCGACTCAGGGTTTCGACCTCGGCGTATTGAGGATGGAAGGGCGTCGCCATGCCGGAGGGGATATGGTCGTGGTCGACTTCGTCGGATGGTCTCCGCGACAAATCGGGGCTGCCGGGGTTGTGCGTGTTGGTACCAGACGAGGCGCCAAAGTAATCCGTATTAATATGAACCCGTCGCGGCGCGGCATCACCCTCTGGTGGAGGAGAGTCGTGCGGCTCATTGGACGTGGGTTGTCCGACTGGGTTGGTGCTCAAATTGGCTAGACGGCTCTGCAGAGCCGAAGCGGAGATGTCTGTCGTCGTCAAGGCATTCATGGAGGCGAGGTTCTCCGCTGAGAGATTGCGGCTCAGCGGGCCGAATGGCGTGCCTGGACCACTACCAGGGCCAGGTGTTCGGTAGCCGCTGGGATCTAGTTCGCTGTACAGTTGATCGAACTGGTGTTCACCGTACAAGGGAGGCGCATGCTGAGCCATTTCATCCACGGCTCTCTGGGTCGCCTGCGGGGTTACCTCCACGAGATTGTTCTGTTCATCGATTGCGATATGTGGCGAAATGTAAATGGATACCGGGAGTGTCGCGCGTAGCTGCATCACCATTAGTATTGGACAGGATACACCGTACGAACAATGCTTACCTCGCTGACGTGGCCGTCCGGATTGTGTAATTGAATGCGGAACTTGAGCTTGTGTCGAATTTTAATGCCCTTGGTATCTGTGTCCTGCAGACACCGGGTCAGGGTATGGGGCATATCCAGGTATCGCACAAGTTGGTGTCCCTCGGCTGCCTCATCGATGATTTCTATGTTATTTTCGTCCACTTCAACCTCGTCGGTCAGGATCGTCCTGGTGATTTTGTATGTGTTGCGAATCGACTCGGGGTCTTCCGGATTAAGCGTCAGATCGTGGCTCTCGATCAGCTGCGATGTGATTTGACCGATGCGCAGGCCCTTGAGCAAGGGGATCAATTTGAAATCCACGCGGATCGACGTTCCGAAAATGACCGCCTTGGTGGGTGTGCAGATGGAGTATTCGATCTTGTTCGGCCAGATGTTATCGACAGACTGTGTGCAGAAAAATGTCAGCGAAAGCTACCCTGTCCAGATCAAATCCCAAACCTACCATTGCATGCGATAGCTCGAGAGCGCTGGGATCGAGCGTCCGGATGATTCGCAGCGGCTTGCGAACCACGATGTCTTTGGCGTATTTTCTGCCGATCTCTGCCTTGAACCGGTACATCACCCATGTCTCGTGCAGACCCTCCACGCTTTCGGGCATCGAGCCCTCCAGGATGACGTCGAAGGGATACTCATAGTTGCCCGCCGCTAGGATCTCGGTCTTGCCTTTGCCCGGGTCCCGGAATCGCCAGGTCTGCTCGTAGAAGACTCGTTCGCGCCACGACTTGCGGCCACCGGCAGTCGAGGTGGAGGGCAGATGCCAGCTGCACGACCGATTTGTCAGAAAGGAGGAAGATTTACCTCGGCATCAAGAATGTCTTACCACACGCGCGACATGCCCGTTAACTGTAGGCGCAGGTGCTTGATCGACAGCGGTTCCGACAAGCACAACACCAAGGTGCCCTTGAGATGGGCGCTGGCAGCTTCATCTTCACCACCTCGGAACACGATGTAGTCGTCGTTTAGCCTGAACACAATTATTATTAGCGGGTTGGCTACAGGGCTCGGCCTGGGGATCTGACTCACCGGATATCGAAGTACTTGGCATTGCTTGCGCTCCCGCCACCACTAAAAAAGCTGAGAGCCATGACGTGCCAGCTGAATGCGACGGGGGGGTCGCTTGTGTGTCGGAGGATAGCAGTTTGTGTGGGCGAGAGAGGGAGAGGAGGATGAGAATGAAGAGGAGACCAAATTAAAAAAATAAAATAAAACAGGGTAGTACGTCCTGGTGTATTTTTTTCCGCTTCTCTTTTTTCGCGATCTACCGGGTGAATGTCCAGAATCAATCCGGTCCGACAACGGGTCGTGGTGGAGTCAGTCCGTTTCCGTCGACGGTCGGGTTGGTGGCGATAGCGCGATAATGCTAGGCCGAAGTGGGATGGTGGGATGATAAGAGATTGTATGGAAGACAGAGAGGGAGAAGGGAGAAGAAGATGAGGAAAATCAAAAAGACAGACAGACAGAAGAATTGATTGAGACAGGAATTAACCGGTGACATTTACGTCAGCGCGATCATATGAACAAAAGGGCTGAGGAGCAGGGCCTTTTGTTTATCCAGGTCCATCACGCCATAGCCTCGGGCGACACTTATCGCGACGAGACGACCCGATCGTTACTATTATTATTGACAGCCGTGAGATACGGATGGCGCCATCATTATTGGTACTAGGACCCGCCAGGCACTCGATCTGTCTGTTTTGCTGCGTTCGAGACAGATCGGAGCTCCACTCATCAGCAATTCTCTGAATGGCCGGCCACTCGGAGTTGCTGCGACCACACGGGAGGATAAAGCAAGAACCGATCCACCGGTCTACAGAAAAGAGCATGCTGCCGTCCAATAAGGGTAATGGCTCCACGACGGGCCCTATCGGGATCCCTTGTACGACCCGGGCGGCTCTCGACCGCTGTTCACCGGGACGGCATACCGGCATCCCGATTCTGCTCATCCCGGTGTGTTGCCCTGGTTGATTGCTCTGGTTGATTACTCTGTCGACAATTCTTACTCTTGACCGCGAGCCTGCTCGCCAGATCGGTCTAGAACACTCTCTCATGAAATGAAGTCGTCAGTTTTGAGTCACACAGCAACAGTCCCTCAGGGTTCTAGAGATGAGGCTACAATATGATTTCGTCACTGCGGACTACAATACTCCTGTCCCAAGGTCTCCACCCGTCAAGAATTTTTTTGTTCGGACCCACTCCGGGATCCAGGCAGATCACTGCTTAGCTTTCGCAAGTACACTACGTATGTCATCACCGTCGGTGGTTCGCCGCGCTGTCCCTGATTTGCAGATCCATTTGCGCAGCAGCTCCATCCAGCGCCCGGTGTGGACGTGTTCACGGTCGACAGGCATCATCCATCGCATCATCCGAGTGGCTGAACTCGGTCTTGTGGATCTGGAGCGTGCTTCTCTTGCTGCAGCTCATAATAGCTGCGCTGCATATGTAACTAGCTTCAAGCTATCCTGTCCAATGGAACCTGACATCACCCGGCGTACTTGCCATTCTCAGCACGCCACACCTGCAAAGGGTTCCCTCTTACGGAGTACATGGCACGCTAACTGTTTTGCAGTGCCATATAGCACATAGCTCCAGCAAACCTCAAATCGCCTTGGTTTTTGCCGATACTATGCAAAAAATTGATCAACTATGTCGTGTCGCCGGGTAAGAGATCTCCATAGCGCAAGGCCACCGGCTACTTCAGGCTAGAAACAGAAATTTTGACACCTAGGTCTTATCGACGGAATCATCCGAAACCTATCGCCCTTTTACCATACAACTGAGGAAATAAATGTGGATCCCATTTGACAGGCAAGTTCACCAATGGTCGCCCGGAGATAGGGCACACCCTCTCGGGACGAAAAAAATAAAAAATAAATAAAATAAAAACACGGATCTAAAGACCCACTACGATAGCTGCGGCAGGGTTCAGTGGACAGGAAACGAAACACATGTCAAATTTCTTTATTTGATCCCATCGGAGGGGGCCTGACAAGGCGTCACGTCGGCTACTCACATAACCGTGGCCTAACACCTTCTTTTACAGAAAGACTTAGCGATATACCGATTGCCAGCTAAGGAAAGTCTAGATCCTTAAAGGCTTCGCTGATAGGATCTAGACCTAGCACGTTTCCTAGAAAAGTACTAGTATGTATGCTCAAATAGACATCTGCGTCTCACATCGTGCTATACTCTCGTGCTTTTTATATGGCTTGATTCGCGACGATCCTATTTCTAGCGCATTGCTTGTATTGCCAAAGCTCGTCATTATTTACTGCTAACCCAGTCTACTAGCACTGCTACTGTGGAAGCTCCTATGGCAACCTACTGCGCAGCTTGCAGCCCAGACAACCATATCAGTCAAATGAACAGTCAAAAAACATAGCAGGGTCTGTTGACCGACATTTCATTCAATCACTTCCAACGACAGATGCATATGGCTGCTGCGTGGATTGTTTAACATACTCTGGGACCTGCTCTGGTTATTTTTTCTCTCCGAGCGCATGCTTTCTAGATAACCCAAATAACGCTACCTGTGATCCTTCAGTCAACAATAATGTGTCCAATTTGGCAGGAAGTGCCCCTATCACATTCACGATTGGTAATTCTAATTGTGGGTGGTTCTTGCTGTCACATTGATTTATCAACGCTTGACAACCAGCGCTCGGAAATCTATGTGTGGGAACGCGGGGATTCCTCGGATTTGACTCGAGAGGATTCTTGTTTAATGCCCTCTAATTAGGATTTTCATCAAGGTACACATTCCAAGGTGTCATTGTACGATATTGTAAACCAACTTACGCCCAAATTAAAGGGGTGGAGGAGATGGAGGGGCAACTGGCTTGATCCACGCTCACTTCTTTTCTTTCCCAGATCCTACTTTCCCTGACGACTAAACCAGGTGATTCTTGTGGAGTAACTATTCCTGGCACCTCACAACTTAGGCTTCAACAGATAGTGGTCACCTGAGAATATAGGTGGTAAAGACTTATGATATAAACTCCTTCGTAACATGAGAATCATCAGCCCTAGATCATGTAAACAAAATCCTCAAACTGACCATGCCGCCTAGAGCCGGAGTTGGAACTCACTGGGGCGGAAGGAGCGGCCGCAGTGCGTCAATTAAGTCTGTCGCGCCATAGCGAACTTCGCTGGAGTTTGGCTCGACGTCGACTAAGTCACCCTTGTTCTGGGCATCATTGAATTTGATCAAGAGTTCGGCGAGGTTTGCGGTCAAGACCCGCTCACGAGTCTCCTTCCATTGTGAACGAGGTACGGATTCTATTTTGATTGTCCGGCCCAATAGCTTGCTTAATGCCGTCACGACATCGTTGGCGCTATACCGGCGCGGTCCCTCAGCATGGACAACCTGCACATCCTTCTCACCAGCAGGCTGTAACAAGAGGTCAGCGGCGATCAAGCCGAGATCTGGCGCCGAGATTGTTGGGAATAGCATGTCGGCCGGGTCATGAAAGCTCAGTAGGGTGCCGGACGCTATAGCCGGTGGGATAACGCGTCCCCATCCTTGCATATGTTCCGCCGATCGTAGGAATATCTTCTGGCAATTGAGTTGCCTGAGCCGCTCCTCGAATAAACGGTACATCGTAGGCATCCCAATGTCATAGGCAATATGAGCTCCGTAGTCAGAAATCGCTAGCACCCGTTTCGGGCGTGCCTTCTCGAGCGCGTCCGCGAGGCTTTCGATCGCTCTCACCATTTCCCCGGTCGTGTCCTTCGCCTGCAGGAAGGGCGGAAGGATGACCTGGACAGTATCAGCATCGCGAATCGCCTCAGCGAGGGCTACAGAATCCTGTAGGTCGGCTATGGCGATCTCGCATCCAATCTCACGTAGCGGTGCCCCCTTTGACGCATCACGGAGAATAGCTCTGACTGGTACGCCTGCCTTGCGTAACGTTAATGATGTGCTATAGCCGACCTTGCCGGTTGCTCCGATGATTGCAAGCATCTTCGATTCCTTCTCTACTATATCAGACAGATGGCACGCACAGATGCAGACGAATATTTTTAAGATATTGCAAAAAGAAATTCATCAACGGGAATAGTGTTGTATTAGGTGAGACGGAAATGACGAGGAGTGATGACTCTTATATCGTACTTTTGCTATCTATACGAATAATCTATTCGGTACTCTATTCCCGCTTTACCCGGGCAAATAATGTGTACTGGAATAGGCTACGATACTGGCATTGCCAAGGCTTCCTGCTGATCATGTCACTCGATGTCAGACCCTACAGTACGCATGGTTAAAGGTGATTTGAGGAACGCTGCCCCGTAGAAAACAGCCGAACATTTTTCAGTTTATCGAATAGCCAAAAGTATAGGAGTATGGAGCATCCCACTACTAAATCAGTTCTCATTTTTCTGGTGGTTCAAAGCCAGAGAAACATCCACAAGACTTTAGATCCGGAGACTGGGCTGTCGGCGAGTGGCTTGGCATTTTAGGGAATCGGAGGTTGGTAGCTAGGTGATTTAAAGACGCAATTAGTTGGTCATTTTTGCATCGCCGTCGTAGTATGTACACTGCTGATACTTCGCTGTCGACGTGCTTGATGTTGTAAGTGGTCTGGTCTTGTTCGACTACTGTATGTCCTTCGGGCATCCCTCGTACAGATTGAAAATCATATTATTCTGTCAACTTGCGCCTAAATTAGCTCCAGTCACATTTGAAATAGAAAGAAAAGAGATATTTGCGACCCCAACGCCCAAAATGAACACCCAGTTTAGTCCCAAGGATATCTAGAACATGGAGAGAGAAAATAATACAATATCGGAGGTGAGCACCAAACATTAATCACCCTCCAACCATTATGTCGGCGGCACCCAGGACGGTTGATTAAAGTTCGGGAGACACTTCACCATAGGCGGCGGCGCAAGCTGCCACTCAACAAACTCCTCGTTGGCCATGAGAGAACGTGACATATTAACATGGTCAGCAACATATCCATGCTTTGCCTTCGTGCCCAACGCCTCGTCATCATTGTACGCAACATTAACAGAAGGCACAGCCATGATCTTGCCGAGCCCGTGACGAAAAAGATCTTTCGCAAGCAGCGTGGGCTCACCCATGTAACACTCGCCCTCCCTGGAAGCGCGGAACTTGACGGTCTCTGCAACAAATGGGGCTGCGTCCAGCACGACCATCCCTCCCCAGCAGGAGTACACCTGCAGCGGGCGGAACGCTTCGTACCGCTTTCGGCTGTACGGGTCGTCGAAGAATAGGTCCTTGTTATAGGTCCACGACCCGTCGTGCGGGATCTCAAAGAACAAGTTGCCTACCAGTGACCGCGAGACCCAGACGTCATAGAATGAGGTCCCGTTGAAGATCCAGTCGAAGGCACATGTCATGTGCGAGTCTTGATTGACGTGCTGGTATACCAGTTCCAGGATATCCTCCGGACACATCGCGATATCGTTGATGAAAATCACAACCGCGTCGGGGGAGTACGTTCCCGCCAAATTTTTCATCCCATAATTAGCCTTCAACGGTGCCAGCGCTGCATTCCGCAGTTCCGCCAGCGCTTCAATGCGGTTCACATGGCCATCCTTGGGGTCAAGGCTACTGTGTTCGAGGAAGAATTGAGCCCCCATAGCCTCGACCTGCGGCTTCAGCGCCCGCAGAATATCATCCGTGCCGTCTGTGGACCGTCCTTCGACCACAGAGATGGCGCAGTGCTCCGGTCCCAGGAACCGCATCGCTTCAATGATACTGCTCATCAGCCGTGGAAGCACCAGCTGAGACTGATGCAGGTTCAGCGCGAAGAAGTACCGCACTTGGCCCCCGTGTGCGGCCTCTCCGCGTAGTAGCTTATACCGCGATCCGATCTCTGACGGGCATGACATCCGGTTGCCGATGGGGTTGTTTCGGAAGTCCATGATCGAGTAGATGTACTCTTTCAACGTGGCGTGCGAGATATGAGATGTTGGTAACGATAGGACTGTTGAGTGTGTGGATGTTGGGTTGCTAGGTTTCGAGAGCTTCGGCCAAGTATCCTTGTCATCCCACGCGGGATTCCAATCTCCATACCAAGAGTGCGAAGGTGTTGGCGTTGCGCTTCCCATCAGTGACGTCGGCATCACCAAGGCAGAGACAGGAGACGGAGACAGCGCCAAGTCGGCATTCTCGACATGTCCCATTTCCGGACTATCTATCTTCGTCTTCACGTCCTCCTTCAACCTGTCATCCGCAGGGAACGAACCGTCAAAATCACCACTGCTTTGAGGCTGCTGCTCGTCTACCTTGTGCGATTGGAATGGCGGTTCGCCCGGCTGGTAATGCGGTACTGGTGGCAGACTACCGTGAAAAACGTCGAGGTAGGCATCGTGATTCCATCTTAGGATATTCAACTCGTGGAACCACGCCAGCATGAACCATAGACCGAGGACTAGGGTGATGCCGGCCACCAGGGCCTGGTATTGTCGGGCTCTCACCATGATCGCATATCCTGCTGGCGGCAAGTGGTGTGCGACAAGGAGTAATAACGGGTGTAAAAATCGAAGAGGCTGGCTTGTCTTCGAAGTTAACGAGAGGCGTCGAGCAGTGACCAAGAAAATTGACGAGGAAGAAAGAAAGAGAAGAATAGAATCGAAAATCCTCAACTGGTGCCACCAGCAACAGGGTAGAGGTCGCAAACAATTTTGTCCCTCTCGTTGCGTCTGCTTACTACAAATAACCCGAATGCCATCCCGCAAGCGCATCAAGCCATACTTCGGGTCCGAATACGGGGGTTTGGGCGGGTGGACCGCCGGAAACAGCCACCGCTTCACTGACTGCACTCGAGACCCACCAGAGCGATAATAAGGTTCGTGGATCAGGTCATAGATGATGCTCTGATTGTCTAAGAATATCCTTCCTATTTCTAGGGGTTCTGGGCTTTCTAGGGGTTCTGGGCGTTGGCCAACCTGTTGTATGTTGTGGTCCGAACCTCCGCATTGGGTTAGTGCATGCCAACCCTAATCCTGAGTGCGTACCCGACACTAAATATCGGGTTCGGATGGAATGAGCAAATTAAAAAGTAGCAGCGAAAGACTCGTATATGTTGCAGTGTATATTATTAGGTTGGTGATAAAAAAAAAAAAGAAAGAGCGCTTCGGAGTGCAAATTATGTCCAGGAGAGACAACAGGCCTTGATTAATGACACAGCAAGGAGAAAACCACACACCCCTCACACCCATATGCAAACAGGGGGAAAACAAATTTATACCCAGGGCAAAGAAAAAATAACTCCACTACAGCTTGGTTTGTTTGCAAAGTCGTCACAACGTCAATCGATCGGGCCAAGACGAGGCGGTTGTTGGGAGGCAACCGGAGCCACATCGTGCCACATAGGTCTCAAGGTGATCTTGAGAGTGATCCTGTCAGGGAGGAGTCCAAAAAGCCATGAGTTGATTTGTTTCTCGGGCCAGCGAGTGATCAACGCACGATGGCGGATGGTATAGAGACACAACTTGCAATGACAAGCTGTCCGTTGTGCCCATCCCTCCCGCCATTCTCATCGTCGCGCACATCTCTCTTAAAAGATCCATCCCAGGATCATATAAATCAATATGCCCGCCGCGATACACATGCCCGCGATTTTGAGGACAGCGACCGTGTCGCCTTGTTTTGCCATCAGCGTCAGTCGAGAGGCGCTGCCTTTCAGGTTCGTCGAGAATGAGGAGAATACTTCGCTCTGGTTACGGGGAAGACGTTAGCATTTATCTGACAAATCATAGTCGCAAATGATTCTCCAGGTCCAGATAGAAAAAACGGTGGTGCGAGATGGGTTCCGGTAGACGTACCGAATGATCGAGGGTGTCCTGGTCCCGCGCATTGTCATGGATATCGATCGTCACGGATCGGAGGGCGGAGACCTTTGATGAAAGAGAGTTGAGGAGCGCATTGTTTTGTCTGGTCACAACTGTCAGAAACGGTCGCAGCAGACCAGAAGCCGAAGCGGCGACAGGCTACCGGGTAGGTTAAAGAGGAAAGGGGACGTACTGCTCGCGCTCGTAGGCATCGCTCATCTTGTCGGGTGCCTAGGGACGGCGAATACTGCTCTGGTCGGGAGTTTTAATTGCCTTTGCCTTGACAGGACAGAAAGGTGGTAAAACTGGGATGGGATGAGGGAAGACAGGGAAGGGCTTGGCCACGGCCAACGGCCGAGCCGACGAGCTGACAGGTCACGTGATTTACGAAGTATATGCAGTATATCATGGAATTGAATTATTCATGTCCCTGGATTCCCCATGGTGTCATTCACCATGTATAGCAGACGCGCATAATCTGCCATCCAGTGTGTACCCACCTCGTCTAACAGCCCGGCGAAGTCCAGTATCATGCGTTGCGCGTGCCGAGCTCCCGGGCGGTATGTTTTGCCGGAGAAGAGGATGGGTCCACCATGGCGGATGAAGTAGACGGCCGGATTCTCCTCAGCATTCTGACTGGATGTGTGACTTGGATCTGGTAAACCGGAGATGGAAATCCCTTCATCTCCAACCTCCTTCCAGTCAACTTCCGCATCTGCCAAGTCAAAGACACCACTTTCACCAGTTCTCTCGTATGTCGGCCCCATCAAAATGTACAGTCCGAGCACGAGAGCAGACATAAACAAAGCACGGACAGATTGAAACGCCGTTCCATCCGCTGGATTTCGATGGGATAGGGTGCGAAATATCTGAGCGGCATGCAGACATGACCGCCGCGCGCTTGGAGTTTGTGCCCACCGCGCAAGAGCTCGACGGGCCTCATGCATTGCCTCTAGGCCGTGCCGACCAGCGCCACGCTCCAGGACATTGATATCAATGGTCAATAGAATGCACACGCTGTGCCATATCACGATGCAGTTTGGATTCGACTCGCGAAAGGTCTGGTCGTAGGACTGGATGGTCTGCATGAGAAGACGACCGGCGATGCTGCCGCGCTTATCTATGCGACAAATATTCCAGGGAATGCTATTGTGTTGTTCAGGTGAAAATAAATCGGAACTGGAGACTAATCGGTGGCAGTCTGCTGAGACACGCAGGAGAATCGAGCATAACAGCCCGTACATGGAGAAAGCATGAACTGGGCATGGTACATCTGGCAGATGGAATCCATAGAATGACAGTTCCAACGTCGGTGTCAGTGTGCTGGAGCCTTGGGCTACCAGCTGCATCCATTTTTCGGCAGAGGGAGCTCGGTAGAGAAGATCTTCACTAGGGAGGGCGAGATATATTGAGTTTGCGGAAATGATGGGACTCGAGGAGAAAAGTCCCGAGAGCCACGAGTCGTGCAGTAGAAGACCGATTATCAAGCTAATCAATCAAAACTTTAGAATCTTGAGGATTTGTCGACCTAGATACTTACTTTTTTGTTGCTTCTACCCTGCTCCATGCCTTCCATCGGCCCTCTTCATCCAAGAGTGGCGGGTACAGTGATTCGAAGGATTGACCAAGACGGGAACAGAAGAAACCATAACCTTGTGCAGCCTAAAAGATATGTTATCTTCTATTGTTGAGAAAAGTCGGTTGAAGGGTATTCACAGTCAAAGTATGAATGTAAAGGAGTCGAGACTTCTCCGGACATAGCGTTCCCTTTAGAATAGTTAGACAGCGCTTGAAAAATGGTAAAAGATAAAGACCCACTCCCGTGGATATGAAGAGAAAAAGCATGTGATGTGCCAATGTGAGAGGGCTAAGTACGTCATTTATTGATCGAGATCCATCAACAGAGTGGAGGACCTGAATATAAACCTCGTTCAAAATCCCCTGTGGATGTATTAGAGATACAAAGGTAATGGAGCGAACACGCATACCGGATAGGTCTTTTTGATGAAGTCCATGGCCTCTTCTGTTTTCAACAGAGAGAGTCCAATCATACACATGAGAAAAAGTAGCGGCGTCGAGGTACTCTGTGGGTCGAACGTAGGCAGATGTAAGAGAGGGTGGACTGGTTGATACCTGTGAATATATAGATATAGACCTTGGTCAAATACTTCCACGGTGTTCAGGCAGAGATAGCGCTGGCTGCATCTTGAGTCCGTGTTCCAGGTGCAATTGCACCTGGTACCCGAAATATTGCGCTTCAAATCTCGGAGGCGCCGCTTGATGTCATAATTTAGATCGATTTCTGTGCCATTATCACTTTCTGGCGTCTGGCTAGCAGGCTCAACCATCATGTCAAAGGCAGGACTTGAAAAGATGTTGTCCATACTGCCAAAGGCGACATCTTGCCAGAGCCGAGGCCGGGTGGGAGATTCCGCTCTTGCTGGCCAGGAGGTATTGATTCTTTTCAGTGCGCAATCGGCGTTTCTGGAATCTGATCGTGAAACATTCTCGACAAAAGTATTTGTGTGGACATCAAAGATCTCCCCGCCATTATGGCCCAGAGAATTTGCGTCATACATTAGGTCGCTTGAGGAAAGGTGTGGGAGGACTGGCGGATTGAAAAGGATATTCAGGTAATTGGCGTTTGGATCTTCTCCTGGGAAAAGGGCGGTGTTCTCATAAACTTCCGTCTCTCGTGCAGCCGCTTGGGGCCCTTGCACCAGCGGTTGAACGGCCCTCTGATTAGCACCAAAGCCATCTGTTATAACTGGTGGTATCGAATTTAATTCCTCCGAATAGTTCGCATCGACTTGATCATTTATCACTATTGGCCTCTCTGCAAATGGATCCACTGGGAACAAGCTGGACGACGGCATGTCCTGTGCCTGCCAAGCAACATTACCACCCAGTTTAAGGCACAGCGACGAGATCACTCACCGACTCCTTGTCTGTGGAATCCCGATCTGAGAAATGATTTCGCCGATGACGGAGTAGAACATCTCTGACAAGTTAATCATGGGCCCAAGGAGGGTTGTGTTCGTTTAATCACCTTCGGGCAAACTGTTTGCCGCAGATAGGACACTTGAATGGTCGTTCGCCAGTATCTGAAAGTAGAAAATTTCAAACCCTGTACATGTCTCGGGCATAGACTGGGGTACACCTTGATGTTACGCACGGGCTAGTTCATGGCGGTTCAAATGCTCCAACTTGGAGAAGGTCTTTTCACAGCGGGTGCAGGATATCCTCTTGCCCACTGCTCGGCGTCGCGGCCTCATTATCACAGCATCTAGAAAGTGCTAATAAGTGCCGGAAGCCGCAGAAGAAAGGAAGGCGAAGTTCCAAAATTGGAGAATCGCGGGGTACTTGTCTTAGCGGCATGTCAGAGGCCCAATGAAATTAATTGGATCGCGGTTTGATACCAGCTTAATTGTCAACTTGGAGGACACAATCACAGTTGCTATGGATTGCTATCAATTATTGTTTTGCTCTGATAAAAATAGTAATTTGACTGGAGCCTTTTTGTTCCAGACCCGGTAGTCATAGGAGGTGCCAACGTAGGAAGAACTTGGAGAGAAGAGGGGGGAGGAGGGGATGTTAATTTGACTGTGGATGACCCACACCGCGAGAGCAGCGTAGGACTCGACTAGGAGGGGAGTTAGTGTTGTTTGTCACTAAGAGCCGAGGGAGGGATTTTCAACTTAATGGAAACGAGAAAGACTTTGTCGAGCTGTCTATGCCGAATGCTATTCGGCCAAACCTTGGTACAAGCTGTTCCAGAATAGACAGAGTCAGACTCGTGATTTGTTCTCTCAATCAGGAACCCGATTCTATTTAATAAGGATAGTAAATTGGTCTTTACAGGAACTGCCAAATCCCTACGCATAGGACATATTCCATGACGAGTGTCTTTTGTATGAGATTGAATCTTCGTATGCTATGACGGCCAAGCTCCTAAGTATAAGGCTAGTCTTCGACCCTTAGATTAAACATTGCATCATGTGGTAATTGTCGCTAGTCTTAAACTTCTTCTTCTGCAACCGCTGTCTTTGTCGTCAATGTAGCTGTTTTATCGGAGCATAGAACATCAAACCTCTAGAAGATTGAGCCAAATTTAACTTGACTCTTTAGGCGTGTGTAATTTACATACTGCTAAGCTTTCAATTGCTGTCAATTTTTGCACTATAACCGTTTCTTTCGCCGAGTAAGCCGCTCCGACCGCCAGCGTTGTTGTCACAACAGGCAGACCGACGGGGACACCAATGATGAAAAGAGTCAGAGCAAGATGCAGCAGATTGTACGAATTGTTTTCAGATACTGCAATTCTCAAGTGGTGAAAGCAACGCCCGATCCACCCACACAATATTCAAGATATGTTGAGTACAAGGACTTCCTGTGACATAGCTCCAGGATTCTCAGGAGCATAGTCTGACTCTTCTGCACACAATTCCCGCTCTTTCCGAGCAGCAATAAGATTGTCACACTTTAACGTAGAAGTGACATCATCTTCATTCCCGTAGTTACTCTTTTTAAAGGTCCTTCAACTTGTTGACAACATTTCCTCAATACCAAGTGACCTTTGAAATAGCAATGTCTTCAAAAGTTTTCCTTATTCGCCATGGAGAGACGGAGTGGTCTTTGAACCAACAGCACACGGGCTCTACCGAGGTCCCTCTGACATCAAATGGTGAGGAACAGGTCCGAAGGACCGCAAGAACGTTCGTTGGTGATGGTAAAATGATCCAACCAAAATGTATCAAGCATATGTGAGACTCATGGTGCATTTTCATGTGCTTCTGACCGACTTTTGTCGAGATTTTGTTCTCCTAGAGAGAGAGCTCGCCGAACACTTCAGCTTTTAGGCTTAGGAGACCAGAACCAGTCGTCCGCTCATATTATCATCACTGAACTGTTACAAGAATGGGACTACGGGGACTACGAAGGATTGACCATCGACGAGGTTCGAAGATCAAGAACCTCCAGAAATTTGGACAAAGATCGGCCATGGAATATCTGGATAGATGGGTGCGAAGGTGGAGAGTAAGAGCGAATACTCCCATTTCAGACTGTCCATAAACCAATCAATCTTAATCTCATTTAGGTCGCCTCAGGATGTCGCGGCTAGGTTGGACAAGCTGATCGGAGAAATTAGAGAGTTCAATGGGGCTGATTCAACGGCGAAGAATATTCATGACTCGCCCGCGGGAGCTGATATTGTCTGTGTAGCTCATGGACACATTTTACCGGCGTTAGCTCTGAGGTGGGCAGAGCAGCCATTGCAACACGGAATGAGGTTGTTATTAGAAACGGCCGGGGTGGGAGTCCTATGGTAAGTTTTCCTTACAGTTCTCTTACGTGATTTAATACTGACTCGTTTTGAGCTTCGAACACGAGAGTTTTGAGGAACCAGCAGTTGTCCTGGGCGCAAGAGCCGAGTAAATCAGTACATTGGGCGTGTAGTAGAACCCGGATACGGAACAAGCAGTGACAGTGCAAATGTTAATCTGACTTCAAAAATCTCTGCCCAAACTAGGAGCGAGGAAACATGGGAAATTTCCCCACATGAGCCCCAGATGAAGTGGCCGAGGAAAAATTACGGGGGTGGCTACCGCAGGTGATTTATGGCGCCTGGTAGATGTGGCTTCTTTTATTTTAGTGTAAACACATACCGCCGATCTGCGTTTGTGGGGAACCCAAAGTCAATCAGTTCTTTCAACTATAAAAGTGTGTCCATTTGCCGGCCGAAACTACCAGAGGTCTTTGATCATACCCCCATCCGCTTTGTGAAACATGACTATCCTTTGCCAAGTTTTGAAACACCCCTACCAGACTGCTCTAGTCACCATTATCTTCTTCATCCTCGGCTATGTCATATATCAACGATTCCTACATCCACTGGCCAGATATCCAGGGCCATTTCTAGCCTCGCTCACCGATCTCTGGCAGGTGCATCAATTCATGACGTTGCAACAGCCCTATAATCTCACAAGGCTCCATGAGGAATACGGCTCCATTGTTAGATATGGTCCGGACAAGCTCAGCATTACCAACGAAGAAGCGATCAGGGCTGTCTATCAGAGAGGGGCTCACTTGATGCCCAAGACTGAATTCTACGATGCGTATGGGGCAGCTCATCCAAATCTTTTCGGGGTGCGCGATGAAAGTGTTAGTTCTTTTTTTCAATTCCTATACAGCAGTGGATATATCTAACATCATCCCCCCCGCAGGAGCATTCCATCAGACGGCGACATATGTCTCATAGCTTCTCAATAAGCTATGTCAAAGAGATGGAAGTGCATTTCGACGCAAATGTCAAGATTCTCAGAGATAAGATATCATCATATGCCGAAAAGCAGGAGGTGTTTGATCTCAAAAAGGCTCTTCAATACTATGTTATTGATACATTGGGCGAGCTAGCCTTTAGTCAAACATTTGGCATCCAAGCCACTGATGACGAAACTCGAGTTCCTCCTGTTATTGAACATAGCTTGCTCGCAGCAATTACAGGGGCCTGGCCGTTGATGACTGCAAAGCTCAAGAAGTGGCTCCCACTGGTTCCTAACGAAGGCCTGCAAGCGTTGTTCAAGGGCCGCAAGGCCTGCGCAGATCTCGCATCTCGATGTGTACAAAACAGGCTGGATGCTCTAAACACCAAGGGTGATGGAAATAAGGACGGTTCAGAAAGAAAGGATATCCTTACCAATTTGATTCTGGCAAAGCATCCAGACACGGGCAAGAATCTAACTCGAGTTGATCTAGAGACAGAAGCCTTTGGATTCATGTATGTTTCCTGTTAGAACCCTGCATCCACAACTGTGGCGCTAACATTACCACACTTCAGAATCGCAGGAACACACACAACCAGCGCTACTACAGCCTTGCTTTTCTACCATCTACTTCACTGCCCTGAAATTATGGCTAAGTGTGTTGCCGAAACCGATGAAAACCTGCCTGCTCTTCAGCCAGAGGAAAATGCCTATCCTGTCACAGTGGTCGAAGCATCTTTACCATATCTACGAAACTGCGTGAAGGAAAATTTCCGAATCACCCCTGTGTTTACTATGCCGCTGGCAAGACGTGTACTCGTTCCTGGCGGGTTGACTATTGCCGGACATCATATCCCGCAATATGTAAGTTTGAGGATCGTTCTACTTTTCGACTGTGTATTCTTCTAACTTTCCTAGACCTCTATCGCTGTTTGCAATCATGCATTCCACCACAATGCTTCTGTCTGGGGACTTGATCATAACATTTTTGATCCTTCTAGATGGGACGATGCTGAATTTTCAACCAAATCTCGGCTACTGATGCATTTTGGTCTTGGGGGTCGACAATGCATAGGAAAAACTGTGGCCATGACGAATATATACAAGTTGATGAGCACTCTGCTTCGTGAGTTTGAGTTTGAGCTAGCAGATGAGCAAGAGCGTACTCGCGCCCAGGAAGGTTACTTTCATGGGAAGATTCCGGCTATGATGAGTGTGGGGATTAGTGACTTGGCAGATTCTTTGATGGTGAAAGCGAAACGCAGGACGAGCTCGTAAAATATGAAATATAGGCTGATTTCACGACGAAAATGAATTCTATGAGAGTTTTCTTACAATAGGCATAAAAATAGATAAATACCGTCTCTAGATGAGATATTTGGAGTTGAATGTGAGTTAAATGTTCACAATGGGAAATGTATCTCCGTGTGGGGATAATGTGGCTCCAGTATCCAGAGCCACATTGAAAGTTACCAAAGAGAGCCAATTTCGACATTATTGGTATATTATGATTATTCTTCCATCGACCCATCAAGCGCATCTTTCAACCACTTTCCCACCTCATCTAGCTCAACAGTGCCATCAGCAGCACTAATATGGACCGCTGACAGGGTCACCCGCCGCTCACCAACCCCCTTCTCCTGGCCCCAGAAGCAAGCCCGCTGCATAACAGATACCATCTCCTCAGCCTGTCGCGCAAGTATCGTGGTCTCCGCCTCGGTCTCTTTAGACTTTGTCCGTCGGCTAGTATGAAGCGACTCCAGCGATGAGAGACTGTCATCAGGCAGGAGGATCCGAACCCATGGGAGCGTCATCTGCAGGCGTCCGACACCGTTTGAAGGGCCAGACCATGTTGATCCGCTGAGTCCATAGTCCAATCCGTAGGGCGGCCAGCGTGACAGCGCTTTCCGGCGGCGGATGACAGGGCCGCTGGACGTTTCTGGGATGGCGCTATCTTCTGATTCAATATCTACATCCGGATAGACATCTCTATCCCAGAGAGATCCGTCGAGCGCAGAGTAATGCTCTGCCGAGGTGGTTTTGGCAGCGTTTTTGGTCGTTGGGACTGGGTATTCCGGTCCTGTGAGATACTGTGGGAATGCGCGGGGGACATCCCGCCCTGCGGAGCGAAGGAAGAGAACCGGAGAGGCGAAGGCGTCGAAGCACTTCTCTGGTCTTGTGAAGAACTGCTCGCGTGCGTTCAGGAGTGGGACTAGATCTGGAGGAGCTACCGCTCCTCGGAAGCCTTTCCGCTTGGATGATCGCTTTTGTTTCATGATGCTCATAGCCGAAGATGAGTCGGAGCCAATGCTTCTCTCTGTACTTGGTTCGGGTTTCGTTTCCGGTATATCTTCACTAATACAGTACTCGTCCAATCCAGGCCAGTCACAAACAGGCTCTAGAGCGGTGACGGCTCGCACTAACTGTGCCTCTGTGAGAGCTAGCATGAGGGCCAATGAGCCACCGATGTGCGCCCCAAATACTCCGAGCTGTTCTGGCTGAAGATTGTTTCGGATCCAGTCAAACCCGGCGAGCGTGTCGTGTACGGGCGTGGGGTATTGATAAAAGTTGGATTTGTCGATCAGTTGGTCATTGGTAATGGAATTTTGTAAATTGTCTGCACTTTGTTCCAGTTTGGCTGCTTCGCTTGAATCATCAAATGGTTCCATAGTACCGAGGCGGTAATTGACGGTGACAACCGTTGCAGAAGTTAGAGAGGCCAGCACATGTTGCGGTGGTGGACTGGCAGAATTTAGAGACCCGTTCCCATGGGCTTGGTGGCGTTTAAGCCTCGCAACAAGAGCGCCGCTGGTTGATGTGTCGCCAGAATCTTGGAAAAGAGGTCCTGGCGGCAGGTAAAGAATTACATTTGCGCCTTGACAAGATCGTCCCTTTTGGGGCGAACTTTGGCCGGGTGGTCGGGTTACACTGTGGATGGTTAGCGATTGGAGTATCTAACACTGAAACCTCTGGAATATACCTACATGAGAGATAAAAATCCGTTGTTTCCCACCGGAATTGAAATGGTTTCGTCTCTGCAATGCGGCGACGCAGGGGCGGTCGAGAATGGGCGCGTCCCCTGACAGGCGATGCGATGGCAGCCAGCTACCCTGCGCAGACGAAAGCAAAAAAACGCAATTTTGCATGGAGATGAATCCAGGACGCGCATAGCGCCACGCGGTGACTAAGTTGATAATTTGGTTGTTAGAGGAGAGTTGATGTCGCGTAGTCAAGATGTTCCGATACTAGTCACGAGACTTGGCGTTCCCTAACAGTATATATTTATTTTGCAGAGAAGCACGACAGCACAGGTAACGATCAATTGCTATATGGAAGAGTCAATTTCATTTTGAAAAGATGATAACTACACGCTATAGATACATGCGAGAACTAAATAATGCCAATATGTTATCGTATACGTCCCGTTTACCAAAACCCATCTCGGACTCGACCCGTTACCAGACTACTCGACAAGGGCTTCTCCGTAGTCGCCGACGCAGCAGCCGGATCATCACGATCGAGAGGCGCCTCCATGTCATCCTCCGGCGACGGATGTATAACCTCCAGGCTCAGTTGCGGGTCCTGTGAGTACACCCGCAAGCCAACAACACACACGGCGTTCCACGGGTCAGCCGCGTTCTCGTCCAGGTCCGCACCTGGGGATGGACGCGGGCTCTTCGGATACGCTGTGCCTTCAGGCGGCATATCGAGATCAGTGTCGAACTCGAATCCCTCTAATAACTCCACATCACTGGGATCCAGTCCATCCGTTGCAAACCGGGTATCGAGACTAGGCCGCGGAGATGTTTCTGTCATGCGTCGCGCATACCGGCGAGTGTGCGAGCCATTGACCTGGATAGTCGGGACCGATCCACCGGCTGTTGATACCCGCCGGTCACTGCCATCGCTCGAGATGCTTGCAACATCTGTAGGAGATTGGACCGGGCCTTCGCCGAAGATCTGCTCAGGCATGCGCTCGGGACTGCGCCCGAGACGGCCACCGCTTGCTGCTGTTGCGGACCCAGAGCGCCGGGCAGCCATGCGTTGCTGGCGCGCAGCCATCTTCTGCTCACGAATCCACTCCTTCTGAAGCCGCTTCTTGGTCTCAGCAGCTAGTCTCTTTCTCTCAGCTGCTTTGCGGGCCGCATTGTCCCGCTTTTCTTGCTCTGTATCGGCGATCAGGCCCTTGGCGTGTGCGAGATCATAGGAGAGTCCGATCTGCACTAGTTTCTCGCGCCGGGTCGATGCCATGCGGCGGAGAATCTCCTCTGTCGATTCGAGGTCGTCGTGTCGGAACGCCGTGATTTTCATGAGCACGTGGTACCGGCCTGGTTCGAGGTCGATCTCGGCGTTGACGGACCGGCTCATGAACTGGCTGCTGTGGCTGCGCACCATGTAATCTTCTTCTCCATCTCGCTGAAGACGGAATTTCAGCATAAAATCATACTCGCCCGCAAGGCCTCTGAAATATCGCGAGTCAAGCTGTGTGCTGTCAGCAGGGAATATTGAATCGCTAATCAATCGAGACGAACCTGCGATAGGACGATGACCACCGGTCCACCTTTGGTCACATCGAGACTGAACTTTGTGCTATGATAGTCGGCAGACCATGGAACATTCAAGGTGGTCCACTGCTGCGTGATAGTCCACTCCGTCCCAAACAGGCGGGTACGGTCCAAATGCTGATATTTCTTGAGGAGGTCATTATAGGAGATCCAGAAGAACTGTCTCCGAGTCAGCAATGAACCATATCCCCGGAGTTCGGAATTCATACCCCGTCATTGCCAAACTTGTGACCAAGCAGCTTCATCCACTCGGGCGTCCACTGCTCGGATCCATCACCCCAAGCACCATGCCATTCCTTCTTCCCCCAGGGGTTCCTGGGATATGTAAGTACCATGCTCCTTGCATTCCGACTATGTCAGCACGTACCTGAGTCGAAGGAGACGATGCCCTTCTACCTCTCGTGCTTCCATGATAGAGTACGAGTGATTCGTCTCGATACCCTTTCGGTCCCGCGGAGGACCGCGATACTTAGGATCCAACCAATTGGAAAAGAAGCCCGTGCCACAACCAAACAGAAACTCCTTATTGACCTTCATGAGCTCCTCATTCCAGAAGCGGTCCTTATCCAGGATATTGCTGGGCAGAATCTCCGAGGTGACTCCGCCCGTCAGGTCTTCAATGGCTTCGCCGACAAACCCGCCCTCGATGGCGGAGTAATCCCCGTGGGCCTTTGCAAACGCCTTCTCGAGAAGCGGCAGCCACGTCTCATTCTCATCCACGCATTGCGCAAAGTATAGGGCCCGAGAGCCTGTCTGCCAGGCTCGCCGATACTCCTCTTCCGTGTCAGTGCGGTTGATATCATCCCAGATGGGTCGTTCATCCATAGATTCGTCATAGTCGGCTGCTCGCAGATACAGCTTGTCGTCCACAATGCACTGCTGCCACTCGCCGTCTATAATTACAGATTCAGCTCTTACATTCACGTCGAGGATTCCCGCAAATACTCACCGCGGTAAAACACAAAGCCATAGATGCCAACGTTCTCATTTCTCGCGACGCAAATATTCTCAATCAGACCCTTCTTGTTGCCCAGGGTACACAGCGCCGCCATAACCCAGCAGTCCCCGTCGCGGCCCTGTCGTACATCCGACGCTGTGGGCCCATTGACATAAAAGCGCGGCTTCTCAAATATTTCCTGAATGGACCTCAGTCAGCACCGCCATGTCTTATAACAAGAACCATCACTCGACACACCGTCACCCTCTTAACACCCCGCGGCCTCATAGCCTCATTTATCTTCCCCAGCCCATCAAGATAATTCCTCCGCCCCGACTTGAGATCAACCTCGATATCAAAATGCGGATCCGTATATTTCTGATTCAGCCGCTCGCACTCCTTGACAATCCGCTCGACAGACCGCACGCACTCGCGCCGCGCCTGCTCATACGACTTGACGGCCTCTTGGCCCCTGATCACCCCCGTGGGCACATTCTTCGCCCGCGTCCGCGCGTACGGGTTGTCCGGCAGCACCGTGTACACCCGGCCTGGGTACTTGGTGTTGAACTGTTCCCAGAACTGCTTGACCGTTTCCTGCGGCGCTTGGAATCGCGCCCGCTGAGGTGGTCGGCTGTTCGAGCGCGATGAGGCTGGTCGGCCGTACCCTGTGCCTTCTAGCTCGTCGTTGTTGTCCATCGTGATGGTCTTGGTAAACTGGACCGGCTGACGGTTGTTGGTCTTGGTGTTTGTTTTAGCAATCTCCTCACCGGAATACGTCCAGCACTTGAGATTGGAGCGTAGTGGGGGAGAAATCAGGAAGCGATTCCCTTTTCTTATATTCGCACTGACCACCCGCTAAGTTAGCTCGGTTGATCGAACGAAAATAACAACCACCCAAACCAACAGGCGCCCCATCCGCACTTTAAGTAGTTAACCTAACGAACGTTGAATAGTGCACGGCCAGCATCAGCCGCTCTCAACGCACGTCGTAAGGCTGCATTAGTTAGACCATTAGGGCCGGCGAATGAACATCCAACCGGAACGCCCGCCCGCAGCCCCCACGGCCTCAGCCATTGACCTGACGGTTCCTGTGTTTTGGCCCCCAGGGACGGATGCGATGTGTCCTGCAGAATCATTGACTCAGCCTTAATGTGTCTCAGAACGATCTCCGGGTTTGCCAATAATAATCATACAAAGTCAAGTCTGTTCATCTATATCTTGAACCTGTTTTTTGGGCCCGGTGGGGCGGCGCCCCATTCAGCTCGGACGCGGACACGAGGTGCCTGCATTTGCACCCGGGTTCATCATTGGTGTCTGGGCAGATAACGCCCCGGATATGATTCATTGCATTGCTTTCATCATGCATTCGGTTAGATTAATGTAGTCATTAGGAACGCCCGCGGCCAAGGCCCCGGGTGAGGCTGTGTGATCTATCACAGCGCACTAGTTAGGGCACATGCAAAACTAGTCTACGCAGCGCCAGCTGAAGGGGGTATGTACGCCTGGATTGAACTAAAGCACGCTTTCTTGGAACCCCCAGAAGCCCTCCTGTCCGACCACTCCCTGTCCCATCCTATTGAACGCCGGATACATCACACGCAGAACATGGCCCCGAGGGACCAGAGCTACCGAAATACCGGTGCTGCTAGTCTGCCTCCCGAGGGTGAGTGAATGGATAAGATTACACGAAAAAAAGACATCACCGAAAACATAAAACAAAAGCCTTCAGTGATATCCGTTCCGCGTGGTGGTCCGTCCCGAGTAGTACGAGCTGCCATTCCGGAAGTAAGGATGCATGCAGGCCTGCTTGGCCGATAGCCGGTGCGCGGGATCGAATTCGAGAAGGGCTTCCAGTAGTTGACCACCGGCTTCTTCGAGACCTGGGACCAGGACTGCGTCCGGGCGCTTCCACTTGGGGAAGGTGGCCTTGAAGTCTGGGAAGGAGGTCACACCGGGCCAACTATCTTCGTCAGGGGTGCCGAGGACACTGTGAGATAAAAGGTGTTAGAAATTCACTGGATTAAAAGGAACAGAACATACCGGAAGATCTTGAAAATTTCGTCAATTTCAGAGTCCCCGGGGAACAGCGGCTTGCGGGTGCACATCTCTGCAAAGATGGCTCCGACGGACCACATGTCCACGCCCGTGGAGTACTGGCGGCCACCCAGGAGAATTTCTGGAGAGCGGTACCACAGCGTCACGACCTGTAGAGCGGGTCAGTTTCCACCGAATTGTATAAAGCATTTGTCCCTACCTCGTGAGTATAAGTCCGCAAAGGCACACCAAACGCTCTTGCCAGCCCAAAATCAGCAAGCTTCAGGTTCCCGTCACGGTTGATCAGCAAGTTCTGGGGTTTCAGATCGCGGTGCAGAATACGGTGGCTGTGACAATAGCGAATGCCCTCTAACAGCTGGGCCATAAACTTCTTGACCATGGCATCGCCCAGACCCAGGTTTGCACCCATCATTGAGCCGTCCGGGAGTGCCTTCCCCCGACCACCTTCACTGACCGGCAGGGCCTCCATGTATTTCTTCAGATCGAGGTCCAGGTACTCGAAGACGAGGTATAGTTTGTGGCCATCGGCGTGAACGATGTTGAACAGCTGGACGATGTTGGGATCCTGCATTTCCTTGAGGAGGGAGATCTCGCGGATCGCCGTGCTGGGAACACCCTCATCTTCGGCCTCCAGTCTGATCTTTTTGAGGGCGACAATTCGGTTCGGATGGTTGAGTTCGCGGGCCTTGTAGACAACACCGTAGGTTCCTGTCACCCGAACACGCGTGAGATTGGGGCTATTGGGGTGGCATGTTTGTTTATCGCGTGCAAACACGTACCTTCGCCGATTTTTTCGATCTTCTGGTAGTTCTCCATGGTGGCGGTGCACACTGAACCCGTTCTAGGTCCGGGATACTGTCAGTGAGGGTACGAACACAGGGATCGAATTGACGGGGATGGAGGGATGAGGTCAAGGGGAATGAATCTGGGGACGCAAGGGGTACGAGGAGGAATACTGTGTAATAGGCTCCACTCACGTAATACTCGGGAGTGTCACAGACTCCAGTCCAATATTTGGTTGTGTTGTTGGTGTTGGCGTTGTTTGTCGCGGTGGGGAGGAAAAAACAAACAAAAACACCCCGCGCTACCCGGGCGGTGAGAGTGGCTCGATCGTTTTTATTTTTCGACGATCATCTACTTTACTCTCTGCAGCTCCCATGCCATGGCCCAGATCAAAGGCCTCAATGCCCACGATCGACCCCCAGAGGTCATCCGCCAGCGATACAAGCGCTATTCCAAGATTGACCTGGCCGAGATTGACCATGACCCGGGCATCCTCGACCTGCGAAGAGTCGATCCCGACCAGCTACCGAACGAACTGACGCTGTCGCAGTATATGTCCAGCCAGGATGTCCGCCTGGCATTTGATGACTTTGTACAAGGGCGGCATGAATTGGCCAAAGAACATGCCCCGTTGGCTGAAAATATCCCGGTCTTTGCTCATCGTTCAATTTCTGGTCAGCATCGCAACGCTCCACTATGGACAGAACAAAGAACCACGTCCTGACCAATTCCCAGGACTACTGATGATCCCTTCTTTATTCCCACCCACTGTTCAAATAGAATTGCTGTCGCGCTTACTCCACCGAGACCTTTCCAATCCCGAACATCGCACCAATCTGCATCTGCACTACGACGTCACTTATCCTGGACATGCAGGAAGCTCGGAGAACGACACCCCATCACACTCGTCGCAATCTTTTTTCACCGATGATCCGGCACGATTGTTGTATCCCAAGGATGCCACGATCCACCAGCCAGTGACCGTCCAAAACATGTTAGAGAAGAAGCTTCGCTGGGTTACATTAGGCGGACAATACGATTGGACGGCCAAAGTGTACCCCGAGGAAACACCTCCTCCGTTCCCAGAAGATGTCTCGAAGCTATTGCGGGCTGCATTCCCGGAGACCGAGGCCCAAGCAGCCATCCTGAACCTCTACTCGGCCGGGGATACACTAAGTGTGCATCGCGACGTGAGTGAGGAATGCGACATTGGATTGATCAGTGTAAGTTTTGGGTGTGATGGGTTGTTCTTGGTGAGCCATGATGATGGGAATGGCTGTGAGATCATTCGGCTGCGGTCGGGCGATGCGGTATACATGAATGGCCCGTCGCGGTTTGCTTGGCATGGAGTGCCGAAGATCCTTCCGGATACCTGTCCGAAATGGCTGTCCGAGTGGCCCTCTTCCGGAGAGGATGTGCCGGGTACTGCTCTTAGTCCCTACAGGATGTGGAGGGGCTGGATGGCAGGGAAACGGATCAATTTGAATGTGCGACAGATGACAACGGCCAGTATCCCATGAGCCGTTGGCGGACTTTTCTTGAAGAACAGAAGAAGTCAGCATGACAGTTGCAAGGATGCAAATACGTACGGAGAGGCCTACGAAGCATGAGTTGAGTCCGCGAACTCACTTGAGGTTTCTGCATAAGCACGAGACCAGCCAATCCATCAGACAAGATTTGAGCGTTTCCTGCCTTACACCGTGAGTTCCGACCCGCCGAGGGGGGAAGCATGCCAACACACGGCGTACATGGTCGAGCCACGCTCGGTTGCCATACCCACGGCGACTAGATAGCGCCACACTAGCCTACTCAAATACGAGATGATAATCATTCATTTGAACCTTCTAAGCCCGAGGTGATCCCCGAAAAAGCATCTCCAACGACCCCAACAACCCCGCACTACCGTATCTCGCGCCACCCCAACTGATAAGAAAGACCATAAATACCCAGTTGACCGTCCCCGAGAGTTCCTCATCGCTACAATTCACCATGACGACAGAAGACTGGCTTGCCCAGGGTGAGGCAAAGCGCCAATCGATCTACAACGCAATCCCAGAGAAATGGAGACTGGAAGACCCTGTGCCCCCAGCAGCGGAATTGCGCGATGTCACCGGCCCCTATATCCAGCAGTTCCTCAACGCGCGTGAGATTGAAATCACCGAATCCGATGCGTTTGAGATCACTTCGCAGACTACCACAGGCCGCTGGTCTGCCGTTGAAGTCACCGAGGCCTTTTGTCACCGCGCTGCGCTGGCTCACCAATTGGTCAGCTGTCTGCACGAGGTATTCTTCGACGCAGCTATAGAAAGCGCCACTGAACTCGATGCCTACTTTGCGAAGCACCAGGCTCCCGTGGGACCTTTACACGGGCTCCCCGTCAGTCTGAAGGATCAGTTCCATGTCAAAGGTGTCGAAACCACCATGGGCTACGTGGGCTGGATCGGCACCTTCGAGGGTCACCGCGATGATCCCCGCCGCGGGACAGTGGAGAGCGAGCTGGTGCGGGAATTGCGCAATCTCGGAGCTGTGCTGTACTGCAAGACCAGTGTGCCTGCAACCCTGATGACCGGCGAAACCGTCAACCACATTATCGGCTACACCACGAACCCAAAGAATCGGCTGCTCTCCTCCGGTGGCAGCTCCGGCGGCGAGGGCGCGCTGATTGCCCTTCGTGGGTCGCCCGCTGGCTTTGGAACCGATATTGGAGGCAGCGTTCGCATTCCCGCTGGTTTCAATGGGCTGTATGGCATTCGGCCTTCTGCTGGAAGGATTCCTTACCAGGGAGCAGCGAACTCGTTCGATGGTCAGAATACGATATTGTCGGTCATCGGCCCGCTGGCAACAACGGCGCGGTCTGTGACTTTGTTGTTCAAGTCTGTTCTGAGTCAGGAGCCGTGGTATCAGGATCCCCTTGTCTTGGAGCTGCCATGGCGGGATGCTATTGTTGAGGAAACGCGTGACTTGATCAAGAAGGCTCAAGCTGGGTCATCCTCGCTCGCCTTTGCTATTATGCATTGGAATGGTATAGATCGGATTCATCCGCCCGTTGCACGAGGGTTGCGCATGGTCGAAGAGACATTGAAGCGTCTAGGGCACAAGGCATGTATCTTTCTGCAACACCAACACGGCACATCTGACGGTTCTTCCAAATAGGTTATTACCTGGGATCCGCCGTCCCATGCCACGCTTCACGAACTGGCTGTAGGTTCGAATGACCAAACATGTGGGACGTAACTGATCTGACGCAGGGCAAAACATTCAATATGGACGGTGGCGCCGACATGCGCCATCATTTTGGTCTCTCGGGCGAACCCAAGCCGCCGCAGGTCATCGTGGAAGAAAATGGCCCCGAACTAACTACGCCTGCAGTTGCGGCACTCAACGTTGCCAAACGCGAGTGTCAAAAACGCTACATGGACTACTGGAACAGTACCGTCGAGTTAACGGGGACCGGCCGCCCAGTGGACGGCGTCTTTAGCCCTCTAGCACCTCATGCGGCGGTGATCCCGCACCAGTACCACAGTGTAGGATATTCGAGCTTCGTGAATGTTCTCGACTATACCAGTGTGGTGATACCCGTCACATGGGCCGATAAGATGGTGGATACGAGGCAGCCAGAAGCTTCCTTAGGAGCGCATATCGAGTGGGACTGTGAGTTTGGACCCCTCTGGCGACGAAACTATAGACTGATGTCCGTGCAGATGATGCCGATACGTACGATGGGGCCCCGGTGGCTGTGCAGTTGTTGGGTAGGAGATTGCAAGAGGAGAAGATGCTGACCCTAGCCGAGTATTTAGGGAGTGAAATAGGTCGTACTTAAGTATAGTTGGTAGATAATAATAGTTGTCTAGTCGATCCTTGCCCGACTCAGCGCTCGTCAGGGTCTCTCCACATCAAAGCTTGGCGCCTCCTCTTCACTCTTTCTTCCTTCCTTCTCTCACTCACTGACATAGTACTCTCGCCCCGCCACTTCTGGCTTCTTCTCGGGCTGTCCCAACCTTCCCTCCCCTAACCATACCTCCCTCTTCCCTTCCCGCCATGAAGGAAGAAAATCCCCCAGCCAACTCGCCCGACGACTCGGCCATCGGCGACGAAAACTCGCAAACCGCGTCCAAGACCGTGAACCCATCCGCCAAGGATCGCAAATGCCAGTACTGCGGGCAGGCATTCACGTCCTCGTCACTCGGCCGACACCTCGACCAGTTCCTCTTCAAAAAGAAGCCCGACGGGATCCACGATGTCGAGGAGATTCGGCGCATTCGTAGCGGCATCACTCGTCGGCAAGCCCGTACCTCCTCAGGGAGACACGACAGCCCCGATCGCGCAACGAAGAAGCCTTCCTCCGACCTGTACGCGACGGGAGAATCTGGGTCGAAGGCACGCGATACCCCCGTGCGCATGATGTTCAACACGCCGACGTGGCATGCTACTGGCGTCATCAACGATATCCCGAACCCGAGTCGGGGGCCCGAAGGACCGCGTCTCGCCCCGTCACAGTCGCGGACGGGATCTATGCAGTTGCCAGATTATGCCAGTCGGGGCGCTAGCGCCAAGGACCCGGATACAATGAGGGCACTGGAGCTGGCGCTGCGGGAAGTGTTGGACAACATCAAGGCGGCAACGTGTGTACCCTGTTTTTCCCCTTCAAGTGCAAAGCTTACTCTGTCATAGGTCTCGCATCCGGCCTCGTACATCTCCCTTCGAGTTCGACATCCAAGCCCAGACTTTTCCCTCCCTCTGTCTCCACCTCCTGCCTCCACCACCGAGCCTATTCGCGTCGCATCCCTTTTCCTCGCCGTCATCTTTCCCTCTTGAACAACCGGGCGCCGAACACCTCGAAATTGTCCGCCAAGCGCTCCGCTCTAAGATCTCTCAATGGCTAAACGACCAGCTGGCAGGAGATGCCGCCTCTGCGCCCCATGCACGGGCCCCGAATAATAGTAGCACCGAGACAAACATGCTCTACCGCAGCGCCCAACAACACGAAGAAATGAGTTTCCGGCAGCTCGACCTAGCCTTCAACCACTGGACCTCCTTATCTCACGACACGCGCCGCGACGCATGGCAACTAGAAATGACGCGCGCGTTCGCTCGCGAAGCCGAGAAACGCAAATCTCTCGACGAGCAGCTCGCACGCGTCCAGCAGGAAGCAAATCAGCTCCGGGCGCAGGTGGAGCGGCTTGGATCCTGCCAGTGGCCCCGAGAGTTTGCGCTCTTCCCTCCAGACACACTCCCCTTGCCCCGGGACGTGGCCCGGGAACTGGAGATGCAGGAAAGCCAAACGATCAGCGCGGACGGGGCGCGGTGGGACTATGACAGCGTCGTTGCAAAATGGAAGCGCGTCGTCATGCACGACAAGAGTATGGGCCGGATCGGCGTGGGATACGCAAATACTACATATGAACAAGACCCAAACAATATCACCAACACAACCACCCAGCCGCCTTCCTACCACCCCAGTGCATCCCGGCAAACGCCCGACGTGCGACTCCCGCGCCCTGGCGAGGATACCTCATCTCACCCAAACCGCCTTCGCCCCATACAATCCGCTGCCGCAACCATGAGCCCCGATCCAGCTGCCGCATCCACACCAACCTCGTCAACACACTACGCCTCTCCATACTCTCACGCCGATCCCCGCAGTCCCCCGGCAGGCAGTGCCGGCGGAGGCCCGCCACACGCTAAGCGGCCACGGCTGATGAATGGGAATGATGGTCCCCAGGCTCCGGAGTCGAGTGTGGAAGGTGGGGGCGGGTTACCCGCTCCTTCGACGACGATGGATAGGCCGCCCGGTCTATGGAGCTCTTCGACGCCGCTTTTGTCGAATATTGCGGCGCCGTCGCCGACTCCGCCGTCACGCCCGTAGGCACTGGCAGAGTACTGTATTTGATATCATTTTGCATATAACATGAGTGCAATTGTATTTTAGCAGCCTATATTCCAGTTGACTGATTACTCCCTCCATTCAAGCTGGCTTTGCACCCTTCTTCGTCTGCCGAGCACTAAACCACCGCTTCAAGTCTCTCACGCCATGAAGGTACAACCAGGACAAAATGAAGACAAGGGTGAAGTTGAAGATCACATACCCCCAGAAAATGCCCTGATAAGTATACCTGTCAGACCAACTTGGATGTATGTGTAGGAAGTAAACTCACATAGTTCCGCCATTTGTGCGAGTAGAAGACATTAAAGCCGGCAGCCTGTAAGCAGCCAGGAGAATCAGCATTGCCAAGTTCACACATACAGCGAAAAGAATGCAAGACTTACAAACTGATCCCCAGTCGAATACTGACAAAAGGCGCACATCCCACCCCCAATGTCCCTCACATATCCACCAGACTGCTTAGCAAAACTACCGGCATATTGCTGACACGACATGCCGGAGGGGGTACTAAACCGCGCCTCCTCGCGCGGGAGACACCGAACAGGAACGTTGTGGGTAACAACCCCCAGAAACCCTTCTAGGAGGTAATGGAACGGCGTGAGCCAGTACATCCACGACTGCCAGAAGTGCGGCAGGGCCGCGTACGGCACGACGACGCCGCAGAATGCAACAACGAAAGTGAAAAAGGTCGGAACGAGTAAAGAGGCGAAAAGCTCGTTTGGTGACAAGGCTGCGATGAACTGCCCGAAGCCGATGTAAAATGTTTCGAAAAGCATGAGGAGCATCCAGACGTAGCCAGTTGTGAATGAGTCGCGCGGAAACCAGATTCCCCAGTACCTTCATTCATTAAAAATTTAGAATGGGTAATGGCCCAGAGAGAACAGGTGGTGACATACCAGCAGTTGAAGTAGACAGAGCCCGCGACGATAGAGTAGGGCAGTTCTGGGAGGATGGAGCTGGCCACAAATGCGACCCATGAGTAGATCTTTGAACTCGACTCTCGGGATTGGTATAGGTTGCGGAAGTGCAGGAACCGGGGCTGCAGCTGCTGGATCAAGGGTGGTGAGATGGTCAGCGTCATGAAGATGGAGAAGAGCCGCGATTGCATGTCGATGTAGCTGTGGCCGAGATGCCAGAAGGTGAAGGTGTTGAAGAGGCCAGTGAAGATATGGAGCATGAATTTGCCCTGTTTCATTTACCAATGGTTAGAAAAGCCTTAAACTCAGCCGGGTCTTGAGAAATCGTACCAAGATGTAATCGGGTGTCCTCCAGTAGGCAACAAAGGCACGTTTTGTCACTGCTAGGATCTGCGCATGGACTGGCATTGCGTATTCGCGGTCATCCTTGAGGGTTTCGTTCTGCACATTGCGGCGTGAGTTTATGATGTCTTCGATCTCTTGGGAGAGCTGCGTTGACTCAGACGAGTTGGCCCACACATCTCCCCAATCCTTCCCTTTGTAGTCTGGATTGCCAGCACCGATGACTTCCAGCATGTACTGTCTGAATGTCAGAGTGTTGAGAAAGAAGAAAGATTGTATAGCAACAAACCTCAGCTGGATTCGCACGCGGCGAACATTTTTTACCACCATTGCGTTCGAAATACTTAATCAGGGTTTTCGAGTCATGCCCAAGTTCGCCGTTGTAGACAACTCTCCCACCACTTTGCAACAGAAGCAACTCGTCGAATTGCTCGAATAAAACAGCCGATGGCTGATGCACAGTGCAGAGAACTGCCTGTCCTGCATCTGCGAGTCGTCGAAGAAATCGAACAATGTTAAAAGCAGCTAGGGAGTCAAGACCAGATGTTGGTTCGTCCAGGAAAAGAAGCAGTTCTGGCTTGCTGGCCAATTCCACGGCAATGGTGAGTCGCTTGCGCTGCTCTTGATTTAGGCCAGTGCCTGTAGAGCCGACGGTTGCGCCGGCAATTGATCTCATTTCTAGCAAATCAATCACTTTCTCACAATAGTCATACTTCTCTTGTATCGGGACTTCCTTTGGCTGTCGTAACAGAGCCGAGAATCGGAGTGATTCTCGCACGGTGGCCGTTGGCTCGTGGATGTCCATTTGCTCGGCGAATCCGGTGGCTCTCTGGAAGCTTTTGGGCAGGGGGCTGTGAGTGTTAGCTTGGGTCGATTCTTTCCAAGTCGAGACAGACTCACTTTCCATCGACTAAAAAGTCACCAGAGACAACTCCAAAATTGATTCTTGCTGCTAGTGCGTTGAGAAGAGTTGTTTTTCTAAGCTATTTAGTAAGAGCCCAACGTTACTTGTGGTATGGGAAACTTACCCAGCTCCAGATGCTCCCATCAACGCCGTGAGTCGGCCGGGCTTGACATAACCCTGAACATTCCGCAAGAGCTGCTTCTGCCCACCTTTGTAGGGGATGGTATAGTTGACATTCTGCCACGCGAAAATTGCAGTATTCTTTGCAATTTTCGGCACTTTCTTATCCAAGCCATTCGACTCATCGTCAAAGGCATTTGGAAGTCCCTCACTTTTCTCTCCGGATTCTTCATCGTGGTGCAACCCGCCCCGATCCACGGCATCCTCAACCGCCTTTGGTGCTTCACCTCTCTTGAACACCGTTACAGAGCTTCCACCTTTATTAGGCTTCTGCAGCTCCATTCCCACCATCGTCAGGCTCACGAAAAAAAGAAACCACGCAATTATTATACCAAAGTTCCGCCACAGATGAGAGCGCGAGTATGTATAGGCTGCTTTGATATAGTCTGCACCTCTCACAGTGGTCTGGTCTGGCGTGCTTCCTTGTAGAGCACAACTCTGATGAGAGGGCAACGCATTGGGTCCGAAGGGAACGATGTATGGCGGCTCACAACGTATATCAAGATTGTAAAATTCGTTGGCCATCAATGCTTCAAAGGCATACTGGACAGGGTTTATCCAGATAAGCCATTTTAGCCATGGGTGCATCTTCCACGGTGGGATCAGATAGCCTGCGCGTGGTCAGTCGGGGTGACTGGTGGAGAATGTATATTTCCTTACCGGTATACACAACCAATGCCTGAATGGCGACGCCGGTAAGGCGTGTTGCTTGACTAATCAGTATCTTTCTTCGAAATAATTCTCCAATGCCACTTACCGATATCAAGCGATGCACACAGAGCGCCAAGTGCGCGGAAGAAAGAATACATTGTCATTGTCAGGATGAATATGAAAAGCAAGTTGATGAAAAACTGAGATGGTGTCCGAGCAAGGTTTGCCATACTGTAATCAATTGTCAGCTTTAGGATGAAAGTTAAGCAAATTGTTGACATACAAGTATACAACCAGATCAAAAAGTACAACCTGAATGAACACCAAGGGCACATCGACCACAACCTGCGCAAGAGCATATGCTGATGGCCGGTAGAATGAACTAAATACGATCAGCTTTTTTATCAATGCCCCTTATCACAGCACATACAAGCTTTTGTGCTTCATCAATATCGGCCGACTCCCAAATGTAGCCGTGAGCTCGGCCAGGGCAAGGAGGGCATTGAATAGAAGTATAAAAAACATGACACCGCCTCTTGTGAAGACTCCAGAGCTGGAAGTTGCCAGTCAATACACAACTTACTTGAATTTGTGGACAGTATACTAACGTTGTATCCGGCAGGTTGTAAAACAGACTGCCAACAATCAAGGCTTGGAAGACAATGAGTGCCCATTTCCCGACCAATGACTGTCTGTCTCCAAACATGATGAGAAACTGCCGGTGTGTGAGGATCATGACCTGTTTGTAGAACGAAACAGTATAGTTCTTCTTGGCTGTTTTGTTTCTGGCAGCCTCTCTTTCATGTTCTTGGACTTCATTCTCTTTTTCAAAATCTTCAATATCCGCAACTGCAGCTTGACAGATGCTACTTTTGCGGTAGGCTGCTTGGAACTCCTCTGCTGAGCGAGGGATACGGTCTTCCCAGCCTTCCCTAACGCGACGAGCATGGGGGTCACTGACGGAGGTTAGGAAATCGGGGGTTGTCCATCGCGGTGGACATTCAAAACCTAGCCCTTCAAAGTAGGCTTTCGCTTCCTCGGAGCGTCCAAAGAAAGCACACTTGCCATCTTCAATAAGAATCACCTTGTCAAACAAATTAAACAGATTCTCGGATGCTTGATAAAGAGCGACCAGCGTGGAAACGTTCGCGGTGTTTGTCAGACTTCTCAAGCTCTGAACGTATTCTAGCGCCGTGCTTGCGTCCAAGCCCCTGGTTGAGTTGTCCCAGCACTGAGTACTGGCTTTTGTGACCATTGCCTCTCCGATAGAAACTCGTTTCTTCTCTCCACCGGACACTCCACGGATGAGCTCGTTGCCAACTTTAGTTCCCAACGCATGTTCAATCCAGAACAGTTTAGCAATAGCGGATAAGAACGTTTGCTGGTATTCTTTCCGGCTCTCTCCCGGAATGCGAGATGCTTTCTCTGGCGTTCGAGTCTTCAGAGCGAAGAGCAGAGTATCTCGTACAGACAGTGTGGCGTAGTGAAGATCGTCCTCGGGGTTGTACAAAACTAAAGAATTAGTTTGTCACTCAAAGATGACTTGACAGAGGGCAGCCTACCTTCAGAGCGATAATTTTTCGCCATCTTTTCTGAATCCGTTCCACCATATCGTACATCGCCATCAATACTTTCGTACCCAGACCGCTGATTGCCAATGACTTTCAAGAATGTTGAACAGCCTGAACCTGGGCGTCCTAGAACAAGGAGCATTTCCCCGGGACGAACACAGCCCTATCAATGATAGTCAGTGGCAACATTTTCGCTTGCTAGGAAGGCCAATCCTACTGTGAAATCATCCAGGATTGTTCGCACAGACGGCTTTTCACCACTATTGCCTGTTCCGCGCCGGGTGAGCAACCGCCGAATCAATCGCGGTAAGCCAAGAAAGATATCTCCGTTCGTCGGCTGGAGGGCAGCTCCAAGACCCAGCCCTCTAACCGTGAGATTCTTCCAGACAACGCCAACATGCCGCGTTTTTTCTTCCTCCGAATTTCCTTTCCGCTCGTGGCCGAACATCCGTGATATCAACCGTTGGATCTGCGCCCAGTCATCTCCTGCGCCCTCGTGACCGGAGGCATAGCTCCGTCGCTGGGATAATGTGCGAGCAAGTTCTTCATCGGTCAGTGATGGTCCCGATGCGACTCTTTTAGGCTCGTTTGATGGTGCGCTGCGAGTTCGGGCAAAGCTGCCTTCCTCGTCTGAGTCGGAAGAAATGCTGGAAGCTGCGGGAAGCTGGTCGGAACTGCTCGAAACATATCCATCCTCCCGAACAGCAGCGCGTGCATCATTGTCAACGTAATTACTTTGCTCCATGAAAGGTATTCGCGCGCAGTGATATTTCGGACGATGTGTGCCTTAGGTCATACAAGTGATACCGTAACTGAACAAAGAGACTCTAGCGACAAAGGACTGTGACAGCTAACTCGTTCAGGAAAAATATTGGTTAAGTACGAGAGATAATTCCAAGAAAGACGATAAACGAGTACGGATTACGTCAAGTATCCATGGATGCATATGCGGAATCGGTCTCAAATCGACCGACCACCTTTATGCAGTGCAAGTCGCGTGGTGATCGGATCAAAAACCAGCCGGCAAGCCAATGATCGGGATAAAAGCACTCCGACACCCAATCACAGACTATTGGGTCGCGTGTTCTTGCATTTGACATTGTTTGGTTTGGGGGACAATCGACATGATCCGCTGGATCGCGGACAGCTCGGGAGCGATCATGAAGTCATCGATCGGATACGGTCTCTACCCAGTCCGATGAACCTTATTGCTGTAGTAATGGATTAGGTGATTTGGTCGTGCTTTCTTTTCTGGGCTCGAAGGGATGTACTGTTGTATGTCACGGTCCATCTCATTAAGGCCTATTACTTAGCCGTAACAGCCTTGTGCCTAGTCCTTAAAGCCAGACCACAATGACTGCATATTCAGATTCGGAAATTGCTCATTTAATAAAGATCTACCCAGGAAAAATGCGTTTCTTATGGGCTCGCCGATTTTGAATGCAAGCTATAACCTCCAAAACAAAAACATCAAGCAGAGCTGTCCAAACATCTCTCCAAGTATCGCTTGTTATCAGTACCTGTTTTGTTGTTCATCTTTCTGGAAGCTATCGTGGCCTTGAAGAGTCACTGACCGCCGTGAATGTTTCATTTTCTTTGATATCCCTATGAAAACAAGAAAGCAGAGGGATATGAATACAAAGGCTTTTATCTGATTCCTGCAAATTATCGTCACCGTTGCCGCAAGGCTGGGTCTTCTATGCTGACATCCAAGCTCCGATGAATGCATCCCATAATAAACATGCCTCAATCGCAAGGGCCCATTCGGCAAACTTTCATGTATTTGAAAACTATTATTGTAGAAACTTTGGCGCCAGTATTCCTGATGATGTCGTGAAGTCATATTTTGTTACAATACTGGTTTCTCGGATCACCGTTCCTTCTCCCGAGAAAGGATAGACGCCATTGTTACAACATCATGTCTGGACACCAGCCGAAATACTACTTTCAGAAACATAAAATGGAAGAGGTTCCACCAGAATCACTGTGCCATTGACCACTTCTTGGACGTAGAAACGGTCCCCCAGAGTTACACCATACAATCCATTCAACTATACAACATCATTATCTGGGGAATTATTTTATCTCAAAATCCCACAATGAAAACACAGAGAGGACGCAAAATTGTGCGCAAGATCCTCGAGTTCTTTCACCTATCCTCCCCATCGAAGCCGTCGAGTCCTTGGAGCGAGTACGGCCCACCCCTTTGATGCAACAAACACAGCTCACCAAATGGTCTTTTAGTGCAAGGGCCCACGGTATGGAGAAATCATTCCTCTCGATCCATCTGTTAGATATTCCTCAGAGCAATAGGCTACTTCTGGAGGCAATTGACGATCTAGACAATCCTCCCGATTACTGCCCTAACACGATTGCATCAGCACCGCCTCTCTCGCGTGACGACCTGGAATCTCGTATCATCCAGCTCTGGAAGACCATTTGGCTAGGTCTGTACAAAGTGAAAGACACCGAAGGTCCCTCGCACTACGACTGGCTGCAAGCCCTGTCTCGGGGAGCGGGTTTCGGCAACTCGTATGGGGTGTTGGGATCTCTGAACCGCCATTTCCTGCAGTATAGCACCATCAACGGCATGGCCTCGTTGAAACTATTTGATAACACGTCAATGTCTACGCTCCGGTGTGTCGTTGATATCTTAGAAGCGTATGAGAGCGAGATCCCGAATCTCGAGCAGCTTTATTCGATCCTGCGTCGAGCGCAGATTGGCCTGCATCAGAAACTCGACGATAACGGCAGGGATGACTCTCAGAAGGCTATCTTCAAGAAGCGATATTTGGCCCTTGCTGAGCCGATGGGAAGAAGACTTACGCACTACGATAACCGTATGGATGTCTTGACTATCGACATGTATGAGGAGGCGGCGACGCTGCGGGGAGATGGTTTGAGAGATACGGGACAGCATGTATACTATAGGGCATTCCGTGCTGTTGGTGAGAGTGATCTTAGTTAAGTTTATTTTTCGTCGTTCTGATAGACATTTGGCTCTTATTGAACCCCTTTGACACGGTCTATTGAAATAGTATAGTTCACTTGAACATGACTCAAAATATATCAACCTAGTTGCAAGAAAAGCTGAATGGTTAAATGCGCCGAATCTGCTCATTGACTGTCCTCTGGAAAGAGAAGGTCTGCGTTGAAATTGATTGGCCAAATTCAACCACATCCCTGTACTTTCTTATAGATCGCGTGTGTTTCCTCCCTAGGTCAATGGTAAGATTTCTTTTTCAACCTGCTTACTGAATTCCGTATCTTTAGGGGCCAATGAAGAGTGATGCGCGCACCCTACCACATCTAACAAAAACACTGCCGACACTGGTCATAACATCATCTGATCCATCTCGTCCTCTCTCTGGCATTCTTTCGCTCCTGAAAACCCTAATAGGAAACTCCGTTCGCTAGGAAACTCGGGCCAAATTCAGTCACTGCCGCAGTACTAAATTTCTCACCGCCGCATCCGTTCAGCTTCTCTCATGGCTAGACCCCCTGGCGCGGACGCCGGGCCCAGTGAAGTCAGAGCTTATCTAGTCAATATCCTCGTCCACAGATACGACGCCTCCGCAGAATACGCACAATCCATCGCCGATCTGTGGCAGCTAGGCCGCGGAAGTCACCTGCATAATGCAGACATAAGATCGTTCAATCAGATTTTTGGGAAGCCAGTGGGTGGGTACCTTCATGAGACCGTTATCAACGATTTGTACGCTGAGTGGCGGACGTCCATCTCGGGAATCATCAACTTCTGGGCTATGATCATAGCCTGCGTTGCGGCCATCTTCTTCCTCATCCGAGCATGGTACTCTCACTCGGCCACGCAGACAAGGAAGAACGCGGCACTTGTATCATTGTTATGTGGTCCGATACTCATGATCGGTGCGAATCGCGAGCTGATGCGCTTCGACAGCGGTGTTTCCTTGGTTATCCCGTTGGCATTTACGTTCATATTTTTGGGCTTGTGTTTTGAGATAAACGAAAGGGTGGAGCAGGCCAACAAGGACAGGGAGAAGCACGAGTAGGATACTATGCTGAGTTTGTTGGTATATGTAAACGTCCGGAAAGTGTCTTTTCTAAAGGAATACAACAACTAGGGAACGCTACCACGCAGTCAATCTCAACAATTGAGACCCTTAAAACACACCGGGACAATATTCAAGTAGGTGCAATACTAGAATCACTGCGGAAAGTCATCGAGATACAATGAACGCTTCTAGCGTTAAAAGAATGCATGAATATCCGCATGTACACAACGAATCCATCATCAATCCATGGGTACAAGGTGGACTCTGGCGGCTCAGCTAGCACCGTAGAATTAGTTGTTGGAGTCCCACCGCCCCGAGCCGCTCTTAGTGCCTGGACACTCTAGAGGTTACTATATGTGGTTAGCGTAGATCATGACGTCAAAATGATGAGAGGTTCAACTTCGATTATTTCACCAGAAACAGGGCATTATTAAGAGAGGAGGAGCCTTGGAAACTTAACAGACGCTCTTTGAACATCTCATTTAAACTGCGATAACGCATTGAACAAGACATTCACACCTCCCGGTATAATACTTGTCATCAATTAGATATTCACCTCTCGAAAGAGTCTATTCTTCTCTCTCCAACAAATCAACCTCACATCCACCACAATGTGGAAGAGAATTATCCCCAGCAGCCAACAAGCCTGCGCTTTGACAAGAAATCAAGCATTGCCAGTCACAACCAAGGCACAACGTTCCCTAAGCACGACGACACCCCGTTACCAGAAAAACAAACCATCGTCCGCCACCGAAGACCGCGGCAGGTTGAGTCCCGAGCGCACGGAAGTGAGCAAGTCCGGAACGGACAGCGAGGTCGCCCAGCATCCGGCAGCGTACGATCCATCGAAAACCGCGCCGGAGACGGAGCTCAAGGCCACAGGGGAGGAACACGAGAGAGAAGGCAAGTCGGGGAACCCGCTGGACATGAGCCCGGCCAATCAAGATGTCAGTGCGTGGAGAGGGCAGACGGAGGGTGGAGCGGCGCATAATGCGGAAAAGTCTGGGCCGAGTTCTCGGGGCCAGCCGAGGAAGAATCGGAAGATTGAGGTGAAGGAGGACGGGACGCATGTTTCTCATAGATAGAGCAGAGGGAGGGATGAAACATTGAGGCATGTGTATTATCATATTGGGAATGGTAAGGGAATATTGAACTGCGAAGCATTTTCTTCAAAACTCTGGTGAAGCCAAACTTATCGACCGCACGCTTTCTCGAGTCGCTGAGAGGTTGCAGGGTGATGTGCATTGGGCACTGGAGAAAACCCGAACGAGGTAGTTAAGTTATAGACCAGACCAGACCGGACAAGACAAACAACAAATAACGAAAAGCAATAACAATGATTCAAGACGACTCCTTGCCCAACTTGATAATATCACTCCCACTCAGCACCCAGACCTTCTCACTGCCAGCAGGCACATCCCCCTCGAGCGCCTTGAGCCCAGCATTAACAGCGGCGCGCCCAATAACATCGGCCTCTTGCGCCCACGAATCCTTCAAAGAAGAATGCAACTTACCCGCCCAACCAGCAACACACCTAGCCGCGGCCTCGAGCGGCCGACTCTCTTCCCGAGTACCAGCAATCAATCCGGGGCGCAGGATAACCGTATGCTCAAAGCCCAGCGCCTTGACATCCTCCTCGATCTCGCCCTTCATCCGGGAGTATGGGATAGACGAGGTCTTGCTCGCACCGCTGGCGGAGATGAGCACGTACACCTTGGAGCCGGCCTCGTGCGCGGCCTTGGCCATTTCGACGTTCAGCCCGTGCTCGATCTTGTACTGGTTCTCGAAGCCGCCGGCCGCGCCGCGTGTCGTCGCGAAGGCCGAGATGAAGATGCCGGGAGTAGGTGTTAGCGCTGAGAGCTGGCTGGCCCAGGTGGAGGTCTCGTTCGTGACGATCGTGGTGAGTTTAGCCTGGGGGGCGTCCGCGGCGGCTTGCGGAGTGCGGCGGGAGATGGTGTCGATGCGGGCGACAGCGGGGTTGGCGATGAGGCTGTTTAGGATGTGGGCACCCTGTTGCATCCGTAAGTATCATCATAACAGGACTGAGGGGTGTTCTTTTCTTTGTTGTTGTGGTTGCGCAGATCAAGCGAGGGGTTGCTTGCTGGTCAGGGAGGGAGGGTATGAGGGTGTGCGATAGCTGAGACTGTTTGGACTTACCACCATCCCAGTGGCGCCGATCATTGCGACATTAGCCATGATGTTGTTGAGGACTTTGTTGTTGTGGTATAGTCGGGTGGTAGTGAGCTTGGCAGAGGTTGTGGTCGAGACAAGGATGATGCAGTATGGACCCACATGATGAGACGAACTCTAAACTAAGTGTTGGAACAACAATAATGTCCCAAGAAAACCACTCATCGTGTTGAATGAGTAGTTGATCAGCAGATAAGAGACTGAAAATAAGTGCATTACTAACTCAATAATAAAGCAAAACGAGGCGCTCCACCTGAGAAGTGCAGGTAACATGGTAAGATATATAATTGCAGATAAAGTGTGAACATAAGATATTGTATTTCTCTGCTGACTTGCGTACAATTGCCAGCTGTGTCAAGCCTCGGCAAGCATGGGTTTGGTCCTGTTCGGCGGAACAATAACAGCCCATCTCGCTGCGGCCCCACCGAACGGTCCGCGGTCACGATCCTTGCCGAGGACATGCGGCCCGAAAACCAGGGATCTAGAATAAACCCACAATGTTGACCTAGGGAAAGTATGTATGTGTAAAGCAGGGAATTTGATGGTCAGAGAGGATGGAATCTCTATTCTTCGTTTATTTGAAGGCTATATACGATACTTACACCGAAATTTCTCATCAATACATTCCAGGAGGGCATAATTGAATACCTCAAATCTTCGAGCTCTGGGTGAGCATCTTCTCCTGAGCTTGGTAGACTTTGACCAATTGGCGGACAGACAGGTCCAGCAAAACGTCTTCCGAACCACCAGGAATCCGTGCTCCAGGAACATCGCGCAGAATAGCTGTGTGGAATATTAGCAAAAAAGAAAAACCAAAACAATCAAAAACAACCTACCTTCAACGAGTTCACCCTGGCCCGTCTTCGTGAAACCATTGCCGCCAAACAGCAGCACAGCACACTGAGCACACTCATTCAGCACCATGGCGGACTTGGCCTTTGCCAGCGCCGTCAGGCCACCAAGCTGGCGATCACTCTCCTCCTTGGAGAGATGGCACAGCTGATACAGGATCTGCTCAACCCACGCCCACATCGTCTCCAGCTCCGCACCAGCCTTGGCCAGTCGGTGCCGAACAACAGGCTGGTCCATGAGGGTCTTGCTAAAGGCCTCGCGCTTGAGGCAGTATGCAAAAGCAGCGGACAGCGCCACGCGCGCCTGGCGAGTGACGCCGACGGAGATGACGAGACGCTCGTGGTTGAAGTTGGTCATGATGATGCGCATGCCGTCGCCCTCTTTGCCGACCAGGTTCTCGACGGGAACTTTGACGTCGTCCAGTTCGATGTATGTCGTGCCCCCGGAGACCTGCCCGGAGACTTTGAGTCGGCGCATATTGACGCCCGGCTGGTTCTTCAGAGGTACCACTAGCACCGAGAGGCCGGTGGGACCTTTCCCGCCAGTACGTACGGCCATGGTGGCATAGTCCGACCAGATGCCGTTGGTGATCCTGGTGAGAGTTAACATAGACCAGACTTTGATATTGAGGTTTCATACCATTTCTTAGTCCCATTGATAATGTAGTGTTTGCCATCGGCACTCTTAGTCGCGGTCGTGACGATGTTGGCCACATCACTGCCAGCCTCCGGCTCCGTGATAGCGATACAACCCCGCTTCTTGCCAGTCAGGAGATCGGGAAGGAAGCGTTCCTGTAGCTGGCGACTGCCAAACTTGACAATCGGCGGGATACCAAAGGCAAAGCCAGCATTCAACGAGCCACCGGGACCAGCGAGGCCGGACCGGGCCATCTATACAATCATATCTCAGCGCGGGCCACTAGCATCATCTCCAGGAAACCACCCACCTCGTCACAGTAGATGCCTGTGTAGATATAATCCCAATCCTCCACCTTGACACCCAGGATATCATTGATCCCCAACTTCTTGCACCACTCGACGGGCAAAGGCGCCGGCATGTTTGGCAGCAGCATGTTATGCTTGCAGAATGTGCCAAAGACGTGGTCAGGAACCGTCCCCTCGCGCTCCCACTCCAGCGCATGCTGGATTAGGTTCTCCCAAGCGAACTTGCGGCATGCTTGCTGGAATTGCCGGTGGGCGGGCGTGATGTACGGAGACGGCAGCCCGCGCAGGTAGGGGGGCTCGGAGAAGGGGATGGGATTGGGGGAGTTGGTAGCCATTGTTGCTAGAGGGTGTGTTGATGCAGAGGTATGGATTGTGTAGCTGTCATATTTATTGTGTACATCTGTGCTTCTCCGCATCACTTGACCGAGCCTCGGTCGGTCGCCTTGTGCTGCACGCGGGTGGAGTGGACGAGTGGACGCCTGAGGCAGGGATTTATGCAATTGAATGCCTGAGGCCTAGAATCAGGCACGAAGGCGTGATTACTGCCTCAGGCACCAACACGCTTATCGATAAGAAATTGCGTGATTGCGTGATTCGCACTAGCCGGATCAGGCAAGCCTCGCCATTTTTCTTCTATACCGGCCGAAGAGAATGCGGGCTCCCCTCTTTCCCTCTCCACATTCTCTCTGTTTGTCTGTTTTTCTTGCTGCGATCGATACTGAAAATTCCAGTGTCGAGTCAAGAAACAGTCACAATGGCCGCTCCTACCACTCCGGCCCTGTCGGCCTTGTCTGGCCCGACGTATACCACAGCCCAGACGCTGATCCAGCAGGTGGCGTACCTGCTGAGCGACAAGATCTTCTCCTACTCACCCGAAACATTCGACTTGGATGCCGCCCTCCGTGAATGGTCCTCGGGCCGTGAAACCAATGCCAATGGCGAGTCTCCCGTCGTCAAGGCCATGGAGACCCGCCAGGGCGCCGGCAACATCGCCCTCGGCTACCTCTTCTCGCAGGACTTTGATCTGAAGAAGCGCCATGTGCCGCAGGGCATCGTTGCCTCCTCCGCTACCCTTCCATACATGCGCGCGGCGCTGGAACAACTCTCCCTGCTCTATTCAGTCGCCAGCCCCGTCGCTGCCCACGTCGCCGCCGTCGACTATGCCGGCGAGGAGGGTTTGGTCTCAGACTATGCTTCTGCCCTCTCGCTTGCCGAGGACCTCGGACTGGGTCTAGTCTCTAGCGGCTCGGCTCATGAGTCTCAACACATGGCTTTGTTCACGACGCTCCTTGCCTCTGTCCTCCCTTCGATTCATATCTACGACGGTGTCCGCGTTGGCCGCGAGACTACCCGGGTCATCGACGTTCTCGATCAGGATGGGCTGAACCGTACTTACGAGGCTGTCCGCAAAACTCTGGACAACTCTCGTAACCGTCACCTTGATGCCCAGGGCAAGGTTTTGGACTTGCTCAAGACCCTGAATGGCGAACTTGGAACCGACTATGGTGCCTTCGAGTACCACGGTCACTCGGAGCCTGTCTCTGTCCTGGTGGCCTTTGGCACTGTCGAGGCTGCCCTTACAGCTCAGGTCGCCCGGTCATTGGCCAAGGACGGTGTCCGTGTTGGAGTCGTCAATGTCCGTGTCTATCGCCCTTTTGTCGAGGAGGAGTTCCTGCGTGTTCTTCCCCAGTCCACCAAGACCGTTGGCATTCTTGGTCAAGTCGTCAACGAGGATGCTGTCCAGGAGGAGGGAACCCACTCTGCCCTTTACGAGGATGTGCTTGCCGCTCTGACCTTTGCCACCGGCCGTGAGCATGCTCCGGCCTGCGTCGAAATCAAGTATGCTCGCTCCCAGCGTTGGGACCTGATCACAGCTGCTGCTGCCTTCCAGCGTATCTTGGACACGCCTATCCTGCCGGTCAACACTGAGACCAACCAGACTGCGGCTCTGGAGTTGCTGGACCCCGCTACCGTCCAGGAATACACTTTCTGGGATGTCGACAGCTCTGTCTCCGAGGATGCCACTCGCACTCTGAGCCAGGCTCTTGCCGCTGACTCGGCGAGCAACGTCACCGCCAGCAAGACCCACGACAACCTGGTCCAGGGCGGTGCTGTCCGCATCGACATCCGCAAGAGTGCCAAGATTCTGGATGCTCCTTATGCCGTGACAGCTGCGGATGTTTCTTACGTTGGAGACATCAAGCTGCTCAAGGACGTTGATGTGCTCGCTTCTGTCAAGGACAACTCCAAGGTCATTGTCAGTGCCCCGGGTATCAAGGATGAAGATTTGGAGAAGAAGCTGCCGGCCGCCTTCAAGCAAACCGTGGCTTACCGCGGCATCTCGCTCTTTGTTGTCGACCCTTCGGTTACCGAAGATCCCTCCCTCGACGCCCTTGTGTTGCAGGCCACGTTCTTCCGTGTTGCTCTGCCTTCTCAAGAGAATGTGGGAACCAAGAAGCTGTCTTCGATTGTCGGCAATGCCGAGGCCCTCGAGAAGGTGACCAAGGATCTTGACACGATGCTGCGCCAGATCGAGATCCCTGAATCCTGGAAGGAGCCCGAGGAGGCCGATGAGCCCCTTCAGCTCCCGAAGGACCTCTCGATCAACAGCTTCGTGCCCTTCGACAAAGCCGAGACCGAACCGTCGACCCTTCTCAAGGACTGGCAGACTGCTGCTCGTGGTCTGGCGTTCAAGGAGGCTTTCGGCACCAAGACCGCTCTCCGTCCTGACCTGGCCACCAAGACCTTTACTGTGCACGTTAAGGAGAACCGTCGCCTCACGCCCACCACCTATGATCGCAACATCTTCCACATCGAATTCGACCTTGGCGACTCTGGCCTCACTTATGACATCGGTGAGGCCCTGGGTGTCCATGCCGAGAACGATCCCAAGGATATCATGGACTTCATCGCGTTCTACGGGCTAGACCCTGACGCCATCGTTGAAGTCCCAAGTCGCGAGGATCCCGCCGTGCTGGAGAACCGGACGGTGTACCAGGCACTGGTCCAAAACGTCGATATCTTCGGCCGCCCACCCAAGCGATTTTACGAGGCCCTCTCCGAGTTCGCCACAGACGAGAAAGAGAAGACCGACCTCCGCACCCTGGGCGGTCCCGACGGCGCCGTGGAGTTCAAGCGCCGCGCCGAGGTCGACACTGTGACCTTTGCCGACATCCTACTGGAGTACCCGTCCGCGCACCCAGAATTCCACGACATCGTCCGCATCATCGGCCCGCTCAAGCGCCGCGAGTACTCGATCGCCTCGTGCCAAAAGGTAACTCCGACGACCGTGGCGCTGATGATCGTCGTTGTGAACTGGGTCGACCCCAACGGCCGCGACCGCTTCGGCATGGCCACCCGCTACCTAAGCCGACTGCAAGTTGGCGCCCCTGTCACGGTCAGCGTCAAGTCGAGCGTGATGAAGCTGCCTCCGAAGTCGACGCAGCCGCTGATCATGGCTGGTCTGGGCACAGGCCTGGCGCCGTTCCGCGCATTCGTGCAGCACCGCGCCCTCGAGAAGGCCCAGGGCAAGGAGATCGGCGCTGTTCTCCTGTACATGGGCTCGCGCCACCAGCGCGAGGAGTACTGTTACGGGGAGGAGTGGGAGGCCTACCAGGAGGCCGGTGTGATCACTCTTCTCGGCCGCGCCTTCTCGCGCGACCAGCCCGAGAAGATCTATATCCAGGACCGCATGCGCCAGACCCTGCCGGAGATTATCCAGGCTTATATGCGCGAAGAGGGCGCTTTCTACCTCTGTGGTCCCACCTGGCCCGTTCCTGATGTCACGGCCGTGCTGGAGGAGGCTATTGCCACCGAAGCGAAGAATAATGGCAAGAAGGTCGAGACCCGCAAGGAGATCGAGAAGCTGAAGGACGAGGAGCGCTATGTTCTGGAGGTTTACTAGATGTTTGGGATGTGGTTTTTTTTTTTTTCTTTTGTTTTGTTTTTCTCTCACGATCCGACGACGTTCGCATTTGCACCCCCTCTAGATCGTCCTGCTCTGGTCTAGCGCAGCCCATGCTTTATAGACACACTTGGGTAATATTGCATTTCTGAATGACACTCAATTTATATTGCCGCTACTTTATGAAGGCGCTCAGGTTCGAGTATGTTGATTACTCTACGTAAAGGGCGAGGGGGTCAGCCATAAAACACAAAGACATAGCTTAAATGTTCATCTTTCCTCTCAGATAAATTTCGGCGTTTTGCTGTTGATAACTACAGGAATGCTCATTTGGTTACTCGACTAGGTACTTTTGTTCTATAATCTCTATTAAGGGCTCTCGCGACGCTCATGATTGGTCTCCTTTAGTCTCCTTAGCGCCAGCGTGAATGCTAGCTACATCGCAACGTCAGCTGGGGTATCTGCCCCTCCTTTTCCAGTCTATCCAGAATACCTTCACATTCCAACTCCATGGTAACTACAGGTTAATATACATTCAAGAATACTCGATGCTGTTCTTTCACTGCGAAGATGGAAATAGTGTCATCAGCAGCGAGCGTGGTTGCGGTGATCCAGCTGGCAGGGAGTGTTGTGAAGAGTTGTGGGGGCTACATCAAGCAGGTGAAAGATGCCCCGAAAGAGATTAAGTCCTTGCAAGAAGAGCTTGACGATCTCTTGAAGCTGAGGGAGGAACTGTCCAAGCTTCTTGAGAACACTCAGGATACAACGTTGTCTACCCCCGAGAGAGTACGTAACAGGCTTCTCAAATGCTACAAAGTCCTGGAGACTTTAAAAGACAAGATAGATCCTGGAAACAGCAAGAAAGCCATGAGCAGAATGGGTTTGCGAGCCTTGAAGTGGCCCTTGAAATCTGCTGAAGCGAAGAGAGCAATAAAGGACATAGAACGATGCAAATTGTCATTGAATTCGGCCTTGCTGATTGGTCAAACGTGGGTTTTTCTTTCTTTGCTTGCAACAGCAACTAAATTTATTGACATCGACTCAGCACTCATCTCGCTGATATCGCACGAGCTACTGCTCGTAATAATCGAAATGAGGACTTGGAGAGGTTGCCACTTGTTGTCGAGGCTGTGCTTGATTCATGCATGGATCAGCATGAAGACAAATGCCTGTCGGGGACCAGAACTGAATTACTTCTCCAGATTACCGATTGGGCGAAGTCAACAGCTCCAAAAGACAAATGTATCTTTTGGCTGAAGGGCATGGCGGGTACGGGGAAGTCGACAATATCTCGCACTGTGGCTGAATCCTTCAGAAAAGACAACTCTCTTGGAGCGAGCTTCTTCTTTAAGAGAGGCGAAGGAGATCGAGGAAATACAGCGAAGCTTTTTCCAACGCTTGTACGACAGCTAGTGATCCGTCTTCCTCATTTAGTTCCCAGCGTCCAGAAGGCAATCCAGATTGACCCCAGCATTGCGACGAAGTCATTGAGAGAACAATTTGGCAAGCTCCTTCTTGAGCCTTTCAGAAGCCTAGGGCCGTCTGATACCCAGAACATAGTGATAGTAATTGACGCCCTGGATGAATGTGAGCACGACGATGATATTAGGGTGATACTGCAATTACTGCCGCACTTACAAGAGGCGAACGGCATACGCCTACGGATATTCCTGACAACCAGGCTTGACCCTCTAACCAACTGTATATTTTCAAAGATGCCGAGTCATAGTTACCAGGATTTGGCTCTCCATGAGATTCCCGAAGAAGTGACAAAGGATGATATCGCTCTCTTCTTGAACAGTCGACTTTTACAAATCAGGGTTGAGAGATCATTGCCTATCGACTGGCCTGGGGATACAAATATTCAAACTCTGATTGCGATGTCAGTCCCGCTGTTTATCTTCGCCGCCACCATATGCCGTATGTTTCAAGATCGACAATTGGACCCCGTGGATACTCTGAAGGAGATCCTCGAGCATCGTAGTGAGGGATCCCAACTTAACGGGACCTATCTTCCCGTGCTGAACCGAGTGCTCAAAAACCAAAGTGAAAAGCGGAAACAGCAAATAATCCAAGAATTCCAAGAGATCGTGGGTACGATAGTGATGCTTGAGACTCCGCTCTCAATCATATCACTTGCGAAGCTCATTGGTGTCTCTGAAAGGGCAATCGATCTAAGACTGGATTCATTCCACTCGGTCATCAGCATTCCTCAAGATAGGACAATGCCTGTGAGACTTTTCCATCTATCTTTTCGAGATTTTCTACTGGACCCGGAAACACGCAAGCATACTCCTTTATGGGTGAACGAGAAAGCGGTGCATCAAAATTTGGCAACACGGTGTCTTTCTGTATGTCAGAACCTGAGACGAAACATCTGCGAACTGCCAAGTGATGCAACCCTACATGCGGATATTGAACCGCAGAGGATCCATGACCATATTCCCCCAGAACTACAATACGCTTGTCGCTTTTGGGCATACCATCTTGCAAAGAGTGAAGATCCGGCTCTTGTTAATATCTTTTCATTTCTGGAGAATAACTTTTTGCATTGGTTAGAAGCCATGGGCATTCTAGGTCTTGGGGCGGAAGTTGTGCAGATCATCAACTTATTGCAGTCAACCATACAGGTATGTTGTTCCCATAAAATGATATGTATACTGTTGGTAATAAGTATAGGGCGAGAAGGAGCACAACGTATCTGAATTCTTGCGCGACGCAAATCAATTCGTTCTTAAGAATAATCATATTTTGAACATCGCGCCGCTGCAGGTTTACTGGTCTGGGCTTTTGTTCGCTCCAAGGAAGTCAACGATTCGGCACACATTCAGAAAAGAGATACCTGCTTCGGTATCAATCTTTCCAGATGTTGATGAAACCTGGAGGGTGGGCGTACAGACTCTCGAAGGTCATTCGGACGCTGTTGCGTGTGTGGCATTCTCTCCCGACAACAAACTGTTAGCATCTGCCTCGTCAGAGAAGACAATTCGGCTGTGGAATGCCACTACAGGTGCATTACTGAACATTCTTGAGGGCCACCAAGACCATGTCCGCGTACTGGCATTCTCTACCACTGGCCGAGTACTAGCATCTGGAGCTCATGATAATACAGCGAGGTTGTGGGATCCTACCAGCGGCAAGGTTCTACATATTCTTGAGCACTCAAAATGGGTAAGCTACGTGGCCTTCTCTCCCGACGATCATCTTCTAGCGTCTGCCTCGATAGACGGGAAGATTCGACTGTGGGAGAGTGTTACAGGCAAGCTCATCGAAACCATCAAAACCAATTCAGATCGGATCGATGCAATAACCTTCTCTCCTGATTGTAAAATCTTATCATCTCACTGGCTGACTTTAAAAGTTTGGGATCCTGCTACATGCGCTCTTGAGGCAACCATCAATAATGGCAGTTCAGTGATCCCTTTCATGTCCGTTTCTCCAGATGGCCGACGCCTGGCATTTTGCTTGAGCAACAATACAATTGGCATCTGGGACTCTATGACACGAGCGCCAATACAAACGATTGAAGCAAATCCAGAAGATATCAGTTGTCTGGCATTCTCGCCTGATAGTCAGCTCCTGGCTTTTGCATCATCGAGCTCGAAGGTTCAACTATGGGATCTCACCACGGACACGTTACGGCAGACTTTCGATGGGCATCCATTGGGAATTACTTCGGTGGCCTTTTCTCTTGATGGCCGAATGCTCGCCTCTAGCTCTGCTGATGGCACGGTCCGACTTTGGGATCTTGCTACATGCCTTTCGCAGCCAACCCACAAGGGTCATTCAGGAGAAGTTCTCTCGATAGAGTTCTCACCTAAGGGCAACATTCTAGCGTCCTGCTCCAGGGACAGCAAGATTATGATTTGGGACACCAATACAGGCATACTCAAGTGGACTCTCAAAGGTCATTCGCATGCTGTTCAGTCAGTTGCATTCTCCTCGGATGGTCAATTACTGGCATCTGGCTCGGATGATGAGACCGTCCGACTCTGGGACACTATCACGGGCAATCTTAAGATGACTCTGGAAGGCCACTTAGATGGAGTCACAAAAGAGATTTTCCCGACAGTAGGTCAACTGGCATCTGGGTCAGTGGACAAGACAAGCAGGATTTGGGATCTCGCCGCAGAGTTGCCGCGGCAGAAGACATTTGAAGGCCATTTGAAGACCCGATCTTCGAGTGATAATCCAGCATTAGCATCATCTCCATCCAACGTTAAGATACTTGTGCAAGAGGATCAGTGGCTATTTTACCAAGGCCAAAGAGCTCTCTGGATACCGGCTGATTATCGACCTGGGTGCCAGGCAGGGAAAGACGATATGATAGCTCTGGGGCACACGTCAGGGCGGGTTATCTGGATACGATTTTCGGCGCAGTAGTCAATTCATCAAATTTATTCTTCCTCTCAACAGTAAATGATCCCTCAACATGGCCATCCAGACTAACTCCAGCCCAGCCATGACGAGCGGAAAAATACTCTTTCTCGCTCTGGCCGTACTACATACAAATCTCTCTAGCCCATACAAACCCAACATGTCGACAAACGTGACAATGGCCAAATCATACACAGCCCCTATTCGAGATATGATGCACAGAGGAATCCTGCTCTAGTGGATGCTTTTAACTCCATAGACATGCCCAAAGAGTGCATGCGGAATCGGGGATGAAGGGCCTCGGAGTCCGGCTAGTACTGTGGCGGGATTGGAAACAGAGCAGACTATGGTGTGAATGAGAGCTGAAATGGTCGTCTGGACGGTATATTAGAGATTTTGGCTAGAGCCTATACTCTCACTGTGAAGATGGATAGGCATGGCTAGTAGCCCTTCGCATGTTTTTTTGTGAGGCGGACCAGGAGAGGTGGCTTCGGAAGGGATTTATATTAATCAGAGTTGACATCTTCTATGCAATTACCGCACGGGACCAATACGCGCGTGGTTCGACGATACAAAATACATAATCAGACACCAGAGTCAAAAGGTCCGTTGACCCCCGTATACTGCACCCCGTACGGATTCCGTCGCGCATACTGGTCCCACGCGCGACACGTCCGCTCTAATACCTCTCTATCCAGAAACTGTTGAAGCTCCGCCCGTCGCTCTACTATCTGCTGTGCGAACCCCTCGGTTGCATGGAAACCCACGTGGCAATGCATTAGCCATACCCCCGGGTTATCCGCCGGAAATGCGAGCACCAGATACCCCCCACCTTCGTCCTTGGAGGGCAGCATGGCCGTATCCCTGCGCGGAGGATTCTTGGTCTGCAGCGTAACGTTGTGCGGGTCATAAGTTCCCAGGCCCTGAGCGAGGACGAAGAAGTCGTGTCCTATACATGGTTAATACCATTGTCCAAGTGGTTGTCAAAGGAGCCATACCGTGGAGATGAATGGGATGCGGTGCCTGGATGTACGTCTGGATGATGAAGACCACCATTTCATTGGCTTTCTCCACCTCCACCACCCCCTGTCCTGGCGTCCAGTTGATCTTCCCCGTTTTGGTCGTTTGCCGTAGCGTCGGATCCTGCCAGGAGACATTGAAGGCACTCCCACCGAGCGTCCACAGATACAGGCTCGGATCCCCGACAGCGTCGACGGCCGCAGGCGAGTTAACCAGCTTAGAGTTCTTGTTGATATCGGCATCAAGAGGGAGGTGCGGAACGAGCTTTGACATGACAAAATCCTCGCATTGCACATCATCACCGTAGTCCCATTTGAACGATACAGGATCTGTGTGTGGCGCACCGGCATACCGGACCACTCCTTTGATATTGTCTCCGCTGGTGTTATTGCTGCAGAACGTCTGCGGCACGGCACGCATCCAGTAGTTATCCCGGGGCTGGTCCGCAGTCAGGATGACATCGTAGCGTTGACCCATGCCGATGGGCACGACAGGGGTTGTGAACGGAACGAGCGGGACAAAGTCGTTGGCGATAACTGTGAGATCATGCCCGTCGATGGAGAACTTGAAGTGCGTGTGCATGGCCGTGTTGATGAGCCGGATGCGATATTTCTTGCCTGGTTTGAGGAGCGTTTCGAAGCGACGGCCCACCGTGGTCCCGTCCGGTTGCACCCACACATTCATCCCATTCAGCAAGCCGCCCTCCATCTGTGGCGTACCGTACGTCTCCAGCTGTCTCTGATACATCTCGTCGATGGTCTGGTGGGCCCAGTCACTCAGAAAGACAACACCAAGATCCACGTCATACTCCGCCGTGGCGGGTCCGTGGATCACAATAGGCCCGTAGACGCCCTCCCATGCCTGCAGCGAGAAGTGCGAGTGGTACCAACTGGACCCGTACTGCTCTGCACGCCAAACATAAGTGTAGCTCTTCCCGGGAGCAATGGGGCACTGCGTCAGAGAGGCCACCCCGTCCATCTGGTTAGTGCGCAGCTGTCGCACCCCGTGGAAATGCAACGCAGTCCCATTATCACTCATCCGGTTGGTGACATGCACCTTGACTGTGTCGCCCCAGTTAGCCTCGATGGCTGGGCCGGGGAACTGGCCGTTGACGAGAAGCACGGGACGTTCGACCCCGTCCGGTGCAGCAGTCGTGTTGACAATTTCGAACCAGTACTCACGGACCACGTTGGTATCCGGTATGGAGTCATAGTAGTTTGTGTCGATGGTAAAGGGGTGCCATGGTGCTGGGTGGTTCCGGGGATGGGCCGGGCCGCCCAGAACAAGTAATGGACCCAGGAAGCACAGGAGGATCTTCATCTGCGGGATCGTGTGCATTGTAGATCGCATGCAGGGGGATAATTTTGTACTACAATGCTCTGTTCACATCATGGGCTAGATTTAAGTAGTCGACCACAACGGCCGCTAGAGTCGAGCTGGAGGCCCAGAGTCATCCCCCGAGTCATCTAAGCCTTCTCTAAACCTTCCCGAGTCGTTGGTTTTCTCGCTTCAGCTGAGCTAACCTGTTCGATACGAGCAAACACCGCCATCGCTCACAGTGTTATTGTCTGTAAGATGATAGGTTGCAATATTCCAGGGGTCGGTACAATGGAGTCAGGCTATATCAGCACTAGCCAGCAGCTGCACTGGGTGCGTCAGCCCCGTACTAGAACAATATACCTGACTACAATTTCAGGGCGACGCTGAAAGTGCTTTGCCAAGGTAACTTGGTTGATCTAAACATCTAGGCGGCTATCATCTCCCAGGAGCGCAAGAATTATCACATATAAGACTAGCGCCTTCCGTGATGCATGTTGTGGTGGGCTTTTCATATTAAATAAGGTGCTAATAAGCGACCCATGTCTAGTCCTCTTCCATTTTTGTTATTGTGTGAGCTTCATCTCGATAATAATAGCTTCGTTTAATTCGGCCCCCTAAACAAATCAAGGGACGGATCCACCGGTTGCAACGTCAACAAGGATCAACAAGAGTTAGCGAGCGTGACCTAACTAGATTGGGCATGTTCTCGGGACGGTCTGCAGGAATAAGCCTCAGCCGCCTTTTATGCATGAAGGGAATGGGTCAAGTTTCCGCTCCTACACACGCAGGGCCTAAAGTTCAGCCAACAACGAGGCGGAATCGAGGACACCTCAGTGGTGGTTGGGAGAATCGGCCACGGCAGGACTAATTTAGGGCGAAAGCTTCTTGAAGGAGCGGTTTTTGTCTTTATTAAACCATATTAAACCAATTCAGATTAGGTACGTTAGTGGATGCTCTCCCGTATTTATCCGAGATCGTACGTACTCAGGGAAGTGCTCCCAACCTATCGCCACGCACCGTGATTTTTGATGAGACAGGCCAGTCAAAGCACTCCTCTATGGCAATTGCGCAATTCTCAATTTCAAGGTTACCGAGGAATGGCCTGAAGGCTGAACCTTTTCCCCGATGCGGAAATACGAACCTTCACCCTGGTAGTTGGGCCCACCGCCAGCAAGATCCAACTAGATCAACACTAGTAACGGGATTTTGCAGGGGAACGGCGTGCTTTCATCGGAGGTCTATTGGTTGATACGAGCTAAACATCTGCCAGCAGCGTGGAGTGGCGATGGTTCCATACGCAGTTGGCTGAGTGCTGCTAACTTTCGCTGGTTGCCACGTCTCTCGTATTCCCTGCAGGCCGCAACGTGCGGCGCCATTTGTTTCCGCTTGGCAGATGGCATGTGTGAAGACGACAGATCTGCATGTATGCAGACTCTCTGTGAGGAATCATAAAGACGGTGTTTGTTCCTATTCTTGGACTCTGCAGATCAACGGATCAACGGTCATATCCACTGCAGTACTGCACATCCTAAAATGTTGACCATGGCACGACCTCGCCAGAGCTGGACAACAGAAGAAGACATGATCCTGCGGCAAGCAGTGGAAAAAGGTGCTCCTGACAGGTCCTAATATACGAGCTGGGCTGACGGTAAAATGCAGCACAGACACACGGCGCCGTGAGCTGGCACGAGATTGCGTCCTTCCTCCCCGGGCGAACGAACAAAGACTGCCGCAAGCGGTGGCACGGCACCACAGACACAAAAGTCAACAAGGGACCCTGGACCAAAGCGGAGGACGAGCGGCTGCGTAAAGCTGTCCAACATCACGGGACTAAATGGGCCGTCGTAGCTTCAGTCGTGGGTACCAGACTGCCGGATCAGTGCTCCAAGCGATGGATGCACGCACTCAATCCGGAGATCGATCATAGCCAGTGGACACCCGAAGAGGTAAGGTTCTATGGTGTTCTTCTCTCTCGGAAAACATATTCGTTCTAATGCATAGCTGGTAGGATAATCTCCTCATTCTTGGGGTGGAACAATACGGGCGCTGCTGGCAGCAAATTGTGTCCCTATACTTTCCTCGGAGAAGCAGCCTTTCAGCGAAGAACCGGTATCATCTGCTCCAGCGCCGATTGCAAAGTGGACCGACCGGAGCGGCGGTAAGCGCGGGCGATTCAGGTGAAATGATAGAGCTGGACAGTGGGATGGAAATGTCGCCTCCGTGGGAGTCTCCGACCGCTGATGGAGGAGTCATAGACACTTTGCCTTCAATCTCCCCGTTTCCCTCCTGTGATCTCTCCGGTGATCTTGTTTCCGAGTCCCTAGCATTCCCTTTTCCGTCATCCGTCGCCGAGGAATACAACCTCAACACGAATTCGTACCATTCTTCGACGCTCCTTACGCCGCCAGTGTCAGACATGTCACGAAGCCAATCGCGACCTAATTCCTCTCATCGCAGAGTGACGATCCAGGCAGTGTGCTCTGTTGATAATCTGGGGGACATGTTCCAAGCTGTCACGGATCTTTCTATTGCTGCTGTATTTAAGACGGATACATAGATATTGTTAGAAGATATATATCCAGACATTTGTTTTTTATCTATGTAGTTAGTTGATATTTATATCTGGTCACTTCTTCCGCTCCATCATATACCACCTGCCAAATACTCTACATATCTATTTGTCCACGTTGAAATCCCACCCGCGCATTCGACTGAAACAGGATCTTCATTACCGTCATGATCGTGTCTGGCTCGGCTCCGTCCACTGTGATGGTAATTCGAGAGCTCTCATCTTCCGACAACTCTGCGGACGAACGAGAACCAGGAACAAACGTAGTATTCTGGATGCGCAACGGAGAAGATTCTCTTTCTCTTTGATAGTCATCAAGTAGCTGATCAGCCTCGGCTGTCCAAGGGGGCAGTTCCAATTTCAAGTCCGTACTCAGTTCGGGATTTGGATTGATGAACGTATTATCACGCTCTGGAAGATTCACGATGGGACCCTGATCATCAAGCTGGCTCAAGCCCGTCGCGTCCATGTTCCAGCTCCAGGGCTCTTCACCGAGAGCGTCCCTCAACGGCGCGTCAATTTGTATGTCGGGCGTCAAGAGTGAATTATCATCTTTTGGCTCTTCAACTGGCAACAAACGTAGAAAGTGGTCGAACGAGACATCCGTCGGGGTTGAGGCTTCCATATTCTGAGACATGGAGGAACTAGCTGGTGAGGGTGCGCTTGTCGAGGAAATACTAGTATCACCGGCTCGTCGACTCAAAATGGTGAATCTAGGAGAGTTATAGATCGTACTTCAATATGTCCTTTGTCATCTTACTGGTTCTTGATATTGTTTGCTGAACGGGTAGGAAAGTAGCCTCGTTGTATGTCTTTCCAGCTGGTCCCGTGGACATTGACTGCGGATAGAAGCAATTGATTCTTCTCGATCAGCAGAAGCCGTGTATCAATGATAAGAAACCTACCTCGGCGTCAGCCCATGGCCTGCGCTCCAACTCTGGATTGAGGCTGTGATGCCACCGCTTCGAGCATTCTGTATCAGTGCCATTAGCTCTATCACCACATATTCCACAAAAACTAACATACGATCCGCATTTCTCGTCTCCATCCGCTGACCAATAAACGCCCAATTGTACCGGTACTTTCGTACTAGCACCTTGAGCCGGTTGTCTTCTTCGGGGGTCCATGGGCCCTGCGCCACCAGTAAGTGCCAACTCAGCTGCGGTATAGCATTGCGCTCGATTATAGGATACCTTTCTTACACAGCCTGCAAACTGGTTGTGAAATCGTTTCCGACAGTCCTTGTTGCTGCGGCCCGGAATTTTCATGGCAATGGCGTTCCAGTCGATACGTCGAGATCGCCCGGTGGGGGCTGTCAGCCTTAGCGTGATTCTTGCATTCGGTCCATACCAGCCGAAGAGAAGCCATACATCGTTCTTGTAATTCCATCTCTTGACGGAGGAGCGCATCTTCAGCAGGCGTCCAACGGCGTCGTTCCGCGACCATTGTTGTTAGTTACACGAGATGTGCAGTCGAGATTCAATTGCAATGGTTGATGAAGAGCGATTTTGAGAATGTCGTCAAACTTTATTAGGCAACGGCTCGCTTCGAAGTAACTTTAGTCTAAAGATCAGGGTCCCAGGTAACGCCGCGGTTCCTCCGTGTTAAGCTGAGGATAAGTTAAAAGGAGTGTAGTGGAGTTCGTCTGCCAAACACCGAGTGAAGATTGCAGGGGTCAGGTTAGCGCTTACATAGTGGGAGTAATTTAACGATACGAGCTGACATCGGGTCAACGACATGGAAAGCTATGCAAGCCAAAAAATTTATTTGCGTTGGGTTTGGATTCTCAGCGGAGAGCGAGGTATATAAAGGTAGACACGCCTTCATTGAACTATATGCTTCGCGGTGAATGGCACAGAAATCGAGTAGCATCTGCAGCATCCCTAACCCCTGTCAATATGAAACTTTCCACCATCACATGCGCCATTCTTGCAGCAGGAACGGCGGCAACGGCCAGACCGGCTTCTCTCCCTCCATGCAGCATGGTTGATCGTCCCTGCAAATGTCCTGCGGGCACCACCTTCAAAAACCTTACATCCTATGGCGTGATTGGCGCTCCCGCCCACGATGTGCAGGATATCATGGGCTGGTGTTAGTATCTTCGCCCGTCTGTTTATTCTCGGTTAACAGTTCTAGTCTTCAACATCCAGTTCCAGGGTGGTCTAGTCCCTTCCAGCACGAAGGGTAAAGACCGAGTTCCCGGTGCTGTTCGGACTTTCAATTTCTCGGGACCAGCGGGCTATTACCAGATCAGCGAGGAGGTTTGCCTCCCATTCAAAAATTGAACCGTCAGGTAACGCTAACGCTTGCAAGCTTACGCAATGGAGGACCTGGCCAGATGGGTCGTTTGACCAACAGTACCAGCAGAGCCCGAGTACGTATCTGAGCCCAGAGTGTTTCATGGTTTACTCTAATACTCCGATAGAGCCTCCTGTGGTTCAAGTGCCCGGTGCTGGGGCCTATCACGGCGGTTGGACGAGTATCATCGGCCAGCAGACAGTCGTTCGCAACGAGACAGCGATCGCGTGGAAGAATTGGCGCTGCGAGACCGGAGAGACATTTCGTAAGTGCATCCAGAGGTTTCTTTGAATGTTAGTGAAGAAACTTATCATGTCGGTAGCGTCGGCCCCTTCGCACGAGGGGGGAATTACCAATACATCAGCAGTTCTCGAGAACCAGGGAAAGCTCACGGGCGTGAGTATTGATTCTTTCACCATTTTTTATGAGGTTAGAGACGATTAAAATGGATGTCTATGGGGGCGATTGTGATAGGTTCCTGAAGGGGGTTATATTGGTAGCTAGAGTGGTGTATCAATCGAAGATGTATATTGAGTGTTAAGCACAAGTTTATCTCATCGGATCTGTGTCTAATACTAGACAAGCATGCTTTAATCCATATTATATACATATCCTACAGTTGGTTGCATATATATGTTCAAAATAGATTTGTAACAACTTATATTTGCCTGGACGCCATTGATCACCGGAAAGAAGTACCCTGTAAAGCACTATAGTCCCAGTCTCTACTGACAACAAAGAATTTATGTACTGGAAGATCTTAGAATAAATTGTAAGCGAAAATCTCAGGCAGGAAGGAGCAGGAATTGGATAACGGAAAGAGCCCAATAACGATCACCAAGCTGCCCACAACCGAGCCAACAGACCCTCCTTCTTCATGGCTTCAACCTTCTCACTCTCCAACAAAAACGACGTAAAATACTTATCCAGCTTTTCCGTCTCCTCTGGCCAGACACTCATCCCCACCGCCAGATCAGGGCGCACCACCACCACCGCTCCTCGTGCATGATTTACACCATACCAGTAATGCGCATCCTCATCCGGTGTGCGGTCGTCATAGACAACCGTCGCATGCTCCTTGAGAGGTGCTAGGCCGCCCTCCAGTAGCTCTGCTGTCTGATACGGGAGGCTCTTCGTCACAACGACGAGATTAAACATCTCGCCACTCCCAAATCGTTGATAAAACCCTCTCCTCCGGCAAATGTCCCTTGCCAAAACGGCTAACCGCTCCCTCACTGGACCCTGCAGGTCTGACCCAAACACCAGCAGATGGAACCGCGCCACTCCTGTCAACTTGTCGTACAGATACGCGGTGTAATTTGTCTCGAGGCAGACGCGAGGATTTGGCGCACGGACTCCATTCCGTAGAGACGAGGGCCGTACATCGTCATTAGAGGGACAAATCGTCGAAGTCGGAATGGGCCACTCCACGCCAAGCAGGAACATTGCATGTCGTTTGAAGAAGGTATAAAGAAAGTCACGATCCGCCTCAGTACTTCCATCCAGCAATGGGAGGTGCTCATCGTGTGACTCGAGATGAGCGCCTAGATCTCGCAGGGCGGCGAGCGGGAGCGATGAATTGCAGATGAAGCGCAGGTAGGCGCCGGAGCATCGGATGACGCTGTTAGCAAAGAGGCGGCGTTCCGGGTCGTAAGTGGTTAAAAGAGAGGGCTGGGCGTGTTTGCGAAGCACGAGGCCGAGTTTCCAGCCCAGATTGGCGGCGTCGTATATAGAGGAGTTGAGCCCGAAGGCACCCAAGACGCTGTGGACGTGTCTTTTCAAGTCAATCTCAACCACGGACTGGGAGGGGGCCAAGACTTACGCGGCGTCGCCACCGAGATGGACGCGAAGATCCGGGGAAGAGAAGCTGCGTGCGACTCGTTCGCTCACTGATTGATTAGTAGGGGTTTCATATCAGTTTGTGACGCTACCATACCTCTCCAGACCGAAAACCAGCTCATAGCCGATGCAAATTCGACCTTGTGAGGCGCAATGATGTGATTGAGCTGTTCGAGTACCTCGTCCGGCGTGATACCGTGGTCATCGATACGGGTCTCTCCTACCGCGGAGCCATTGCGTCGGGCCTGTCGGTTTGCCTGTAGTTTCCGGGCCTTTTCGCCATTGATCTGAGTGTAGAACCTAGCTTGGTCAGAAGGTATGTTCGCAGGCAGATTCGGAGGCATACCGAGTATATCCATCCTCTCGCGGGATCACAATGCACCCCCCATGCTCCGCACTAATAATGACATTGAAACCAAGAATATACGGATAGTCCGTCTTGAAACGACAGTCCATAATTGCCCAGTAGATATCCGTCGCGATCCCATCAAATTCCACTCCCAATTGCTCGCGGATGCTGCTGGCTGCTCCGTCTGCACCGATGAGATATCGAGCGCGCACTACCTCCTCTTGCCCCGTGGCAGAATTCTTCAAGATCGCTCGTACCGGGTGATCCTTCCACGACTGATCCACCTCGAATTGACTGACTGTCGTGCCCCGCTCCACGACGATCCGGTGACGGAGGAGATCGCGGATGTAGATGCGCTCCATCTGACCCTGGGTGATGATGTGGATCCCCTTGTAGCGGGAGTCACAGGTGGAACTAAACCCATGAAACAGCTTAACGCCATTGCGAAAGAGTACGGTCGAGTTCAAAATGGGTCCTTCTTCGGAAACCTCGTGAGCGAGACCCCAGCTGTGGAGGAGCTCGAGGGCTCGGGGATGAACACCATCTGCTCTTCCCGAGAGGCAGGGGGTATTTGATTTGTCTATGGCTGTCAATTTCAGACTCTATACTATGACTGGGAACCATAACACACCAATTATGCGAAAACTAATCCCCTGCCGGGCGAGAATCAGGCCGACTTCCAGGCCAAATGGACCAGCTATAATTGTCCGTTAGTGGTTGATCCAGGTATTATCGATGGATACTCATACCTCCGCAAATCAGCACATCGACCTCTTTGGAAGGCTTGAACCATTCCGGCTTCCCTGTGGAAGTACCATCGTAGATACTCGGCCAAGTTCGCAAATGCGTCAGCCCAAGTTGGTTACCAATGGTCGAAGTGGGCGGTTCCGTATACACCGGCAGTGTCCAATGAGCCTGTTCGCCGGATTCAGTCACATAGTTTGCCTCAGCTTCCCAGGACGCTTCCTCTGCCGGTCGCGCGCATCCAGTTTCCCATGTTTTGGGAGGCAGTGTACTAGCCATTGATCAGAAATCGGCGTTAGGGTTGATTAGTCAGGGTTCAAGATCACAACTGGTTAGTTACCGGATCCTCCTGAAGCAGCTGCATGTTTCATTTTCATCTCTTACCTTTCGACCAAAGGCCGTGGCATTACTCTGGGTTGGTGGACCCGGAGTCAACGGCCGTAAGACGGGAGCGCATGAGGCTGTTGGGTGGAGACGCGGCCAGAGATCCGCTGGCTAGCTGGGGCGATCGCGTATTTTGACTTTCATCGATTGGATGAGACGCTCTGGACCCTGATATGCAGGGGCTCGAGTACTCCGGTCTCTCATGTCACACCAACAGGCGAACAAAGAACATCTGCGCTGACAAATTCACCTGCATCGGACATAGCGGCGTCCGAGAGTTTCATCCGACATAGAGCGAGCGGGACGAGATACAGCCACAATGTATAAATACCACGAGCAGATAGAGGTGTGGATGGATACATTGAACCATCATACCAACACTTCCCTAAAGTACGATACCACTATCACCCCAAGATGCCCAACGTCTTCATCCTCGGTGGCTCCGGCTACGTCGGCCTCGCCATCGCCAAATCCCTCCTCGCCGCTGGCACCTACACCGTCTGGGGCACGGCTCGTACCCCCGAAAAAGCGAAACTCCTCCTCCAGAACGAAGTCCATCCCGTCGAAGATGACATCACCAATCCAGCCAAACTCGCTGCCATCATTGCTGAGCACTCCATCGATGTTGTGGTGGACTCCACGTCCGCTTACGAGCAGGCCACACAGATCCTCCAGGGGGTCGTGGACGCTGCCACTACTCGCCGCAACACGCTGAAGAAGGAAAATATCGTTGGTCCCAAGCTGGGATACGTGTACTGCTCCGGCTCGTGGGTGCACGGCTCGCCTGCGTCACGCGTCAGTGATCTGTCCCCGGTCGGCAGCGCGCAGTCGAAGGACAAGCCGGCCACCGCGGTGGCCTGGCGTCCGGCGCACGAGCAGGCCATCTTGGCATCTCGCGATGTCCTGGATGTGGCCATTTTGAGACCGTGTGCGATGTACGGTCGTACCTCCTGGGTCTGGGGCACGTGGTGGGGTGGCCTTCTCGCCGCGAAGAAATCCGGCAGCCAGGAGACGATCCAGATCCCCGCCGATATCACCGCGAGGACCGGCACGCTGCACGTCGATGACGCGGCCGCTGCGTTCCATGCAGCCATTGACCGGCTGGATGGACGACTCGGTGCCTGGCCCGTGTTTGATCTGGTGTCGGAAACCATTGGCGTGCAGGAAATCATGGAGGCGGCCAAGGAGGCGCTGGGCGTCAAGGCCAAGCTGGAGTATGCGGGTACACACGGCAATCCATTCCTGGAGGCGTTGAGCCTGGTAAGCAAGTCGGATGCGTCGCGGGCGAAGACGGTCCTCGGATGGGAGCCGCGCCGGAATGAGTTTATCTTGAATCTGCCAGTTTATTTGAAGGCGTGGGAGGCTTTCCAGTGAGCGATCGTACTAGTCGTTGTTGCAAGATACAGAAAATGCAATACTTAGCAATATACCTGTTATCCAATCCCCAAGTCAGATCGAATTCAGACGGGATTGACACTATATCTTCCTCTATATCTTCCTCCAATTCAACCCAACTTGGATCGTCCTCGAAACAATCAACATCCCACACCCTGCTGCCATAGCCGCACCACTGAAGATCTTCAAATACAGGTAGCTCCCATCATCGCGTGCAATGAGTGCCCCCGCAATCGGATTCCCGGTGAAGGTGGCTAAACTCATAATCCCGAAGCACGTCCCCAGGCGGATCCCCACGTTCTGCACTGCAGATAGCTGTTGGATCAACGCTGGTGTAATGGACACAAAAGTGCCAGAGCTAAAGCCAAACAATGCGGCAAAGACAATCGTGACAGCGGAATGGTTCGCGACAATCCACAAAGCCAGGACTAAGATGGCCGATGTTCCCGTGGTCAAAATGGCGATGTTGAAGCGCCCGATTCGGTCACCGAGCCAGCCGGGGATAATGCGACCGAATATACTGTTTTTGTCAACCAAGTATAAAAACAGACGGGGGGAGGAATGGGTACCTGACAGCGTTCAAAATGGCAATGAGGTAGTTAGCCAGGTACAGGCTCATACCGTGCATTTGCGCCTCGAGCACCAGAAAATTGAACGGGACAAACATGCCCCAGGAGAACAGACACAACCCTATCGCCGTAGTGAGAAAGGCCAGTTCTTTCAACGGAAGCAGGAAATCCTTGATATTCCATGGTTTGGGCTGGGGCGGCACGCGCGGCTCCAGGAAAATCATCGCGAGAAGCAACAAACCAAGGAACATGAAGGCGCAGATGCGCATGGACCATGGAAATCCAATCCGGGGGATTAGTCGCGTTACGATGATTCTACCTGGGTCAGTTTCCTCCAGCAGATGGATGAGATCACGCACGGAACTAAACACCCGCTCAGCGAAGAGCCCGAAGCAACTACTCCGAAAGCCAATGCTCGGTTTTTCAGAAACCACGAGCCGACTGGTCCCATTCCGGCCGAGAATAATGCTGCCGCACCAAGGGCACTGCAGATTGACTGCGCCAGGAAGATTTGGTAGTATTCTGTTCCCAGCGAAGCCATCATCAGTCCAAAGACATGGGTAAAGGCGCCCCCATACACTAGGGGTTTGGGCCCATAATTGTCGTAAATTTTGCCATATACAGGCGAGGTAATGTACATAATTCCTGTCTACTGCAATTAGAATGTGCAATAATGTAGGCCGCGGAGCATACCTCGACGGATGTGATCCAGGCAATTGAACTGGGCGCGTAGGACCGAAACAGCTCATCCTGGTAGAAGGTCTGGAAAAGCCCAATGGAATTGATCCACCCAAAACTGCAGAAAAGGCACGACCAAGCACCTAGAACAACTGACCAGGCCTTCCAGCCGCCGTCGGGAAAATCCGACGGATCAGGAGGGTTGTTATCGATTGGTTTTTCCTCTGCCATGTCGATAGCCCAATATTGTAGGGGAAAACATACCGGCACAGATAGAGATTTAAAGAACAGAAAATAAAGCGGAAGAGCTGTCTTGTCCGGGCTGGATCAGGAGGGACCAGAGTATGTCCATTAATGCCGAGAGTGCCAATCGGACGTCGACATTATCTCCGAGACAAGCCCGGTGGCTGTTCTATTTAACAGATTTGCAATCTACGTTTAATCACAAACACCTTTTCCTTTCTCGCACCACAACCCGATTACTGTCAATATGTCCCTCGCCGGTAAAGTCGCCATTATCACCGGTGGCTCCAAAGGCATCGGCAAGGCCGCTGCCCTGCGCCTGGCGCAAGAAGGTGCCTGCGTCGCGGTGGGCTATCTGTCCGACGCTTCAGGGGCTCAGGAGGTGGTCGAGAAAGTCGGCAGTGACCGTGCCATCGCCATTCAACTCAACGCAGGCAAAGTCGCCGAGATCTCGCGATTCGTGGACCAGACAGTCGAGAAATTTGGCAAGATCGATCTCGTGATTGCTGCGGCGGGGAAAATGGCCCTGACCCCCCTGGAGGCTTTGACAGAGGATGTGTATGATACAATTTTCGAGTTGAATGTTAAGGGATCGCTATTTTTGGTCCAGGTAATCCATCCTGCTCCGTGACTATCGGAACGATGATTGATGATCGTATAGAAAGCTGCCCCTCACCTGGCTCCTGGATCCCACGTCGTCCTCTTCTCTACGACGCTATGTGGTGCCTCTACGGTGGCCCCGCCCTATCTCAGCTATGTATCCAGCAAAGGGGCCATCGAGCAAATGACGCGTGTGCTTTCAAAGGATCTAGGGAGGAAAGGAATCGCGGTGAACTGTATTGCGCCCGGGCCTACAGCTACGGAGTTGTTCAACCGAGCGCAGACGGAACAGACACTGGCATTTTTGCGGAATGCCAATCCCAATGGACGCGTTGGGGAGACTGAGGATATTGTCGGGAGTATCGTGTTTCTGTGTAGTAGCGATAGTCGTTGGGTTATGGGCCAGACTCTCAGGGTAAATGGAGGAATGGCCTAATATACATCAGTCCTACTATATTAGAGCTCATATTTTGGTGCACTTAACCCTGGTCCAGGGACCAGAGTATAAGTTTTTGATGCAAATACCCCACGGCTCCTTGGCCTCGTTCTAAGTCTACTATCGAGTGTCATCCATAGATAGCAAAAATGGCTCTTTTCCAAGACACAGTAAACCTTGTCACATTCAATTCAATCGTTCTGGGAGCAGTTCCCCTGCTCCTATTTGTTCTTTCGCTGCTACGATCGTACCTTCGACTGTCGCACATCCCCGGCCCTTTCTACGCTCGCTGGACCAACGTTCCTCGTTTCAGCTGGGTCCTGAGCTTCAAGGCGCACGATATTCACACAGCGCTCCATCGCAAATATGGTGCCCTCGTTCGTTTTGGTCCAAATATGGTATCTGTCGGCGACCCGAAAGAAGTCGGCCACATATATGGGTTCACCGATCCATGGATGAAGGTATTCCTGCTTTAATCACACATGTAAATGTAGCTAATGTTCCAGTCCGATTTTTACCACGCGCTTCTGATGAAACCTCGCGGAAAACCTATCCCCGGAATCTTCGCGGCACAAGACGAAAAAGTCCATCGCGCCTTGAAGAAACCCATCTCGAGTGCCTACTCCATGAGCACGCTGCTCTCCTTCGAGCCCTACGTCGACAGCACCATGCGTGTATTCTGCGAGCAGCTCGAGACACGCTTTTTGGAGAAAAAGACACCCCTAGATTTCGGCAAGTGGTTGCAGATGTTTGCGTTTGACGTGATTGGCGAGTTGACTTACTCTCGGCGCTTGGGTTTTCTTGAGTCGGGAGAGGATGTCAATAATGTCATGGCCAGCATCTGGGGGACGTTTAAGAAGACTTCGTTGGTGAGTTAATTTTTTTATTGGTACGGAGCCGGTCTGACCTATAAAGGTGACCCAAATGCCCTGGCTCGACAAATTCTGGATCAATAACCCCATCCAGCGCTGGTTACGAGGTGGTGGCGCCAGTCCCGGAGCAGCGTTCGCCATGGCCCGTGTAGAGGAACGTCGGGAGTTGCAGCGCACGACGAACAAGAATGACTGGCATTTTAACACACGCGATTTCCTGTCCAGGTTTATGGAGGCGGAAGCCAAGGATTCGTCGATACCCCCGTAGTACGTATCTGCACAATTTCTTTGCGATTCCTTGCTCATTGAAAGTAGTGCTCTGAGTGCCTGGGCCTCTTCCAACATCACCGCTGGTAGCGACACCACCGGTATCTTCCTACGGGCTGTCTTCTATCATCTCCTCACTAATCCAGACACCCTACACAAGCTCCGGAAAGAACTGGATAACGCAGCTGCAGCAGGGAACCTAAACGAACTCGCTTCGTGGAAGCAAACTCGCGAACTACCCTATCTGGATGCAGTGATTAAAGAGGGCGGCCGCATTCACCCCCCTTTTGGACTTCCATATGAGCGGGTTGTACCCCGCCAAGGCGCGACTATCTGTGGCAAGTTTCTGCCAGGTGGCACGGTAGTGGGTATGAGTGCGTGGGTGGTGCATCGGAACAAGGAGCTGTACGGAGAGGACTGCGATGAGTGGAATCCGGACAGATGGTTGAGATGTGATACGGAGAAGCGCAGGAAGATGGAGAATGCTCTGCTGACGGTGAGTGTCGCTCTCAATATATATATACCCCGGTTGACTGACAATGGTGTAGTTTGGAGCGGGTCATCGGACGTGCATGGGTAAGCATATCGCCTATCTAGAGATGTACAAGGTGGTTCCGACTTTGTTGATGAAGTACGACGTAAGTGTTCTTTTTTTCTTTTTTTTACATGGACAGGGCTGATGTGAGCAGTTTGAGCTGGTGGGACAGGAAGAGGGAGGCGGCTGGCGGGTCATGAATCGGTGGTTTGTCATGCAGGAGGGCTTCCTGGTAAGACTGAAGAAGAGAGCTATACAAGAGACTGCATAAGCAGGATGGGGGTTCTTGACAGAATTCACATGCATACTCGATAGAAACGAGTGAATGCAGTGTAAGTAAGCCAGTACGCCAATGGAAACAGACAAATAGATCATGAAGCAGTCATACTCTGGTCCGTTCATAACAGTCAAATGAATAGCCAATCAGCCTCGGACCGGGTTAGTGTCAAATAGATGACTGGTTCCGATCCTCGGCACTGGGATTTATAGATGTTCGACAAGGCCTTTCAGAAATTTTTGCGTGGATGTAAAGGACGAAGATCATTATGTCGCCCATCGCTATCGACATAGCTCCTTTCCAGAGGGCCAATGTCAATCTGCTCCAACCTGATGACTCGAAAGCAATAAAAAGCATTATAGAACTCTTGCACTACAACGCCCAGCACAATCCAGACCGTGTCTTTTGTCTCCAACTGCCCTCCAAACAAAATAATGCCCTCGGTAATCCGATTTCGATCACGCATCGGCAGTTCTACGACGCCGTTGCCTACTGTTCCCGGCGACTACAGGAAGAAATAGGTGGACTATTCTCTCCTATGATCAACAAAGATGGAACAGTGACTAAGTGCAGTCCTGTGGTGCTCTTCTTAGAGAGCAATGTCGGGCTCCTGATCCATGTCCTAGCGTTGATGAGCCTGGGAGTTCCCGTGGCCGTTCTCTCTGCTCGACTCAGCCCGACGGCCGTACAGCATCTCCTGTCCAGTATCAGAGCACAATCAGTCATTGCATCGCCCCGACTAACGAGTACAATTGAGGAGACTATTGCACTCGATGGCCAAGGCCAGTCAGTTGGTATTCAGATGTATATACAGCGACCATACGAGGACGATCTTGAGGATAGTCAAAATTTGGATCTTTCTACTACCAAAAACAACGACGAGAGGCATTTTATCAGCGAAAACGATCGGAATGTATTGATTCTGCACTCTTCAGGCACAACCGGACTCCCCAAGCCAATCTACCAACCACATCGTTATCTCCTGAACTTTACGGAGTGCCATCAGTTGGGCAAAGAGGACATTATAGGGAGCGTGCTTTCAGCGCTACCACTATTTCACGTAAGTTTCTGAGTTAAAAGGTATCCAAGCAAAACGCTGATAAGCCAGGGATTCGGTCTTGTCGCACCATGTCTCGCCATGGGAGCTGGGAAGCCATTTATGCTGCCTCCTTCCAACACCATACCCACGGGGTCTTTGATTATCGAGCTGATCCACACCTTCAGCCCAACAGCCCTGATGACAGTGCCTCATATTCTCGAGGAAATCACCGCACTAGCTCCAGAACAAGGCGTCAATGCCTTGCGACCCCTGGAATTTGTCCTCTCCGGCGGAGGACCACTCAAGAATTCCGTCGCCGAGATATTAGCAGCCTCTGGTGTGAGTCTGCTGGCTCATTTTGGCACCACCGAGTGCGGACCTTTGGGGGTCGTTTCCATCCCCGCCCCAGATTACGACTGGCACTACTGGCAACTTCGCCAGGATATCAACTACCGTCTCGACGAGGTTAATGCTAGCCCCTCTTCTGAGGAGAAACAGTACAAACTAACTGTGCACCCATTTGGTTGGGATTCGCCCTTCGAGTTGCAAGATATCCTCATCAGCCGTGGTACAGAGTACAGGCACCATCTCCGAGCTGCAGGACGCAAAGACGATTTGATCGTTCTCGTTAATGGAGAGAAGGTCATCCCACGGATTCTCGAGTCACTCCTTATGCAAGATGAGCGAGTAAAGTCCGCCGTGGCGTTTGGGGAAGGCAAATTCGAGATTGGTGTTATTGTTGAGCCCTCATACGAGATTGCCGATGAGGAGGTGCTCAAGACAGCTCTGTGGCCAATTATCGTCGAGGCTGGGGAGCAGATGGATTCCCATGCGCGTATTTCCAGCCCGGCTAGTGTTATATTTGCGTCGCCAGAGAAACCTATTCCAAGGTCCGACAAAGGCTCAATCCTGAGGAGGGAGACCTACCGTGTTTATGAAGAGGAAATTGCACAGGTTTATAAAGTGTTAGGGGGCACCCAAGAAGCAAACGTCCTTAATATTCAGTCTGACGATCTTGGAAGCGAGTTGAAAGATCTCATCCAAAGGGAGATAGGGTGGAAGATCCGCCCTTCGCAATGGGGTGACGATAACGATCTCTTTGAACTAGGGATGAATTCGCTGCAGGCAATGCGTTTGCACCGCCTTCTACTGTCTGCTATGCCTAAAAGCCAGAGAGGATGCGTCGGAATCGATCTCGTTTACAGGAATCCCACCGTTTCCAAGCTTGCAGCGGCTCTACGCGGTATAGCAGGAACTCAGAACGGTCATAGCGAGGACTCTGAAAGTGAAATTGATGAGATTATTCGTCAGCATTCCCTCAGTATTCAAGAGAAAGCTATCGTGCTTCTAACTGGCAGCACTGGCAACCTTGGGTCTAACCTTTTGTCTCATTTGGTCGCTTCACCCACGGTCGAGAAGGTTGTCTGCCTCAATCGACAAACTGCAGACCCGTCGACAGGGCAAATTGACCTTCTCCAACGACAACTGGACATAATGAAAACCAAAGGAGTGTCAATTCGGCTCGAAGAAGCATCAAAGATTGAAATCATTCCATGCGATCCGACCGCTGACTCCTTCGGTCTCTCTCCGGAGGTCTACACCCAGCTAATAGCACAAACTACACACATCCTCCATAATGCCTGGCCAATGGACTTCAAGCGCAGTCTCGCTTCCTTTCAATCCCAATTTCAGTATCTCAAAAGCCTCGTCCGCCTCAGTCATGACATCCACAACCGTCGGCCTTGTATCAAGCCACGGCTCCTGTTTGTCTCTTCCATCGCTGTTGTGGGACAATATCCACGCACTCACGGGACATGTTTTGTTCCTGAAATCCCATCAGATAAAGCCAGCGTCATTGACGATTTTGGCTATGGCCAAGCTAAATATGTGTGTGAGGAAGTTCTACGCGCCGCAGCAAAAACATACCCAGGGCTAGAATTGGGGATTGTACGGGTGGGACAGATGTCGGGATCCTCCACTAGCGGCTACTGGAACCCGAAGGAGCATTTCCCTACGCTGATGAAGTTCGCGGGCCTGGTGGGACAACTTCCGGTTATTAAACAGGTATGTGCCCTTTTCTTACATCTATATATGACAACCCGTTGCTAAGAAGATAGACTCTCTCTTGGATCCCTGTGGATGCTGCAGCTGCCGTACTGGTTGATATCCTCTTTTCGCCGTCCCTAAGTGGTATCTACCATCTGGAAAATCCCATCCGTCAAGCGTGGCAAGACATTCTTGATGTATTTGCTTCCTGCATGGGCATCAACACAGTTCGCATACCGTTTAACCAGTGGTTGCGTAATGTACAAGCGGCAGTGGAACAGCAGGGAACGGAAGATGAGCGGATGGAGTTGGATATGCTGTCTGATTTCTTTGAAAAGAATTTTCAGCGCATGGCGACGGGGAGGGTTATTCTAGATATGAGCAGAACAAGGGCCGCCTCGAGGACCCTTCGGGAGGTGGATGAGGTTTCGGCGGAAGTGGTGTCGAAGTACGTGAACGAGTGGAGGAAAAATGGAACACTGGGGGACCAGGTATTTCGTATTGAGTCTACCTAAAGTTATGGCCTTTTCAATCGACTTAGTATGGTAGTCAGTCACTTCCAGATCTTGATTTCTACGAAATAACAGGCACTCACGTAAATCCTCCGTGACTACGATCGGGACTTTCGAATATACTGCAATTTAGAACGCTACGTAACTGATCCCTAGACAGTGTTCCGGGGTCACTGACCAGTATCAACTGCGTGGCTTTTTGCTATTTGCAGCTTTTACCTTAACAGTAGAGGCTTCGAGAGTCTGCACCGGCGATGTCCGTGAACAAATTAGGACAGGGAGCTCTCCCAGGCTCACTTGCATTGGAAAGAATCTGAGAAATCCCAGGCGGAATAACCCACCTGGCAATACGAGGCTGTGCTTATCATGCCAGAGGGCCAGAGTATACATGGGCAGGAACTATAGGAGTTCCGAAACTCTTTACTCGGGGTTTGGGTTTGCAGGGTCCGGCAGCCCTGTGCTGCAGGGTCCATCCAGTATAACTCCTGGGATGGTGAACCAGATCGTCCATATTCAACCATAAACTCATGGCTGTGTAGCACCTTTATTATTGGTTACGGCTGAACATCTTCAACAGTTCTTCGCTGTCATTTCGCTACCGACTCAACTTCTTCACTATGACCCCATCCCTGCTTCTGTGCGGGTCGCAGGCTATCCAATGGTCTGATGACTATCTTGCTTCCCTACAAAAGGTTCTACTCGCAGATCCTATTCTTCAACCTTTTGTCAATGCCATCCGTGAACTCCCCCGGTTATGGGGCACGCTGCTTGAGGCAGACTCAGAGCTGAAAGCCATCTCCGGAAAGCAAATCCTCGAGCGATTTAGCAAATGGCTCGACGGAGAGACATTACTCGACACTGCTTCAATTTTAAATCCCAATTTACTATTGTCGCCCCTCACAGTTATCTCTCAGTTGGTTGAGTATCTCAATTACCTGACGGAAAATCCAACCCAGTGCCATCTACGCATTCTGAACGGAGTCAAAGACGGAGGCATTCAAGGGTTCTGCACTGGATTCCTCACAGCACTTGCATTGTCATGCTCTCGTGACGATAAAGATATTGTCGAGTTGGGAGCAGTGGCCTTGCGTCTGGCTGCCTGTATCGGGGCGTATGTGGATTTGGACCAACGCAACACCTCAGAATTTGTCTGTCTGGCTGGGCGATGGGCTGCAGCGGCAGACAAGCAGAATATTAATGCTATTTTGGCCAATTATGATAAGGTATGTGGTGCCTCTGTTGTGCTGGATATCTTGCTGACGATCGTTCCAGGCATATATATCTGTGCAGTCGGACGCGACCTCAGCGACGTTCACGGTTCCACAAGCAAGCAAGTCCAGTATCGTTCACGATATGAATAATATTGGCCTTCAGGTCAGGGAGATCCCCCTTGCTGGTCGTTTTCATAACTCGATCCATCAAGAGTCCTTTAACAAGCTGGTCCGTTTATGTGAGAGCACATCATCTCTGCGATTCCCCGACCATTACCGCCCCCTAGTCCCTCTACGAACCAATGTCAACGGACAAATACTCTCTGGTAATGAGACTCTGCATGTTGCTGCACTACGAACGTTGCTTCTCGATGTATCCGACTGGTATCAAACCACGAGCAAAGCAGTGGATAGTCTTGGGCCATCAACAGCCGGGGAGCTTGAGGTCGCTGTATTGGGCTTGGGCGATTGCATCCCGCGCACAATTCGGCAGTCTGGTGCTCTCCATGTAAGCCATATCCAGACAGAGGCCAAGAAGGATTACGACAAACCCTACCAACACCCCAGAGATGCTGTTGCTATTGTCGGAATGGCCTGTAGATACCCCGGCGCAGACTCCTTGGAGGAATACTGGCGCGTCATCGAATCTGCAACGTCAATGCTGAGCGAACTCCCAGAGGGCCGATTCCCTAAAACTAACCTTCGTCGGGATCCAGAAGGTAGGATCCCTCTGAATGGGAACTTCTTACGGCACCCCGACCTCTGGGACCATCGCTTCTTCAAGCGATCATCGCGCGAGGCTGCTTCGATGGACCCTCAGCATCGCCTGGCGCTGGAAGTTGCCTACGAAGCTCTAGAGTCAGCTGGTTACTTCGCCCAGCACACTCTTGCAAAAGATATCGGATGCTACATGGGCGTTGCTGCGTCTGACTATGAAGACAACGTAGCCTCGCATGCACCCACAGCCTTCTCAGTCCTTGGAATGGTTCGCGCCTTCACCAGCGGCAAGATCAGTCATTTCTTTGGATTCAGCGGGCCTTCGCTGGTCTTTGACACGGCCTGCTCTTCTTCCCTGGTAGCCATACACACTGCGTGTCGTGCTTTACAGGCAAACGAATGTTCCATGGCCCTCGCTGGTGGTGTGAATGTCATTACCAGTCCCACCCTGCACCAAAACCTTGGAGCAGCGAACTTCCTGAGTCCCACTGGAGGATCTAAATCATTTGATGACCGTGCAGATGGCTACTGTCGTGGCGAGGGAGCAGGTATAATCCTGCTCAAACGACTTGACCGCGCCATTGTCGACAAGGACCGCATCTTAGGCGTCATCGCCGGCTCCGCTGTGAATCAGAACGATAACGCATACCCCGTGACTGTTCCTGTCTCCCTGTCGCAGACTGCCATTTACCGGCGTGTGCTGAATATTGCGGGTCTCTCCCCACGCCGCGTATCCTATGTCGAAGCCCATGGCACTGGCACGCCAAAGGGCGACCCGATCGAATGCGCTAGCATCCGCCAGGTGTTTGGCGGGCAAGCGGATCGAAAACTCTACTTTGGTTCAGTGAAGGGGAATATCGGACACGCCGAAGCCGCGTCCGGCGTGGCGGGCCTCATTAAGGTACTGCTCATGATGCAGAAGCGCCTGATCCCCCCTCAGGCGAGCTTCATCTCCCTGAATAAAAGTATCCCACCGTTGGAGCCGGATAATATGGCCATAGCGCGAGAGGTGACTTCGTGGAATACTGAGTTCTATGCTGCCTGTGTGAACAACTACGGCGCGGCAGGGAGCAATGCGGCTTTGGTTGTCACGCAGCCCCCGTGTGCGGGTCGTGGAAACCATGCGACAGTGTCATTGAAGAAATATCCCGTGGTATTATCTGCCAATACGCCTGGAAGTCTCAAGCAGTATGCTACTGTTGTGAAAGAGTTTATCTCCCAAAATTGTGCGGTCCAGCAGGGAAACCTCTTGGCCAGCACGGCTTTCCATCTGGCCAGACGGTACAATCATTCCTTCAAATATATGGACGCATTCGCTGCTGAGTCAATCGATCAGTTAAATGAGAAGCTTCAGATCTGCTCTCAGTTGCCAGAGTCAGATATTATGGTGTCGTCATCCCAACGTCCTATTGTCCTCGCTTTTGGCGGCCAAACGGGCAATCTCATCCACCTAAGCGAGGAGATGTACCGCGGTTCATCCCTTCTGCGAAGGTATCTCGACAAATGTGACGCCCAGTTGCAACAGCTCGGTCTGGCTAGCATCTTCCCTGGTATCTTTCAGCAACAGGCTGTCGAAGACACCGTCCAGCTTCATTGTATGCTATTCTCGCTGCAGTACGCCAGTGCAATGGCATGGATTGCTGCCGGTCTCCAGGTACAGACAGTCATCGGGCACAGTTTCGGACAGCTAACAGCAATGTGTGTGGCTGGAGTCTTGAGCTTGGCGGACGCAGTTAAGCTGGTTTCTGGACGTGCATCGATCATCCGAGAGAAATGGGGAGCTGAACGAGGATGCATGTTGCTTGTGCAAGGTGAATTGGCTCATGTACACAGCCTCATTGCTCAGACCCGTGAAAATACCGGTCATGTCGTGGAAATCGCCTGCTTCAATGGACCCAACAGCTTTGTCCTTGTAGGCTCGGGAACGGACATTGAGACCTTTGACTCTTTGGCTGCCTCGACCCTGAAGACACGCAAAATGAGCGTTACCCACGGGTTCCATTCACGACTTGTCGATACCATCATGGAGGATTACCAAAATCTGGCGGAGGATATGGTTTACAAATCTCCCACTATCGCTATTGAGACCTGTTCCTCAGTCGAAAGCTGGAACGAATTCAGAGCAGACCGGGTAGCACAGCAGTCCCGCCAGCCCGTTTACTTTGCTGAAGCGGTGGAGCGCATCTCCCAACGCTTAGGACCTTGCGTCTGGGTCGAAGCGGGTTCTGCGTCCGGAATCATCAATATGGCTCGCCGGGCTCTTAACGATGCAACCAGCCATGATTTCTACTCGATCAATCTGGGGGGGCCCGAGCCATGGGATGCTCTCGTTGACACAACGGTTAGTCTGTGGAAGGCTGGGGTGCAAGTTGATTTCTGGCCTTTCCAAAAAGAACAGCAATTGGAATATCTCCCTCTCAATCCCCCGCCATATCAATTCGAACGATCGCGGCACTGGCTCGAGTACGTCGACCGGCCTGGCGCAGATGGCTTTGTCCAGTCAAAGGAGGCACCAGCGGTCGAAACCAAGCCCAAGCTAGTTTCCTTCGTCAAGTACCTCGACTCCAACCGTCAGACGGCCGAGTTCGCTATCAGACAAGATTGCGAGCAGTATCAGGCACTAGTCCGCGGCCATGCTGTCCTTGACAGCACGCTGTGTCCCGCCTCATTGTACGTTGAGATGGCCGCGTCTGCCGCTAGTCTGCTCGTCCCCGAATTCTCACCGTCAACATACACTGCACGAGTTGAGGATCTACACATGCAATCGCCCCTAGCTATTGATCTCAAGCGTGGACTCCGTCTGATTCTCTCAATTAGCGGCCCGGGAACAAGCCAGTTTACCCTACAGGGATTTCCCCTCGGTGACGAAGACAATGCAATCCAACATGCCAGTGGTACAGTCACCATCAGCTCTTTGGCAAGCGAGAAAATCGAGGCCCGGTTCTCCCGGTATAGCCGGATTGTCGACTACCAGCGCTTTGAGGGCTTGCTTTCCGACTCCAGTTCTGCGGCCGTGCAAGGCCCGCTGGTCTACAGGATGTTTGATAAGGTTGTCATCTACTCAGATATCTTCCGCGGCGTGAGTAAGATCGCTTCCAAGGGCACGGAGGTAACTGGTCTCGTCTCGTTGCCATCTGCTGGTTTGGAGCTGGTCAAAGAGTCAGTCTGCAATCCGCTCGTGATAGATAATTTCACCCAGGTAGCAGGTCTGCACGTCAACAGTCTGGAAGACTGCGGGCCAAACGAGGTGTACCTGTGCAACGGGATCGAGCAGATTGATGCATGTCGGCCACTGGACGCGTCTGGATCGTGGCTAGTGCATTCATCATTCGATCGTGTCGGGACGAGGGAACTCGTGAACGATATTTTCGTCTTTGATGCTGCCACGAAGCAATTGGTGATGACCTTGTTCGGATTGCGGTTCGCTAAGGTGCCCATTTCATCTCTCAAGAAGGCACTGGAACGTGCCAATCCGGCTCAAAGCTCCATGCAAACTCCTGTGAAGGTATCTAAGCCTCCGACAATAGTTCAAATGACGCAGCCCATCCGCATGCCGCCAAAATTGGGGAGGACAACCCCAACCGCCGATGCGCAAGTACGCACAGCAACAATGGCGTTGCTTAATGAGGTCGCTGACGTTCCATTATCTGATATCACCGATGGTGCTCGCTTGGAAGACCTGGGGATTGATTCCCTCATGGCAGCAGAAATTCTAAGCGCCATCCGGGAAAGATTCAACCTCGACATCTCCACATCCACCTTCTCCAGCATCGTCGATTTCAGGGGCTTGTACCAGCATATCACCTCCGGTACCGATGCAGGCACCATGACGCCGTCCTCTTCGTCCGGCACAGAGACCGACGATAGCATTCTCCAAGTGCAGTATACGGATACCAGCACGCCGTTCTCTGAGATCGCCTATCCGTTCGACGATAAGGAGGCTGGTGACAAGGCCTACGAAAATCAAGTGGTTCAACTATCGCAGTTGTTCGTCGAACACCTAGAATGCGCTGTCCCGATCCCCTCAGGCGAACTACTCCGCAATATCGGTCTAGACTCCTTAGTTGGGCTTGAATTGGCAGCAGATATCCACAAGGCATTTGGTCGGAAGGTTGACCTGACGACCCTGGACCCCGAATGTACCTTTGGGCAGTTCTGTGACATGGTCATTCCCCAGACTACGATGCCAGTATCCACGGTCTCCGAAAAAGTTGACAAAACCGTTCGTTGGGCGTCGACACAGGTCGCTTACTCCACCAAACGCCGGGATCAAACCACAAAAGCGTCAGACGTGAGCAACGTCAATTATCTCGGTCACTGTGCAGAGGACTTTGCCCAGATACGCGACAAGTACACGGTCTTCGCGAAGCAGGTGGGCTTTGCCGATTTTCGCACCAATGTCTACCCCCAGCAGAAAGAACTGGTGTGTGCGTATGTGACCGAGGCCTTCGCTGCTTTGGGAGCTGATCTCGCGACTGTTCCCTCTGGGTCGGCGCTGCCTCCTATTCCACACATTCCCAGGCATGCCAAGGTGATGAAGCAATACTACAAGGTGCTCGAGGACTCCGGATTGATCGCCATCACGGACAGCGGGATGATCCGCACTGCAAAGCCCATCAACCCGGTCAACTCGCAGGTTCTCTACCAGCAGATTTATTCTATTTTCCCGCAGCATCGGGGTGAGCATATGCTTCTGAACTCAACCGGATCAAAACTCGCATCATGCCTGAAGGGAGAGACAGATCCCCTGCAGATCCTCTTCGGCAGCAAAGCAAGCAAGGACCTGATGGAGGATGTTTATACCAACTCGCCCATGTTTGCCACCGGAACCCGCATCTTGGGCGACTTTTTCGTCAAGACTTTCAGCAAGTACAAAGGGCCTGAGAAACTGCGCATCTTGGAGCTTGGGGCTGGTACAGGAGGTACAACAAAGTACATCGTAGAGAAGTTGCTGGAGCACAATATTCCGTTCACATATACCTTTACGGATCTCTCTCCTTCCTTGGTGGCTCTGGCCAAACGCAAATTCAGCCACTATGGGTGCGTTGAATTCGTCGTGCTCGATGTCGAGAAACCCCCTGCAGAGCACCTGACGAACTCATACCATGCCATCCTCTCGTCTAACTGTGTGCATGCCACCAAGAATCTGCTCAACTCCACCACAAACGCACGCAAGCTGCTCCGTGATGATGGTTTCCTGTGTCTGTTGGAACTCACCCGCAACCTATTCTGGCTGGATTGCGTCTTCGGGTTGTTGGAGGGGTGGTGGTTGTTCGAAGATGGCCGGAAGCATGTACTCGCCGATGAGTATCTTTGGAAAGAGACACTGCTTCAGGCTGGATTCCTGCATGTGGACTGGAGTAACGATGACACCGAAGAATCGGATCAGTTCCGTGTCATTACTGGCTTCGTGGCTGATATTGGAAGAACCATCCTGAGCCAGGAGAAGACTGTCATTGGGAAGCTGCAGACTATGGAAACCGTCCCGTTCGCCACGGTGGATGGAATACCCCTGCTCGCAGATATCTACTACCCTGCCAAGGAAGATGCACCCGGTGTCAAGCGCCCCGTTGGTAAGTGCTATCTCCATTTTCATTTGAAGACTTCTTGGCTAATTCCGCAGCGCTCATGATCCATGGTGGAGGTCACATCATGCTCTCTCGCAAAGACATCCGCCCCAAACAAACACGTCTCCTCCTCGAACGCGGCCTGCTGCCCGTCAGCGTTGACTACCGTCTCTGTCCCGAAGTCAGCCTTACTGAGGGCCCTATCCCAGATGCCTGCACCGCTCTCAAATGGGTTCGAACCGTGCTGCCAAGCTTCCGCCTACAACGACCGGATATTCATCCCAATGGCGACAAAGTGGTCGTAGTTGGCTGGTCAACCGGCGGGACGCTGTCAATGATGTTGCCCTTCAGCGCCCCGCAACGTGGTATCCAGCCTCCAGACGCAATTCTGGCATTCTACTGTCCTACAGACTACGAAGCGGACTTTTACCGGGAAGCGAACTACCCTGAAAACACATCTGGGACTGTTCCGGAAACCTACGATCTCCTGGAAGGTGTGAAAGAACATCCGATTACGGGCTACAATGTTCCCGCGCACAAGGGCGCGACAGGCGGGTGGATGTCTCTCTCTGATCCGCGCTCGAGGATCGCATTGCATATGAACTGGAAGGGACAAGCGCTTCCGGTGTTGCTCAATGGTCTGCCATCCAAGAAAGGATTACTGGATGCCGGAGACAGTGCATCGACGACGAACTGGCTCGATCTACCGCAGCCTAGCATGGACCGGGTGCGAGCTGTGAGTCCATATGCGCAGATCGTCAAGGGAAATTACCGGGTGCCTACGTTCTTGATCCACGGTATGCGGGACGATCTCATTCCGTGGGAGCAGTCAGTACGGACGACCAATGCGCTCGCTTCTCAGGGGGTGGAAGCAGGTGTAGCGATTGTTGAGGATGCAGTTCATTTGTTCGATCTCTACAGGGATCCTGAAGGGAAGTATTGGGATGCTGTTTTGGAGGGATATGAATTTTTGTTGAAGCATTTATAACCTCTCTTTATTGCAGTACAGATTATGAGCCGTGCAATACACCAACGGTATAGATGCAGCCTTATTATTTCAATGTAGAACAGCTTTTCATTATTAACATTATCTGAGGTCATAAGCAATTCTTCAGATCAAAGTAATCACATCCCAAGACGCAACCAAAAACAAATTCTCCAAAACACCGCGCAGTGTAATTGCTCAAATCACGCCAAGTGCAGCAAAAGGAAGATAAAAAGCAAGAAACTCGATGAAAAAACAAAATATCCAGGAATAATCGTGATTGCAAGTAGAAATTGTGAGCGTTGACCAATTTAATGGCACGCAGACACCGGCGGTTCAACAGTCGTTTCACCATCATCATCATGATCATCATCATCAACCTCAGTAACAACAATATCAATGACTTCTTTCAACGGCTCATCAGGAATAATCGTGATTGCACGTAGAAATAGGAGCGTCGACCAATTTAATGGCACGCAGACACAGGCGGTTCAGCAGTCGTTTCAGCACCATTATCATCAACCTCACTAACGACAATATCAATGACTTCTTTCGACGGCTCATCAGGAATAGGAGCATATTGGCTGGATACCACCGGGGTCACCGTGGCAGAGACGCCCTTATTGCGCTGAATGAACCAGAGCTGGAGCACACCGGCAAAGGCAACAAGAGCACTTGCCCACCAAGCGATAGCAGTACAACCAATCTCCGCACCAGAGCTATACAACCATCCCGCGATAGGAGGTGCAATGGTACGCGAGGCGGCACCGGCCGAGGCAGCGAGGCCGTTAATCCGGCCCATGACGGACTCGGCGGGGGTGGCCTGCCTAATGAGGATCAGAAGGACTGGGTAGTCGATGATCGAGAGAATGTTGCGGACGACTAGGCAGGTGTAGATGCCAACCAGGAGGAGGTGGCGCGGTAGGAATACCAGGAACGGGACCATGAAGTATGCGATTGGATGGAGCACTGTCACGAGAATGAAAAGCCGCCAGATTCCCAGGTAATGGGCCATGGCGGGGAAGACCACACCCTGGATGAAAAGCGCAATGACACCGTTGGCAGACATGATCAGGCCGACCGTTTGAGTTGAAAGGCCCACGCCACCGGGGATGTCGAGGAAAGAGCCGTGAAGACCACCAGAGAGGGAGATCTTCTTGTCCTGCAAGAAGATTGGAAGGAGATGGTCATAGGTCATGGAATGATAAGAGAAAATGGCCAATGCCAGCACGAGCATGACGATTTTCCATGTGAAAACTTTGGGCTTGTCGGGTTTGCCAGTGGGTGAGGAGCTATCACTTCTCACATCCCAATTTCCCTCTTGGTGGATGTCAACCTGGTTAAAGGTGCCATAAGACTCAGCTCGAAGGTCAAGTTCGGCATGAGCGGTTGAACCAGAGGTTGCCAGAAGGGGCTGCTCGACCGATGGGTGGTCGACATGTGCACTGAGACGAACAGGTTGCATGTCTGGGTGAGTCTCCTGCAGGAAGAACCAACCGGCGATAATGCTCAGCAAAAGCAAAACAGAGCACACAAGGTTTGGCAGGAGGTAAGGAAATTTGCCAAACAATCCATCGGCAGGAAAAAGGGAGGGAAAACTTTCAGAGGGTTTTGCCAGTAGACCTCCAATGGCTTGGGTAGGCTGTCAGCAGTTGTAGACTATATATACAGAGCAAGTATAACCCACCTGGTCCGATGATGGTCCCAATCGACCAGACAAAAGGCATGACCGCATAGGCTCGGGCTGTTCATAGGCGTGTCAGCAACGTTCGTATGGTAAAGAAGAATAAGACTTACGCTCATGCTCAGGGCGTTTCACCAACTCGCCAACCATGGTCTGGATAACTCCAATGTTCCCATTCAGAGCACCACCCAGCGCGCGACCTGCCAGGGCAACCCAGAAATTCGTCGCAAAGCCCACTAGGAGGAGGGAGAGCATAGTACCAACGCAGCCGGACAGAAGAATAGGCTTACGGCCAAGACGGTCCGACAAACCACCCCAAAACATGCCCGTGAGAGCCTCAGCGAGGGAGAATGCCGAGATCAAAATGCCAGCGTACAAGGACGCGTCGTTGCCGCTATCCATGTGGAAGTCCTTGACCATCACCCATGAGTAGGGGAAGATGGAGGTCAAGGCTATGGGCTCCGCGACACGGCATATTGCTGTCATGGCGTTAGCTAGTGGCGCGATAGGTTACAACGGAAGGCAAGAGAGCTAAACATACCTAGGAGGAAAAGTTGTGCGGTGGGAAAGCTGTCGTCGGAGGAAGCGAGTGATCTTTCCTGTTGGGTTAATACCATCTTCTTGAAACCGTCCAAGATTCTTACGGCAAGCCCTCCCAGCAAGTAATGTCGATTGGTTTGTTTTTCTTTTCTTCTTTATATGCCTCTGGTTGTGGCGAACGAAGTGTCTGCTATGCACTGCGCTATGATTATCGAGAATCAATCTGAACGAAAGTCAGAAAAGCGACTGGAAGCAGCGATATTGGCTGTGTTAAAGAGTGGGAAGCAGTGGTGGGAACGAGGGAAGTCGGTAGAGGAGGGAGGAGGGGAGGAAGAAAAGAGGAGAAACAGACGGAAATTCGGCTCCAATATGTAGGCGAAAGTGGAGACCGCTAGGCAAAACAGGAAAAGGTGTCCTGCGTTGCCGATAAGAAAAGACACACATGACCAACTGTTCTTTTCACTGAATTCTAATTCTTGGCTATTTTTCATTCCCCAAAATCCGGGGGTTGATTGCACTGCCCTGGGGTGTGGCATGCAGTCTCCCTCGTGAGGAAAAAATCTGATGGTGGCGAACCGATCCGACCGCGGTTCCCCGCGCTGGCTGTGGCCCTATCTATACCGTCTAAACTATGCTGTGCAATTATCCAGACAAGTCTGTGTTCAAAATATCTTACCGAAATCCTCACTTGAGTTTATATCGCCGGGATTCGTGTCTTATAGTTCTATAGATGCGGCCTATCCACTCGTTTACACACCGTCGCGATCTTAATCCGCTATCGCCCAATCACGGTGCGCTAGGGCCCCGCCAATCATTCCCGAAAGAGGCAAGTTGTGAGGATGGTCTACAACCCAAGGAATGAAGCGAAAAGAAGCATCCAATTATGTCTATGACGGTCAAATCAAAACACGGGGAAAGAGCATGCCCGACAGACCGGCTCGCCATGAGAAAATGAAAATAAAAGAAAGATAAATCATTGTAAACCTGTGCCGACCAAAGAATGTCCTGCTGCGCCGGCTAATCCATAAACATGCGGTCCCGATCGTCACGAAGTACCCAACAGAAAAATAAAAGAGTAAAACAAGCAATAGAGAATTCAACAAGAGGGGGCCTCCGGATTCTGCGGAGCGTCGGTGATTTCGACGGAACGACTCTCCAGCTCTTTGGGCAATAACCCATGGGCGCCTTGCACATCGATTGGAGGTTCAACAACTGGCGCCGCCGGCTCCGACATGGCTGTCTCTGTCGTCTCCGCTGAGGGCTGGTGAACCGAGGGTTCCGCGCTGGAGGAGGACCCCTCGGCTTGCGGGTTCGGAGAAGTGTCCTCGACATGCTCCGCGGATTCGTCGCCTTTCTCTTCGTCGCCGATGATAGCGGCTAGGCTTCGGAAGTTGAACATGGGCTCAAGAGAGGGGTTACTGCCTCCGTCAGCAGAGGAAGGGCATCCAGTGCGATCCTCTGGGGTCGTTTCCATCACAGAGGAGATGGAGGAGGATGTCGATACGTGCCGCAGATGGGAAGGCCGTGACCCCTCGGGGGCTGTAGACTGCTCGGTGGCCTGGGATGAAGAGCTCGGCTCTGCTGGAATGGCACCGTTCGCGGGAGCAGACTGATTCGAGTCCTCTGCGGCTGGAGGCACTCGATCGACTGCCTTGCCCTTGCCTGCTGCGGAGGCGTCGCCACGATCAATTGAAGAGGTGCTGCTAGCCATTTTTCCTGACCCCATCCCAGGGATATCCAATGCCGAGGTGCTGACACTTTGGCTATACAGACCAGTCTTGCGCGCCACCTTGTTCGCCTTTTTGGCTTCCTTCTCCCTCCGCTTGGCCTCTTTCCTTATGTCCTTCTCTTCCCTTCTCCGGCGCTCCTCCTCGCTGGCCAAGCTCAGTCGAATAGCTTCCATCATCATCATCTCCTCCAAATCATCGATGCGGGTACGCCTGGAGCCGGCGCGCGGCGGTGCCAGGTTTTCGGATTCATCCTCACCAGTTTCCGGTTCAGGAGGTCCAGCTCCGCGCGCGGGAGCGGCCCGCTCCGCTCGTTCGGTTAAAAAAGCCAACGCATTAAGTGCAGGCGAGCCGGTTCGCCCACCGGGTGATTCGTCTGCTGTGGCTCTTCGCATTCCTCGGCGTGCCAGACTGAATCCACGAGAGTCGCCTCCAGAACCGTTTGAGTTCATTAGATACGCTGCGGTGTGCAAAGCGGTTGCAGCTGCAGACCGACGGGCTGCATGGGCTCGGGCATTTGCCAGCTTCTGGGCCCAGTCGGGCCGGACCCTGTCAGTCGTGACCACAGATGGGTCAGTAGCGGACAATGAGGTAGCGCGTCGGCGTCCCGGAATTGGAGAAACGATATTTGCAGATGATAATGAAGAAGTAGATGACACTGGGGAAGTGATGTGGGGAGAAGGGCGTGTGTTGGGATCCGCGGCGTAGGTCAAGCCGCGGCGGAACGGTGGGGGCGCATAGGTGACTCCAAACTCAGGTTGAACGCAGAAGGGACATGCTGAGGGTTCGGAAACTAGTTGACCTTCGACGGACTCCGGCTGTTCTTCACCCTCGGCGGGAGGGGGAGCATTGGAGTCTGCGTGCTCTGGAGGGTGGGGATCTGGACGCTTGATCTGAACGAAGCATTCAGAGCAGATGGGCTGATCGCAGCATCTCGTTCGGTTCAAGTAGGGAGGATAGTAAAGGAAGCAGATGGGGCATTCGCTCGCATCTTTGTACAGATACACCTCGATGGGCTGGCCGTTGACAAACGGATCCTTTGGGAGCTGCAGCTCTCGCGGAGTCAGATCTGTCTGCGAGCTGTGCCGAGAGGATGTTGTCAGCGCCGCCAGAGTCTTTGCCCTCGTCCGGAAGAGAGGCGAAGTGGATGTGCCGGATGCGACCGGGGACTGAGCGTGGGTGGAACTTTGTGAGACGTCAGAGTTGTAGGACTGAGAACGTGCCGTAATTGGCACCGTCAAGTGCTGGATGTTGGCTGGGTCCGCTGGTTGTTTGGTTTCAACGGGCTTGGGCAGCGTGTATTCCAGCTCTGGGGGGATCTCATCCGCTGGGGGAATGTCCATGCCCCGTGCAGCTGCCATGAGCTGATGTTCCGCCCACGAGTCGGAAAAATCGTTCAAGCCTCTCCAGAATGGGGCCATACGGCGTTCAATCTGAACCATAGGCTGTCAGCATTCACCTGCAACGAGGAGTACCACGGCACCTACCATCAATTGCCGCACGACCGTCTTGCTAAAGTCCTCCGTCCCTACGTACACGCCTTGTGTCACCAGGTAGCCTCCGTCCACATGCTCTTCCTTCATGCTCCGTTCTCGTTCCTTGATACGGGCCGTGCGTTCCCTCTCCAGGCGGCGTGCCTCTCGCTCCTGTTTTGTCTCTCTTCGATGCTCCAGGGCTGCGATATCTCGATCGCGACTATGACTGGAGCCGATTCCGAGAATGGAGAGGTCTGGTCCGCTGCCTCTGAAACGGCCACCATGTTGATATGGCGAGCCCCCGGAGCCACCGGAAGTGCCTGCTGGAGAGAATTGCTGGCTGCGGCGACGCAGCGGAGCGGTGGAACGCGCCTCCTTGGTCTGTGAGTTACCCATGATGAGGGAGGATGAGGGAGTTGTGGCCGGGAAGTGAGAGTGGGGATAATAGTGGGATCACCGTGTCAACACGGCGTCGGGTCCGATGCTGACAGCGAAGGTGGGAACCCCCACAGGGGAAGGGTGAAAGGTGGAGTCGAAACCGCCAACGGGGGGAGGAAAGGGGGAAGTCCAAACAGAAAGGGAGAAAAGGCAGAAAGTGGTATGTTAAAGCGGAGGTTGAAACATGAGGACGGCGTGGAAGGCGAAGCTGGGGGAGGAGCGGGGGGAAAGTGGGAATCGGTGAGCGAAGACGGAGAAGACGGGGATGGGATGGCGCCAGTCAGATAGATGAGCACGGATGTGGACGGGACAATGAAGGGATGCGCGAAGTCGTGCGAGACAACGAGATCCCCAAGTGTCTACACTAAGAAGTGAAGGAGGAGCAAAGAAAGAAAGAAGAGCGAGACCGTCGTGTGCCCGAACCAGGTGATGGGCGATCGGGTGGGATTACATCAGTTGCCGGATTACTTCATCTTTCATATGATCTGAGGGATCCCCGTCTTTACTAGTGTGTCGATCAACACCAATCCAATACATACTTCATACGTGAAATCATCATTGCATGCTTTCAGGAAGAATGTTCAGAATGTTCTTCCTGAGGCTGTGACGGTGATGGTAAAACGGGAAGGCGGTCAGAGGGGGCAGTTTGGGGTAAAAAAGTTGTTTCGGGTGTCTCGTGTGTCTGTCTCCCACCAGCCACACCATGCCAACACTTCCCCGGCGATGACAGAAGCATTAACCCGGCTTCATATCACCCCTCTCACCCCAGAGATTCTGCCGTCGGTGCTACCCGCCTCCCTCCGACAGTCGGCGACAGATATCTCCTTCCATTCCATCCCCACGTTCCTCGAGAACAGCTACGGCTACGTCACATTACCAGCCATGGAGGCAGAGAAGATCAAGAAGAAGTTTAATGGCTCGATTCTAAAGGGCAAAAAGTTCAAGGTCGAGACAGCTCGGCCGCAAAAAAGACACCGACCGGACGAAGAGGCCGGGGCGGAAAATGACTCGAAGAAATCCAAGAAGCGCAAGTCGGAGGATGGGGTATTGGATGGGATTGAGCTGCCCGCAGACCGCAAGGTGAAACGAGGCTGGACGGAATCAAGCACTGCGAAGAAGGAACGACGGATGGCCGAGAAAGACAAGGAGAAGAAAAAGAGCAGCAAAGACAAGAAGGACAAGACGCAGGCCAAGTCCAAGTACACTGAGAAGCCAGAGTGCCTATTCCGCACGAAAATCCCACCTAATCGATCTGGCGATGATGCGGTCGACGGCAAGAAGGCCAAGAAAAGGAAGCAGTCCTCGCAGGAATCGGTTGTCCATGAGTTTGCCAAGACGGTCGCCCAGCCTAGTTTCTTGCGAGATGCAAAGGAGAGTGCAGCGCCTACGGCTACATTTGAGGAGGGAAAGGGCTGGGTGGATGCAACGGGGGAGGTGAAAGAGCCCGCCAGCGAGAAGATCAGGAAGGCCAATTATCAGCCGGGCAAGGTTGCAGGTGCTAAAGAGAAACGGAGTGCCGGCTCAAGCAAGAGCAAAAAGAAGACCCCAGCCAAATCAGAGCCATCTGAGGAGTCATCTTCTGAAGACTGGACCTCCTCCAGTGGCTCATCGGATGAGAGCCCTGACTCGGAAAGCGAAGATGATACGCCTAGCTCATCCAATGCGTCGTCGGCATCTGCTGCAGGGGAGACAAATGCGAAGCCTGCTGTGTCTTCCAAGCAGGATGTAGCCGGCGCTACGGAGACTACTCAAGAACCAACCCAGGATGAACGCTCCGATGTACCCACACACGAGGCAGTTACTTCTGCCAAGGAAGTTCACCCCCTGGAAGCACTATTCAAACGGGCCGGCCCGCTTGCATCTGATGTACCAGCTGCTCCAGATGCCAGCGCCGGTTTTAGCTTCTTTGGGAATGACGACATCGAGTCTGAAGAGGAAGAGCCACGGGTCACCGAGCCCCAGACTCCATACACCAAGATGGATCTCCAAGCACGAGGCTTACGGAGTGCGGCGCCAACACCAGACACGGCAATGCTTGGTCGACGTATGAAATGGAACGACTTTGATGAGATGGAAGACGAGGACCAGGACGACGTCAACAATACCCCTGTCGCCAAGACCCGGAATTTGGAGGCTCCTCAAGAAGACACCGAGTTTGTGAAATGGTTCTGGGAGAACCGTGGTGAGAATAACCGGGCGTGGAAGAAGCGTCGGCGCGACGCCGCCAAGGAGCAGCGGCAGCGGGAGAACCGGAAGAAGGGGCTGAAGGGCAAGTCCTGATTTTGAGTAATGGGTGCATGTACATATTCTGTAGCGTCTACCACTCATACTACTACATGACTATAGTTATCCATCACTGGTTCTTATTCTCGATTCTCAGTTAGGGCTGGTTGCGCGGTCACCTGACCCGATAACGCCGATAACAGGTCAATGGCCGCGAGGCTCTTCACCAAACCTATCCATCATCCCCTGTTGCAAGATGGATCGCGCCACGTCATTACAGGGCAGCAGTCGGCTGCTGCTGCTCCTGCTGTTATTCCTCAGCTTTGTATCGTTGAGTCTTGCCGGCTGTGAGTAACCTCCGCTCCACGAGAAAGAGAGAGCAGCACGAGTCCGATCCTCAAAGAAACAACTCCCAGAAACACATCCACCGCTATCACGCTACAAGAAAAGCCACTGACCCATCCCGTTGAATAGCACCCACCTCCTTCTGCAAATGCACCTGCTTCTCCAACAGCACCATCATTCCTCTCGATCCCGCCAAATCCACCAGCAGCTCTTCGGCCATCGACAACGTGCTCCTCAAATACCGGCATCTCAGCGCAGGCACGCAATCCGACCACATGGAAGAAGCCGCAACCGAGTATGAGAAGCGTACCGCATCCAAGTACCGGCCACTGACCTGCAACGACTGCAACCGCAAGTTCTGTCTGGACTACGAACTGCCTACCTGCAAGGGTGCCAAGGAGGAGGATGTGTTTACCACGTGCTTTCGTAAGTGGGGGTTTTGCAGCAGGAGGTGATCGTGTGGATGCTAATGGTGATTTACTTGACTAGAGCGCGATTCGCAGAAGGATGAGGCGGTGGTGTTTATTTTCATTATTGCGACGGGGGGTTGGTTGCGTGGGCGGCGCTGAGGCCGTGGATTGAGAAGTGGCTCGAGGTAGGTCTTTGGTCTCACTCTTTATTTTGCATTGATTGATCTCTAATTGTTATACCTGTCAGGCTGCGCGCGAGCGGAGATCGTATATCCCTGTAGCTCAACCGGAGACCCGGTAGTTTGTTAGCTAATTCTGTATATGCTTGGCACGAGGATGACCCAATGAACATATTTACATCCGTATTCTACTGTGTATACTGCGTACACTATCACCAACCAAATCAGACTACTGAGTTAGTGATCATCCATCACACGGTGTGCGGACGCGCAGGCTCCCGATTGGAATACGAACCGAATCTGGCCCCGATCGCGGTGTGGAGCAGGACCAACAACGTCGGTGGTTTCGTGTTTCAGAATAACCGGGCCGACCGGACTGACAGGAAAGATGGCCATGATGATACTGCTGGGCAGGAGAGAGTACAGTAGGGAATAAGGGCTCGAGAAGCATAGTAAATAGTTGACGATGCGCCCAACATTCCACGTGCAGTGATCTCATCCGCGATCAGACCGTCGCCGTTGGGAAACCGGGAATGATGTATTCCTGCAATTAAAGTCCCTCTTCCCCTCCTGGTCATCTTCCTCTTCTTCTTCCCACACACTCTTTTTTCTCTTCCTTCTCCCCCATTCACTCCTTCATTCCGATCGGGGACACACAGTCGGTAGTCACCTAACTACAAATCCAAAGTGATCGCCCATTCTAATAATACCAAACCTGTGGCGCACCCGTTCTTACTCCACCGATCACCGCGATGGCCATCTTCGACGCGGAAAAGCGGCCTCGCGGACTGCGCATGCCGTCGTTGTCCGCCATGAAATCCGGCAACGCGGCTTCCAAGTCACAATTCACCCTACATAGCATGCACAGCATGCACAGCAAGAAGTTCTCCGAGCTCTACGAGAACGACTTGCCGGCCATTCCTCCACCTCACGCCGCAAACATTCACGATTCCTCTCCGCCACCACCACGCCCGCCTCCTCCACCCAGCAAGGAACTGCCACCAACGCCAGGGGAGCAGCCACTGCCCGCCGCGCCGCCGTCGCTGCCAGAAAAATCCATGAGCCCGCCCGCTCCCCCTTCCAAGACCCCGCCGACAGGTCTGCGATCTGCTAATGCGCCCGCTCGCAAAGCGCCGGCTGCGGGTAATGCGTTCGCAATTGAACAAGCTGCTGCTGCTCGTCCGCCGCCTTCACGTCCAACGCGATCTACAGATCGTCCAGCGCTGGAGACCTCTCCACCGCTCCAGCCACAATCGGTGACCCTCTCTCCCTCTGCGAGCGAGCAGTCTGTTCAGTCGGTGCGCGCTGCTCCGTTGCCACCTGGGCGATCTACAGATCGACTTACACTCGATTCACCGTCTCAGTCAAAACCACTGCCGCAACCGCAATCGCAATCGCAATCGCAATCACAGTCGCAATCGCAATCCCAGCCACAGCTACAAACACAAGCGCAGCCAAAGGCAAATCCACTGCCTCAGCCGCAACCCCGAGCGCAATCTCCACCAAAGCCACTCCCCCAGCCGGAGCCTCAAGCTCAAGCGCAGCCGAAGCCACTCCCCAAGCCGCAACCTCCAACACAGTCGCAGCCCGCGAAACCTGCTCCCGCGGAGCCACTGTGTAGCGGCTCTATTACAGCACTAGAAGACTTCAATCTCTCCCCCGAGGCAATGGGAATGGGCGACCCATTTGACAGGACATCAAGCGACGAACCAGGCCCTGTGCCGGACACGCCGCCCGCAGAAGTGGAGATTCAGCCAGCACCGTTGAAACCAGTGCATTTCCTCTGCTTCCAGGAGCACCGCGCCATGCCCGTGTCCCAGAACGGGTGGCATCCCGTGCCCTGTATGGCGTGCCAAAAGCGAGACACAGAGATCCGGCATCGCTGTGTCTTCTGCGATCTGCGTATCTGCGAAGGTTGTTACAAGAAGCTACAGCAATGCAAACGGAGGTCGTTGCAGGAGATGATGGGTAGCTTGCATTGATTCGTCTTGCATCGTTTATGCTAACCAACCCAAGGAATGGTGGGGTGGAACGGGGTGGGACTTGCGGCGTCTTTGTGGTCGAGTGTTCATGTTCAGGAGCGGAATGGGATGGGGCCTCCAGGTCTATGGCGAAAGTGTCAGTTATGTCTTTATTTTTCTTTTGATGATACCAGGAACGTCCGTGTACATTATGTTTACCCCCGGATGGTGACAAAAACATCGCATGGCATCGTCTGCATGTCTTTAAGGATATTCCTTACATTCAATCATGATCCTCCTCTGTGAGGCCAGGACAGCCCTCCAGCTCCTCATCCGTCTCGTAGCGATACTTACACCAGAAGCAATATCGATATGTTTCGCGGAGAAAGACAACCAGCTTCTGTAGCTTCTCCGCAGGTTCCAAGGCATTAAAGGCGTCCAGCTCTGGGTCCTCCTCTTCGAGTTCCTGCTCAAATGTAGCGGTTTGGGGATCGAGCCGAAGGCCCAATGCTTTCTGGTCATCTCGTTCGAGAGTGTCGTCGTCGTATGTGGGGAGGCGTGGATTGGGGAAGAAGGAAGAGGGCAGCGAGGTTTGGAGGGCGTGCCGGGCGTGGATATCGCGTTCGCGCTCTTCTCGCTCTCGTACTAGGCCGCGATAGAGTACATTGAGCTTGGCAGTGGGCTTGACGCTTGGTTTCTTATTCTTGGTGTGCGATGCTTCAGGTGTGGCGTGCTCATCAGGACGCCTTGCGTCATCCTTGGCTCGACGTTTATTCCCACCGTCGTCCTTGTCGTCGTGGCTGTCGTCTTGCCCGTCCTCGCTATCCCTCTCTGCTGGTGGATCTGACGATATTGGCTCCCCCGCCGCCTCGCCGTCCAGCCTCTCCGCCACCTTCTGCGCAGCACGCACCTGTGCCTCCGTCCGGCGCAGCTCACGCTCCTCCCTAACACGATCACGATAATCACCTTCCTCGCGCTTGATTTTCTTCACCGCCTCAGCGGCCTCTTCCCTGATCTTGCGCTTCTTCTCGCTATCCAATCCAATGCCGCCGCGATCCTCCTTGAACACGAGATTCAGCGGCTCCGAGCGAGCAGCGCCCAGACCCAGGCCCGGCCGCGTGCCCTCGGACAGCGGCGGGGTATCTTCGGATGCAGTGGTTGCTGTCTCGCGTTTGCCGAGTGATTCGCCGGGCTTGAACCCCAGCTTCGCCATCATCTGGAACCCCTTGTTGGAGGGGTCGAGCGTGCTAGTGGCTAGGGCTTCTTCGCGGCGGGCGGCTTCTTGCGCGGCGCGCTCGGCTTTAGAGGGGACTTTGGCGCGGGCTTCGGACTATTGAGGGTTGGCGAATGATCAGCCACTGTCTGTGTGTTGGTTGTCGGCCCTTTGAGCGGGACAAAAACTCACCTCGCGTTGTTGGCGCCGCTTCCGCTGGGTAAAGGTTTCTTTCTGCTGCGCGGGCTCCTCGATTACCATTGACATGTAGTCGTCCTCTTCATCGTCAGGGGACGGCATTGTGATGTGGGTGGTGGCTGTGGCAGTTGTGGTGGTTGTGAAGAATAAAAACGGAAGCAACAGAAAAGATGGTTTTGCGGGGAAGTAAAGTGGATCGGCCCTTGCATCACCTGAATTCATCACTAACGCTCACTAGGTAGCCACAAGATAACAATCGGAGGTATATTTTATGCCTGAGATGATTGAACCCCCATTGCTTGATTGAAGAAGACAGAAAGAAAACAAGCGACATGAAAGATGACGTACAAAAGTGGATGATCAACATGGATGGCCTAAACGACTACCCAAACGAGGCTAAACGAATCTCCGCTCGGAGCCTTCTTCTATGCCCGAGATTGAGGGATGGATGTAACAGCGACCGACTAGTTAGCTGCGACATTCCGCGGTTAACTGGTTAAAATGCCCCTTGGTCGCTTTGTCGCTCTGTCTCCTTCCTATCTATATTTATCCATCCGGATACCCTGTACAGCATGGCGCTCGCTCGCTCCATCTCTTTGTGTCTCTTCCTCTTTCTGGTCTCGGTGCAGGCCACAGTCGTCAATCTAGGCTATGCCAGCTACAAGGGCCGCTCGCTGTCCAACGGCGTCTCGCAATGGCTCGGGGTCCGTTTTGCCGCAGCGCCCGTCGGTCCTCTGCGCTTCGCAGCACCGCAGGACCCATCCAAAGAGGCCGGAGTCCAAATAGCAGACCAGGTAAGACATCAATGGATTGTTTATCGTCACGTCTTGAGGCTGATTCCGGCTTTCGTAGCATGGGGACCTCTGTATTCCCACTGCGGAGTATCCGATCCCAAGTGGGACCTCGGAAGACTGCCTCTTCCTAGACGTCTACGCCCCCACCGGGGCAGCCAGTGCCGCTGCCAAGCTGCCGGTCTTTTTCTGGATCCAAGGCGGCGGTTTTGCGGCGGACTCTAACCCGAACTACAACGGGTCTGCCCTGATTGAGGCCTCGGATAAGAACATCGTCATCGTCACCTTCAACTACCGTGTCGGTCCCTATGGCTTCTTGTCTGGTAAAGAGGTCCAGGAGGGCGCAAGTCTGAATAATGGTCTGAAAGATCAACTCAAGGCACTGGAGTGGGTGCAAAAATATATCAGCAAGGTATTTATTTACTTGGCGGTTCTCTGTTTCACCATGCCCAGCCTTAACTAATTTCCTCTATATATAGTTCGGCGGTGATCCCGACCACGTCGTCATCGGCGGTGACAGTGCTGGAGGTGCATCTGTAACTCTGCTGCTTTCTGCCTACGGTGGTAGAGACGATGGTCTGTTCCACGCCGCCGCCGCGGAGTCGCAGAGCTTCGCCACCATGTTCAACGTGACGGGCAGCCAATTCGCATACAACAACCTCGCCACCCGCACAGGGTGCAACACGAGCAAAGACAGCCTGGCATGTCTGCGCAATCTGAATGTGACCGCCCTGCAAAAGCAAAACATCAACACGCCCTTCCCCGGTGCCCCTGGCTCGCCGCTGTATCTCTACGGCCCCACGGTAGACGGCGACCTGGTGCAAGACGACACATACAAACTCTTCGCGGAGGGCAAGTTCATCAAAGTCCCCGTGATTTTCGGCGACGACACAAATGAAGGTACAATCTTCGTCCCATCGAGCACAAACAGCACGGGCGAAGCCGACGCATTCATCAAGGACCAGTTTCCCGCCATTACGCAGTCGCAACTCGCAACCATCAACAAAATCTACCTGAACTCGTGGCAGACAGAGACATTCCCCAATGCCGGAATCTACTGGCGCCCCGCAGCGACCGCCTATGGTGAAATGCGGTACATCTGCCCAGGAATCGACATGTCATCCATCTACGCGGCCGCTGGCGTGCCGAGCTGGAATTACCACTACGCCGTGCTAGACCCGGCATCCGAGCGCGCGGGCTACGGCGTCTCGCACACAATCGAGACAAACGCTATCTGGGGACCAGATATGGTCAGCGGCACGCCGCCTGCGTCGTACTATACCACCAACGCGCCAATCATCCCCGTCATGCAGGGATACTGGACCAGCTTCATCCGGTCGATGAACCCCAATACGCATCGTGATCCGTCTAGTCCGGAGTGGGAGACTTGGGGACATGGTCAGGATGCCTATCGGCGGATTTTCCTGCGGACGAACCAGACGGGTATGGAGACTGTGCCGATGGATCAGCGCAAGAGGTGTAAGTTTTTAACGGGCATTGGAGGGCAGTTGCATCAGTAGATGAATTCTATATCCTCTATTTATGCCCAACTGGGCCGTATTTGGGATGGTTTGAAGCGAGGAAGGGGGTATCAGTATATAGCCAGTGGTATGGGTGTCCCAGCTACCCTTACAGCAAAGCACTGCACATATTGCACATACACACAGGATAATGTCTGGCGCCCGTGACTTGCTCTTTCCGTTTTAGTGCTCACCACTTGTTCCCTAAGTAGAACTAAGCATGGAGCTGAGCGGCCTGATCTGCTCCCGAGTTAAGCACCCACTGACTGCTTAGCTAACTATTCATGAAGAAATCAGATTACTAACGACGATCCCAGCACTGGACGGACGAAAGAGTCGAATCAGATTGTTGGAATTAGATGACTCGTATTGCGGATGTTGAAAGTATTAACCATAGTTCTTGACCAATAGCTTATCCCCGGTTCCTGGAATAGATGCACTGCCAACACAAAAATAGCTGAAAGTATTTTCTCTAGACGTCAGAGACCTTGCCTTCCAGTGAATCTATGGTCTATCTTTTTATTCACAGCTCATCATATCGGGGCGCTATCTCCATGATGAAGCAGCCAAATGAAGCACTATTTCTCCCTTGGCGCCTCTTGCCATAATATTATCTCGATACTATCATTCAGCCCGACGACGTGAATTGTCGAATCGCCCAGCAGGGGCGACTAGCGATCCGCCATGTCTTGGACCAGGTTCTTTCTTTTGGTAGCTTTTCTGCTATCCCTATATCTGCAGACAAGCAGCCTAGTGAACAGGAGCAGATTATATTTGACAAAAGTCTACTCAATAGTGTTGATGTCGATGATCGAGGTTCCTTCCTCGGCTGGCTTAATGGGACTGCGGAGCAGTGCCATGAGAAGTGGTTGACGTGGGGTGAACTTTAGTTGATAGGTTTCTGAATATCTTGAAAAGCAATATAATAATAAATATACCTTCGCAAGTCCTTCATTTATGCCTGACTCCAGGGTCGAGTGGCCATGGTCGGACGACCGCGGTTCGAGGGACAAAGACGGAAGTCAAATGAGTTTGGGCCAAGTATCCCAGATACCTCCCTGACCACGACCCACCGTTCGTCCCAGGTGGACTTTGGGCCGGGGCCCATGATCCATCTGGGCCAACCAGTCCGTCATCTAGCAGCCAGGCTGGCTTTCCGGCGGCACTGGTCGGTCAGCCTGCCTACGCTCTTACTTACCAATTATTGACTATATTCATGACAACAGTTAGAATATTCTGCCTCGATACTTACTTGGGGATCTCCTTGAGCCCATTTTCGTTATGATACGATCTTTTGGCAATCAGTGTCCACGATAGTTTACTTCTACAGGTCTCCGCTATAATGCCTGCTCTTGGGATTTGTCTAGCCTTTATTTGGACCATGGCGAGCCGAACGAGAGACGCGACCATGTCCGCGTCCAAAAAGCCTCTGGTAGGGAACGCGAAATTCCCGATCCAGTTGGGCGATTTTTGCTTGGCTGCGATCATGGTCCGCTTGTAAGACGTGATTCGTTCTATCCTCAGTATCGCTAGGATTTTCTGACATCGTTGGTTGTTGGGAATAGTAAGTAGAAGTTAGAGCAAGGAGGAAATGTTATCATTACACTGGATATTTGATTAGACTGTGGAATGAGGGCCCTGGCATTTGGAGGCGGGTATTATCTGTCGACACAAGAGAGTGGAGTCGACGAGCCAGTCTGTCGGTAGACAGATGCACTCTTCCAAGGTCCATGGCTGGCTTGTCCACAGGTTAACGAGACCAATGAAAATGCGGGGAAGATGGTAAGGCTATAACAAGATGCGGAGTGGCGTTCGCATTCAGGTTTGATCGGTCCTGACTCTCGGGTCAGGCTACTCTGGTCGCCTCTTTAAACTTTGTACGTGGCCTAGATCCATTAATTAACTTTATTGGAACTTCTCGAAAACTTCTTGAAGATGGCTGGGTGGCGTGATCTCTTTGTAGCCTCAAGCGTTTCATATATTCATATATTCATATATCTGCTTTATTGGTTTGCTCCGCCCGTCCCCTACTTGTTACCCATGATAGGGACGATCATTCATAGCGATAGATTCCTGCTTCTATTGCTTACTAGAATGCAACACCCTGAAAAGAGTGATGAGTTCTTGATCAAAAAGGATATTGTCCGAGAATGAAGTTGCTTACACTTTATGGGTTAACCGCCCTGAGCTGTTTGGCTGCAGGTCAACTGTTTCCACCACAATATCCGCAGTGTGCTGTAAGCCCCATTTCGAGCACCTCCCCGACAAAGACCTTTCTCCTAACTCTTAGATTCACTTTAGCGAGATTGCACAACTGCGTTATCAACGCAGTTCAACTGTATGGCAGCAACGGATGTCGCCTGCCTTTGCTCTGGCGAGATTTTCGCGGCTCTTTCCGCATGCTTTCACGCTGAGTGCACTGTTTTGGAGACATTGGGTGCTTCAAAGGTCAGAGCCCAGACATGGTGTCATTTGCCAGCCACCGATCATGGGGATATTCTGGTGATTATTGTGTCGATATGCGGTTTTGTTTCGACTGCCATTATGGCTGTGAGAGTTAGCGGTCAGTATCTGCGGCGCAATCGGTTAACGGTCGAAGATTATCTCATTATAATAGCATGGGTGAGCCTGCTTTACCTTTATCTGGATGGTTGGAAGTATATTTTATGCACTGATATTGACAAAGTCCCGTTTCACAGCTAGTTGTGGTCAGCCACGTTACTATTGCTATTATTAGTAGGTGGTAGCCAATCGCTCCGAATAAAGAGGAAGTATTGACTAACCTTGGCCACAATTAGTGTACAGAGCTGGCGTGGGTAGGGATATGTGGGATATTCCGCCAGAGAATATCTATTTCAACATGAAAGTCAGCTGCAACCCTCCTTTCTGAGTACAGTCAGTGCTAATATTTTTACTCATTCCACAGCTATTCTTGGCCCTCGAAATAGGTTATCTCACAGCCATCTCAGTGACGAAGATATCCATCCTCCTATTCTATCTCCAGTTGTTCGTATATATACCAGCAGTTATATACACTTTCATTACCTTGACAGCATTCTACAATGTGGCGTTTGTGCTGGCTCGCCTTCTCTCATATATCCCTCTGGCCGGTGCGTGGACCGCATGGGACGGCACTTTCACGGGCCGCCACATCAATGTTGATGCCCTGTGGTATGTGGCTGCAAGCCTCAATATCATCTTGGATCTCAGCATTATGCTTCTGCCGTTGTGGCAATTACAGAAGTTGCAGATGAGTCTCAGAAAAAAGCTCCAAGCCGGCTTGATGTTTATGGTTGGGGTCTTGTAAGCAAATCCGACCTTCGGCGATGTGTTTGCTGGTGAATTGACAAGGTCACTAGTGTCATTTTTGTCTCCATAATACGCATACCAAACCTGCACAACGCCACCAATGCAGTACACCTAATGAAAGCGGACGCTATCGTCGCTCTCGGCTGGTGGAGTACTGTTGAAATAACTGCGAGTATCATGGTCGCTTGTATGCCGAATATACGTTTGTTTGTTTTGTACTTTATTCCCACTGCCCACTCGCAAGCAGGCAGCGGCCACGACTCTTCCGAAAGCCCTAGTCGACTTGTTCGATGTAACGGCACAATCGCTATGAACAATCTGCCCTGTGACAAACGCAGGGGCTTGAACATTCTCGCAACAGATTATGTGTTGGAAAGCTCCTCATCAAACCAGGGGTTGACGCATGAAAATCTGCCAAGAGCGTTTGATCAGGAGAGTTCACAGATTGGCACTGTGAGTAATTGTTAGCAGATTCTTTTGGCGAGGATGCCCTATCTTTCTTTCCTTCGCAATGTTATTCTCCTAAATACTGCGACATAATTACAGGTTGATCAAGTTTAATAACCTAGATCATTGCTAGTGTTTATAGAATGGCCAGACTGAGCCAGCCCAGTCTATACTAGAAGCTATTAAATGGCAAGTTGAGAACCCTAAAAGGTAGAAAACTATAGTAATCAACCCGGCTATTTGCTAAGGCGGTTAGATCGGATAAAATGGCATATTATCATGTGTTTATAGGGTAGTCAACTTTCGCCGCTTGATCTATCCTAGAAGTGATGAAATGGCGGCTTGAGGTTTGATTAGATGTAGTCAAATTTAATCATCTTACTGATGGCTTCAGAGACAGGATGGTGTATTGGGATATAATGAAAAGGAATCCCGATTTGGCCACCTTAAACATTTTCTAAGGAGGAATAGGCTGATTGGATATGTTAGTTTAACTACCCTAATAAAGTCTAGAAATAGAGGAATAGCGTGGTCTTACGTACCTAAGAGGTGATGAAATATGATCATTTTAATAAATTTGAGGTGATGAAATAGTCAGTTAAGATGTGCTTAAAGGGAGGTCAAATTTCGTTATGGTTCATTACTACTGATGGAGAAGAGGGAAGATCAAATCATTATTACTAAAGGAGAAGGTGTTAGTATCCATCAAATTGAGTTGACAAAAGACATCACCAGGAGGATTGTAATATAAATTATCTGAAAGGATACTGTAGTTGCCAGTAGCTGATGAGGGTAACCAGCGTCATACGTTCCGCTCGCTCTAATGAGGGAGTGACTCGCAGCGCGGAAATTCTTCTATGTCGTCTCATTCGTAACATTCGCCGGAGTCTCTGTCTAGCCTGCAGCCTGAGCACCGTCTGCTCGGGGTCCCGAGCTTAAGTGGGGCAATGTTGTGTAATATGTTAGTCGAGACGCGATCTGGGGTCGATGCAGAGCGGCGACGATCGAGGAAAGGAGGTGTAAGAAAGTGAGCGTTACGTCAATTCTCACCGTTCCGGAAAACTTGGATTCCACCGAAGTGGAGCCGGAGGTGGGTTGTCAAGTGTTGAAAATCACAAACATTTGGGCGTCTCATGGATCTTGTGCCATTTGGGTTGAATGTGCAAGGACGATAACTTGGGATCATTATAGCCTTATCCTCTTACCTGCTGGCTCTCATGTACAAAGGTCCCTGCAGATAGATGTTTTCATCTTCCTCTTTCATGCCTTTTTTAAGTGAAATATGGTTCTTAGTCTTTACACTTCGCGCTCTTGATGCTGGGTTAAAATTGTATTGTGGCTCCTCTTATGTAGATGCAGCGATATGCCCCGGATCTGGAGGAGCTCGAGCCTCTCTCTCAGTGGGAGGGATGTGGTCCAGACCGACGGCTTTAGCGCTCTCATCCACTTCGCCAGACTCCCCCTGCGTTCTGATGAACCAATGGCTTGGATACAGACAAAAACTGCCGAGAATCGGAAGATTCCGATACCATTTTCCCGGAATGCATCTTGTCCGTACAATGGCAAATCAGACGAGATCCGCATGATACTTTTGGAGCCACCCAAAGTGATAGAAGGTCACTGGTGCGACACGCCGAATATCAACATCGCAAGCCAGACCCTCAGCCAGCTGCGAGTGGGCGACCTCGCAGGCAGAGAAAGATGAACTGACCATTGAATCGCTCGGCAGCCACGTGCACACCCCAGCAGTCACTAATAATGAACAGTGGCCGACCGCTGTATGAGTTGCCTTCGACCTGGACTAGTTACAGTACAGTTATAATATGCACAGGCAGTTGGGAATTGATGTCGGACCAACAATATACCATATATTCTAGCATGTAGAGGATGCAATGGCAAAGTGATGATCATGTCTAGTTCTGCTTATCCTGGGGATCCATGCTATCTGACTTTGCCAAGCTCTTAGGGGATTCGTGATATCCGAGATATCAGGCCCAAAGACTGGGGACGCCGATTAACTAAAGTGCCCTCGAGGATTGATGGTGGCATATTTCCTTCAAACTCCAGTTTCTCAGTCGCGTTTTGGTTGGATGATGGCATACTAGCAAAATATGTGGCTCTAGCGGCGACTCCGAAATAGTGAAGCGGGCATCTAGAACCTTATCTCACTGGCGACAACCTTGCTGTCGCCGATATGCGGAAAGTCACGCCAGGATCTTGTGGGCCCAAGTTCCTGGCATGGCCAGAAAGCAAGCAAGGTGTGTAATAGCCACACGGAATTTGGTGATATCTGCTGCAGGGGCCGAGACGGGTCGCCCTCCGTAACTCGAGTCGCTAATAGACTTCCCAGGAACATGTCAGCCATGTATGATAGAACGCCCCAGGAAAACGGCCAAGCAAGCAGCATATTTTAACCTTTCTAGACCAAGCCACTATCTGTTGGGGATGACCAGTCATCGGGCCAGCATCTGCCATAGCCTACCTTCCCCAGTTTCGCCACAGGTGGAGGAGTTAGCTTGGCAAAGCGTCTCGTACCCGCCCCCCTAGCGGAAGTTCTCCGAGCCCTAGCTGCTGTAGCTTGACCAGTACTCGACTCCAGTGAGAGGTTAGGATGTATCTCGACCAAATGCACTCGATCTTTGAATGCTCGCTTCCATATGAGCTGAAACGCAGGATGAAGCAGAAGCGCACATGGGTATAGAAATGAACGGAGGAGGACCCGGCCGTGCGCCATGTGGTATCGTGCCGGCGCTATCCCGATGCGACACCCTTGTCTCAAAGAGACCCGACCCCAGCTTGCGGCGACGCCGTCGAATAGGACACTGGCGCCGACCAGCTTTTTCGGCATCCAAGCTCACTTAGCTCGGTCCCAACCTTGGCCGACCCCGTTCATCATTCCGCCGATAGTCGGCCTATGGCGCATTTGATCGTGAGAGTCCGGCGATTCTCTGGTGCGTTTCGCAGAAGCATGGAGTAGTGGCGAGACTGGAGCATACGGGGGGTCCAAGTGCGGAGTGACTTGGACTCGCACACTCCCGGCGTTTGCAACTCTCTTTGTTTCCTCCAGACTTCCCCGCATTGCACTCAGGTTTGCCTTGGCCCAGCATGACTATTAAAAGGCCCCTGGGCACTCGTTGCCTATCACCTTTTCTTTCTATTGTATCCTTCAAACCTCGCACTTGTGCTATTCCAACCGTGACATACCATAGTTCCCCACGATGACAGGCGGAGCTAAAAAGCCAGTTAATATCTTCCGCTTGAAGAACCTGGGCGAGCCCAAGGAAATATTCAATTGGAAACTATGGTTCGCAGTCATCTCGTTCGGTTTGATGGGAGCTGCGCGAGGCATTGACGAGGGTCTGATTTCCGGCGCTTTCAACTCCAAGGACTTCCAGCGGTACATCAACTACAGTTCCTACAGCGAGGTCGAGCAGACCAATATCAAGGGCAATGTCTCGGCCATGGTCCAGATTGGATCAGTAGGTGGTGCTCTCTTGTAAGCTCAACCATTTCCTCTCTCTTGTGAGCTGATGATAAACTAAGCCTTCCCGGTTCAATAGTGCCTTCTTGGTCTGTGATCGCATCGGCCGTATCTGGGCAACTCGTCAGCTCTGTGTCCTGTGGATCGTGGGTATCGCGATTTTCATGGGAAATAATGGAAGTCTGGGGGCCGTGTATGCCGGTCGTTTCATCGCTGGACTAGGAGTCGGCCAGACTGTCGTTGTTGCCCCTGTCTACCTGGCTGAAATTGTGAGTGCTGGGGAATTTGAAGACGTTGAGAATATTTCAATTTTTCTAACTAGCAATCCCAGGCTCCTGCCGCCATTCGTGGTCTCTGCACTTGCGTCTTCACGGGCTTCGTGTATCTCGGTACATTCTTCCTGTCCGCCAGGTAGATAAGTCTCTGAATAACTAACCCTGTCACATATAGGCATTGTATTGGCTTACTTTGCGAACTACGGATGTCAGGTAGGTTTTTCTCGGCTACAAATAACCAGTGCAATGTGGGAAACTGTATGACTGACACTCAAGCAGGTCAACTTGGGAGACAACACAAACAAGAGATGGGTTAGTAAAGCAAATCCAGATTTCGGGGGCTGGCGCTAACTGCATGTAGGAGGTTCCTACCAGTCTCCACATTATGTTCGCCGGCTTGATCCTTCTTCTCTCCTTCCTCCAATATGAGTCTCCAAGATACCTTGTCAAACAAGGCCAGTTGGATAAAGCCATCGACAACCTCTCTCGTATCCGTAATCTACCCTCGGATCACGAGTATGTCGTGAAAGAGATGAACGCGATTCAAATGGCGCACCAGGCAGAGATAGAGGCGACTATGGGATCGGGCCCGATGGGTGTCATCAAGGAGACCTTTTTGATCCCATCCAACCTCTACCGTGTCTATCTCACCCTGATGGCTCAGATTCTGTCGCAGTGGTCGGGCGCTGGATCGATCACACTTTACGCTACTGATCTGTTCAAACTACTAGGCATTACGGGTAATAACGAGAATCTGCTAGTGACAGCAATCTTCGGGATCATCAAGCTCGTTGCCGCTATCCTTTGTGCCCTCTTCCTAGTCGACGTCATCGGTCGTAAGCGCGCTCTGCTTCTCGGCATTACTTTACAGGCTATCTCTATGATCTATGTCGCTGGTTTCCTGACCGCCGTGCCGGAAATGGGCGTGGTAAATGGTTTCAAGCTTCCGCAACATCAAAAGGGCGCTAGTGAGGGAGCGATCGCCATGATCTACCTCTCCGGGTTTGGATGGGCCCTCGGCTGGAACTCGATGCAGTACCTGCTGACCGCGGAACTGTTCCCTCTGCGGATCCGTGCGCTAGCGACGTCGCTGGCCATGACCTTTCACTTTGCCAACCAGTACGGTAACTCCCGCGCCGTGCCCAACCTGCTCCTTCCCGCCGCCGCTGGTGGATTCAGCCCAAAAGGTACTTTCTGGTTCTTTGCGGCCGTCACTATTATTGGTGGTGTCTGGGTCTGGTTTAGTGTGCCCGAGACTGCTGGTCGTACGCTTGAGAGCATGGACCGGCTGTTTGAGCTACCATGGTACCAGATCGGCCGGCATGGCAACCAGGATGCGGAAGAGCGGGACCAGGTGGTGGATCAGAAGGTGGAGATGATCGCTGCTCATGGAACCTCTCAGCATGTGGAGAGGCAGGACGCGTCGGGCCGTGTTTGAAGAACCGTCTACCGTCGATATTTTGCTGACCTTCTGGGTCTGATATGTCATACTACTATGGACTATGCGATCCGGGGAAGTAGCGTTGCGACTCAAAATGGGTCGAACGATTCGATTAGAACTTGGCCCAATCCCTGAAGAAGGCTCTCAAATTGTTCGTTCGTAAGATTGTCCATCTTTGAAAGAAGTATATAGCCAAAATAATTCGGCGTAGAGGGCCCTTTTGAAAATGCATGTGGATATTACCGATCCGTGCTATTTTAGTGATTTCGTCGGAGAGAACAGTGGTAGTCAGTGGAGGGACAACTGAGTTTCTTTGCTTAGCCCGAGGACAATCAAGAGGGCAAATGGCGGGAATCTATGGGTCGAACATGCTCCTCTACACTGGAGGGTTGTTGGTGAAAATAGGGATATCGATGGTCGATAACGATGACTTTTTTTGGGGGAGGAGTGGAATTATCTATGGGAAGAAGGGAATGACGGCAGCAAAAAAAAACAAGTAGTTTTCTCCCCTTTAAACTGACTGCTGCGAGAGACTCAGTGTGAATACTGAAATCAGTTTGCCAAACATTATGTCAATCCTGCACACACTCTCAGGCCACCTGCGTTTCCCGATACAAGCACCCCCAGCTACGGCTAGAGATTTTTTTCCACCAAGTGTTTCCTGAAATCCGGCTTGGTTCTGTTATTTGTGGTCCGATGACAAGCGCCTAATAATATCTGCGTGCCTCGGGGAGTGTCTAGGTCTCGACTTTCGATAATAACGTGCAGATATTCTGTCGAGTTATGCTGGGCTTCTGTAAATGTGGGAATTTTACCCTTTTTTCAAGTTCCTCGAGGATTCCCAATGCCATCAGGATAACGATGCCTTGTCCGTTGGGTGGGTGCTCCCAGATCTTTACGCCCTGATTTGTGCCATCATCAGTCCCGAGCTGTATGAGCTGGAGCTGGTGGATGAGGAGGCGTATGAGCAGTGGCGGAGGGATGAGCGATTGACTGTGTTGGAGGAGATGCTGACTGTTCGGGCTCAGGCTCAGCAGTTTGTGGATTGGCCTCTTGACCCTTGAATTGGAGTGAGACGGCATCAACATCTTGGTCGCCAGACTCGGCGTGACATTTTAAATCATCGGGACTTAAATAGCCGCCCAGTCCTGTGCAACCTTGACGAGTTTCTCTGCGACGTGGCCTTCATAGAACCCCTTCTTGCCGTCAGCTGCTAGTGCACGGAAGTTCTGGGCGAGGGTTGGGTTCTTCATGATTTCGCTGGCAGAGGGACTTCTCACGCCATCCTTGACTGACGGGTCTACCTTGAGTAGTTCCTTGAAATTCGGGGATGCAGAACGGAGGAGATTCCAGTGATCACGTCAGTGCATTTGGTTCGGACAGAAGGGCGGTCTCCCTTCTCCAAATGCCAGCTTCCTTTACTTTGTCGATGAGAATAATCAGGGCGAAGTGTGGTCTCCATTACAACAACAAGATGCTCAGACAGCAGCGAGCTATGTGCTGGGAACGGCAACTCCTGAATATCTCTATTTCACCGAGACAAAGTCCCATTCTCATGAGTCTTAGCACATCAATGTCGAATCAGTTACAAAGGAAGACGACAACTCAGAGACCTGAAATCCTTCCTCCGCCAGCTCGATGGCCGGAGCAAGGATCTGCTTCAGAGAGAGCTTGCCACTGCCGAACCTCTCAACCGTGTCAACCCATCCCGCCGCCGCATCGGGTGTCGTCACGGCCAATGCGCTTGTCTTGGAAATCGATTCCGTCTGATCGGGGCAGACGTCCAAATCCGCTTTGATCTGCTCGAGGGTTGCGTTGGCAGGGTATCAGCCAGAACCGTTCATGGCACGGATGCTTTTCGTTTCGGCGTTATGAAAAACAGAACATGTCACTTCTAATGCCAGTGGACGACGGCTTCTGTGACATTTAATGCAGCAGCTATGGCGTGGAATGGTAAGATTTTTCTTCCCTCGGAAGAGTATCTGATGCTAGTAAAGTTACTTGCCGACAGCTACAGCGGCGTCCTATAGAATAGACAAATGAGCGTGTGTTACGCGGTAACAATGGATAGATCGATCGTACCGCAGCATTTCCTCCCTCCCGCAGAATTCTCTGTCTCGCAGCGGCGGCCAGGGGTTGAGTGCAGGTTACTATCCCGTTCGTACTATGATGGACGACACTTCTCCTGCTGGCAAACGGGAGGAAGCTCGGATTCTGTCTGGAATAGACAGCCTTCGAGTTGAGAGGCATTGTCACGCCTGCAAGCCGTAGAGGGATCGGGCTTAGATGAACAATCTAGTTTACACCTGTATTCATAATGCGGGCAACCAGATTGCGGGATAGACGAGAGGAAACGAAAAGAGGGGTGTCATTGTTCTGACTAGAAAAAGGGAAAACCATACACGGTAAAATTGGAGGACGTTCGTGTATCGGCGAGACTCGGAGAGTCAAGTCTAGAGTGAAGAGTCATAGGGACCAGTTGATAAGAAAGTGGGGTGCTGCGATAATTGATACTTTTGCGAATCGTAAATTGGATAAAGGACCTTCCACTTCTGGCGAACGTTACGGTCAACCCCACCACGATTGTATATTAGTTAGTTGGTACGTAGGCCAAATCTTATTTAGTATTATTGTGAACGTTTTGTTTGTTCATCCAGTTCGGCTCCCTTCCGACGATGATGTCCTTCTCGGTCGTCCAATGACATGCAGCTAGGCGGTGCCAAGATCGCCTTCGTTCCCTCAGCTAAAGGAAAACGAAATCTGCGTCGGGGAACGGGAGTAGAGAACGGAGAGCAGGATCTCGGGATGATTCTGCGGAGACCTATTTAATTTTCTTTTTTCTTTCTTCCTTCTGCCGAACGATTTTGACAACTGATTATCTCCGGCTACTCGCTATGGGACTCTCTGATGTTGCCCTTAGGTTACAGTGGCACGTGGACCCCGAAAGTTTTGCCGTTTTAGGTATAGTCAACTTTCGTCCGACGCTAAATAACCGTCGACCAAATATATGAACTCGGAAAGTTTGAAACCTGACAACCCCCACGATTACCGCTGTTTCCGCCGCCAAAAAATTCCTTTTTTTTTTTTTTTTTTGCATACAGTCTTCTGCGTAATAATTGCCTGCACACGTTGAGACATCGTTTCTGACAGACGCATCATGATATTTATCGATTAATCGTATGTTTGTAATATCGTTACTAGGCATCAACGCCATCGATTCGGGATGAACCTTATGTCTTATCCTTCAATAGTGTCCACACGTTCTCGATTGGACTCAAATCTGGTAGTTTTGAAGGCCAATCCGTAACCCCAAGTCCCATATCCTCAAGCGCATCGCGTACAATATACGCAGTATGCGTCGAAGCATTACCTTGTTGAAAATTTCCGTCTTGATTTGCAAGTAAAGTAGGCAAGATACAAGTTTTAAAACCGCATACTCCGTCACTTCGCTCCAATCATACTTAGATAGATAGCACCTTTTCATACAAGAATAGAACCGCGGGACTGAGAAGCCACAATGCGATATCTCAAAGGTATAGATAGGTAAGTAGATGGACAGATAGTTAGATTATAATGATCGATAATAAAACTACGTGGCCCAAGCGCCCTCCCTAGGATTTCGTTTTGCGAGTATGCTAAATGTGGCACTTCACCGATACATACATACACACGCACACATAGGTCAATGAACCACCATTATCTAGATCTCATGCTTAGTAGACGTATCGGAATCGGCGGTTCTGAATATCCGTCAGATCCAAGAAGGCCAGGTCGACCACGGACACCTCGTCCTCAGCCCCAGCTTGCTCCCGGTCTCTCTTGGCGTTCTCCCATGCCGTGAGCTGTCGGAGAGCAAGTGCCAGCAGGACCACGGCGGACATGGTCACGATCAGGGTAATCTTGGCCGCGTCATAGCTGGGTGCGTCGGCGTCCTGGAACAGCTGGGGGCCGATTAGATTGCCCACACAGAATGCCATCAAGGTCAGAGCGTTGCGCATCGCGCGCTTGGTATATCCGCTGGTGTTGGCGGAATTCCAACTGTAGATTATAGGAAGCATTGCCGGGCATGCGTTGAGGAGATAGACGCCGAAGAGCTTGCCCACTTTATACTGTTCACTAAGACCTGTCACAGGGAGAGCGATTAGATAGTGGATCATTCATCATCGTCTTCCAAGGAGCATTCATACCCAGGAGCAAGCCAGCGCCAAGAATACTGGGTATCGTAATGATGGCAATCATGTAGGAGCGGTGTCCAATGGCGCCGATGAGGTAGGTAGCCCCAACAGTGGCGATGATCGAGACGGCCCCTGAAGGCATCTGAATAATGGTGGTGCGCTGCGTGGAGAATCCGAATGTCGCGATGATGATGCTGGAGAAGTTGGACACGGCACCGTTGTCGATCATAGCCAGGAGAGTGATGAAGAATAAGGGCCAGGTCTCCTTGTCCTTGAATAATAGCTCCACCAGCTGGTACGGCTTGAAATGCTTGTTTTCAACACCGGTCAAGTTCACGCGGACGTGTTCTATGGCAGCAACTTTCTCTTCGTGGTTGAGGAAGGAAGCACTCATAGGGTTGTCCGGAAGGAGGAAGATGATGGCGATTCCAACCACCGTAGTAAGACATCCCTGCAATTCACCTTGGTCAGCTTCCAGTGTTCTCAAGATGATTACAGACCAAAATCAACCTACCATGAAAAGGAAGAGAATCTGCCAGTTCGCCAATGCGGTGGAGTTCACATGCTGAAAGCCATACGAGATAGCGGATCCAACAATCTGGGCCACTCCAATCTGACTGTACCACAAACCTGTCCGGCGCGACTGTTCCGGCTTGGTCCACCACATCCCCGTGATGAGGATGAGAGATGGCGCCACAGAGGCCTCGAACACACCGAGGAGTATACGAACGATCATCAGAGAGGCATAGCTTTGACAAGCGGCGTGGCAGGCAACGAGAATGCCCCAACAGGTGACATTGATTCCAATATACTTGCCAATGGGGAAGCGCTGCATGAGGTACGCGGTGATCGGCTCCGCGACAAAGTAACCGACGTAGAAGATGGTTCCGATATTGTTGTACTCATTCCCTTTCAGGTTATCCTTGATTCCCATGACGGCCGCATAGTTTAGCAAAGTCTTGTCAAGATACTGCAGGAAGTAGATGCTCATCAGGATGGGCATGATTCGCAGGTCAATTTTCCACCTCAACGCTCTGCTTTCCGCGATATCAACGGCCCCGGCCGCATGCTCCCGCGCCAGGAACATCAGCGCCGCATCGCCGTCCTCATACTTCTCAGGGGGTGTGGTTGGCTCCTGAAGGACTTCCTCGTTCGCGATATTTTCTTGGTTCTCCATGTTGCCTGATTGACTGAGATGAGGTTCCTTGACAAACGACCAGGAGTGGGAGCTCATGCTTATATGATGTCCCTGCCATAAGGTTTGCCGAACATCTGTAATGTGCTGGTTATCTGAAGCCCATATCAGCAGCGGAAAATAATAACTATGGTTTTACTAATGTTCTTGGGCCGAACATGTACCCCTCTCACTTATCGGAGTCAAGGGCTATCTGTGCCGCGTAGTCGCCCCACGCCCCTGCCGGTATTTGGTGCTTCTTACATTAGAGTTAACGCCTATCTTCTCCCTTTGCTCTCTTAAGGAGGTACGCCTACGAACCATGCCAGAACCAGTCTGATCCTCACCCCCCATGGATGTCAACGTCTAGGCATCTTACACTTCGTATCTATTGGCCGGTTAGTAAAGCCTCTGGCACGTTCAGGGGACTAATCTGGGTGAGGTAGTCAACTCTCACTTATAGCACGCCCGGAAATATCTCACATCGGGATATAGCACCAAATTTCCAGGAACGGACCCACTTTTCCACTTTTTACCATATAAACAGACCACTTATGGCGCACCCGGTTAGAACACACATTCTTCCTCCATGTCTGCTTGATATACCGAACTGACCAATCACAATGCAGCATTCAGTCTCTCTTTCGGCCAAGATGCTCGCCACTAGGCGTGCCAGGGCATATCAGGCGCCCAGAAACAGGCTCTACGTGTCTATGCATCTGAAACGCACCCTACAACCTCTAATATCCGAGCGATCAGATGCACCTGGCGCTGGAGCAAGAAGGCGTGGATGCGCAGTGGAATTATGGGAGAATTATTCCGCTGTTTTTACAGGGATATTGGCAAGCAAAAACGAATCCTACTTTTGCTTGACAATTTCTCCGCACATCTATCCGCGCGTGAAGATGCGCCACTACCGTCCAAAATTAAGGCGCTGTTTCTCCCGGCAAATGTGACGTCGACTTACCAACAACTAGACCAAGGAAAATAATCCGGAGCCGGAAGCATCACTATCGGAGAAGATGGATGCTTTTGATGATTAATATGCTTGTTCGGAATATTGATCCTCGAGAGAAAATGAACCTTGACTATACCCTACGCTGGACTACCCAGGCATGGCGTAATAATGTGCTTGATCAGGCTATATAGAACTGCTTTAACAAGAGTACTGTCACAGGTCGAGTGATCAGGCAGAAGTGTCGCCAGATAGCGGTCTGATTCTTCCGTTGCCAACACGGATATTACTTTATTTTGGCAACATTTGACTCACAATGCGAACGATCTCCTCCGGTTGGCTCAAGAAGGGGCAATGGCCAGCATCGATCGTCTCAACGATCAGCTTTCCCCCCGCGTTCACAGCGTCCTGGACCATGCTCTGCTGCAAAGGATGCATGATTGCCATGTCCTGGGTACAGTGCACGTATGTCGTAGGAAGATCTTTCCACGGGGCTCCTTTCATCGGACCCAAAGCTGCACCCCAATTGTGGGTCACATTCCCTCTCGCGAACTCCTCAGCAGTCTCGGGTTCAAGATCATTGTAGAAGGATTCGGGTGCGTTCTTAGCAAAGACAGTACCATCTCCGTTATTGCCGAGATCTACTTCAGATTGAAAGCCGTATTTGGTGATCACATCTTCCAGCGTACTCCCGGGCTGCAGTAACCACGCACTGAGGTAGATCAGAGATACGACCCCATTACCACCGCTAGCGTACAGGTCTTTGGTGATAGCTTCCGAAGCAACCATGCCGCCGTAAGAATGGGCCAAGACCAGAATAGAATGGCCCGCATCAATGAGCTCCTGGGCTACTTTCCGGACTGCCGCCACATCATGTTCGCGTAGTGCAGTTGGGGGCCGTTTATCACCGCATGAGGGGAGGCGGGGACATTGGACCACAAACCCCGCTTTGCGAAGCCGATTGCTCAAGGCGTCCCACGCTGGTGGGAGGAAGTAACCACCATGGACAATGAGTATTGCTGTGGGTTTTGCGCCTGTCATGATGGGCGTGTCGTAATGCATCTTTCGGTCACAAGTATGAATGGGAAAGATCAACCTTGGAAGTTTGGTCAAGAGATTTAATAAGATAATATTGGCAGATAGTGATAACCATGTGAATCTTAAATGAAAAATGACTAGTCGAATGTGCCGCACTTGACGTCAGCGTGTTCTCGCAGGATCAACTACCTTGCAGAACGACTTTAGTTGTCGGTTGCCGCCAACCCACTACGCCGCAATGGCCGAGGCCGCCCCGCGCAATGTTGTATAGGACACTTGACTCGAAAATGATAATCAATATGAACAAAGTAATTCATGGGGCCTACCCCCTCATTGACAAGGGCCACGCAGAGTACTGAAGCTTATAAGCGGGGTTTCGATCCAATAACCGTAATGGAATGGGTTAGCGCAAGGCAATCCGATATCCCGATATTATTGGTAAATTTGCAGTCGGGTCGATTGATGGACTCTTTTCTATATTGGCAACATTTGAGAGTTTGTCTCGGGCTTGGTTTGAAATCATTGCAGATACTCTAGCCGGTATATATACGCTAAGCAGTCTATTGATTATAATGGTTTTAGGGCCTATCTTAAAAAAGTTTATGAGTTAGTAATATTGGTGATGGTAAGGGTAGAGCTTCGGGAAGTAATTGGCCTCTTGAGCACTCGTAAGAAATGTTTTAAAGCCTAGATAATTCACAATTTGAGTCACTTGATCATTGCCGGATCGATACCTGCACCGAATGCCCTCTTTGCACCACCGATTCGGATCCAATGACCCGATAGTTAGAAAAGCTCAGTGGTCTCGTTGAATCTTATGCTGTTGTTTTCTGAAGCAGAAGCAACGGCGCCTGTCGTGGTCTGTATCTTCATGAAGCGTACATCTCGGGTGCTAATAACAGGGGCCAGATCAATCGTATTATGCTTCAAGTCGTACCCCTTCTGGATTTTGTGGTTCGTGTGAATTTGAAAGTTCGTGCTCCCATCCGTGGGAGGTTGAAATACTGAATCATAGCCTTCACAGGTACCCATATCTGGAAGCTCCAGGACATTCAGGCTTTGAGAAATTAACTCCTCTAAGTCTCCATGCCTTTGGAAGTCAATTTGCAGAGTAGATCCGGATACTGCTTTTATTGTAGATCCATTCGTTCCCAAACAAAACTGCTGATGCCCTATAATCTGTCCGGGCTGGAGACCGAACGCCGAAATGTCCACACAGCCAATTTGGCTTAGAGATGTGTCGGATGCTGCCAAGGAACTGCATTGGGCTGAATCCCACGCTGTGGGGATAACAATACAAAAGGAAAATCTCTAAAAACTATAATTTCCTATAATTCTCAGTCCTAGGCGGTAGTTACTTTGAGGCAGTTCGGAAAAACAGGGTTCACCCGGTGAAGTCTTTCGCCCCCCGAATTGACCGGAGCACTACCTGGCCTGCATAACCGTCAATGATGATCTACTCACAATGTTCCTGGTTTCATACGAGTCTCCGTTGATCAATAACCACATCGCCCGTGACTTCAGCGGCAAATGCTAGTACGAGTTTCCACAACGGGTAAGTGGATCATGCAATGCCACCCTACGATCTGCAGGATAACAGGCTATTCTGAGTTAACCCGTCTCATCCACCAATGAAACGACTCCATTGTTGATGAATATCATTATACTAGGGCGTTTCATATTCTTCAGACACGGAGTTTGTTTGTCTTAAATATACTCGATCGCCGTAGTCTTACCCAGACCATATATATCAAGGAATCTATTCCCCTCATTCCAGGAAAAGGGAAACGTCGTTACCCATTTCCCCAACCAACATCCACCATGAAGACGAATATCTTTTCCTCTATCTTGCTGCTTCCTTCTTCGGTGCTCGTGCTAGCTACACCGATGAAGGACCACATGCACGCAATTCGTGCACCCTCCATGTCGTCATCCAGTTCTTCATCCGCAACTCCATCCGGAACAAAGACAAGCTGCGCACCAGGCGGCTACATGTCCGCCTTGGGCGACTTTGACCTCCAACTCCCCATCGCAGCCTCCAGCGGTGGATCTGCCGAACAAATATCCGCAACAGCTGTTGCCGGCTGTAGCGGCTACCAGAATCCAGACTGGTTCTACTGGAACACGGCCAGCTCGTACCTTGTGATGAAAGCACCGCCGACCAGCACGCCCTGCGCCAAAACATCAGGCAGCAAGCATTGCCGCACCGAGCTCCGCGAGGCAGACCCGTCGAGTTGGAGTCCCTCCGGGACGAACACGATGACCGTCAAGCTTAAGGTTGCGCAGGCCGATGACGGCGATTACGGCACTGTCATCGGGCAGGTGTTTTCGGCAAGTTTTTCAAAGCCTATCATAGAGCTCTACTATAACCCGCAGGGGGTTGTTACTGTCGGCCTGGAAACGACGACTGCGGGAGGAGATGAGAACTTCACGAAGATTGGAACGATTCCGGAGAATACCGTCTTTACGTATGAGTTGAACTACTCAAATGATGAGCTCACGGTGTCTCTTAACGGAGGGACGGCCAACCATTTCTCGGTTACGCCGTTAGGTACGCCGGATGCTTACTTCAAGGCTGGTGACTATAATCAGGGGGATAACGTGGCTAGTGAGGTTGATATCTACTCTATTGACGTGGTGCACTCCTGAAGCATATGCGGATGAAGGGAAAGAAGTATTACAGATACCCTCACAAACAGATCTAGGGAATAATAGTGAAATCAAAGAATCTATTTTTGAAGTCCCACGCCTGTACCAGAGGAATAGAAAGTAATATATAGACACAAAAAGAAACGAGGTATATGCACAGCCCAGAATCAGCGCTTGCCCTGACGCGCCCTCTTCTGGCGCTCGTAATCGTTCGCCGCACGACCCTCCTCGTTCTGAATCTCGGCCACAAGCCGCTTGTACTTGTGCTCGTACGCTGCATCGCGCTCCTTTTTCTCGCGCAGCTTCTCGCGAGCCACAAAGCTTGCGTCCTTGCGCAGCTCGCGGAGGGCACCCTTGCGCTCGCGCTTGTACTCTGCCTTGAGGCGGTTGGCCTCTGCGCGCTCGCGGTCCGGATCGTAGTGCTTGTCCGGGTTGAAGTTCTCCTCGAACTTGGGGATGGCGGATTTGATGGCTAGGGGTTTGTGGTTGTGGAGGAAAAGAGGGCGGCGCGACTCCTTGGCGCTGGTGAGATGGGCATCTAGAGTGTCCAGCGCAGACTGAGTAGGCGCCCGGGCTGCGGCGAAAGATTTGTTCTTGAAACACTGGCGGAGGTGCTGGAGGACTGCCCGGGCTGGGGCGAAGATCTCCGTGAAGGCGGATTTTGAGGACCATAAGTCCGAGGCGGAGCTAAGGAGAGAGACGAGGGTGGTGATGAGGGAGATCTTGAGGTCTTCTGCTGCCTGGGAATCGGTGGGTGATGACACCACATCGCGGAAGCGCAGCTTGCGCGGGGTTGTCTTCTTGGATGATGTCAACAGCCGGACTGACTCTTGGGGTTTTCTTGAGGGAAAGAAGCCAAGGCTGGTGGCTGGCTCGATGGGAGACAGGTTGCAGAGAGCATTCAGGGTGAAATTGATGAACTCAGGCATGTATCGCTTCGAGACAGTTTGGTACTGAAGACATAGGCTAGCGGCGAAAGCACCGGTTGCGAAATCCGCGAGGGTGTTGGTAGAGCACTGGCCAAGGTATCGAGCAAGGACCAAATGAGCTGGTGTTACCACTGCGTGGAAGTGATCCGATGTTGGGAAGATGGTCGAGATGCCTGTAAGGATCAGAAGGTCGCCGGGGAGGAGATTGAGCGGCCGAATTGTGGACATCTCCCGAAGGCGTGCACGAAACGCCGTGGCAACGTTCACGGGATGCGTTTTGGCCAGCGAGTGGACGTGACGGAGAATATTCTCCAATATGGCGAATTGGGGTTGTTCCGTTTCGTTGCCCACGTAAGAGACATGTTCAACCAGAATTTCGGCAAACCGGCCAAGCTTCGCCTTGTTCTCGCTGTGGAGGCGAGGATGATGCAAGGCTCGAACACGCTGGATGACAGTTGGGAGATCCTGGACGGGCACGTCCTTGGTAATCTCCAGGAACTGCTCATGGCTGTTGGGACAGGGGTATGTGAAGGCCAGCTTTCCGTCAGCGGCCTGGTCCACTTTGACGGCTGTCGATGCGGCACCAGCGGTGGTATTCGATGGGAGCGTTAGGCCATTTATAAGCTCATCTTCCTGCTCATCTGCTGATTCTTCTTCCTCGGAGAGTTCTTCTTGCTCCATGTCGCTATCATCAAACTCGAGGCTGGCATCCGATCTCGTCTCAACCAAGTCATCGTCAATGATGAAGTCATCCTCGTCTTCGACGCCAAGATCGGAACGCGGTTGAAAGGAGTTCGTGGGGAGACCAAAAGCCATGGCATCGTCGAAATCTGACTCTTCGCCCTCGGACTGTGGCTTCTTCTGTTCTTCTTCTTCTTCCTCCTCTTCCTCGTCGCTTAATGGCTCACCGCGCATTCTTCGGACTCGGTCTTCTTCCAGCCGCTTTAGCCGTTCTGCTTCTTCCTCGACAATCTCCTCCGCAGTCTTCGTGCGATCCGTAGGCTGAGAACGCTTGTCAAAGGTCAACTGTTTGAGTCTTTGGTCGTATTCCTTCTCGGTGTCCTTGCTTTCTGGTTCTTGCAACAAAGCGGCGCGTTCCGGGTTCATAGCTGCTAGATCTTCCGTGACGGGCTCCGGCTTAGGCGGAGGCTTCACGCCTCTCAAAGCTTCAAACAGATCAGGAAGCTCTTGATCAAGCTTTTCTCGTAGGTCCTCGTCATCCTCTTTAGCCTGTTGCCGCTCGTGTTTGTAAAACTTGGACTTGGCAATGACTTCCTTCATGACCTCCGCCTTTGATTTTTTCCGCCCTGGCTGGTCCTCTTCCTCTTCATGGACAAAGTCCTCCATCTCTCCATCATCTTCGAGGAAGCGCTTCCGTTTCCGTGGTGAATCTTCATCGGATTCCGCATCGTTCAAGTCACCCGCATCGAAATCGTCCAGCTTCGTTCCGTCAAACGTCAGAGACTGGCCCAAGTGCGTGAGTTCAAGCTCGTCCTCCTCATCTTCAAGGTTGAACATCGACTCCTTGCGCATCTTCCGTTGGCTCTCTCGGGCAAATCGCTCGGCGGCACGCTCCTCGGGTGTCATGGTCGGGTCGTTCTCACCAAACCGGCGGTCGACAAGGCCACCGACTTTGTTACGGCTGTTCATCTCCTGCAAGAGCGTTTCGCGTCGCTGGGGAGGAGACATATTAGCTGCATATTCGCACTTGACCATAGCATTGAACCTACCCGTTCTTCACCGAGAGATTTTGTGACACCCGGTCGCACACGGGCGGCTGTCGTCGAGCCACCATCTCGGGTTGTCACATCGAATTTGCCTTGTCGGCCCGTGGCCTTGATCTCGAACGGGTTGAACCGATCTCGAATTGCCTGCAGAGCAGCGTGGCGCTGATTGCGATTCTGGGAAGCGGCACCAGACTTTGCATTCTGGCGCTTTTGCTTCTTGGATTGCTGTGGTCCGAGTACTCCATTCTCCCTCAGCGAGGACTTCAGCTGCTTCAACTGAGACGGCGGCATGGCGTGGTGGTGGAGGGAGTGGAATGCGGTAATTATTTTTTTTGGGGCTCAAAAAATAGCGGCTTCACCGCCTCGATAAAATCAATCGTTCTGCCGGACCGGAGTCTCCGCATTCACATCAACCAACAGCATCCGTCATGGCGGTCTTCTCGGGCGACGGGGTGCTCTGGCTCTGTCTGGGCATCTCGCTCTTCTTTGCCGTGCGCGGCATTACTACCGATCTTCGTCAGGTGGTCGATCTGACCGAGATCAAGCACGTCGAGACAGAAGACAAGATCATCAGTGAGGGAACCGAAGAAGGTGCGCAAGATGCAAGTAATCCATACCGAATGATGACTGACATTATCACTATACCAGCCCTCAAATTAGATACCCTCCTCAAGCTCTCCGAAAGCACAAGTCATGACCTCCGCTCTGCGTATGAGTCGACGTGTACCCTCCAAGCATAACTACCCCAACTAATGCATCTACAGAGCTCTACGCATCATCTCCGAACGGTCCACCAAAGGAGGAACGAGAGACCTGCTCCTAGAGGACCTGGCAAGCCCGAACAAACTACGAAGGGCGCGAGCACTAAATGCATTGAGCTTCCTCGTTTCCAACCGAGCATGTAAGCCGCCCGCATCCATAACTATAGAATCCCAGTCCTAACGTTGTCCAGTATCTCGAACCTCAGTATGCAGCCGACTGGGTGACCTCCCAACCTACATAGCTCTGGTAAACTGCCTCTGCAACTTCCTAAACGAACACACCGAACAAACCTCCACAACAAACTCGCCCATCCTCCCCAAAACCAGACCGATCGGCGAGAAAAAAGCGCTCAACATCCTCAATATTTTGCTACCGGAAAACATTCCCGCCGCACTAGAGGCCGGGATTATAAGCCGATGGCTTTGCAAATATCCCTTTCCATGCGCTCTGTCTGAGCCATCACGGCGACAGGATGTAGTGATTCTCATGAAGACATGGTTTCTAGACGACGGGGTGATGAGCTCGATTTTCAGCACGCTTACCTCTCACAATGACGGGATAAAGCAGCTGCGGAAACATGGATTGATGGGTAGTATGATCGAGGAGAATGATCAGGACGATGAAGATGATGAGGATGACGATGTGTGGATGGTCAATGGGGAGGATACCGCGGGTTCTACAAGGCGGGTCTCTTTGGGGCGTCGTCTGCAAGAAGGGAGCATTGAGGAGCAGGCGCTGAGACGGCGGAGAAGGGAAGCCATGGTGCTGAGTGACGGTGGACGGCCTCTTCGGGGTGATGATATTATTCAGCGCCCTCTGGATTGATTCCTTGCCCTCGCCATGGCTGTAACGAGACGAGTCTGACTTTCTTCTTTTGCTGGTGTTTACGGCGTGCCTATGATACCCCCATTTGAAAATTGAATGCTTTGTTCACTAGTAGCGCTTCCACTACATTGGATCATTGTTTTCTATGCTTAGTCCAAGTCCTACTTTGCCTATCAATCGCTCATACCGTTATGCACCTTCTTGAAGAGGTTCATGGAAAGCCGACAACCCGCGTCAGCGGTTGGCGAAAGTACTATATACCTTGGGTTGCCTTTTCATCTATAGCACAGGTATGGAGTTCGTTTTGTAAGCATTACTCTTGCCCAGCTTCCCAGAGGAATAGAGCCCTTCCAGCTGTATCATGTAATAGATGTGATGAGCGAGCAGATACCAAACGACTAGTAAAATAGCACCATCTAGTCTACGGGATTACCGGTCTGACCGAGTCGCACAGGTGTCCATCGGACGAGCAACATTTCGAGAGTCTGGAAGTTGGGTGCGTCAATTGTTTCCTCCAAAAACACAGCACGCAAACAGACACCAGGCACCTCCTCTGCATGATCCACAAAAACATGATCATAACGATATGGACTACATTACAAGCCCATCCAAGCAGATTTGGCCAGATGGTCAGCTTTCTTGCGAGTGTTCTTGACCATGCCGAAGGTCTTCAATTCCGACATGGCGCTGTAGAACAATGCCATGACCACGCGGTCATCGCACCGATCACCCTGGTCACTTTCGAAGACTGCCCGGAACGCCTGCCAGAGATCGTGAACGTTCACCAGAGCCCCGGATTCCAGGTAGAGTTGGTATAAGATGGCCGTGGCGGGCTGTTTAGCCGAGATCTTGGTTTCAGAGACATCGGACGAGGATATCAGGTAGTCGAATGGACTGGTGAGGGCGCGCTCGATGGCAAAGCGCGGTCGAGGCGCAAAGGTTTCTTTCAGTGGGTTTCGGAGATCAAACAAGAATACCTCGTGCAGGGGCAGGTCCTGCGGGTTGATCAAATTCGCGGTGAAATACCCTCGCAGCCCATCAATGAGCTCGTCAATAAGTTGAGTGTATTCGAGGTCTTGCTCGGATAATTGGGCCTGACCCTTGCTGAGGCGGACCCGTTGCTGTTCGACCGTCGTTTTAACCACGGAGCTGTTGACATTGTAGGCGCTTTGCAGTGGCCCAGAGTCGGTATTGGACTGTACCAAATTCTGGAAATCTTCAGAGATAGCACGCACCGGATTGTTGTCTGCGAAAAGCCCGATCAATGTGCGCAGCTTCTCGGAGTCGAATGTTTTCAGGGTGGCGAGCATGTCTTCAACTATTTGCGACTCACTGAGTTCTCCAGAGAGAGCACGAATCGAGAGATCGGACCTGCTGGTCTTTTTCATGCTCTGCGTGCACTGAAGACAGGCATGAAGGATGCTAACGGCTAGGAATATCCCCCTCATAGTCTCTTGGCCACGGTTGACATGGTCAGTCGCTTGCTGAAGAAGATAATCGTCGTCTTCTAATAGACGCCGTACTTGTTGGACAGAGCCATTCTCCGCCAAATCCTCACAAAGCCTAAATACCATTAGATCAAGTTATCCATAAGAATCAACAGCCTACTCACACTCGAAAGGACGCGACGTTTCTGATGGCCTGGCATAAAGGGCCAGGAGATGAGATTGTGGGAGCCGGTGCTGCCAGCAAGACCGCCAAGGGATTTGCAAAAAAATGAGACATATACGCATACTAGAAAGAAATTAGAAGGGGATATACTCATCTGTGGGGGAACATAAATACCTTCAGCATGTGACTGAAAGTCTCTGGGCTCTGAAAATAGTCGCTCGACTTTTCGAACAGGGTGGCGCTGATATTGCGGCCCAGTCTGAGCCGTGAGTCTTCTCTGAGTTGCAACATTTCATAGATTTCGTCGACGCAATTGCCTGCCTCTTGGACCTCAAAGTGCTTTCCTTGAAGAAGGGCAACACATGAGCGGGGAAGCCGGCTCTGGAATATGTCGACAGAAGTGGAAATCCCGAACACCAGGGTGAATGGTATGCGATCCAGCCAAGAGCTGATAGAAGATGAGCGCATTGGTCAACACGCGCGTTGAATGTCGAACTCACCTGAACAATGACAGTAAATCCGTCAATAAGCTTGGATCAAAAGCTTCGCTATCTCGGAAAGCTAGTACCAATTTCTTGGTCCCTTTCCTTTGAACATAGTCGTAGAGCAGGTCTAGGTCGTAACCGAGAAGCCTGGGGCCCTGTGGCTAAGTTAGCCTTAGATTGTTCAGGTGTGTAAAGAGTACACACATCTCTATCGGTAAGGAATTTCTGGTAGCCGCCATTGCCCTCAGTATTTGTGACCGCCGCGCGAATGATGTTCTTCAGCGTTGTTTTCAAATTCGGCGCATCGCCTGACTCCAACACCACCACACCACCGTCGCCAGAGGATGTCAATTGATCATTGAGCCGTGAGAGCAGTCTGGTGAGGGAAGAAACATTGGAGCCGACGGTGACGAGCGCGGTAGGGATACAGCCATTGCACCTGGAAACACAGTCAGATCGCAGCTTGGGACTATTCGCAAAGAGTAGCAACGTACGTCTCCGGGGACATCGTTTGAACGAAGGACAGCACATCCGTCAAAACTCCGGCGTCGACTTCGTGCAGGATTTCCTAGTAAACATGAGCGTTGGACCTCGGTTTGCCCACCAGTATCTCCACTAACCTGGATGGACGTTTCCTGCTCCGACCATAGCTTCTTGTACGTATCGTATCGCAATTGAACACATTCGGCGGGTTCCTCCCCATTCAGCAATGGCACAAAGCAGTGCGAGTCGGAGTGGGCGTGGTCGGTGGGCGCGACTTTGCGGCGCTTCGAGGGTCGCTCTCCCTGGTAGATGTACACGCCCTGGGCTAGGTTAGTCTTCACACGCCACCCCAACAAAGTTAACACGAACTTGATTTTGGGACTTGTCCCTGGTTTCTGCATCCATGATGGCTGGTCGAAGCAAGCAACAAACAAGGGAAACAAACCAACGGAAGGACGGAGTTCACTGCGGGCGCTAAACCCAAACAAGCCAGATACTTTTCACCTCCGAAGTGCTGGTCCGCAACTTCTCTTCTACACCTACACCCGACCACGGCGCCCCTGCCTTCATGCTTCGCCAGGCGTTTCATGGCGCTCGGTGGTATGTGGCTCATGGCCGCCCGTCGGTTCGAGCCTTTTCCGCCATTACTCCGCGCCGTCTCGACTATGGCGGACCAAACGACAAAGTGACATTCTACGAACAGGATGCGCCGGGCAGAAAGAAGCGAAGGAAGATCGATCCCGAGGCTGAGGACAACGAAGAGCGCAAGGAAGTCGAGGATGAGCTTGCGAGGCTCCGCGACGAGCTGAAGGTCTTGGAGGAGGGCCCGTTCAGCCCCAACAGTCCCTTCATCAAAAGCTTGCCCGAGGCGGATCGCAAAATCGCCCTGGAAGCTCTAGAAAAATATGAAAGGGAACAGGGTGAGCAGGGGCCACAGCCATCTCTAGATGAGGTCTTCGACGAGGAACTCGACGAGATGCTGAAGGAGGAGTTTGAGGGTCTTGCACTGGAGCAAGAAAACCCACAAAAGGCCGCCAAAAGAAGCCGACAATTGTCCAGAAGATCAACTGAAACCGGGCTGGCCGAAGACGAGTCTCACCCATACACTAAAAGATTTCACGACTGCGTGATCAATTTCAAGACGAACAGCGAGGACGAGCGGACCAGACACGAGCTATGGAGATGGTACCGGCGATGCAAGCAGGTTATCCCCGAATTTCTGGAATCAATGCCGCAAGAGACTCGACAAATAATGTGGCAATCGCAAAACACGGCAGACTTGACGAGCAATACACGATCAACACATCTGCAGACCTTGATTGAAGACGCCAAGTCTGTCAATAAACCCTTCCCGACGCCCCAGATTCTCACCTATATTACTGCTTTGCATGATGGCGGATCGACCAGTAAGGCATTGGAGCAATGGGAGGCATATCAAGCCGAACTGTCACAAAGCAAGGAGGACCTAGAACCATACTGGATGCTTGGAGTGCGACTCTTTGCAGCTGCGAACAATCCCCAACGAGCTCAGGATATTGCTTTGGCTTTTCTCGCGAACGATCGATCCCGTCAACCGCGGGTCCTCATTCCTGTTATCACCGCGTGGGGGAGATTGCCTGGGGAAGAAGCAGAGGTCAAGGCATGGGCCTTATACCTCCAGCTGAAAACCTTCTTGGGATCAGACATGGGCATGGAGGATTACGATCAGATCAGCATTGGTTTCCTCACGGCCGGCCGTTTGGATACAGCAGTTGCCGTCTTCAAAGATATGATGGTAACGGGACAGGACCCGGCAAAGGACTCTACAGCTCTATACAAGGCCGCTCTCGGCCTGGCAGGCAATCTCCATGCATCGAGCATCAATGAAGAGGCCGTAAATAAAGTCTCGCTCTCCGCACTGACAGTGTTGCCGCGACGGTTCCAGAACCGATTTTTTTACGCGAGCTGGATGAAAAAGCTCATCGGAATGGGTGAAGTTGACTCAGCTGCGCTAGTCATCGAGCTGATGTATGAGCGAGGTGTTAAGCCGGACAGCAAGCATCTTAATGGAGTCATCGCTGGGTGGCTCCGCGACGGCAGCGCTGGCGCGCGGGACAAGGCCGAGCGGCTTGGCTGGTCCATGATTCAGCGTCGAATCGACGCCGCATGGAAGAAATTCCAGCCGACCAAAGTCATACCTCAACTTGGCTTCAACCAAGACACGGTCGATCCTGCCCGCATACCGAAATTCATGAAGCGCGAGGTTCCTCAAGCCAGCATCGAAACATTTTCCATTCTCCTTCTGCATTACACGCGCCGAGGCGACGACGGCATGATCAAATACCTAGTCAAGAGCCTTGGAGATGCCCAGCTCCAGCCCAATTCCTACTTCATGAATCACCTCCTGTACGCGGACCTGCGAAAACAAGACATCAAAGCCCT